ACGTTAGAAACGAAAAGCAGATGAAGGTCTTGCTTACGACCAATGACACGCATGTTGAAAACCATGGTAAAAGCGGGGCTTGCAAGCGTCACGCTGTCGACACGACAGACACCATCAGGCGGCAGTGGATAGGTATCTCCCGTGCACACGAGGTCGCAGGGTATACCGTATGTCGTTACCGTTATCGACACCGCGTTGCGACCTGTCGCCACGACCCAAGGGATAAACCAGTCAGCGTCCGAATCATCCACCATAGGAATATAGACAGGGATGCTGATGACGGTCGACGACATAGTGTACAGTACGATCGCTCTCAGGTGTGCGCGCCGATACAAGGACACAACATTCCCCCAAAATCGTGAGATGATAAACAGAGACATTGCTGGAAGACAACGATCACCTATCGGTGTCTGTGGACCGGAAGCAATCCAATCCGCAACATTCAACCGAGATGCGACATGCGATCAGCCACCGTCTAAGCCCCCAACCTGCTGGCGGCAGCAAACAAGCGGGCCGGAAAGCGGAAAATGGAGCGATCGAGCAAGGTCCCACCCGCGCATTTTCAGGCGCAGACTTGCCAACCGATTCGCACAACGTTCCCTTCTGCGTTCTCGTACTACAACGAACGATGCCACCCAGGTTCACACACAGAACAAAGAAAGCGGGCTTGACGGTGAGCATGACAGTTGTCGAGCGTGCGCATGGTCTTCATACCCAACCCCAAAGTTCGACGTCGGACAAGTCGAACAGTCTTTCCAACGCGTGGTCGACAATGAATACATCACGGAGTACGCTCTTGTATACACAACGTCTGTCCTCGAAGCAATCACAAGGGCAATTATTGAGCGTGCATGTGCGTTGTAGAGTCAAGCATCACGACAGCGTTTCTAACTGTGCAGCAGGCAACATCGCTCATGAGTTTAATCACAAGAGGCTGGAGTCGTTTCACATTCAGCTCGCTATTCGCACGGACGCGCCGCTCAACACCCTCGTGAAAGAAACATACGCTGATGAACCTCGACATGAAATGCTGCCTCCTGCGTTGCCCGTGCCCAGTGTTCCAAAGCTATCCGAAAGTGGTGGCGAGCTGTAAATGCCGAGAATATTCACTTACGCACATGCGACGATAGATACTTCACTCTGTCGACGTGGGACATGATATGGAGCTTGAATTGTAGATAGGATTCACATGTGAACAAGTAACATAAAGCCATGCAGTCCCGTACGAAAGAGCGCGAAGATCGACGAAGCCGACGACGATAGGGGCCCGCTACATGTGCGACTCGTCGACGAAGGACCTCTCCAACTCATCGTCGTCGTCGTACTTCATCTTCGTGACCTCGTAAGGCTTCAGCACCTGCTCCACGTCGACGACGACCGCCTCAGCGCTGTCAGGGTTCTCCTGCATCTGCGGCACAGTTTTGAGAGACGCCAAATGACCGCCGAGATGCACTCACGCGAAGGAGCTTATGCGTCACGCTCTGGTACAGCAGGACGAAGTTCCTCTTGGCTTCACGCAAGTCAGCGGCCTGACGACGGCATGTGAGAGCCAGCTGCTGCTGCACATCGCGCGCTTCGAGCTCCCTCTTCTGAGCCAGAGCCTCTCGATCTTTCATGTCCAACAAGTTGGCGTTGGCGACATCCATCTTTTTCACTGCGTCGTCCCGCTCAGAGAAGGCGAGGTTGATCAAAGTCAGCACCTCCTGTACGAGCGCAAACATGAGTATGGTGAGCAGCAGACGATGGCCAAGCCCGTACCTCCGAAAGAGCGGCAGTGGTTTGAGCAGACGTAGGGATCGGCATGGATGACGAGGGGGACGGTGTGGACTGATACGAGGTTAACAAAGTATATAGGAAGGCATCTCCGTCGCAGCCTGACTCATGTACAGGCACGCTGTGCACGTTCCACACGTAGACAACATTCGACACCGGCACGGGGCCCTTGATAATTCCGACACATGTACTGCGCAAAGTCAATCGGGCATCTATCGACGGCTACACGACAGCCATGACGGAGAACAGAGAACAGCGTACCTATCGGCGGTGATCTGAATACTGACAGCGCGAACGCTGTGGACAGCCTATCATTTCCCAGACCGACACATACATAAAGGCACTTGCGAAGCGCCGACAACAAGGCATCTAACTATCTGCTCCATCGCGACTTCCAAGTTCGCCGTCAGCAGTTGTCGCCTTCCGTCCAAGCAGCAGAGTCCTTACGTTTGCACAGGCAAACCTCCGTCATCCTCATGTGCTTCATCGCAATCCTATGCACGCAGTACAGCTGCGGCCACATCGAACGACAGGAGAGCGTGAAGGTGAGCGTTGTACGGCACATAAAGCTCTACTCTCACCGCCTGTAGGTGGAATGTAATGCGAGAACGTGCGCGTTGAGTGCAGCTCACCTCCGCGCGCATCAGGACTGTGAAGGATCGTGTCGCCAAGGGTAAGACGCTTCTGTTCCCCCAAGAGCAACAGCTGACACCCCTCCCCCGGAACCAGCGCTATCGCGGAGAAGCAGCTGCTCGCGTACGCATGTAGCGAACGCTGTGCATCGTGCTCAGCGCCTGAGACTAAGCGACACGAGCCTCGCTCTTGCTAGTATACAGCGGCCGTCGCTTGCATGTGCCCCGCATTCGCGTACTAAGAAGTCGATAGTCGTACGAAAAGCATTTACGTTACCACCCCACTATAGCTAAATCGTCGAACCCAACCCTACGGCGCTACCGTGCATCGACGAAGAATCCGCCAAGACAAGGCTTCGCAAGCCTACGAAAGGCAGCATGGGACACATACGGCATCCAAGACGGTACACACTTCAGGGCGTGGGGCGCAGATGCATGCACGGGCTCTAAGAAGCGCGGTGAACTGGATTCTATGAAAGCATGTCATGGTCATGAGCTGCGCACACACACACAAAATCCATCAAGACATGGGTGCGGCAATGTAAAGAATACACCAGTGTATAGACAGGCCGACGCAAGCGGGAGAAGGTCAAATGGAAAGACATACATCGACGGCGCGCCGTCGTTACGCAAACTCAACACCTCACACGCCCTCGTCCACCTCCCGACAATGTACTGTACTCATCAGCGTGGTGCCATACTGCCACGCACGTATACCTTCCACGCGTTCACCAACACCATTCGTAAGAGTGACAGCACCCGCTCTGCCGTCGTGCGATACACGTGTCCCATTGTTGCACATGTTGTCCCACAGGTCCAAATAAGGTAAAACTAAGGTCATCGATCGACACGATCACCGCAGGACTTATACCCGATCCAACATCGATCGACTCGATCACTACGGCACTTATACCCGAAATGTACATGATGTAGCCGATCACGCCAAGCCGCCCGGGCCGCTCGCCGACGAAATAGACAGGCCCAAATCCTATTCGAATGAAGGAATCGCCTTCGTGCGATCCGGAAGTGATGTGCATATGCTTTTCGCAACCTCGCTAGTGTCGCGCGCATTCCACCTACGAAGACGAGAAAAATTACTATAGGACACAACCGGATGTAGACGAACTCACCAAGGCAACGAAGATCCCATGAACTGAGTGATACGCACGAACTGCCCTCGAAGTCGACTGTCCGCAAAGACACAGCCCAACGTCGGCGCTGACGAGTCCAGAGGATGACCAGACACATACCGCCTTTTCATAACGGGACCAGCGACGGCTGAGTACGTCCGCCTCGACGTTGGAGGAAGGTATGCATGAAAACGCAGACACCAAGACTGCCACATCGCAAGATCAACGTCGCTGTCAACGCAATCCCTATAAAGTGTTAGAAAGCGGTCGAGCACGCGAGAAAAAACACACAGGTCCGGCCAAACCGGCAACACCCACGTGTGCTCATCGCCTACGAAGCGATAGCATCTACCGAACGGCACGCTTGCATCACCGGCTTCCTGCTCGTACAACCACCGAAGCGGGGCGAAGCCTTCGTCTGCTAACTTGGCAATAAGGGCGTCCGCCGCCATAGACTGGCCACGTTCAGACAAACAAAGCGACCGTGAGCGACCGAATGTGTCCAGAGGATACAAAGAATACGCAGAGCGGTGGGTTATGAAGTTCATAGCGGCAGCTAACAGCCAGCGTCAGAAGTCATACGCCATAAGCAAGGAAGGACTCACTGCACGGTAGATCGAGCACATAATCCACGGGACAGACGCGGACCACCAATATCCTAACCGAGTTCGATGCGTTGGAAGGACGTATGAAATCGAACGAACAAAGAAGTGCCTCTCCGTCCTCTCCCCACTCCTCAGGGAAACCCTCTTGCTCGTAAAACAGCGAAGCAAAGGAGTGGTCACCAGAGGGTGACGACTCAGACGTGAAGCCCAGTTGGTTGAGGAACATGCCCAAGCGGCTGGTCGCAGAGTAAGCAACGGCCAACTCCAGCACTGCTTCGTGGGTGGATATGCGGCCAAGGAAATGAAGAACGATATCCCCAACAATGACTGCGCCGGTGTCCATCATGACATAGCGAAGAGTTTCGACCTCAGCTCGCGTGAAAAAAGAGGCAAGCGTTGATGGTAAGTGGAAAGAGCGCCTGATGAAGTCCTGAACGCGATGTCGCGCTGCCCAATCAACGAGACCCAATCGTACGAGATCCGCAGGAGAAAGCCCTGCCAATAGGGGGTCATCGCAAGGCGCAGGTCTGCAGCTCATTAAGCCAAGGATACGATGCAGTTACATAGACACCTACAATCCACCCAAAGAGGCACCGGGAGAAGTCATATTTGGCGGTGAGTAGGCAGATGTTGCCACCGCCACAAGAGAAGAAACGAAGGAAGAGAGATTCCGCCTGTTACCGACGCAGATCGTCAAGTTCTGTACGCCACAAAATTTGAGGTACCGACTGTCCATTACGCGCAATCAATCTATGCGGACCCGACAGCCATGCAGTGACACACCCGTCGGTACCGTCAATAAGGCCGAAAGCATCATCATCGCTACGCGGACCAACCGACGTCGCGCAGTATTACCGCGTCAGCAAAGCACAGTTGCGTCGTATAGATGTAGAGGACGATATTGAATGTCATTTCGATGCTAAGGCATGTTCATACATTACAAGCCGTATGTACGAAAAGAATCAAGCAGACGACGGATGATCGAGTACCCGATCGGAGGTCTGTACCTATGATTGTAACAACACACCCTATCATTATAGGGCACCGTGTTGCAACAATCCCCACTTTTCTTAAGACACTAACTACAACGATTTGTTGCAACATCGGTTGCAACAAACCACTACGACTACAAGTACACTATAAGCCTATCGGCAATAGCCGAGCACCGTCGCCACCGTCGTCGGCGTCGGCCGACCCGTCGGTCGCCGTCGTCGCGCGCCCTCGCGATCCCGACGCGCGCGCACCCGACGCGGCGGCATCACGTGGCCCGCCTCCCGCCTCCCGATCCTCCCACGCCCTACCTGGGCGGTGCCCCCGCCGCCGCTGCTCGTCCGCGACCCCCCTCGACGCGCGGTGCGTCGCTCGACGCTGCGCCACGGTCCGCGCTCGCCGTCAATCGGTGCCGGTCACCGTTCCACGTGCCCGCCGCTCCCTCGCAACCAATGCGCGCTCCCTGGCGACGCTCGCTCATCGCTGCTCGGCCGTCGTCGCGTCTACAGCCCCTCCCCGCGATGCTCATCGTAGCGCGCTACGACGGCGACGGGGTGCGAGCGCGAGCGAACCGGGCACACACCGGAACGGCGCGGGTGCACGCTCGCGGCTGTTGCCGGGTCGCGACCGGGTCTCGGCGGTTGCCGCGCACCGGCAGTTGCCGACCTCGTCGACACGTCAGCGCCACGCGTCCCTCGTCTCGAGCACGGGCTGCGCGTCGCGCTCCGTGCGCGACAATGCGCGCCATGCACGCCGTGGAAGCGCCGCACCCACTGCCAGGGCATCAAAGATGGCGACACGCCCCTGACGACGGGCTTCGGGCGACATGCCTCGCAGCACACCGTGGGTATGCCTCCGCTTGAACTGCAAGGCGACGAGGACTGCACAGCGTAGTGCACTTGCGTGAGTAGTTACTCCCGCGAGTGCAGCTCGCGCGAGGCCGTGAGGTGGATGAGGGAGGCGATGGGCGGCAACAGATGTGGACACTTCGCGCAAGTGGGTGAGAGCCAGCTGGGGTCGACGAGGCAACGGGCAGTGGCAGGGGCGGTGCGCACGCGTTGAGGGAGCAGGTAATGGCTGATGAAGAACGGCTTGAGGAGTACATCACGGCGGAGTTGACGCGTCGCGTAAGTTCTGCATGTCTTTGTCAGTTGAGTGAGATGATTGCTGTGAATTTGCGTCGTACCTTTGAGCAGCATTGCTCATGAGAAGGTTTGAGTGCGCGGGCTGCGCGCGGAGCAGCGGGGATGGCGAAGACGATGCACAAAAATCGAGAGTGCCGCAGAGGGACATGGCGATGGGAGGAGACAAGTTCGTTGCCACGTCAGCTTACGACGTGGGACCGGTGACAAAGCATTTTTGGTCACGTGCTACTTGTGGGTCCATTGCCGTACTTGTCTTCAGATGTCCTCACAGGCCGCGACGGAGCTCTGTCGTGCAGATAATACATAGTAAAGTAGCCGACTACACTTATATATCGACGTCCTCTCCGAAATCTTCTGTGTCATCCTTGTCCACACCGTCGAGCGTGTCCTGCAACTCCTGTGCCGCATCCTCGTCTGTGAGCTGCCCCAAATTGTCGAAGTGTAGATCCAGGGCCAATCGCGCCGCGTCCTGCACAGGCTTCCACTTCATCTCAAGAAGGGCAGCCCGCTCACTGCGCCAAGCAGCCTGCTCCATCGCGTACGAGCGAAGACCATCAGCAAGGGCGTCGTCGCAACCTTGACGAAGGCCTGCTCGCTCGGACCACTGCTCCGAGTCGTAGTCGAGCGATGCGATAGTCCTGCGCATCTCCTCCAAAAGGAGTTGGATCTCCTCGCGATCCCGGTCGCGGCGCGCCTTTGACTTCAAGAACTCGACGCGCAGGGCTGAGAAATAGTAAGTCGATATTCATATTCACGCACCGGACTTACCATCGTTGAGGTTGTGATCCGTGATAGCTGCTTGTCCAGGATCCATATACCATATCCACGAAAGTCGCCGACTTCCTTCGCCAGCGTTGACCACTCCCTCAAGGACAACACCATCGGACGCGGCCCAATCAACGTCGTGACCGAGTGCACGCGCACGCTCGCGCTCCGCACGCTCCTCCGCCGTCAGAGCACGCTCATTGAGCGCCCGGATGTCCTCGTCGTTGAGAGGACGCAGCTGCCTCTCCCACTCGCCCGGCCCGCGAAGGTGCACCAAACAATTGCGAGCAAATCGATAGCGCATTTTGGCGATGTGGACACGCTTCGCGATCTTGTCGAAGGCCGTATGAGCTCGCGTGGCCATGCTGATATGGCGCACGTTGGCTTGTCGGAACTGGTTCGTGGCGGTCTTGATTCGCAGGGCACGGCGAAGGTCCTCGAGACTCTGCTCAGCCTCAGCAGCACGGAGGGTCGTCTCCGTCGTCACGACGCCAGGGGCGCATGCCGAATTACGTGCCGCATCCGAGAGTTCTGACGGCAGGAACAGGCGCATGTGCTCGGTCTCGTCAATGACTTTGCCATAGGTGTTGAGGTCGTTATGAGACAGGTGGTCGGCGAGGGAAGGCATGTAGATGCGCTGCCATGAGCGGAACTTGTCGATGGACTTGCGAAGTTTTGCACGCTTCTTGAGGACATCCAGCTGCTGCGTGCTGGTGGGCTGGGGGCCCGCTGCCTTCAAGTCAATGACAAGGAGGCGCCTGCGACGTGTCAGTAGCGTTCGAGGGATTAGAAGGTGAGAAAAACTCACTGGGCGTGTTGTATATCAATGCCGAGTTTGATGAACGCCGTGACCGTCACCTCCTGCACGACAGCCGTACCGTCAGGTGTGCGTTGCATCTCCTGTTGCTGGAGGACAAGCTCCGCATCCTTGAGGTTCTGGACTGCTTCAATCAGTAACGCACAAAGCAGAGAGCTGGGGAACTCACCTTGAGTTGCGTGCTCGTACGGACACGTCGTTGATGACCGATCTTCCTGCCACTTCTTCTCGAGGGCGATCCACTCTGCGACGAGGGCGGGATTCCTCTTCTCGATGCCGTCCCGTAGCTGCTCGTACTCGTCGTACGAGCTCATGAAGGACTGGATAGTCCGGACGAGCCTCCTTGGCAGCAGTCGGCCTGAAGCTTTGTTAGTCATTATCGATACTCGTAGAAAGACACCACTGACCTAAAGAAACACTTGACTCATGGTCGTGGCATCCCGCGTGGTCTTCTAGAGTGAGCTGTCGCGTGCCGGGACCCATCGGCTTCGTCTGCGCAGCGGCCTTGTTCATGATGAACCAGTTCTCTTCGACGGTCTCTCCATGCGTGCGGCCGACGCCCGGAGCGAAATGGAATGAATACGGTGCGTGGCATGGCGCACGGTGCGCGGGTAAATGGAAGTTGGGTACGAAGAAGCTAAAGACGAGGTCGGCAATCCGCTGCTGGAGGTGGTCGGGTAGGGTGGATATGCGCTCGCGGAGGTTCTTGTCGAAGACGCAGGCGACGTCGTATGAGTACACGATGTGTTGCACTTGCTCATGCGCAAGCGCTGACGCGAGGACATAGGTCATATTGCAGAAACTGTGTGCCTCGTTTAGTCCACGACCTCGAAAAGCAAGTCGTACTACGTTACTCACCGTTCTCCCTTTTGTAGATCCCCGATCCCGTTAGGAAGGAACATATTGTGGCGTGAGCATATAACGGCCGCGACGCCCGTCGCACGCAAGCCGCGTACACGCTTGAGATTGGCTAGGAAAACTGCCGCGAAGCCCGAACACGTTGATATCTGGTAAGCTATCAGCGGCGTCCTCCCACGAACTATGAGTGAATATCTACTTACGTCTTCCTCGTTCGCGAAAGAACGGACATAGTCCATGTACGACGCCCTCCCCACGAAGTAGCCCCATCCATCGCCCAAGACCGGGTTGCGAGCCTCGCTGGACCGCATCGCGTTAGCCAGGCGAAAGTTCGCATCCTGTGCAATGAACTTCCGATATAGGAAGCTGTGCAGCCATGAGTACGATATTCGTGCATAGCACACATACTGCTCACCTCTCTTCCGGTCCGGCTCTCTCCCAATCCTTGGGCAGATTACGCCCTGGGTGCGGGCATGCGAGGCATGGCAACGCGAGTCCTCCCGCAGGCGTCGTGTTGACGCCGTCGTCCACGTGCCCTCGTCCGGCGCGACAGAGCATGGTCGTGTGCCGATATTGACTGACCATTGAGCTGAAGACACGACGCTTCTCCTGAAAACACGTTAACAAAGGGCAAAACCCATTGCCGCCAATGACTTACCGGCATCTTCAGGTTGCCCGTGTTGTCCGTGAGGCGCTCGATCCCGCGATAGAACTCGTACTGCGATATCTTGCTGACCGCGTTGAGCTTATGGAACAGCCGGAGGCACGAGATGGACGCCACTGTTTGCGGGTTCTTGACGCTCCCGGGCCACCAGCCGATCCGCATGAGTTGCTGACGATGTGTCGGTGCGCCGCGCCCGCAGCCGCAGAAGCGCACGCCAACGAGATGGATCCCGTTGACGTGGATGACGGTGAAATCGGAGTGTGCGGCGATAGGCTGCAAGCAGCGCTCGCGCGGGGGATGGCCGAGCTGCACGACCTGGCCCAACCGCTTGAGGGAAGTACGGCGGAAACAGCCTTGCGACGTGTCCCACTCCTGTTGTACTTGGATGAGTCGTGACCAGAGATAGCGAATGTTCGACACACCTCTAGCCAGTGCAGTGGCGTGAACTCGTGCGCATCGAGGATGCAGTCATGGCAATGTAGCCAATGACCTGTGCACTGGTCGCGACACCGGTAAACAGCATTGTCGGACCCGCAGCCGCGGCAGTGGGATTGTCCGCCCCTCCCTTCGAAGCGAAGTACCTCATCGAGGTATTCCGAGCGGAGCGAGGTCCATTCCGCTTCGCCTTCCGTCTGCAAGAAACGTTAGACGCGTCAGTGAGATGTGCATGCTACGTACCTGCTCGAAGGTAGGCTTCGGCTCGTTGATTACTTCTTGTGGGTCGCGATACGACTCAAAAAAGTGATCGCCTTGCTCGAATGTAAAATCGTTGTGCGGTACCGAAGTGGGAGTAGGCTCGGGAGGCGGCGGAGGCGGCGCGGCTGATGTTACGCGAGGTGCAGAGATGCGCGTAGTGGTCTTGCGTGCGCGGCGCAGGTCGCTCGCGCTCTCAAGGACCGTGGACCGATGCAGGCGGTGGCGGTAGACGTCGTCGTCGTCCGAGTTCTTGCGCTTCTTGTGAGAGCGACGGGGCTGTCCCGCGGCACTGCTCATCTTCGAGGAGTCCGTGGCGGCGCAATGCTAGCGACGCGAGGCGGCTGAAAATTTTGTCAATTTGAGGGCGCGTAAAGAGTACGTATTCGCGCAACATACCATCATGTCATGCGCGAGGTACTGCTGAACATGCTCCTAACGGGAGGGAGGGAGGCGAGTGCGCGGTCGGTCGTTGACGTGGCGGTTGGCTGACAATGAGCGTGGGGACGGGGCGGACAAGGCTCGGACTTCCTAATCCGGACATTATTCCCGTTTACACACATCTGCGGCCTGCCTCCCTCTTGTCGCGTTTGAGCCAGCCATATATAAAAGAGCCTTTGTACAGACATAGAAAGAGAACGTTGTATATCATCACGACACGTTAATTGAAGAAATCCTCGTCGACAAGATCAGGATATCCTGTCCAACCTCTGAAGGTCACGGCCTCGACTTCACCGTCTCGCGCAGCCTTCTCCCAAGCGCCGAGGGCATCAGACGCAGAGAAGTGTATCTCAGCGTAACCGATAGGAGGCGGCTCCCTCATCTTCAAGCCGGCCATGACGCTGCGAAAGTGTTGTCAAAATCAGTGCACACATCGTACTTGGGGGAACTCACTAAGAGCGATATACGCCAGGCTCGGCACCACGAATGACAACGTACCAACGCGGGGTCTCCAAGCGCTCGGAAAGTGGATGGTCGTCCGGCCTCGTGATCTCGGCTAGAGTGTAGTGCTGCGTAGGTGGCGAGTGGCGAGCGTAATCGGGACGCAGTCCGGGACCATAGGGTCTGTGTTCCAGAAATCGCACCAGATCGTGAGTTGTGGCATACTCATAAGCCACCTCAGCATCGTGAAGGCTCTCGTACTCTTGCACAACGCAGCCGGACTTGCCATTGCAGTGGGGATATCCAAACTCCTCCCTACGATCTAGATCAGTCAAGCCCAAAATCAAGAATCGATCTGAGTGTACTTGTCTTCACCCCACCAAACCCCTAGGCTCTGTCCTATAAAGCAGACAAAGGCAGTCTCGCCTGGATTCATCCGTCTATCAACGTGGCCGCCCGGACAAAAGGAAACGTCAGTATCTGCCTGTATCAGCTGAGATCAGTAGATGAACGCACCGATTGTCGTCGGCCACGCCCGTCCTCGACAAGCAAAGTTGATGCTCGTGTGAGATCGGAACCTCATCCCACTGGAGAGAAATCGTGAGGGGCTTGGGCGTTGTGTCGGGTTCACCCAATTCCTCCTGAAAGTACTGCTCTAATGACTGGCGGATTCCCTCCGTACGACGACGACGTTGGGCTTCTCGATCCGCGTGAGAACGGTAGGTTGCAGGAGACATGTTGTTCGGGCACAGACTGCACATTGTGGGGCTTTATATAGACCTAGATACTAAGGAAGACCTTCTTTGGGTCACATTGCCTGCTAAGTATCGAGAGATTCCTATGTATGAGCACCTCAGACGAGGAGAGGGAGGATATCACTTTCCGGGCCGGCACGCGCAAGTCACAGACCTGCGTGATTGTCACGCCGGCTTCATCCGTCCCCTCTCACCGTCATGGCTCAGCCGACGGACAACCCGTTCGCCGCTCGCCTAGGTCCAAATGCCGGGCGCGGTGTCAGTATCACTCTGCGTCCTCCAGGACAGCGTCGATTCTTCTATGCCACGTCGGCGTCTCCTTCAAAATCCTCACGCAATGCCCGGACGACCCGACCTTTGCCAGCGGGATGGCGAGTCTCCAAGTACGGGTACGTTCTGCGCCCCGGCGAGGTTGATTTCTTTGAAGAGGAGGATAAGGCCGAGGAAGCGAGGAGGAGGGCAAAGGAGAGAAGGCTTGTCCGCCTTGCCGAGGCGCGGGAACAGCGGGCTCGAGCGCGCGATGACAACGAGAGGCAGCGCTTATTGGTACGTCTTTCGTCTTTTAATTCAGATACGAGCTCACATGTGTTAGGACGAGCATTACCCGCTTCCGCCTGCTGAGGCTGCGCGGTATTGGGAGCCAGGAATCACCGAAGCCGAGCAGCACCGTCGCCTCGCTAACTGGCGCAAGCGCTATTTTCACATCGTGGTTCGCTTCCGCTGCGATCCTCAACTGTACGACCGGTACCGCCACCACTACCTACCCACGGAAGGCCTCCTCGACCCTATACACGACCGTGCTGAACTGGATAGACTTCGACGTACGTTATTTACTTGCGGTCAATCCACTACTGGCTTGTCTCGTCTAGCTCGTCTTCGTGCAGAAAGCCAATCTTCGTCTATTTGAAGAACTCGTACAAATAAGTACTGCTTTGCTTAGAATCAATCCTATCTTCTCTATAAGAACTTTTGGACAAATAGGCTGTTTTCTTCAGGTATGTTTACCCTTTCCTTCCTTTTCTGGTTTGTTTGGCCATGATTACATTATTCGATGATTTTCGACAGAAACTTCCCCAAACAATTGTGGACCCAAAGGTACGCGTCTTCCGCTTCTTGTCTCACGACCGCACGAACGCGCGCGTGATGCCTCCACGGAGCTGGGTCTGCGGAGAGAAGCTTGCGTACCTCTCTCGTCATCTGCATGAATTTGACGTTGCGGATGACCGGCCAGCGCTGTATCGCGAGCTTGCTCGTGGGATGCTGTGTCTCGCGGGCGAGAACGCGTTCGACCTCAACTTCCGGCTTCAGGACATTCCCGATGGCGGATACGACCCTACGCCAGAGGCAATCAACCAGACCATGAACACCGCTGGTTTGTCGGATGAGGAGGCTGAGCGGCGAGAGGAGATCCTCAAGGCGCTTGCTAAGGTACGTGATTACAACTGAGATTCGCATTCTCACGCTGACCCGGACTCATAGGATATTGGTGTATGGCTTCGACGCAAGGCTGAGCAGAGCAGGGACGCTGGCCCAGTCGACCTCGAGCGCATCGCCGCCGGGAATGCTGCCAAGAAGAAGAAGAAGAAGCACACTCGGACGCGCATCACCCACTTTTATTCGCGTCTCTACTACGACGAACGGGTCAAGGCGACGTTCGAGACGCGATACGAGCAGGAATTGGCCAAATGGCGCTCCGCCAAGCGATCCGCTCGGTCGAACGGCGTCCGGTTCAAGAAACCGAAGCCCAGCAGGCTCGCGTGGACCAACCGCGTCACCAACGAGTGTTGGGCAAAGGAGACCCCCGAGTTCCGCGAAGCAGTCGAGAAGATGCATGCCGATGAGCTGGCAAAGCAGGAGGCAGCAGCGCGCGACCTCGTCTCTGCCGCTATCCCGTCGACACCCGAGGAGTTTCATAAGTGAGTGACTCGTCTTCAGGCTTCATTCCTCCCTGCTCATGTTCAACCAGGCTCTATGACCGTGCGGCAGCCTATCTCCAGCCGGTATCCGATGCTATCGCGACGAAGTTCGGTGCCGCCGTCTGCATTCTTGTGTGTGCTCCCATTCCGGAGGACGAAGGTGATATCGGAGTGTTCAGGTACGCGTAATTCGCTTGACTTCTCGTGCTGTGCTGAACGTTGGACAGCGCTCACTCGGGTACATCGAAGGGATTCATTCAGCAGAAGTGGCCTAAGGCCGACAAGGAGAATTTCCGTCGTGTAGAGAAGTATATGATCGAGTTCGGGCAGAAAGTGTTCAGTACGTAGCCTGCAACCATAATAATACCTCTGATTGACCTCGGCTCAAGCTCTCGAAGAACGAAAGGCTCGCGCGCTTCCTCTGGACGGTAGCAAGAGCACTACTGCAGGCGAGCGTGCTGACGAAGACCATCAAGACGACCCTCTCGACGACCAGGAGGACGAGCACGCTGAGGAGCACGAGCGCCACGAGGAGCACAAGCAACACGACGAGGAGGATGTGGAAGACGAGGAGGATGAGGATGAAGATGACGATGAAGAGGACGCGGACAACGAGAATGAGGACGAGGAACATGAGGAGCACGAGCACGAGCGCGAGCGGGAGCACCACGAGCATCACGAAGAGGACGACGAGTTGCACGACGAGCAGGAGAACCGTGAGCATGAGGTCGACAATGATCGCCACGACGGTGAAGAGCAGGCCATCAACGCCACCGACGCTCATATGGACGACGATGAACCCACACACGACGCCATGCAGCAGGATGCACCAGCACCCTCAGCGCCGGCTGTTCCTCGTGCGGCCCAAGGCGCGCCATTGTTCCTGCACGTGTCGTCCCCCGCTCCGCCCTCCTCCCCTGCTCCCTCCTCCCCCATTCAGTCGCCCATGTTCGGCACAAACCAACTCATTTCCTCGCCGACGCGCTCCTCAAGTGGCCCTCGCGGCATATCCCCGATCATCCAATACAGCGTTCCCGCTGCGCCACGCCACGACACGCTCCCCCCTCTGCGCCAGGCTCTTCCAGCAGGAGAGCAGCAAAGTGCTTCGCCTGGCCATTCGCTCCCGCCAGTCCGTGGTGCACGCGTGCAGCCGCCTCGCGGGAAACCTCATCCACGGTCAGTCTCGGACGCCGCGCCTCATGCCCCTTCGCAGCCACGTCCAACGCAAGCGCATACCTCCGCCCCTGCAGCCGCCGGCGCTTCGTCCGCGAGTGTGTCCTCGCACCCTGAACACGAAGTGTGGTCACTGCATCCGACATCGGCATGGTCGGACCACGTCCGGAAGGCTTTCGAAGCCTGCGCTCGCGGGAAATCGTGGGGCACGTCGTTCGCAGACGCCGTTATGTCGTACATCGACTTCGAGGGCGCGCACAAGTTTCCCACCAAGACCACCGGGCGCAAGGTCATCAGCGACAAGGGCACGCGTCCCGCGGTATACTCCGCATGGACCAAGATAGGGCGCCCTTACTCGAATACGATGAATATCGGTGCCGTTGACCCCTATCGTGCAACCTGGTGGTCTTGGTGGTCGGCTCATATGCCCGCCGTGCGACGTCTCCCTGGTGGCAGCCTGCTGGACCCCGCACGTCTTGTGGATGTCATCCGGAGTTCTGACGACTGGGAGGGGCTCGACCAAGTCTTCGGGAAGGACGGCATGCTCCAGTTCTTGCTCACGTTGCTGTGGTGGGGCGACGCCGTACACGGCCGTGGCAACGCGAAGCAGCGCGCAGAGTGGGAAATTGCGTGTGCTGACTTCAGCGGGATCCTCGACGCCATCATCGTCACCACGGGACACAAGAAAGCCAATAGGTGCGTCTTCATTATCCCATCAATCTCGGCTTTTCTCTCATATAACCCAGAAAGAGAAAGGCTCCGGGGGACGACGCCGGCCCTTCGAAGAAGGCGCGGCAGTCACACGAGAAGCCATGCCCGCCTCGTCGCTCTTCACGCCACACCTCTGCACCCACGCCCTCGACTTCGAAAGTTCGTCGTCACTGATACCATGCACTCATTTCCCATACTATACGTTCCTTCTCATTAATCCCCCCTATATCTCCGTTGCTTAATCTCGCTATCACGTCTATATGCTTTGTCTTGCTCTTGTGCTTTCGTTGTTTATTGTCCTACCTCTTGCTTGCTGTTTTGCTTCACTGCTGTCAATATCTTTACATGTTGCTATACCTAATCCTCTACATCAATCTAATCTGTTTGCTTTCTCTTTGAGGGGTTTGGTAGTGACTTTGAATGGTCAAGGAGCTGAACTTCGTAACTTGTGGGTGCTGGTTTGATGTGGCGCTTGTTTGGGCTTATTTGTAGCTACGTGCGCTTGCCATCAGACACGCACCGCTTGCTGTTTCTTCCCACCATCATCGTCATGCGCCTCAAGCCAACACCCTCACCAACGTCGCCTGTCACAATCTCGCTCGCGCCGCCCTCAGTACTATGCTTTCTCTGCCGCCATCCATCTCTACTGGCTCGCACTACGCGCAGCATCTATCAACGTAGAGTTTTCAGCGCGCGCCGTTCGCATCTCGCTCGCCCATGGCACTCACCTACCCACCTCACTCGCACCTCGTCTCATACTACCCCGGCCACCCTGCAGCGCACCTCGCCTCACCCTACCTCGGCCACCCTGCATCGCACCTCGCCTCACCCTACCTCGGCCACCCTGCACGCTGGCCGCATCACCGCGCGTCAGATGCTGGTGCGGTCTCGCACGTCCAGTCACCCAATCGCGTGCGCTTGCAGTCGACGACCAGCCATGCGCTGTGCATAGTAGCCTATCGGCTGTCTATGCACGTCGTCGCGCATTCTGGCACGCCAGTTCCGGCGCGCGACGAGGAACGCGTGGCGCTGACGTGTCGACGAGGTCGGCAACTGCCGGTGCGCGGCAACCGCCGAGACCCGGTCGCGACCCGGCAACAGCCGCGAGCGTGCACCCGCGCCGTTCCGGTGTGTGCCCGGTTCGCTCGCGCTCGCACCCCGTCGCCGTCGTAGCGCGCTACGATGAGCATCGCGGGGAGGGGCTGTAGACGCGACGACGGCCGAGCAGCGATGAGCGAGCGTCGCCAGGGAGCGCGCATTGGTTGCGAGGGAGCGGCGGGCACGTGGAACGGTGACCGGCACCGATTGACGGCGAGCGCGGACCGTGGCGCAGCGTCGAGCGACGCACCGCGCGTCGAGGGGGGTCGCGGACGAGCAGCGGCGGCGGGGGCACCGCCCAGGTAGGGCGTGGGAGGATCGGGAGGCGGGAGGCGGGCCACGTGATGCCGCCGCGTCGGGTGCGCGCGCGTCGGGATCGCGAGGGCGCGCGACGACGGCGACCGACGGGTCGGCCGACGCCGACGACGGTGGCGACGGTGCTCGGCTATTGCCGATAGGCTTATAGTGTACTTGTAGTCGTAGTGGTTTGTTGCAACCGATGTTGCAACAAATCGTTGTAGTTAGTGTCTTAAGAAAAGTGGGGATTGTTGCAACACGGTGCCCTATAATGATAGGGTGTGTTGCAACATAGGTCCTGCCAGAGGTGCCGATCGAGCTGCTCCAGCACGTCCCGCATCGTAGCCACCTCCACGCGTACAGTGCTGTACAGCTCACGACCAATTCCAGCCACAGTACGGAAGCCCTCGAGGGCACGGCGACGGCACGCGGGATGAGGGCATGCAGGAAAGACGTGGTTCTCGCAGTCCGCGTTCGGCTCCCTGGGAGACCGAGTGCAGGTCGGACACTCGTCCCGCACGCAGGTACCGCATATGTAGTGATTGCACGGTTCACCGCGACCCCAGGCCAACCGGCCGCAAGGGCAACGTTGCGTGGCCTGGTAGGCTTCGAGCTACAGACCGTGAGCGGACGTGCAGATGAAAGAGAGTCAAAGCGTACGATGTGCTGCAGACCAAAGCGGACTCTGCGTCCAAGAATACGAACGACTTCCAGAGTAGATTGAAGATCCTAATACGCTATCAGCAACGTCCACCAATAGAGTGAGTACTGACCAAAGAGGATGACATGGCGTTGTTGGAGAGGATTCGCACCGCCGCGCTCCTTATATATTGCAAGTACCACATCCGAAAGCTTGAGACACCGCGGTCCGATGATAGCCAACAAGTTCTGGTAAGCGGCGCCAAGGAAGAAACGGTTGAACTTGCAAGTACACAAATATGCTTGCACTTTCTCTCGCACGTCGGACCAGGTTCGCGCAAACACCGCAAGACATGCAAAAGAGGGTACAGCCAGGCACTCTATAAGCGTAAAGAAAGGCACACGGCTTCGTATCGTAATCGTCAGCCAATGCGAGTGCAGACGCGTGTCACCCGCAAGTAGACATATACCTGCCTTCGCGCACACGACGAGAGACCGTTGCACGATAAGCATACGATGCATGCATGCGAGACAGGTGGGATGATGCTTGAAAGGAAACGCGCAGACCAGACGACGCCACTCATGCGCGAAGCGCGGTACACGTGGTAGTGGTAATGGCAAAGGCTTACATACGACAAGTACCCGTAAAGAAGAGCGTCCAAAGTTAGACTTACCTGGAGTAGAGGACCCACCACCGACATAAGGACATGCTTCATCGGTCAGTACATCTGATGCAAACTCTAAGAACCGACCAGCAAGGCCAACGCAGTGGACGCGGGCATCGCGTCCCCTGGCATCCGACGCGATTTCAAGACGTGTATAATGGACGCCCACTTGTACCTTTCAACGTGATCTACTTTACCGCTTACACGACTCCACCAAGCGTCCTGTACGCTTCTTCCTAGGTCAAGCCCTTATTTGCACAATCCCATTTCATCCTCTCCTTCTCTCCCGGGTTCCTGTCCAGTCTTTTCGTACTGCAAGCACTTAAGAGACCCCGCCACGCGTGGAAGTTCCTTTTCGTACCGTCGATCAAGCGAGACATGCTCCAGAGCTTTTGAGACCATCCGAACATTCTTTATAGGGGTACGGCTCCTTCTTTCCCACCATGATCATCTGTCCACGCCTCCCACTTGAACTCCTTTACTTAGTCGTTCACAAGAGCGACAGGCGTACGCTCGCAGTGCTCTTGCGGACCTCAAGAGCGCTTTCTCGTGAGGCGAAGCCGTTGTTCTTTGCGAGCATTTCCATCGCATCGACAGCGACGCTCGCCTCCCTCCTGCGAGCGCATGCCCATGGCCGACTGCAACCATCATGGCCTCGTCGACTCCATCTCATTTATCCCCCAGCTCAGCTTCCCTCGTTTGCCAACGTGACAAGCGTTCGGTGGACTTTCTCCCCCTTCAATGCCCGCACCTTTCTGCCTTATACGCTCCGAGACGCCTTGTCCTCTTTTCCATCACTCGTCGCATTAGCTCTTCACGAAGGTCCACGCACCTCGCACGAGCTCAGCGTCGTGCTCTCTCTAGTCGCACGTACACTACAAACGCTAGAGCTGGCCTTCTGCGCGTCCTTCGCTGTCAGCCCATCGACAATTGCGGTGCAGTTTCCTGCATTGCGCGACCTTCTCTTTGCAGATGGACACGCTTGTGATCTTGGCGCACTTTTCATGATGTTCGGAGCAATTCCTCCCATTGAGGTCCTTCGCATACCGGCCTTTTGCTCCTGGGAAACACTGCGAGACATTCTGCGGCTAGTCGCGCCTACTCTCCGCACTCTCGACGTCGACGTTATGACGTTGGTAGAGATGTACAGTGAGTGCCCATCATCGTCCTTGATGTACGCTGAATTTGAACAGCATTCTTGTCCGTTCCCGCAATGACGCGTCTGCTTTCTGTCCGGTTTGAGGTGCGCCACCCTTGGGACGACTCCCGACGCGAGCTGTCATTTGTTCAAGACTTCATGTTGATTTTGAGGGCCACCCAAGAACGCACCTTCCCGGCGTTGACTACGATCGACTTGCATGTCTACGCGAAATCGTGCCCTACCATCATGCTCTGTAGCGAACATGTATGCGCCTTGTTCTGCGAAGGGGATGGACCGTCGGATGTGGATTGGTCAAGGTGGTGCCGCCTCGCTTTAGGAAGCACCCTCCGGCTTAACATCTTCATATACTCGCCTGAGGTAGAATCAAATCGCTTGCGCTCCGCAGTCTTGAACCAGTTGTCCTTCTTAGGTTCGCGGCTGAACATACATATATACGACATGTAAATGATACGTCTGAATCCCACTGTCCAGTCATGTCCACTCCAACGTACAACAAAGGTCAGGCATCATCTCCTTCCGCGCCCTGCGCGACTCCTCCGTCCTCCACTACCTATCACGCAAGAGCTCTTTGTAATTCACGTTCAGCAACTGACTACATTTAACTGTATGAAGCGGGACGGAAAATCCAGAGATGTAGAGACAGAACCCCAATGAGGTCCACTATGGAAGGCTAGTGTCCAGCTGCATTAAGTACGCCATTGACGGACACGGAGGTTCCCACGTAATCCGTACAACGCAACCAATCACCAAGACATGGTACCTCACGGCAGTAACAGACCCACGCTGTGCTATGCTGCTTATTGTCCAGGTGTAGCCCGTTTGTCCGAAGCACGACTCGCAAAACAGCAGGCCATACGTGTCCTGGTGGCGTCCATGTAAACAGCAATAATGACATGATTATTGTACGGAAGACTGAATGACATGCGAAGGGTCGCCACGTGTACATGCATGGTCTAATATCCGGCAATCGCCGAGTAAAAATTTCGAGATGAAGCGAGAAAACCCCGAGCAAGGTGGCGACGTGAAGAAGGACAGGGTATGAAGGGTACATGTTGTGTGGTCTAAATGACAGCGAGTTCGTTGCGTAGAGTGGAAGAGGTAGGCGTCGGTAGGTTAGGATTAAGGGTACGTGATGGGATGGGAGGACATGAACATGTGCAACCCATGCGAAGGGCGCGCCGGACGAAGTCGGAGCATCGGAAGATATCAAGCAACGATACAAGTTGATCGATATCCCCGACGCCCAACCGACGACGTTGAACGGATGGCGCAAATACGAGCGCGTCTAAGCACGATCAGCAAAGGACGAAGACGACGACCCGTACGCGCAAGCGCAAGCAAAATTGGAAGGACATACTGAGATGTGCAATACAGAAAGAGGAGAGAAGAGGCACTGCGGACAGAAGAAGAACGCGAGCACGTACAATGAGGGAGGAGGCAAGAACAGCAGCGTGAGACGATGAAGGGTGACACGTGACAAAAAGTGACTATGACGACGCAGGAGCGGAGCATCGGCCGAATCGGATCAATTCCCGTTCACCCGAAAGTCGTTCTGAAAAATCTCCGCAAACGATACCACAAGAAACGGTGAGATAGTAACTTTGAGTCACTACCCCACCAACTTTGGAGTTCGTCACGTGCTTCACACGGGAATTGCCGCGGAGTAGCCGACGAGCTCCGAATTCAGCTGGAAATCCAGTGTTTTGTTTTCGACCGCCATGTTGCAGCTTGCACGAACTGTGAGCAGACCGTCGACGATGCAGACGCAGGGAACTGACGGACGACGCAGCGGGCACCCGCACTCATTCGTCGCGTACCGCGTCAGGCGTGCGCGTTCCCGCCTCTGCGCGGGTACGCCTCAGCCGCGGACCCATATGATGTCGTGGTCATTGGCGGAGGTGCGTTAGTCACATTGAGGGAGTGGGGAGGGTCGCTGAGCTCTTTGCAGGCCCGGGAGGCTACGTCGCAGCCATCAAGTCTGCACAGCTGGGGCTGAAGGTGCGCGATCACGCAGTCTGAGCGCGAAAGTCATGTCTGACACATTATGCAGACGGCCTGTATCGAGAAGCGCGGCGCGCTTGGCGGCACCTGCCTGAACGTCGGCTGCATCCCCTCAAAATCCCTCCTCAACAACTCGCACATGTACCACCAGGCGCAGCACGACATGGAGCGCCGCGGGATCGACAGTGCGCATACTTGCATTTCATTACCAAGCACCTTGCTAACCCCCCACACAGTCCAGGGCGTCAGCCTCAACCTCGGCAACCTGATGAAGGCGAAGGACGCGAGCGTCACCGGCCTCACGAAGGGCATCGAGTTCCTCTTCAAGCAGAACGGCGTCGAGTACATCAAGGGCGCCGGCTCCTTCGTCTCCCCCACGCAGATCAAGGTCGCGCTGAACGAGGGCGGCGAGACCGAGGTCGGCGCGAAGAACGTCATCATCGCGACGGGCTCGGAGGTCGCGCCCTTCCCGGGCGGCTCGATCACGATTGACGAGGAGCAGATCGTGAGCTCGACGGGCGCGCTTGCGCTGAAGGAGGTCCCCCAGAAGATGGTTGTCATCGGCGGCGGTGTCATTGGGCTTGAGCTCGGCAGTGTCTGGAGCCGGCTCGGCGCGGAGGTCACTGTCGTCGAGTTCCTCGGCGGTATTGGCGGCGCGGGCATCGACGAGGAGGTTGCGTGAGTGGGTTTGGAAGATGAGACGTACGTAGTGGCTGACCGTTTGCTTAGCAAGCAGTTCCAGCGCCTGCTCGCAAAGCAGGGCTTGAAGTTCAAGCTGAACACGAAGGTGACATCCGCGGAGAAGAAGGATGGCAAGGTGGTCCTCGCCATCGAGGGCGCGAAGGACGGCAAGTCAGATTCGGTGAGTAGCAACGTGATAGTAAATCATGGCACTTTGGCTCACTCCCTCGTCAGCTCGACGCCGATGTCGTCCTCGTTGCTGTCGGTCGCCGACCATACACCCAGGGTCTCAACTTGGAGGCTATCGGTCTTGAGACCGACAACAAGGGCCGCATCGTCATCGACTCGCAATTCAACACCTCCGTCCCCAACATCAAGTGCATCGGCGACGTCACCTTCGGCCCCATGCTCGCGCACAAGGCCGAGGAGGAGGGCATCGCCGCCGTCGAGTACATCAAGGCCGGCCACGGCCACGTCGACTACGCCGCGATTCCCGCCGTCGTGTACACGCACCCCGAGGTCGCGTGGGTCGGCAAGACGGAGCAGGACCTGAAGGCGGAGGGCGTGAAGTATTCGGTCGGCAAGTTCAACTACACGGCGAACTCGCGCGCGAAGACGAACCTGGACACGGACGGGTTCGTGAAGATCCTGACGGAGAAGGAGACGGACCGCATCCTGGGCGTGCACATCATCGGCCCGAACGCGGGCGAGCAGATCGCGGAGGGTGTGCTCGCGATGGAGTATGGCGCGAGCTCGGAGGATGTGGCGAGGACATGCCATGCGCACGTGAGTTGACTCTCCTCCCTATGTTCTCTGCGTTTGTTGGTTGTGAATGGATTCACTGACGCTCTTTCTCAGCCGACGCTCAGCGAGGCCTTCAAGGAGGCCTGCATGGCGGCCCACGCCAAGGCGATCCACCAGTAATGGGTTACTTCGGTACGACTGCGCCCCCTTACACTAGCAGTAATGTCACTTTTTGTATCTAGAGTATCGTACGCATGAGCTGCATGGCCGCACTAGTTGTCAAGCTGGTCGAGTGCATCAATGGGCGCCTTGCTGTCGCGCCTGACCACGGTGGCCCTCAAAGTGCGGTCAGCCACGTGATCACATGGTTCAGACTTCCCCGTGGGGTGGGGCAGCACTTTGTCTTGGTTCTGATCTTCGCCACGGATTGCTGAGGGTGAAGGACACGTAACGACTCATTGCTGACCTTCGCACTCACCTTCGCAACCTCTCCTGACCACTCTGAGAGCACCATGTTCGTGCCCCATCGCCTGAGCTTACGATCGGTACCCATCAGGGTTAGCGGGTCAGCAAGGGCAAATGCTCGCCTCCATAAATCAATTCACGCCCGACATCTGCAGCTCTCAGCCGTCGAGGGACCTCTAGAGCCTCCTCTCGACTACCGCACCCTCCCCATATACTTCCAGCAAGAGATACTCGCGAAACACAGCACGCGGCCCGCTCTGGTATGCAGGCAGGAGCGCCCGCGCGCGCATGCGGGTCCGCCCTCGCCCAACCTGGGCGTCTCAGCGCATCTTGCCTGGGACTTCGAGGAGTTCGATCGTCACATCAAGGCGCTCGCTAGAGGACTGCTGGAGCTGGGCGTGAAGCCCGGCGAACGTGTTGCGGTCATCATGGGGAATAATAGGTCGGTCCTTCGTTACATAAATGTTAGCTGGAGGTGCAGTTTCTTAACTTGGGTCCGTAGCGCGTACGCGATGCTTCAGTGGGCTTGTGCGAGTATTGGGGCGATCCTGGTGACTATAAACCCTGCGTATAGGATAAATGAACTCGTATGTGGATTTCGCATCAATTGACCGTGCTAGTGAATGAACCCACTCTCACTCACTCGCCCCAGATACAAACCCTCAGCGCCGTCGGCGTCAAGCACCTCATCTGCGTGCCACGTATCCGGTCCTCAGCCTACCTCGCCTTGCTCGCCGACGCCGCCCCCGGCATACGCAACTCGCCGCCCGGCGAAATAAGCGACCCGAAGCTCCCGGAGCTGCGTAATATCTTCGTGATGGACAATGGGAACGAGTATAGGACGGAGGTAGAGAAGTTGGAAATCCGGAGTCTGGTGGACTGGAGGGAGATATTGTTGTGGAGGGAGGATACGAGGGAGGAGAAGGCGAGGCGTGTTTTGGAGGGGTCGATGGGGAAGGACGACGTGATTAATCTGCAGTTTACGAGGTGAGCGACGCGGTGTAGGGTCATGGACGCGTCCGCTGACCGCGACAAGTGGCACGACGGGTTTGCCCAAAGCTGTCTCGGTGAGTGGGTTGGTACACTCAAGATTGACCTCGGACTAAACCAATAGTAGTTAACTCACCATAACCTCCTCAACAACGGAGTATCCGTCGGCCAATGCATGCGCCTGACCGACAAAGACATCCTATGTACGCTTGTGCTCATGAAAGAATCATTGCAAGTCGCACTAATCTCTGTACACAGGCAACGTACCACCATTATTCCACTGCTTTGATGAGTATCATTTCCCTCAGACCCGTTCTCTGGCGCTTATTTTTCACGCCGCCATCACGCCTCGTCCTCGGCAACCTAGCAGCCTGGACGCACGGCGCCAGCATAGTTTACCCATCGCCCGTATTCGACCCACCGGCGATCGTCGACGCAGTCATAGAAGAAAGCTGCACTGCTCTCCACGGCGTGCCTACGCATTTCCTCGGCGTGCTCTCCGAGGTGGACAAGCGCAGGCATGCCGGCGAGAGGGTCGATCTCAGCTATCTGAGGTACGCCGATGGCTCGGTTGACACTGGGCTGTTAAGCTATAAAGCAGAATTAGATGACTAACGATCGTTCAGAACAGGCATCGCCGCGGGCTCTTCTATCCCCATCGACCTCATGAAGCGCCTCATCGAGCACATGAACCTGCGCGAGCTGACGAATGCGTATGGGATGAGTGAGTTAGGCATCATGCTAGTTTATTTGTTGTGATTGACACCGAGGGTTCACTAGCGGAGACAAGCCCTGTCTCATTCCAGACGGTGCCGGAAGACCCTATCATCAAGCGGGTAGAGACAGTCGGGCGCGTTCAGCCGCACGTAAAGGCGAAGATTGTCGACGGGGATGGCAATGTGGTGCCGGTGGGCTCTGCAGGCCAACTGCTCGTCGCAGGGTATCTACTGCAGAAAGGGTCGGCTACTATGTCGGTTTCGCAGGAGGATACGCGCTGAGATCTGGCAGGTACTGGAACGACGACGCGCAGACCCAAGCTGTGATGAAGGAAGACGACAACGGCACGCTCTGGATGCACACGGGCGACGAGGGCATTATGGATGAGGATGGGTATTTGCGAAGTATGTGCCCTTCCCAGCTTTCGTTTCCTGCGGTACTCACCCTCGTTCAGTCGTCGGCCGCATAAAAGACATTATTATCCGAGGCGGCGAGGTGCGTCCTTGCAGGCTACAAATAATGACTTTGGGAGCGCTAATTATCCCTCCTTGCCGCTTCGCAGAACCTCTTCCCAGTCCAGATTGAAAACGCACTCACGGACCACCCGGGCATCCGCGAGGCTGCTGCCATCGCTGTGCCCGACATGAAGTATGGCGAGGTCGTTGGCACGTGGATCGCCCGCGAGCCCGGGACGGACGTATCGCGCGCGGAGGTCAGGCGAGCAGTCGCGGACGCGATGAACCCGCAGGTCAGTGATGACTCGTCGAGATATGCACTCGTGTATGAAGACGTACGATTGTGTATGTTGACGTCTGTTTTTCTAGAACGCGCCGGCGTGGGTGTGGTTCTTGGGTGAGGAGGGTGTCATGGATGAGCTCCCCAAGACCGCGAGCGGCAAGGTACAAAAGCATGTATTGAGGAGCTGGAGCAAGCCCTTGGTGGAAAAGAAAGTAGGGCAGGTATAGCGGTGGTCTACCAACACTACTTGCGCCCTCAGTCCGAAGAGTCGTGTCGCCGCTCATCTTTGCAAGTTTTGTCCCCCCATTTATCGCCATCGGTAGAACAGAAGATTCCCGGCCCCGACCGAAGCTGTCTCATGATCCCAGCAGTTCGAATGCCACTACGCAGTTCTTCTGTGACTCTGCTAGTGGGAGCACCAGATGTATCGAGCGTTACGCTTTCCCGCATCCCAACGGGCTTCGGCTGCCAAACCGCCCGAGAGCTGAAACGGTTTATGAAGTGCGGCGGCCTCTTGACCCTGTCGTGCTGTATACGCAACTCCCGAAGCGGGACGCCTGCTCGGGCGCGGCTCACAACGACGTCCCACACAGCGTCAGCGGTAAAGTCCTCGTACGCGATGGACAAGTGCACCTCTAACGCCGGGCAGGGCAGTGTCCCGGCGGAATCCTGCGGAAGGACCAGCGCCTCTAAGAAGGATTCTGCGCCCCGCGCTTCCAGGCAGTATATGTCGATGGTCTGTATCCTGGGCATGCTCGACAGCATGCGTGCCAATCCCGCGGGTGTCGTGCTTGGCCGACATCCCAGCAAAAGTACAAGCCGCGAATGGGAACTGATAGTCTCAACGAGGCGCTCGAATTTGAGGTGATAGTCTCCGTTTATGGCAATGGTTCCGGGCCTGACCCAGAGGTTCCCGGGTCGAGGGTCTATCGTACTGAGTTGCAACGTATGAATTGGCTGCATTAGGGGGGCACATCGCCCAGCGGGCGGAAGCAGCAAGGGGAGGGCTCTACACTCAGCCCGCCAAAGTAAGCCTTTCATCCACACTCTGCATGTCTCCGGTACGTCGAGGCGCGAGAGGAACGGGGTCGGGTCGATCACTTCTGACAATTGCAGCTTTCGCAGATGAGGCAGGGATATGACTTGAGGAGGCAGGTATGATTTTGGTCTAGTAGTCTGGTCACCGTCCACGATGCTGCACTTCGCCAAGAGCAGCGCCTCGAGCTGGGGCGATCGTTGTAGCAGATGCCAAAACTGATGCAAATCGTCGCGGGATACGGTTTCTATAGAGCACACCGCGAGATGAGTGAGACCCGAGAAACTGGTGAATTGCGAGTAAGCGCAGTGCCTAACTGCAAGCTTGCGCACATTATGCAGCTGCGCAGCGAAGAGGTCAGGGTCGGTCGTTGAGCATTTCTGTGTGACGGAATCGCAGGACTGTAGAAAGAGGGAAAGGCTTTGTAGAGTGGACGTCTTGCCTCCGAGAAGGCCGTACACATGCTCAAAGTCTACCCAGCTCGCGACGCTGACGTGTAGGGTGGCGAGACGATCGACGTGATTGGATCCAATCTGCGCGAAGACCGCGATATCGTCGGGAGAGCACCCGAGTTCCGTGGAATAGAGGAACACCGTGAGTGGAGCCTTCCGCGATCGCTCGAGAAACGTTCGCCCTACGTCGGTCGGGCGGTTGTAGCACAGGTCAATAGTGGACCAGAGTGTCGGGGAGGATGTCGCGATGGCCCTCCACCGCGAGCAGATCCATGTCACAGTGATCCACTCCAGCGAGTTGCGCGTCGGCCATTTAGGCATGAAATCGTCGTGGACCGGGTGGCAGTGAAAGAAGATGCGTTCTATGATCTCGGGAGGTAGTACGTCGATGGGCGCACGACCTGTGCATGCATCTTTGGCGGTGGGGAGGTCCTTTTCCATGTCCTCGTTTGTTGTCGTGCTCTGTTCTTCCAAGTCAGTTCCGACTGGAAAAAAATAGTTGCAAAACGCACCTCTCGACTACAATGCCCGCTCCTCACGCCTGTATGCATCTGTACGCCGGCTTTCAACAATTTTGGAGGATCCGCAAGACCAGAGGCCATGATCGTTGGTGGGAAGCAACAAGTGCGTTTCAACCACGCCCTACACTCGTGGAGGACGCAAGGATGCTGCCGCGCCGTCATCGGCCCTGCATGACTGCCTGGTGAGCGCAGATTATCAGTTCATTACCACCGGAAAACAGTGAATCTGCTCACCACGACAACAGCGACCCATAGAAATACACATACCGAGCCGACGGTAGCAACGATCCCAAACATCTTGAGGTCCCCATACTTCAAACAGTATTTGCCACGCATATGATAATAATTACAGCGTACGATGCCAGCATTTTGAAAGAGAGGTCCAGTGAAATATTATGCGTATCATGATTCACAGAAAAGAATTACCTGGAGCCAATCCATCCCATAGGCTGTCGAAATCCGATGCTTAGCGCAATCCATCGTTATCCAGGTTCGTCGCAAACCTCCCCTCCCCATATCCACCGCCTCGGCTATGCCCAGACTGGGGCCGCTCGTCCGCGCCGCCATACGCTCCAATATAGTCGAAGTCCTCATCCTCCCCACCGCCAGACACGGGCGGAATCTGCGGCGCATCGCCGCCCTGGCTCACCGACCGACCACCGAAGGACGATGGCGGCGCAACCGTCGCGCTGGGGTTCCGCTTCTTCAAGTGCAGCGGGCTAGTATCCGCCACCGCGCCCCCTTGACCGCCGCTGCCCTCGACCGTCGGGCCCCTCGGCCTGCGGAACGCCGCCGCCGAGATGGTACGCGCACCGCCTGGCGTCGGCGGCGCCCCCGACGCCGCAGACGCGAGCGACGAGTTCGACCGCGCGGAGCTGAGGTCGCGCTTGAACTCGGGCGCGGTGCGGAAGCTCGCAAGCGGCGAGCTCGGGCGGCCAGGCTCGCTCGGAAAGCTTGGACGCGGCAGCGGGGATGTTGACGAGAGGGGCGACGCCAGGGGCGAGGGCGACATGGGCGCCGGTGCGGGGGAAGCGAGCGGAGACGGGGACGTAACGCGCGGGGAGCCTGGCAGCGTCTGGCTCGGCATCGACCTCGGCGACGCAGGGATGGGTTCCTCAGTGAGCGTCGGGCGCGGAACCTCATCCGTAGACAGGGAGAGCGACTCCCGCTGCGAGTGAGCGTAAGTTTGCGCAGGCGTATACGTGGGCGGCGCATCCACGGGCGAATGGGGCGCGGCGTCCAAGCTCGCGCTCGCGCGTCTGCCCGCTACACTATACGCGCTCTTGTCCATGCTAGCCCGACGACTTCCGGGCCCGTTGCTGTCTCCTGAGGTGCGAAGCGGCGCCGGTGGCACACAGGGTGATGCAGTCGAGAGCGGTGCGACGGGAGGTAGCTGAGGCACGTCCGACGCCAAGGAGACGGACGCGTCAGATGGCGGCGGGCTGAAGTGCAGCGCGTTCAGCTCGCGCTCAACCTCACGAGCTGCTGCCGCGTTCAGCATCGCCTCTTCATCCGCGGGATGCAGCGGCGGTGGCGGTACACGTTTGGGCGAATTCGACACCGGAGGGGCGGCGTCACTGCGCGGGTCATGCAAAGCTGCAGGCAAGTCAGTTGATAGGAATGGATCGAGTCTAGCGAGAGTACGCACAGGACCGCACCCCACTATCCATATCCGTCGTCGCGCCATCGAACTTGACATGATCTCTGTGATCAGGCTCATCGTCGCTCGCCATGTACGCCAGGCCCGCATTACTCGACACCGACGAGATCGTGTGCTGGTGCCCGGACGGCATATCCTGCCAAGGGTTGCCTAGACTCTGATCATTCGCGGCACCAGCTCCTGGGCCTCCACCAGTTGGCGGATACGGCGCCATTGCACCCGGAGGCATGTATCCGGATGGCCGCGTGAGGTCGCTGCTCCTACGCTCCGCAGTGTTTAAAGCCTCAGTGACGCTCGCGGCGAACGAGGAATTATCGTCCTCGGTGTTCAGACGCGGCGGGCCCTGCAAGAAGCCACCTGGCTGCATTGGTGGAACGTCCCCGCCCGCACCTCGCGCAGGCATCGTGCTGTATCGCGGCCCCTGGAACGATTCGCGAGGTCCTTGAGGGCCGGTGCGCACACCGAAGTCGTCGACGGCGCGTGGAGGCCCATCCTGGTGCTCCAGGTGCGCGGACGGAAAGCCTGGCGGGGGACCGTCGGGTGGGCGGTACCCGCCGGCTGGAGGCGACCATGGCGACGGGGGCGGGTATGACGCGGTAGGGGATGACGCAGCGGATGGGGTCGCCGAGTCGAGGAAGTGACCGCCTACGGCCGGCGGCGGGAGGAGCTCGGACATGTTGCGCGCGGGCTGCCCTTCAATAGTAGTGGAGATTTGTATATTCGCGAGAGCACGCAAAGCGTCGTTGATGTGGCGCTCGACTTGCTGGTGGCCATGGTACATGGGGCGCGGGTATCCTGGCTGCGTGGTTGTCTCTGGGATTTCCTGGACGCATGATAAGCAGAAGTTACAAGAGGGAAAAGAGGGGGACGCACAGCGACAATCCTCTTCCCGAAATCGCCTGCAATCTATGAGAAGTATGAGCCTACTGCGAAGCATGAGCAAAGGATCGACGCACCGCCCCCCTCTCGCAGCACTCCTGCAGGCCGCCAAACTTAAGCGCCATCCACGCCTTGCAGAGCGTCCGCTTCGCGTCACCGAGCTCGGCCTCATCGCGCATGATGTCAAAGTCCATGCCGCGGATCTCGTCGCGCAAGCGGTTGAGCTGCTCGGTCTGCATCGCGAGGTTCTTGTGCTCCGGTCCCATCTTGTTCAGCTTCTTCTCAGCGCTGTCCGCGCGCGAGACGACGGCCTTGCGGCGGCGCTTGAGGTCGTCGAGGGCCTCCTCCTTGGTGCGGATGGACTTCATGTGATCGCGGATCGCGTGCTCGTGCGACGCATACTGGGAGAGACCACCAGAGAAGTGCGAGAGGAGGTTCGTAGATGCGCCGAGGACGTCCTGCGATGGATGAACACCGATGCAGATTAAGGGGGACGCGTAGACGTACCGACAGATCCTCCCCCTCCGTCGCGCCCCAGTTTCGCAGTGCTTCCGCCGCTTTGTTAATGTCCACGCTCAGCTTCTGTAGCCTTGTTGCACTATGAGTTCCAAGTACACGAGAAGAAGGGGGACAGACGTACGAGATCAGGACAGACTTCTCGGCGTGAATTAGATCTTGCAGTGGACGTAAGTCCTTGTTTCCTGCGAGAGCAGGAATCGTGGCGTTGTGGGCAATCTTCGTAGCTGCATTTCGGAACATCTGTACAGGATACTAAGGAGCGGAGATGCAGATGGCGGTTAGAAACAAGTCTTGCATTCCCCTGCGCGCGACTGCGCCGCTGTGACGTGACTTATCACGTGATGTACTGCCTCAGAATTTACGGAGTTCAAGTTGAACTTCCTCTTCTCTGCCCATCATGGTGCTCCGTAAGGTGCCCCATGGCAGAACCCTCGGTACTGCTTATTGCACTGTCAGTGTTAGTGACGAACGAATGCCTTGCGTTGCTGTGAAGTTCGAATTGTGCTCAAGCATGCAAGCAGTCATGTCAACGCGGTAGATGTTTCTCGGATTACTGAACAAAAATATATCGCAAATGAAACTCTCTGCCTTAGTGACGATGATCATACAGGTACCAAGCAAGTATCTATCATGCAACACCAGAAGCGGGCGGGAACCAGCTATGCGTATTGCACGAGTACGCAGCGCGTAGGAAGACCTTTGCCGTTCTTCATCGACGGTCATGAGCACTGTACTCCCTGAAGACACAGCAGCGTCAGATCCTGCCTCGCAGGCGACCTCAGACGAGGTGCATACTTTATTCACATTGTTCAAGCTAATCTGACGACGACTCCCAGCAGGCCACGATGCCACTAGAGCACACGCGCTCCGAAGCCATCCCGCCCGCACTTGAGCACAACTAAAGCGCTCATGCACCTATCGAGAAACTACCCCCGGAGATCATGCAGTGCAATATTCTCCTCTGGCTACCCTTTTACCTTGACTTTCTGCCTACATGGCGGACGCGCAAGTCATCGAGGTGAATCTCTGTAGCGCGCCTCAGGGTGGAGGTTGATCGCGACGTTGTATTCTGTGCTCTTGTACACCATCGAACTGGGCTACAATTGCCCCGCCGACTTTGTTCGTACGGATGTTCTTCGAACGAACCCTCACGGTCTTCCTATACTCGAATTATCGCAGATACTCTCACAACGACATCTTCGTGCTTCAGGATATCGGAGCTCACCACAGCGATCGCCTCATCCCACTTCGTGTTGACGTCGCATCTTGGCGAGATTTCGTCTGCACCTCGTCAACGGAAGGACGTCCAGCTACACCTTGCAAGGTCTTTACTTCTTACATCGCTTCGACCACATCGTCGTGTGTAAAGTCTACCCAAAGATCGGGCTTAACTTATTTGCTGTCCAGCTGTCGAGCGTGCGGGAGCTTACCCCTCGACAAGCCAAGCACTGGCAACTCGACACCCTCTCGCACCTCACTCACCTTGCGTTGCGCACCGAAGCATTGTTACCCACGGACGAAACCAGCCATTTTCCGGCATCTGCTACGGCTATCACCCGAGCGCGAAAAGCTGGTAGTGGCAAGTTGCGGCCGCTATACACTGCACATTTAAGATGCTGCTAAAGGGCGTGGCTCAGGCCGAATGGACCGCGGATACTCAAGTTCAACAGTGAGAACCAACTGCGAAGCTCGAGAGCCGGCGTCTGAAAGCTCGAGTACCGGCGTCTGCCGGAGCTCGGCCAATGCCGGCGTTTTTCCGACCCCGGATTCGTGGCTTTTGGGACACTTCCAACGCGGTAGAATATAATGGACCTGTGTGCTCGGAAGGAGCCAGTCTCCTGAGGTGACATTCAACCAGGGAGGCAAACGGTGGCCGGGTGGCCACCAAAAAAGGAAGTTTAAGCCAAAAATTGCCGCTTTGGGAAGGATCTCCGACCTGCGACCTAGGCAACGCAACCCAGGGGTTGAGACGTGGGACGGTTGCGCACATGCATATAGGTACAGTATGCGCTTATAAATCTACTGACCCTACAATCAACGGTAGCTCTCAAATGACGAATGGAGACCACGAAGATATACGTGCTGTCAGCCTTGATTCGAACCGCCGACCTGGGCATCACGATCAACATAAAAATGAATCAAACCTGTTCATTCCTGTCGACGGTAATGCAGATGATTAGGAATAAATTCATTCTACACCGAGCGGCAGTGAGAGGGGCCAATGAGCCAGAGTTGTGACTGCAGAGGTCGAGACCGTACTTGCGGTTGAACGAAGACGATGCAAGAGGACGGAAGAGAAGAAATATGTGGCGAGGGGGCTAGCGCTCGGCAGATCGGCTGGACGGCAGACCACGAGGATGCCCATGTCTATATCCGGCAAACGGGACTGTCATTTAGTAAAGAGAGCCATGTCAGAGACCGTCTTCACAGAGGTAAGAGTTGAACGTTCAAGAACACAGGAGGCCGAGGCTCCTCGTGCTGGCAGATCAGAGAGCCCGGGACTCAATACGCGTCCGAATCGGAGACGCGCTGCCACCGTGGGGCGAGTGTCCGAAATGGAGTCTCGCTCAGCATTTCGAGCAGAAGGCAGCCTGTGGGCGTTCGCGATTGTCAGGCTCGGGGGCACACTTACCTCATCCCGCCATGCAGAAGGTCAAACGATAAGTGACAAGTCGCCCCCGATCCGTCATACGAGGGGCTCGTCGGCAGGTTCTGCCAGATTATGCCAAAGAAAACTGGGTCCGAAGGGATGAGTATATAAGGTGCGTCGACGGCGAGAGAGTTTCTCATCTTCTACATCCCACGCACACCCTCCACCCAGCCTTTCACAAACACAAAATGTCCATGACTGTTAAGGCGTACGGTGTTACCGGTTTCAACGAGCCTGTGAAGCCAGTCACGATTCAGCGTCGCGCTCCGGACGCCAACGACGTGGTCATCGACATCAAGTACACGGGCATCTGCCACAGCGACATCCACATCACTCGCGGGGTGCGTATGCCTCGTTCCTCCATCTTTGTGCAAAATCGCTAAAGGCGAGTCCAGGAATGGGGCCCTTTCCCCTTCCCCTTGGTCATCGGCCATGAGATCGCCGGTGTCGTTCGCAGCGTCGGCAAGAACGTCACCAAGTTCAAGGTCGGCCAGCACGTCGGTGTCGGCTGCCTGCTGAACTCGTGCCGCTCCTGCGAGAGCTGCAAGGACGGCGAAGAGCAGCACTGCACCGGAGACGGGAAGATCAACGGCGGCGTCCAGACCTACGGTGGCCAGGTACGCCACATACACGTCGTCTCATTATCTGGCCAGGAGCTTACGCTGGATTGTAGGACCCGAAGGAGAACTTCGCGCCGACGGCAGGTGGCTATTCGCAGATGATTGTCGTCGACCAGGACTTCGTTCTGAACATTCCGGAGAGCCTGCCCCTGGATAAGGTGGCCCCGTTGCTCTGTAAGCACAGATATTAGATGAACGAGCCATCTGCTCATGTAGTTCCAGGCGCCGGTATCACCATGTACTCGCCTCTGCGCCACTGGAAGGCTGGTCCGGGCAAGCGTGTTGCCATCATCGGCCTGGGTGGCCTCGGTCATGCCGGCGTCAAGATCGCCAGGTACGTCTGAATGCCACAATATATCGCACCGAGAAAGTTGACGTCTCCGCAGGGCGCTCGGCGCTGAGGTTACCGTGCTCTCGCAGTCTCTCAGCAAGAAGGAGCAGGGCCTCAAGCTCGGCGCCGACAAGTACTTCGCGACGGCGGATCCCGAGACGTTCACGACGCTGAAGGGCCATTTCGACCTCATCATCAACACCGTGTCCGCGAACCTCGACCTCAACCAGTACACGTCGCTCCTTCGCCGGAACGGCAGCCTCGTTGAGGTCGGTATCCCCGAGCACCCGATGAGCGTGCACGCGTTCAGTCTCGTTGCTGGCCGCCGCAGCCTCGCTGGCTCCTGCATCGGTGGCATCAAGGAGACGCAGGAGATGCTCGACTTCTGTGGTACGCCTCCTTGTCTCTCGGGATATTGTACAGGTTGCTCACACTCGTATAGCGGAGCACGGTATCACTGCCGAGATCGAGACCATCCCGGCGTCGTACATGTACGCTCCCCGATTCTTGTGACCGACGCTTCGTGCTAACGAATTCATTGCAGCAACAAGGCTTGGGAGCGTGTCGGCAAGTCGGACGTTCGCTTCCGCTTTGTCATCGACATTTCGACGATCTGAGCGCAGTCGACGATCCTAAGCGCAGTCTGAAAGTGTGCCCGGCATGTACAAGGAATAGAGCTAGTAAAGATGTATAGTACATACGACGGTGTATCGCGGCATCAAGAATTCATTGCATCATCACAGTCTGAGTCCAAAGAGTCGCGCGCGAATCGCAGATAACTTCTAAGCAGAACGTCTCATGGAGCGCGATATTCTCCTACTCGTCCCAGGAGGTGTTTCTTGGGCGTAACAACCAAAGACTTGTCGAGGACGGCGAACATGGCGCGGTGGGGTCGCTGAGGATGCGGGACTCGATGGCGACGCCCGCATCTCGGCGATGGAAGACCATGGGCCGAAGGGGTCGTGATCGAAGTAGCGGACATAGGCTTCGTTGAGGGAGATGAGGTGTGCGGCGTGTTTGCTGTGACGGCGGCGGGTGCCGACCCGAAGTCGAACCGTGGGAATCCCAATTTACCTTATGATCACGAGAAGCACGCCTCGCGGACTTATACTTCACATGAATAGCGGGTGGCGCGCGCAGCCAGGGGCTGCCGCGTCATCCACCTCTTTGACTACTCTTTTACGGACTATGTTTCGACTGTTCTCTTTAACGACTCATTACATACATGCATTCCTCTTTGACACGAGAACGAGTATATATTCCGGGGCTCCTCTGTAGGAGAGCCCCAGCATCTTGCTATCCGAGACTCATTGCTACTCACCTCGACTGCCTCAAGCAACGACTTTCGACATCAAGATCTCCGAGTCACGCGCGACGACAAGACTCAACGCCTTCGACGCCGCCACGTGCCTCATTTGCCCACCCGAAAGGGACGAAGTGGGTGAGTGTCGAGATGCGAAGTGGTTAATAAAGATGAGCAGCGGAAGAAATAGGCTCGGCGCAAGAAACTATAAGAACCAGAAACCCTCTTTCGTGGGTCGCTGCAATGGATGAATCCGAGCAGGACAGTTGTAAGGCGAGCGTGGGCGGTCGAATATCTGAAGTTCAACTTTCGGCAATCCCCGTCCCATGCACATTCGCACGCTTTTCCTCATGTTCGACTTTGACGCGAACTCTCATTTGGAACTTTCATAGATCGCGCGTAGACGCCTGGAGGCGTAGGAAAGTAATGAAGGCGATTAGAGGCGTGCTGCTGACCTGGTAAGTCGTGTTACTTGCACTGTGCGACTTGATGAGCTACCATTCTGACGAGTCATTGTCAGTGATCCTGCCGTCAAGCAGATTCTCCTCATCCTCAACGAGAAGTACAACTCGTCCGGCGGAGGTGCGTAAGCCTGTGATTTGCTATGTAAATACTGCCACTGACCGCGACTGCCCGTCAATCTGAACTCATGATGCTCTTGCCTCACCCCCAGGCGGAGGCTTCATCATCGAAGACCTCGACGACTGGCATATAGTGATCAAAGCAGACGAGGAGATGCGCGTGCGGCGCGAGCTAGAGACTGAGGTGCGCGACTGTACCTTAAATTCCTATCTCCGGCTTCGAGCGGTCCGGCCGTGCCACGATATCACTGCAAACTCTTAATTCCTCCGTTTACTTCGACGAACTGACGCTGCTATACAGTTGGAAAAGAACACGTATACTTTGGAGAACTGACTATACAATTACGATGGAAAATTGACCGTTTCTCTCTCGGATGCCGCTCTATTCTTCAACTGGCTCCGTCGCGTCTGTCGAGCGCTTCCCCGTCTACTCATGTACTTACTAAAGCCTAGGTGCGTGTCGCATTCTGTCCCACCATACACCATACACGGCACTTGCAGCAGCTCGAGGAACGAGCTCGCGGAGATGTCCCTCGGAATGTCGTTGCGGACCGAGACAAATGGCGCGAGAATGTCTGGGCTGTTCGACATGTCCTTGTCGAGAGGCAACTCAAGGAGCCTCCCCGCTCTGCCCGGAAGGCGCCCATGCTGAAGCCGCCTTCATCTTTGAGGTTGAGGTCGACGCAAGCGGCAAAGTGATGGGCGTCCATGTACTGACACCTTCGTATGCGTGAGAATGGACAGCAGGTGTCGCCGCCATGTCAGATCGACAGGCAGATCTTCCTGACCTCCCAAACGTTCAAGAAGACCGAGAAGCGTGCGTACATTTGACAGAGGATAGATGAGCGTACGATTAACTTACTTCGTGTCTCCAGGCAGTAAGGGGACGCTTCATAGTCAGGACACAAGCACCCTGTCAATGGTGAACGCTGGATCACCTAGACGTTAAACTTTTGGCCGCAAAAGCGACGAAAGAAGCATTCCTAAGTGTCTTCCTGCATATCGCTGCTCTCCTGCGTCAGTCGTGCGTCAGACGCGGGGATCGCGGGAACCTGTGTTTTGGAGGCTCGGAGGGAACGACGGGGATGTTCGCGGCGTGGCGGTTACGCGCGAATCCGGTTACCCGAGATGAAGGTCGCGGGAGACAAGTACGTCGGGGCTTGCCGCTAGCGCCAAAAGATACCTCTTCGGGAACAATTATTGCCCTTTTGGGAAGCTCGCGGACCGGAATTACGTTGGTCCTCGCAAGGGAAGCAGCTCCTTGCTTCCTGCCCTCATCACCCCGCGTTTGACAGCGCCTTCTGTCCGTCGTCGCCAGCAGTGTCAGTCGAAGTCGTTGCCTCCGCAATGAAGCGCTCACGCGCTGATCTTCAAGGAGATGATTGCCAGCGCATGTTGGGATGAAACGGGTGGCGACTCCCTTCAAGAGGCGCGAGCCCTCTAATCTACGTCCTCGCGTTAGCCTCGAGACAGAAACGTTTCTTCTTGCTTGTCTCTTTCCCTCACCATGTCTGCTGCGGTTCAGGTGGTCGCTGCGCCGCAAGTCGTGTTCCCGGCCCCTCCCCCGACGAGCAACGTCCTCACCCCGCGCCAGCGCGCGCAGCTTGTGCGCACGACGAAGAAGCTAGGCCGCATTCTGGGCGTTGCGCCGAGGGTTTTGGACGCGGAGAATGGTGAGGAAGTTGGGATTGCTATCGCAAGCTTTAAAGCTGACTTCCTCGCAGTACCCTTCGACGCGGTGCAGCATCGTCATGCACCGACTGGACATGTTCCAACCTTTTCTATCGGTCGGTCAGCGGCGCATTGCCGTAGCGAGTCTCCGTCGAGCGCTCGCACGCCCCAACCCGATAGCGCAGCTGTACCGGTGCTTCGCCTCGCGCTTGCCACGGGGCCGCATCCTCCTCAATTGCAGCCTGCCTCGCCTCGGGCGCATTCTTTTACCCTCGTACCCTCTGGTCGACCTGCAAGGAAGGGAACCGCTGCGGTGAGGGCGAACGTGGCTGGGAAGGAGAACGCGGCCGGCGGCAAGGCGTCCGGAAACGCCCTTCGCCGGCGGAAGCTGGACCGGTTGCGCCACACGCTGGGCGAGGGCGTCCCGCAGGAGTTGATCTTCCCGTCTGGAGAGCGGTCCGACTCGTCCTCGATGTCGATGTCGTCGGGAGGGAGCTCTCTGACCTGTGTAACCCCACCGCGCGCGACGACCAGAACCTCATCCGAGGGCATGGACTGCTGTGATCCGCAGGACGGTGGAAAACCGCCTCCGCGCCCCTCGACCGCGCTTGGCATGCGGAGCGTCACCGACGACGTCCTCCGCGCGATGTGCTCGACGCCTGACCTTCTTGGCGCGTCCTGGTCCGATGCGGTCGATGACGAGCCAGAGATGGGACCGCCAATATGGCTGGCCTCGGAAATGCCTCCTTCCTGGACAGCCGCGGCGGAGCTCCCACCCGCTTGGCCTGCGTGGGGCATCCCCTCTGCCTCGGACGTCGAGTCCGCTTCGGATTTCCCGTCTGGTTCTGGGTCGCCTGATCGTTTGGGGTCGCCAAATGCGTCCGGCCTTCCTCCAGCGTGGACAGCCTCCGTCGACCTGCCTCCTGCATGGTCGGCAGACTACAGCGCGCCCCCGGTCTACCCCACCCCCGGTATACCTGCGATCTGGTGCGCACCCGGGTTCCCGCAGACAACGACGCGACTGGACGCGATCATGGAGAGCGATGACGAGGAGCCGTAGCTGGGTCGTCCCCTCTCTTTTCTCGACTCTCTTCCCTGCGCGCCTCGCCTCAGCCTTAGCCCACTGCCCCTCCTTGTTATTATCCCATGTATCCTATCCTGCGCAATTGCTCACTGCTATCAACTCTTTGTGGTCAGCTTTAGTCTGCTATGCTTCACCCTACCTTACGGTCTCAATCGTCTTTATTGTGTTCACTGATTAATCGTAATACTAGTAGTCACCTTCGTTATACTTATTCACCTATGCGTTCCTTCTGTTGTACTCCTGATATACTCTAGTCGCTCGTTCTATGATATCAGCTATGCCCAGAAAATACTAGCGCGCGAATAATTCATGGCCTACCTTCCAACCTCGACCTCGAGACTGTTGATCTAGAGTCGTTCGTTTTGCGAAGGGCTCAGGACGGCCAAAATGTCACGCCGTAACACCTTGAGGCGACGCGTTACATGATGAATTTACATACACGACTTGCAGGTTTACACGCGCTACCATGGAGGTCGAGCAATCCGGGTACGAAGCTGCGCTGGACACTCTGCCTTCTTCGATACTGAGTGCAATTGCCGACCTTGACTTGAGCAAGGTACGTATCCTTTCGCTTATGTGACCACGATTTGTATGATATATGCGCTGACCCTTGCCTTCGTTAGATCTGCGCCTTGGAAGAGAAAACGCGCTTTGTCATGGCCGCCCTCAAGTCAGCCCGCAACGCTCATGCGCTAATCGACAAGCTGCCAGCCGAGGTCCTGGAACGCATCTTCTTGCTCGTGCAGCGGCACTACGGCGACTTCCTGCCCAAATGGCCAGTATTGAAGTCGCTCGAGTGGATTGCTATCACACATGTGTGTCGGCGCTGGAGGTTGATTGCGACCGCTCATCCTGCTCTGTGGACCACGCTCGACCTATGCCACAATTGGTCTGCCGATGCCGGCCGGACGTTTCTCGCCAGGTCCGGGGATGCGCCGTTGACAGTATTCTTCTCGACAAGGGATTTGGGGTACTCCAATAATGACATGAAAGTGCTCAAGGACGCTTTGGACACTCACAGTGACCGCCTTGCAGTCCTCCACGTCGCTGCCGACCGCCGGAGGGATTTCAACGAAGTCTGCGAATTATTCGTCGGCATTCCTGCTCCCCGCTTGCGTAGTCTGACGCTTTATATCCGCCAGCCTCGTAGAAACCACGTCTACACTGGTCCAAGGATTTTTGAAGGCACGCTCCCTCTTCTGCGCAAGCTTGTCGTCGCGTACTGCGCCGCTTGGGACATGTTGAATATCATCGACCTCACCCACCTAGCGATATGCAAGGTCGGCGTCGATGAACTTCTCAAGATTGTCGGCGCATCACCGCACCTTGAAGAGCTGATCTGCATCGGCTCTGATGAGTGGAGCCGCAGTGCCGCAAATGATGACCCCAGCAGCCCCTCGGTAATCTGTCTGCCACAGCTTCGTTACCTGCAACTATCCACCCCGGAAGGCATAAAACGCATTCCCTTTCTTCACCGGTTGGAGATACCAGAGGCATGCAACGTTCGGTTACAGCTCCTCTTAGAGGACCCCATCACCACGCTGTTGCCGTCTAACTCCCACTTTGGCCCCCTACAACGGCCGGTGCCCACGGTGCAGCTCTGCACTGGTCGCTTTCTTTCCTGCTGGATCGCCTTTCGCTCTGGTCATATTGTCGTAGAGGGACGTTGCAATTATTCGCATTTCGCTGGCATCACGAATACCAACACCGTGCTGGAGGTTCAGTTGGACGACCTTACCGACAGAACGAGTCCAGAAGGATGGAGTCGCCTACTTGCCAGCATGCCGAAAATCCGCACGCTTGTGATTTATGGCCGCGGTGAGGCCCGCGGCTTGAGAGGCCTTTTCGCAGTTCTATCCTCGCGGCCTGAGGGCGCGGAATCGCTGCTATGTCCCGATCTCGAGGCCCTTCACCTGGGCGCGGACCACGCGGACGCGGGAGTCGCGTTCTCCCTATGGCAAGTGTCTGCATTGCGCGCAAAGGAAGGAAGACCACTCCGCGAGGTCATTGTGTTTTCTGACGGCGAGAAAGGGCACCTGGGCCGCGGCCAGTCCTCTGACGGGACTCGTCACGCCCTGATTCTCGACGCCTCGGGGGCGCCGACGCAGGTGGACAGCAGAGCATGGAAGTGCAACACCGTGAAATTTGCGGAGATTGTTGCGCGACAGGCAAGACCTCTGAGACGAGAAACAGGATTAGATTGGGCATGGGTGGAGAGGAAGCGAATCGTGCAAGAGCAGGAGACGTAGTCAATTCCTACGCATCGCGCGGGGAATAGTATTCAATTCTGCTCACGACTTTTTGCTGTCCTGTCCGGTCAAGTACCTCGTTCTATCAAGCCCGAAAATACTCACGTGCATGGTTGAACTTTTCAATGTCCCCGTGACTGCGGAGGCGTGGGAAATGAGTTGCGATTGTTCGTTTTTGGCTGGTTAATTCCTTGCGCTCGCCCGGTCAACAATTCGCGAGCTTGCCCTTCCCAGCAGTCCACCAGGCACTCCGACAATATTCTCTGACCTCAAGCTATATACCTGGCCATAAGGGCCTTGTCTTGCGATACCCAACAGTGCTCAGAGCCAAGCGATCGCCCAGTGATTTCCTTCGCGACGAGATCCCCCTCGACCAGGACCCATCTCCGTAGCCCAGACACGCGTCAACGACACCGTCAACATGCCCTCTATTCTCTCCAAGGTCTTTGGTCGCAAGAAGGACCATGGGGAGTCGCGTTCGCACGCTCGCCAGTCCAGGACCTCTTTGCTCGATGGCAAGTTCGAGAGGGTGTCCCCCACGGTCAGCCCGTCTGTGGAGAACTTCCCAGACGCAGGACAGAGGAAGGAGCTGGAGAAGAACGTACGTGGTGCCCTTTGGAACGAGAATTGCCCAATGACGGTCATGCAGAACGACTTCAAGCTCACATTGAATCTCCCCGGCGTCAAGGAAGAGACTGGCGGACGCGCCTTGGACACAGTGTTCGAAGCCGTACCCTCATCATCCATCGGCGAGCGCCGTCTCTCCCCCGCCGAGGCCCTCGTCCTTCTTCGCGCCTGCTCGCAGTCCATCATTGCGCACGGTACGTCCTGATCCCCACGCATCTTTCCCTACCTAAACGCGCTCTCCAGGCCTTGAGACCCTTGGCATAATGCACCCGCACTGGTACTCCTCCTCCCCCGAAGATCAGCGGAGGCTAATCTCGCTCTTCATCCACTCGTTAAACTCGCCCGCCCAATCCCCCTCTGCCCTCCCCGCCGCGGACTTCGCATCTGAGGTGAAGTACGCGCGCTCGCCGCACGACGTCGCCGCTGTCCTCCGCTGGGGCCTGCGTCATCTTCAGCTCGACAGCTCTGCGCCCGAATTTGGGAAGGAGAGCGCGTGGTACACGAAGTTCAGCACCGGGGAAAGGCAGAGCAACTACTCCCCGAAGGCGTTTCAAGATATTCTCGTCCCCCTCCTCCCGGATCCGCACCGCGAACTGCTGGTCACCATGCTCGACACCGTGTCTTCGATTGCGTCGCATTCTGAGGCCAACGGCATATCGGGCAGCAAGCTCGCGAAGTTCGTGGGTCTGTGGTTCCTGACGTCGCAGCGCGCGGCAGACGATGACGACTTCGCATCGTTCTACGCACGCTGGGAGCGTATGGGCCGTATCCTCGAGCACCTCTTCCTCGCGCGCATTAGGGAGGAGTCGCTCCGCCTCAAGATGCCGCGCCGATTGACGGAGCTCGTAAAGCGATACCCATACTCTTACGAGCCCGACTCCGATCTACTTCCCCGTCCACCGTTTTCGACGCGTCTCGATAACGCGCTTTACGTACGCGTAGAGACAGAGATCGCCCCCAGCGTCGTACCGACCAAGGTGCACCCCCTCCGCGTTCTGGCCGAGGCTCTCAAGGCGGAGCCGCCTGCTGATGCCTCGGAGGCTCATGTCGCACTGTGGAACAGGCTTCGCCGTCTGCTTAATTCCGACGCTGAGACGAACCTCGGTAATGTCTTCGCAGATGACACCATTCGTCTGCTCGCCTTGGTTCCTGCGAACAATGACCTGGATTACGCGACAACGCGCAGGCAGCTGCTGCCCTACGAAGGTGTCTCTACGGCCGCTACGTCCCCCATCACCTCGCCCATCAGCCCGCCGACGACCTCGTTTGCCACGCCCTTCTCCGCGGGATCCTCGACCGCGCCCACCAGCGCTCCAGCCTCCCCCACTCGCGCATCTGCTGCGCTTCCGACTAACGGGAGCGGGCAACCCCTCGACTGGGCCCAGTTCTCTACCGCGGGCTTCCTGGAGAGCAAGGACGTCGCTCCGCTCGCGGCCACACTCCTCGATACCGACGTCGAGGTCACGACCCCGCCGAGCCGCCAGTCGAGCCGACGCCGCGTTCCTCGACTCACGGGACTGGACCGCGTAGCGTCGAGCGTACAGTCTCGGGCGTTGTCGCCGTCGCGGGCGCTATCGCGGTCACGGTCGCGCGGAGCGTCCCAGTCGGGAGTCGCGTCCCCATCGCCGGCGGATATCCCGCTCCCAAGCACGCCCGTCGTGCGCACGCAGGCGAAGACGACGCAGGTCTTCGTGCGCCAGCTCGACGAGGCATTCATCGACTTTTGGGCGGATGGCGTCGTGGATCCGATCGCCGCTGACTGGCCCTCGTTCGTCCTCTGTCGCCTGAAGGAGCCCGGTATCGAAGAGGGGCTGTCAGTGCCGAAAGTGGAGTGGGTGGTCATCGAGCATGCGTACAAGAAGGTCGAGCCGCCCGCGCCTGTGACGGAGGAGAGCGTGGATGCGGTTGCTTCACCTCGACCATCTCTCACGACCGACACGGCCGGCTCGCGCAAGCGCTTCTCACTCTGGGCCCGCGGTTCGTCGAAGCGGAACACGAGCAAGGCGGGCAAGATTGGCGAGCTCGGGGAGATCCTGAGCGATGCTGAGGAGGAGGCGGAGGAAGAGGGCAGGACGGTGCCGAAGAAGCCCTCGAAGGAGCAGGTGCCGCCAGTGAAGGAGGAGAAGGAGGCGAAAGAGGAGAAGGACAAGAAGGAGGAGAAGATGAAGGAGGAGAAGGAGGGTAAGAAGGGCAAGATGCCGCTCAAGTTCGCCGGCATCAAGCGCAAGTCGGTGGACATCAGGCGGTCGCTGGAGGTCCCCAGCTCGCCCGTGCCGCGCAAGTCGAGCGAGGTGCTGCCGAAGGGTGATAGGGAAGCGAAGGAGAAGGTGGATCGCGAGGCGTCAGAGGCGTCGGCGGCCAAGGAGGACAAGAGCAAGGTCGCTGAAGGCGTCGCTGCAGTAGCGGCCGGCGCTGTGGTCGGAGGTGCTGCTGTCGCTGTTGCAGACGCGGTCACTGGGGAGAAGAAGGACGAAGTTACCGAGTCTGCGCCTGCTGCGGCGGAGGAAGGTATGAGCACTTTGACTGTTTTCGCGCGAAGTTGCTAACAATCAATAGTTGCGCCTGTCGCTGAGGCAGCCACGGAAGAGTCCGCCGCTCCATCCACCACGGAGACATTGACGGAGCCTGCGCCCGCGGAGGCACCTCAGGCTGCTGATGCTGCTGAGCCGGCTGCTGTCGCCGAACCCGTTGCGTCAGTGGAGGAGCCAGTCGCACCCGTCGAAGAATCGATTGCACCCACCGAGGAGCCCGCTGCGCCCGTCGACGAGCCCTCTGCACCCGTTGAAGAATCCGCTGCTCCGAGCGAAGAGTTGCCCGTCCCCTCGACCGAGGCCACCGCTACTGTCGAAGCACCTGTTGAGGCTGACCCCGCGCCCGCCGAGGAGACTCCCGCCGCCGTGCTCGAGCCTGAAGCTGTCTCGCCGCCTACTCCGGAGCCCCCAGTCGTCGAGGAGGAATCTTCCGCCGTTGAGGAGACTCCTGCTATCGTCGAGGAAGTCGCATCTGTGGCTGATGAAATCCCTCCGGCTACTGAGGAGGTTGTGCTCCCGACAGATGAGGTTGCGCCGGCGGTCGAAGAGGAGCCGCCTGTGGTGGATGAGCCTGCGCCTGCGCCTGCGCCCGAGCCGGCTCCCATCGTCGAGGAGGAGACTCTAGTGGCCGAGCCTGCCCCTGAGCCGATCGCGGAGGTTGTCCCTGCCGAGGAAGATGAAGTGACACCGCCAGTAGTTGAAGAGGTTGCGTCGACTGTTGAGGAGATCCCAGCGCCGCCGTTTGAGGAACCGGTCGAGGAGTCCATCGTCGCAGAGGAGGCCGCGCCTACTCCCCCTGTCGAAGAGCCCGCACCTGTCGAGGAGGCCGCTGCTGAAGAATCTGTAATGGCTGCTGAACCACCAGCTCCCGAACCTGAGCCCATCGCTGCTCCCTCTAGCGCACTCGAGGATGAGGAGATCGCTGGACCTGTCGAGCCTGCAGCTGCAGAGGCTTTTCAAGAGGAAACGACGCCGGCTGGCGAACCCATCACCGAGGCGACACCAGCTGAGTCGAATGCCGCAGAGGAAACCGCGGGCACCGCCGAGGCTACAGAACCAGTTGAGGAAGTGGTCGAGGCACCAGCCGCTTCGTCGAGCGCGGACGAACAGGTGCCTGCGGAGGTTGTGGTGGAAGAGGAGACGAAGGACGCGACCGAGGCCGATGCCCCTTCTGCAGAGGACATCGCTCCCGCTGCTTCAGAACCCGAGGTCGAGGCGGTGAACGCTCCCACCGAAGATCAGCAGGAGCAAGTCGAGGAGGAGGCACCAGTGCCTGCCCCGTTGGCGTCCGATGAAGCTGATGCAGCGACATCCCCCGAGCCCGCAGTTGAGAAGGATGAGGCGCCTGCGACCACAACTTCCATCGGTGAAGAGGAAACCCCTGCTGACAATACGTCGCCGGAAGCTACGGAAGCGACTGAGCCTGAAGCCGTCGAATCAACGCAGGTATGTGATCGTTCGCACTCGTACAATAGCGTGTGTTCATCGTACATGTATAGGTTGATGATACGGCTTCCGCGCCGGACGCAGGGCACGTGCAAGAGGCAGCTGTTGATGCGGGCGATGAGCACGTAGATCTACCTCCGGTCCCTGTTGTTCCCAGCGAGCCCATACCGCCTGCCAATGCGCCTGCTGTACCGGATGTCACGGACGTCCCTGCTACGCCTTCGGCTGAAGTCCCTTCCGCAACTGAAGTTGCTGTCCCCGAAGAGACGTTGGAGATGCCGCCAGCCCCGGAGAGCGTAGTCGCGTCTGGAGCAACGCCAGGACCTCAACTCGCTCTCGACAGCAGCGAACCTGCGGCTGCAGCGGAGGCTGCAGGCGAGGAGGATAAAGTCGAAGAGTCGGCGTCCTAAGGGTGGGAAAACATGCCGGCGACTGCCTTCGAGAAAGAGTAAGGGTCTTGGTTCCCCAATGATGTGATGCTGATAGTAAACCGCAGATCGTCATCGTGTTTTAACGACATCGTTCATGTATTTGCTTCCTTTGATACCCTTTCATCCTGGCGGCCTTGTACGTGTTCCCTCACCAAATCGCAAGCATCCGTGCTCTTGTCTGGATCTCAAATGTTACTACTAACCATGTTTCATATTCTGACTGGCTTGTTACGCCCCACCAATCATTCTCTACTTCACGATCACGTCTATTGCCGCGATATACTTTACCGTCTGACCTGTTTGATCTGGTTGACCTTCTACTCCACGCCCTTTGCTTGTCTTATTCGGACCCTCGTAGGTTCAGTCCTTACCTACTTAATATGCAGTCTTGCATGCTGGAAGTGTTATCTCTTTTCTCGTCCGTCCACCTCAAGGCGAGGGCTCGATCGAAGCCAATAAATCTCTACTGACCCCTCGAGTGGAGTAATCGTGAGCAGGGTGAGTTCAACGCTCATGCTGTTACGTTCTGCGTTGACTAGTCACCCTGCAGCAGGTATACGGGTATGGGAACGCCCAGCACATAGAAAAGTCGTGAACGCAGCCCGCCAACGTCCACCATGGTCCTCAACAGCTCCAGTATGCAAGGGCCTAAGGAATCGTACGCGATCACTCCCGTCCTATCCGCCTGCCGTGATGCCTGCGCTATGAACTTCCAGCACCCTGCCGCCCCCGAGCGAACCGCACCCTTTGAAACAGCCGATCAAGCTCAGGTCGGCGGCATCCCTCACCGCGTTCGCCCAGCGCACAATCACTCTTCTCCGAGCGCACGATCATCACCGCGCACGCACAATCACCTTCGCTCCCACCTCGCGCCACCACCGTTCATCTTCGGTGCATGGGAGACCAATCCTCGCCCCGTCGGTGACTGATATCGCACATCAATATACATCATGTGCCGCCCTCACAAACGTCTGCCTGATCTCGCAAACGCCTACCTGATTCCGGCGGCAACGAGGCATCACTGTTTCGCGATCGCGCCTGGTCAGTGCGAATAGTACTTAAAGGGCATCGGGGGCGCGCCATAAAGGCCGTCTCGGCGCGTCATAATTCTCCTTCGGGTCGCGCCACAAAGCTCAGGCTCTCGGCCAGCTACAACCATGTACGCTCGCATCCGTGCTGCCGACCCCTTGCGTGCGACGCTCACTTGTTCCTCCTTAGGCCTTCGCCCGTACTGCGCGTCTTCGTGACCTGTAATGCTGAGCAGTATCGGGTTATAGACATTTCGGGCGCCCCGGACGGGGCGCACATACGAGAACGTATATTTGCGAAGGTATGGACTCTGTCTTTCGGTTGAAAGCGCCGCAGATGTGATAACGTACCCTTTTTCGCCAGATCAACATCCCCGAAGCACGACGGCCCCTCTTCAAAATATACCAGTCGGACATCGGGGGCTTCGCGCACAGCGACGCGCTCTCGGACACGGCATTGTTCGAGCTTTGCCACCGACACGGAGACGCAGCTGGCACCCTCAAATTCTTCATCTCTACGGCGCCAGACCGACCGCCGTCGGGGGATTACGAGCAGTATCTGCAGTAAGTTCTCTCGTTCACCGAGGGGTGTAGCAAACTTACGGTACCGACCCCAAGGATCTCGCCGACAGCGTCGATATCGAACTTGCGAGGGGCGGCCTCGAGCCAGTGAGCGCAGTACTGGGGACCCCATTGTCGGCTGTATTCTGAGTGAAACATGTATCATAGTGTGTACTAGACTATCGCTCCTATCTTCGCTTCTATCCTTGAGCAGGGAGAGTAAACGGTCGTGGAAGATTGGCTCACCGATCGCGCAGTTCACGATGTGGAGAGGCGGGTCATTCGTTCATACCATTGTCCTCGGTGAGTGCGAGAATACGTTATAGCGAGAAACCCATCATGCTGGATCGAGACAAGAGAGAGATGCTTGCTCTCCGGTGGTCCGCCGCTCTAGACTGAGATGAGAGCGTGTCAATCGATCGCCAAGATTAGGTGTCGAGGGTGTACGAGGACCAGGACAGGTGTGCTCCTGCCACCGAGTCCAAGTGGAGAAGGCGAAGCTCCCGAGGACTGCGAGCGCACATGCCAAATACAGGTCCGGGGTCAGTAGAGCTCGCATAGGCGTTCGTGGATCACTGATGACCGTCACGAGCGAGAGCTTCCGCGATGGCACGAGCTGGATTTTGGAGATCTATAGACTCGTCGATGAAGGGCCCTGTTTCAAGTCCATCGGAGGCTATCTCCCTCTATAGATCATGGACACATGCCTAGTACACCTATCCTCGAGAACAATGGACAGCGTCCCGAGACCCTAAGATCTTCGACGCTGTGTGAGAGGGGAATTGTGGCGTGGGTCGCCAACCGTGCCACGAAGTTCAACATCGGCATTTGCCGGCTTGCACGTGCTCCTTTTTGGTCACAAATCACGTTTTTTGGCAGTTTTTGCGCCTTGCCCTCCGCTAATTCCGGTTCCTCGCCAGGCAGCTCTTTTGTCCTTCGCTTAGGTCACTTCTTCCCTATGATACTCCAAACGCAAGCTCCAGACCGACTCGCGGCGCCATCGACTCGGCTGCCTGCTATCGCGCGCATTTCTCGAGAAACGCCCGGAGAACTTTCCAACTGCGTCGCATATCTACGCAAGATCTACAATCCACAAGTTAGAGGGTCCTCTCGTATACGCGAATCCGTTCTGGACGAGGTGCGCGTCAAATTCACAGCGGACATATCAATATCGGACGACGTCGAGGCGGCAGACGAGCTTCGCGCAGACGCATTCGAACGGTCCTACTCTCTACGATGGCTCAGCGCGCTAGTAGCACATCTCAGCTGCCTGGAAGAGGTCCCGGAGAAGACCCTCGACGATGCGACGTCGCTCATCGCACTCTGCGCAGGGCCCGCGTCTGCTGGTATCCTCACGCGCGACTTCTCCTTCCCGGCCACGCACCCGAAATTAGCACCGTCCATCGACGTGCGCCTTACGGACATCCCGCTCGACAATCACGACTTTCACAGCGTCGGCGCACAGACGTGGGGCGGAGCGTGCGTGCTGGCAGAGGCCATTGCAGAGGACCCTGCAAGTTTCGGGTTCACCCTCGACGCGCCTCGCGGCCTGCGCGTGCTCGAGCTAGGGGCGGGGACGGGCCTCGTAGGCATCGCGGCGGGGAAGGTGGTGCAGGCATTGGGCATGAATGACGCGCGCCTTGTCGCGACGGACTTCTACGACTCCGTCTTGCAAAATCTTGCCTCAAATATCCGCTCGAACTTCCCAGCGGACGGCGACAGCGGAGTGACATTTGAGTGTCACAGGTTAGACTGGGAGGCCTTCCCGCGGGAGACGGTACAACCAGCGCCCCTCGACGAGCCATTCGATGTCGTCCTCGGTGCAGACATCGTCTACGAGGCCGAGCACGCGACTTGGATCAAGAACTGCCTGGAGAGGCTCTTGCGCAAGCCGACATGGCCGTCCGAGCACACGACGCCGCCGCCAACCTTCCACCTCGTCATTCCACTTCGCCCTACGTTCGACAACGAATCGAGCACCATTGAATCGGTATTCCCGACCGCGCTACAAGCATCGGGATCCGTGGACGTGTCGATTGCATCGTCGTCGCCCGAGCTCGCGATCAAGTCGAAGGAGCTGATTATGTGCGATGCTGGAAGCGGGGTCAAGGGAGAGATTGTGCGGTACGCTTACTACCGGATCGGCTGGAACCTGAGCTAGCATTTATTGGACAGGACTTTGGTATAGATGTTATAGATGGGTACAAATGTTCATAGAGCATAGACGGGATGGATTGTAGACGCATCATGGATCTGTGTAGAGCTTTCTTTTGGAACGAGCATTTTGTCGTGTTGATGATTGTATAGAGGCACTAGAGTACATACAAAGGGTTTCATCTCTCCATTCCTACATCTACATTACTGCCTTGTATAGCAGTACAGTGATCGGACAAGAATATTGTGAGCGCGTGTGAGGACAGGATGAATATCATTCTGGCCTTTTGTCAATTAGATCAAGTGTAGTAAGGATGAATATCATATGTCTTGTGACATATAATCCTGCGTAACTTGTCCCCGACCATCATCACCATGACATCCGCCGGCCTTTCCAAGCACAAAATCGACACTGACGAGGATCTGGACGACCTGGACGGTGCATACTACGCCCAAACCGTCTATGTACCGCGTTAAAAGTGACCTTCAGATGTCCTGGACCAGTTCGACCCCGCAACTCCCACCTACCCCACACCCCCGGCCGACAAGTCCCCTCCCGTACCAGGACCACCGCCTCCAACGGTTGAGCGGCCAGCGTTTCAGCGGCAGCGCACGAACACCCGCGTCGACACGCCACCAGTGAGCGTGCCCGGCTCCGGCAACTTCCCCGGGCTGGACGCGACCGCGGAGGAGGACGAGGACGCGCTGACGGCCGAGTTCACGAAGGAGCTCGCGCGCGGGATGGAGAGCCTGATGAAAGAGCTCGGGGACGACGCGGTGAAGGAGCACGCGGAGGCGGGGAAGGACATGACGCCGGAGGAGCAGGAGCGCATCTTCAAGGCGGCGTGGGAGGCGATGCTAGTGGAGGGAAAGGGCGCGGGTGGGGAGGACCTGGAGGTGCTGCAGGAGCTGCTTGCGAAGACGGGCGGGCAGGGGAAGGAGGGGAAGCGTCCCGAAGGCGCCGGCGCGTCATCATCATCAGCCCCAACGGCCAGCGACTTCCAGGCAAAGATCAGGCAGGCGACGCAGAAGCTGCGCGAGAGCGAATCGAATATGAATGTGCGTTGCTTGTCTCTGCGTTTTGTGCTACGCTAACATCTCGATCAGAGCAGCGCAAGCGGTGGCGCGGGCCCTTCATCTGCAGATGTCGATTCACTTGAAGCCTTACTCAAGTCCCTCGACTTGGACAATCTTCCCGACGGCGATGAAGAAAAGGAGCTCACAGGCTTCCTCGAATCTATGATGAGCTCGCTAATGAGCAAGGAGGTACTCTACGAGCCCATGAAGGAGCTGGAGGAAAAGGTGCGTCGCGTGCTGTCTACTTTGATCGTATGCTGACACCCTTTCCTCACCAGATGCCTGCGTACCTCGAGAACCCCTCCGAGCCATTGCAGGCTGGCGACAAAGAACGATACCAATCACAACTCATATGCGTACGCAAGATTATCGCTACGTTCGACGAACCTGGATACTCTGACGAGGATCCCGCAAGATCAAAGAAGATTGTCGACCTCATGAGCGAGGTCAGCCTTTCCTTCATGCCGTCACTGTCTACATCATCTTCGCCTGCCCACTTTCACACTAACATCTATCGCGCATCGCCCCTCCTCATTTCGGACTCTTCCAATCCCCGGTAACCCACGCTAACTCTGGATATAGATGCAAGACTACGGCCCTCCACCTAGCGCAATCATAGGCCAGATGCCCGCTGGATTCCCTGGGATGGGCGCGGACGGCCAGTTACCCGCGGACTGTACAATAACATGAGGACGGCTCGGGCATTACAACAAGATATCCACCGCATGAAGATGATGAATGGTTCGAGGACCTTGTAAGGACCAATGTACACGTATTCCATCCCAGACAATGCAATAGCTGACCACACCTCCGTGCGAGAACGTCATTCACGGCGCGCCTAGTCAAGTATCTATCCTAGGGGGTGCTGAAGGCGGCGAGGATGCACTCGAGACTGATGATGGCGAGCAAAATGGGTCTCGCAGGTGAGGTGCGTGATGGGTGCCCTTGCAAGATGCAACATTTACTATTCATCGTCGGATCTGTATTCAATTACGGATTCCTTACGCTTCCACTCCTCTCTTTCCTCGCCCAGACATGCCCATTTTCCCTCAATTACCGGATGCGGTGGTATGGCGTCGACGTAGATCTGCCTTTTCATGTCGTCGGCGAAGTCAAGAGTCCGCTTGCTCTTGAATCCTTCAGGTAAGCCGAAGCAGTCGAACGTCACAGTGTCTACCGTCCCTGCATCCCACTGCTCACAAGACGTGGCTAATCTCCATGGGTCGTGGTGGATGGTTAGCTCGCGTAGTGGCGCGCCCAATTCGGTGCGGAATCCTGCCACCGTCCAGGCAGCGTACGTGATCTGGCATACCCAGTCGGCGTAGAAGTGGAGGTTCTCCAGGGCCGGGCAGGGAGGTATCTGCGGCTTCGGGGCGTCTGAGAGGCAGCAGAGGGCGTCGCAGATGTCCGTCATCTGTGCTTCCGCATATGATGGCGAGCTGATGACGACAAGAGTATGAATTTTGGGCATGCTTTCGAACAGGTGCCCCCATTCCGCGGCGGTGGGTGGCTCGCTGCAACAGTCCAGCATGATAACGAGTCGGGCATCAGGGCTCGCGACACCAGCAAGGCACCCGAAGTTATCGATCCCAGTTACGAAGAGGGTGCCAGAACGCACAGCAATTCGTCCTCTGAACACGGCCGATGAGGATTTCGCTCCCAGTTGCACGGTATGGAACGCTCGCTGCAGTAGACGGCTGTGCGTCGAAGGTGCCAGCATAGTGACCAGCTCATCGTCCGTCGCGGCCGGTTCGCACGAAATATGTACGTCGCACGTCTCCGGTATATCGAAGTAGTGCAAAAGAGCGCATGTGGAAGGGGCTCCCATACCGTCGAACTGCAGGCTGCGAAGATGGGGAAGTGGGACAATGAGGCTTTCTGGACCCGGTTGATCGCAGTTGACGCAATAGTCGTTGAGAGCCAACACCTCCAGCCGTGGAGAACTAGCCAACAGGTGCCAAAACTCCGTATCTTCGGACGCGTTGTCGACACATTCGTGAGCCGCGAAGTGGCTGAGATTCGTAAAGCTGTTATGCCTCCATGCAGCGCAGTGCGATAAAGTCAACTTGCGCACAGATGGCAGATGCTTGTCAAAGACGGCACATCCTTCGTCGATCCATCGACCCCGTGATGAATCCCGAATGCGAAGGGACAGGCTCAGCAAGTGCTGAGGGGTACCCTTGAGGAAATCGCAGAGCTGGCGGAGATCCTCGTAGCGCTCGACGACGATGTGGAGGGCTTTTAGGCGCGCAAGATGATGGACCACAGCATCTTCTAGGACACCGACATCGTTCCTGGACAGCGCGACATCCTCGCCGGAAGAGAAGAAAACGGTGAGGGGACTTCCAGCGGATCGAGTGAGAAACGTTCGCCCAACTTCGACAGGGTCGTTGCGGCTTAGGTCAAGGGTACACCATAAAGCGGGAAGAGAAATAGCGGTGTGCCCCCAATGAGTGCAAACGCGAGTGATTGCAGTCCACAGAAGTGAACGAGGGCTTGGCCAGCGAGGCAGGAAATCGTCGTAGTGTGGCTGGCAAAGCAGGAAAATTCGTCCGAGCAGCTCGGGTGGAAGCTTGTTCACCGGTGCGTGAATATTGTAGGCTTTGTTCACCGCTGCAGTGAAAACGCTTTGAATGTGCTGATCAATTTTCCGGAGCTGCATATAGTCGTCAGTTCTGTTGTTTCCGTACGCGACCGATCTGGTGTACAACGTACTTCAGTTAGAAAGGCATGCGCGCTAGCCTTCGCGATAGAGAAGCGAAGGGCTTCCAGAGCGTCGAGACAGTCCTGAGGCAAGTCAGACATGATCGTCGAAGTGAAGGGACGGGCACGCTGACATCGCGTGTACACGTGGACTGGTAGGGCGTGTCGTGCCGACTACGTACACGAGGTTATTCACGTCTACCATCGGGAGTCCTATCCGTCATTCATTATAGACCACGCGCACCTTTTCCATAACCGTGTGCTACGTCGAGCGACGAAGTCATGCACAATATTGGATGAGCTCGCACTTTCAGAACAATACGCGTACGTGGGTGAATCATAACAAAACTGTCAATTTTCGAGAGTATATGTATTCTTCTCTAGCTGGGAAACAGCGTCAGCTCGTCGAAAGCGGCAGCACAGCTGAGAGGGTTGCGAGGACAGAATCAGGAAGCATACGAGTACAGCGACTGCGGGCGGAAGAGGAGAAAAACAAGAGCCTACAGCCACGGGAGCGCACCTCAGTCTCGAGCTCGCGCCGTACGCGCGTTTCCTCGTCCGCCTTTATGACTATGTGCCAGTCGTCAAGGTCTTCGATGATGAATCCGCCGCCTGGAAGGAAGGGACATATGCGTCAGAGGTAATCAGTAGCGAGCATCGTGCGCATGTAATTTCACAGGAAGCGCACCTCCGCCGGAAGAATTGTACTTCTCATTCAAAATGAGGAGAATTTGCTTGACCGCAGGATCACTAGTAGGGACGGAGGCGCGTCAGAATATTGCCATGTCTCGAACAGCTCAAGGTGAGAGTAGTCTACCACGTCAAGAGCACACCCCTGATCGCCTTCATCCTTCTCCTACGCCTCCAAGTGTTTGCTGCACGACCTAAGTAAGTGCGAGATGAGCGCTCGTGTCAAAGTCGAACATGCGGAAAAGCGTGCGAAGGTGGGCACGTGCGTGCTAGCCGGGAAAATCGGGGATTGCCGAATGTTGAACTTCCACTGCACACATTCTTTAAACGACCTATGCACAAGGCTGGGTACACATCTCGACACTTACAGATATACCCCAAACATTATGTAGAGTACATGCTCCCTACTTCTGCCGCCGTTCGTTCTTGACCACCACGTCCCGTACGCCGTTAAGCCAGTCATCCCAGCACACGCTGAGCAGTGCCGTGTCCCTCCCCACCGTCCCCGGCTTCACATCATTCTCCCGCACCTTGCGCCCATTCCCCTTCCTATCCCCTGGATACACCCTATCCCACCGCAGCACACCGTCCAGCTGGTACCCCATCCGCATCGCAAGCGCAATACTCTTCATATTCAGCGAGTTCGCGCGCCACTCCAGCCGCCTCAAGCCCACCCCGCCCTGCTCAGGCGTATCCAGCGCATACTTCATCAGCACGGCCACCGCGTTCGACGAGACGTGCGTGCGCTGGAAGGCGGGCAGCGTCGTGATGTACCCGATCTCGGTGACGAGGTTGACCGCGAAGGTGTTAAGGTAGGCCATGATGCCGGCGAGGGGCGTGTTGGGGGAGAGCTTGTCGAGGACGGCGAAGAGAACGACGGCGGGGTTTGCGTGGATGGTGGGTTCGAAGAATTGGGAGGTCATGTCTTCGGCAGTCTGCCATGGGCCGTAGGGCAGGTGGTCGAAGAGCCAGGCGTGGTCTTTCGAGCCGGCCACAAAATCGTCGGCGTGACAAGCCGGCTTCAAAGATGGTAAGGAGACAAAACATAGGCAGAGGACGATCTTACGTCGAAAGGTACGAGTTTGACCTTATCGTTCTCGATGCTTGCAGGGAGGGGGAAGCAGAAGTTGGGCTCGAAAGGTGCAGACATCGCGAGAAACACAAGGTACACAAGTGCTGGGAGATGCGTTTGAGGTTCAACTTGACGTCCTTATATATGGCAGCCTATCGGGACCTTCTTGCAATCGGTGCAATCGTCAAGCGAGGACCGACGTATCCTCGAGTCATGAGCCCCGGCAAATGCCGCGCGGCACAGAGGTCGGTAGCTCGCCGAAATGGCGGATACCCGAAGATAAATTCTTCCAGCGGATGCGATACAGATTTAGACTCACATCCGAAATTGATATCTCGCCCTGACGATAATCGTAGAACTCCAGGTCTAGCTCAACGGCGCGAGTGATGGCAAGGAGTAAGAACAAAGCCTTCCTAATCGGTAAATATTGCACGGCGCGTGACATGTGTGACAAAAACTTCTTGCTCGCCGCCGAGAACGACGACGAACTCAAAAATCCATAATGGCGCAAGCAAGAATGGCCCTCTGGGCCGCCGAGGACATGGAGGAAGACATTCAGGACGTCGATCTGTCGATGGCGATCGGCAACTACGGGCAGGGCGGATACAACGATGGTGCGTGCGCCGTCCGATCGTGTGTTCGCGAGCTCACCGTCGTCCGTAGCGCACATGTCGCAGCCCCAGATCGATGAGTCGACGCTGATTGCGATGCAGCAACATATGGCGCAGCAAGCGGCGTTCTCGCAGATCCCGGACGTGGTGAAGGGCGTGAGTAGCAGTATGCATCAATTCGTGGACGATCCCCTCACGTTCCACAGTTCATCGTGCACTTCCACCAAGCCGTACTCGACAACAACCTTGCTGAGATCACTGTCGCGTACGAGAGCGGATGGAACAAGTACACTGAAAAGTTCTACGCGCGGTCAGAATGGCCGGAGGCGGAGATCATTGCTCCCCTCGTCAACGATGGTGCGCGGCGCGACCTATACGTCCTGAAAACGATCTGACGTCCTCCCCAGACCCCATCTTCCTCATCCTGTACCGTGAACTCTACTACCGCCACGTCTACTCGCGCCTCCAGCCCAACATCGACGATCGCTTCCATTCATACGAGAACAGCTGCGAACTCTTCAATTACCTCCTCAGTACGGCCCCATCTCCCTCCTCAACTTTCATCCATCTCACTTCCCTTCAGACTCCGACGGCCCGGTCGAACTCCAGCTCCCCGAGCAATGGCTATGGGACATCATCGACGAGTTCATCTACCAGTTCCAGGTCTTTTGCACCTGGCGATCGAAGATCAAGAACAAGTCCGAGGACGAGCTCATGCTCCTTGCGGAGGGTGGACCAGTGCGTGGTGTGCTACCTAATTGTTCCAGCTCTGACCCCTGGCGCAGCAAGTCTGGAGCTCGTACAGCGTGCTGAACGTACTCTACTCCCTCATCCAAAAATCCAAGATCAACGAGTTCATCGTCGCCACACGCGAGGGAAAGTCCCCCGAGGAGATTGCGTGCGTATACGGCGTCATGGTGGACTTAAGAATTCGCTGACATACTTTCCAGGGAGATCGTTGGCGAGTACGGCCAGAAGCCGCTCTACCGCATGCTCGGATACTTCAGCATCGTCGGTCTGTTGCGCGTGCACGTCCTCCTCGGCGACTTCACGCTCGCGCTGAAGGTCATGGACGACGTCGAGTTCAACCTGAAGACCCCCTTCACGCGCGTCACCGCATGCCATGTCACGACCTTCTACCACGTCGGCTTCTGCTACCTGATGCTGCGCCGCTATCCGGACGCCATCCGCACCTTCGTCACCATCCTCAACTTCATCATGCGCACACGGCAGTATCACACCCGCAGCTACCAGTACGACCAGATCAACAAGACGGCCGACCGTATGTACGCCCTCTTCGCGATCTGTAATGCCCTCTCGCCGAGTCGGCTGGACGACAACATCGCGAACACGTCGAAGGAGCGCTTTGGCGACCAGTTTGCCAAGATGGCGCGCGGCGGGTAAGCTCAGGTCACTATCCGCCCCATGCTTCCCTCCCACTAATTATTCGCCAGACCCGACGCCCAGAGCGCCTTTGAGGAGCTATTCCTCTTCGCCTGCCCCAAGTTCATCACCGCCAACTCCCCGCCGTACGATGACCCCGAGGCGCTCGCCGCCTACGTCGCCTCCACCGAGAGCTCCGAGCCGCTCCAGGCGGACCCGACCCGGCGACACCTCTCCCTCTTCCTCGCCGATGCCGCCGCGCAGGGCACGGTGCCCACGCTGCGCAGCTTCCTCAAGCTGTACACGAGCGTCGGCGCGCCGAAGCTCGCGAACTTCCTCGACGCGGACGAGGAGGAGATGGTGCAGGAGCTGATGGTCATGAAGCAGAGCTCGCGCAGCACGTCGCGCGTCGGGGGCGGCAGCCTGCTCGACGGGGAGACGATCTCGACGAGCGATCTGAACTTTGTGGTCGATGAGGTGCGTGTGGGGCATAAAGTTCGTGGCTGAGATGCTGAATGACGAACAGAACATGGTCCACATCGCCGAGTCGACTGTCGGGCGGCGGTACGCCGGCTGGTTTATCAAGAATGCCGAGCGGACGCAGCGGATACTGGACGAGCTCAAGAAGGCGCCGCTCGCGCCCTCCGCCGAGCAGCAGCAGCGCGCCGCACAGCAAACCCAGCATCACGCAAAGACCGGCGGCCCAGCACCCAGCGGCGGGGCCAAGAAGGTCGCCTGGGGCGGGGCGAAGTAAGCACGTGAGCGTGACGTGTCACTGTTGATGTACTACCTGCTGTACGTTCTCTGTTGTACTATTCCTGCTATAGCTATCTGTGCGCCTGGTGTTAGCGGACGAGTGCTGATGACTCGAGCGACTGTTGAGGTAATGAGCGAGGAGATGGATCTGATACAGGGGTGGCATATGCTTTCATTGTGGACGGCGAGGGCGTGACGACTTCCTCGTACATGACTCGCGCTGCGCGCATGACTCAAAAGAGGGTATCTTCTGTTCAGGTGGTCCTATACTTCTCTTCTTCACCTTCTACAGTACCTTCAACGTCCACAACACAGGCAATATCATGTCCGACGCGTACAACTTCTGTTTTCCTCTTCCTCCGTCCCTGGAGTCAGAAAAGGTCAAGCTCGTCCCGTTTGTGGTAAGTCGTACCTCTTCACTCATCCACTCTCTTCATATCCTCACAACTTCACTTCTCTCTCCCAGATGGAAAAACACGCCGCCCCCTTCATCCCCCTCCACCAAACCCACGCGCGCTACTTCGAGCACGTTCCCTTCGGCCCCTGGACATCCGTCAACGAGATGCGCGCCGCCATCGAACCCCGCATCCTCAACGACCCCACCGCCGTCATGTTTGCCGTCCTCGACAAGTCCATGCTCCGTCCTGTCGATACTCCCAATGAGCATGACGCCGTCGACACGCCCGGGGAAACCAACGCCGTCGACACGCCCGACGAAACCAACGCCGTCGCCGGCTGCATCGGCTACCTCGCCGCCTCGCCCGCTAACCTCTCCGCCGAGCTCGCCTTCGTGCTCTGCCTCCCCGCCTTCCAGGGCAAGCACATCGCGTCCGAGGCGTCGCGACTGCTCATGCACCTCGCGCTGGACACACCAGAGCAGGGCGGGCTGGGCTTGCGGCGGCTAGAATGGCGCGCAAACTCGCTGAACGTGAAGAGCATCCAACTGGCGATGCACTTGGGCTTCCGGCTGGACGCAATCCTTCGGTGGCACTTCGTGTTCCCTGAGCACAAGGCTGGCAATGGTCGAAGCATACGAGAGGGTGATCCCAGGCCGGGCACGAAAGGCAGAGACACTGCAGTTCTGAGTCTCACCTGGGACGACTGGGAAAACACCCTGCTTCAGAAATGAGTTGTCTTCGCGCGTAATTTCGATCACTCTCTGTGATAAAGCTTCCAAAGTAATTATACACCGTGGTATGTACTATACATGTCTACTTTCTATACAGGTCTAACACACTTTTCAGCTATGCTTACAGCGTAGAAATGTCGATGACGAAGCGGAAGCGGACGTCCGACTTGACGACGCGGTCCCAAGCTTCGTTGCTGAAGGGAAAGTCAGCAAAGAGCACTGAATCAGCTGATTGGGGGACGTACATGTAAGACGCCGGGATGGTCTCGATCTCGGCAGTGATACCATGCTCCGCTGCGAAACTGTGAGCAAGGAATACATATCTTAGCCATCGGGAGACATACCACAGAAGTCCAGCATCTCCTGTGTCTCTTTGATACCACCGATGCAAGAGCCCGCAAGGCTGCGGCGGCCGGCAACAACGCTGAACGCATGCAGGCTCATCGGGTGCTCAGGGATACCGACCTCGACGATGCTGCCGTTTCGGCGGAGCAGGGACATGTATTGGTCAAGGTTGAGGTTTGCGGACACCGTGTTGATGATGAGGTCGAAGTGGCCCTTCAACGTCGAGAAGGTCTCCGCATCCGACGTCGCGAAGTACTTGTCGGCGCCGAGCTTGAGGCCGAGCTCCTTCTTGCTGAGAGACTGCGACAGAACGGTGACCTCAGCGCCAAGCGCCCTGTAGATGGGTCAGTTCTTTCTACGTCCGCAATTGCTCGTGGCAATCAACGTACTTGGCGATCTTGACACCGGCGTGGCCGAGCCCACCCAGGCCGATGATGCCAACGCGCTTCCCCGGACCAGCGTGCCAATGGCGCAGAGGCGAGTACATGGTGATGCCAGCGCCTGGAACCTCATGAGCGAGCTGTCTTGTTTATCGGGAATCGAAACTCACAGAGCAATGGGGCGGCCTTGTCCAAGGGAATGCTCTCTGGGATGTTCAGGACGAAGTCCTGATCGACGACAATCATCTGCGAGTAGCCGCCCGCCGTTGGCGTGAAATTCGCCTTCGGGTCCTACGCAGAAGGTGAGTTCAACTGGGGGTAGAATATCGCGTACACGAGGCGCACCTTGCCATTGTAGGTCTGGACATTGCCGTTGATCGTCCCGTCTCCGGTGCAGTACTGCTCCTCGCCGTCCTTGCAGTTCTCGCAGGAGCGGCAGGAGTTCACCATGCAGCCGACACCAACATGCTGCCCGACCTTGAACTTGGTAACGTTCTTACCGACGCTGCGAACGATACCGGCAATCTCATGGCCGACGACCATGGGGAACGGGATCTCGCCCCATTCCTGGACTCGCATTTAGCAATCCGGCACAAAGATAGAGGAACGAGGCGTACGCACCCCGCGGATGGTGTGGATGTCGCTGTGGCAGATGCCCGCGTACTTGATGTCGATGACCACGTCGTTATCGTCGGGCGCGCGACGCTCGATCGTGAGCGGCTTCAAGGGCTCCTTGGGGCCGGTGACACCGTAAGCCTTGACAGTGGTGGACATTTTGCGTTCGTGAAGGGGCGGGGAAGAGTGGACGTGGGGTGTGGAGAGTGCAGGAAAGTGAGGGACCTCCTAGCCGTCGACGCGCCTTATATACTCACCCGCCTTGGGGCCCACTTCCCGCTGACAGAGCCCCCCAGGATCGGCTGGCGCGCCCCTCACCGTATGACGGATCGCGGGCGACTTGACACTTATCGATCGACCTTCCGCATGGCGGGATGAGGTATGCTCCCGAGGCCCGACGATTGCGTACGCGCGTCCGCTGCTTGCCGCCCACGATGCTGAGCGACAGTCCATTTCGGACGCAAACCCCAAGGCGGGGAGGAGCCCGTCTCCGATTCGGACGCGCATTGAGCCTCGCTTGTCCTGGTCTGCCAGGATTAGGACTCAGAACGGCAGGGCTACAGCCCCGACCTCCTGTGTTCTTGAACTTTCGCGTATTTTCTCCTTCGCAAGGTTGCCCGCGGAGATGGACGATCTCCATCACATCGTTCGCTCAAAATTAGGTTCCGCTCAGAATCAAGTGGAAGGCGCGCACCCCACCCACTGATCCAGAGCCGCGCGCCCGGCAGTGGAACACAACCGGCGCGCCGCCACTTACGCATAGGAATCCACCTGTCTCTTCGTGAGGCACTAGGGGCACGATGTCTGCAACAGCGAGCTCGAATCGAGCCCACGAACATTTAGCTGGATGCGTAGCAATCAACACCACGATAACAAAGCCCCATTAGATTAGATAGCGGTGTAGAACTCATCTCGGTGACCCTCTCAACACTCCTCAGCTCCAGCGGGCGCGACAGAAGGCTCAGGACTACTCGGTGGTAGCGCCGATCCCTCGTCCAGGCCCGAGCCCATCCCCTCTCCCTCGTATTCGTCCACATAGCCAAAAACGCCGTCTCGCAGATCCAGGTCCAAATCTTCCGTGCTCCGCTTCTGCCAGACCTGCCGTCCCAGCGAGTCGAAGGACAGCCTCTCGTGGATGGAAGTCTGCGGACCCTGCGCATGCCTACGCGCCTCGGACCGACCGAGGCCGTCGATGCGCACCCTCGATGGCGATCCCCACGCCGTCGGTCGTGTTCTCTCTCGGACCGCGCCGCCTGCATCTCGACACCCCGCGACCCCAGTATCTGCCAACCCCGCATCGCCTGAACCTCCCCGCCCCGCGACTCCCTCCCCCCCACCCCTAAGACCCTTCGTCGAAGTCTCCTCTCGCGCGTATATTGGCCGATATACGTACTGACGGAGCACGTCAGGCAGGTTCGTAGGGCGCGGGGTAGAGCTGCGCGAGCTCGGGGTCGAGGACGAGGTATGACTGCGGAGGCTCGAGGACGAGGCGCCGCCGCGCGCAGGGAGAAGCCTTTCGTAAGCAGTCGCGGACCCGCTGATGACCTCTTGCACGCGGATACCCCATCGCAGCTGCTCGTACGCGACTTGCGCGCGCTGGCGGAAGAGCGCGAAGACGGTGGGCGTGATGGAGGCGGTGCAGTTCTGGGGTCTGGTGAGTATACAAGTTCTCTGTTTCTCTGCATCGATGAATCTTTCGGTCAAGAAAAGGAGATTCAAGGGCGTGTATGAAGAGTCTCAAGCGCGAGTCGGAAGGAATGAAAAAGTAGAATGCCATGTCAACTCACCTTCGTCCGAATGAACGGGTCAATGAGGCATAACGTATCGCCCTCCCATTGCTTGTTGACGAGAGGGGAAGCAGAGAAGTCGACGTCGTTGCGTTCTGCGTCGGAGTCGCGGTCTGGTCGAGCGGGGTCAGGATCTGCGCTGGTTCTCGATGAGGGCATGCTGGCATCGGTAGAGCCTGTTCCAGCTTCCAATGCGTCTACACTGGCTTCGACGGCGGTCAGACTAGCATCTACAGCGTCCCGATTAGCATCAACGGCGTCCAGACTAGCTTCATGCGCCCCATCCTTGGCCTCATGCAAGCCGTCCGATCCGGAACCACATTGCGAAACGTCCACATTGGACTCCGAGGATGAGACCAAGATGGGTTCTGTCGATGATACCGACTTAGCCCCATCTTCGACTCGCGGTGATTCCGCCCCATCCTCGAGCGATGCTGCCCCATCCTCGAGCGATTCTGCCCCTTGAACGGCAGACACCACGCCTTGGTCAGAAGCCAGTCCCATGTCCGCGGACTCCGACTTCTCGGCAAGCCGCTGCCCCTTGTCTAGGGTAGCAGACGACTCGCTGGTGGGGGTAGACATCTCGGTGAGGTTGAGCGGCTCCTCGGTGGCGTTGAGCGGCTCCTCAGTGGCGATGGGCATCTCGCTGGCGGCGACGAAGGGCACATCGCCGGAGGTGGTAGGTATCACCTCGGGCTGCTCGAGCGTCTTGCGCATGTCGTACTCGGGCGCTTTACGCACGTCCTGCTCAGGCGCCTTGCGCATGTCCTGCCATCTGACAGGCGAGCAGTCCTTGCGCGAGATGAGCCCGCCGTGCCGGATACTGAGCATGTGGTGCTTGGGGTTAAAGTCCTTGGCCCAGAACCTGTAGAGAGGAGGGGGGTTCAGCAAGGGTCCTTGGATTACGACAACGCGCCCAAGAAAAAACAAGACTCACTTAAACCAATCAATCAACAGCTCTACCAGGTCCTTATACTCTGCGTGCGACCAGTTCGGCTCCTGCACAATCTCGATGCCGGTGCCGTCCTCACGAGCGAGGACCTTCCTACCATTTCCGTACCGAAAGACCTTGGGGGCAGGCGTTCCTCTATCGCGCGCGAGTTCCAGACACTCCGACGGTGATAGCTCGTGCGACGCCTCTGCCCGGCCTCCCGAGGTCTGCGCTAGCCCCTCAGCACCCTCCCAACCTGACTGCAGCCCCTCCCCACTTGCCGCCACTCCATCGCCCGACCCTGAGGTCTCGCTCTCCCCACCCTTCGCCAACGCCATGTTCAACAGCTCCATCTCCCCCTTCCCCACTACCCTTTTGAAGTGCTTCGCACGATGCGTAAAGAAGCGCACATCACACCTCACGCGCTGTGCGCTTGGCCAGAAGTGGCCGTCCAGGACGGATGGCGGGAGGTCGGTGAGGGGTGCTTGGAGGTTGGGGAGGTGACCTTTGGCCTGGGTGAGGGGTTAGCTCAGATAGGAGAGGATGTGTAAACGCAGATAGAAGAGAATGCGTAAAGCAAGGGGTTATGATTGTCGAAGAGCAAGTTTGGGAAACGGGAGGGAGGGTAAAGACAGCGCGGAGTATATAACGCCACAAGATACAGACACCCACCTGCAAGAACGCGATAGCCATCAGGGCAAGGGAGTAGCTGCTAAAGGAGACTTGGCGGTTTGCGGTACTCGGCCTGGAAACGGGAAGGTCAGCATCGTTAAAGCAGCTGGCATGCTGGTCATCGCTGAAGGCCGCGAAGGGACGTCCGCGGACCCGAGGACCTTCATCAATCCGCGGACATCCGGAAACCCGCGGACTTTGCTCGATGGACCCGGCGAACACTCACTCATTCAGCCCGTGGACCTTCGCCCAGTGCTTCGTGCACGCCATGAAGGGGCGCAAGACGCGGCTCGTGACACAGTATTCCTGGAAGACACCGAAGTGAGAAACCGACTTTCATGCCCGATGTTGGCTGAAAAGAAGCGAACTGGCTACTTACCCTGATCAAGTCCGAATTGTACGCCCCCAGTCGGTCGTTAACGTTGATGTCAAAGTGAAGACCTGTCCACCGATCGCGCGCCTTCACTAGACAAGGCTGACATGAGCCATTTGGTACGGATGCAGGTAGAAAGGAGAGAAGGAAGTACCTATCGGAACAGTCGCCCAAGGGATTGTCTGTTCGACGATGAAGCCTTCGTCCTGGAGCACTCGCGCCAGACCTCTATCAGTGTCAGTTTGGTAGGGGCATGAAGAGGATGGGGGTTGTGCACTACCTGATATTATGCGGTGCTGGTAAGAGACGTCAGGGCGAGGCATCCAACGAGAGGAAGGACGACGTACAACGACGAGAAGAACGCAGTCTGGTCATCTTGTTACGATAGCCTGGAGCCCAGCCATAGGGTGCATGAGGATCCTACATATATGTGAGTTAATGAGAGAACGATGAATGTAGGAGAGTGAGATCGGGGGTAGATGTTCGGCAAGAATGACTGTCCGTGTATTGCAGCGCAGGAGGGGTGAGCTTATCAGAGGCGCCAGTACATACCATGATCACCAAGTCCAGGTCGCTGTTCTCCGTAGTCAAGCCGTACCGCGCGCTCCCGAAGGCCTCCACCGTGTATTCCTGACCATACGCGCGCTGTATAGCGCGCTGCACCGACTGAAGCGTGCGCCGATGTCGCCAAAGACGGTCAGGAGTAGATGCCGGAGGAGTAAAAGGGACGTCTTTGCGAGACCGCGAAGCCTGTACGTGTACGGAGAAAATGTTGAAGCAAGCAGAAGGGGATGGGGCATGAGTGTATGATCCTGCTCTCAGATCGGATGCGCACCTTGTCACTGCCTCTCAGCCTCCCTTGATCCTTTCGTGGTCTATACTTTCTACGCGAAGCTTCCCTGTCCTCGTGAGCAATATCCTCGGCCAGCACCTTGTCGACGCGTCGAAGGAAGTTGGCGCTTCGCCGCAGATCATTGGAAGACGCCGATGTTGAAAAAGAGCGTGAAGGTCGTATACATGGGAGACATAAAGGTAGATGGACTGGAATACGCGCGACGTTCACGACATGTCGAGCAGCGCTCATGACAGTCGGAGAAAGATTCGACTTGTTCAAGAGACGGAGACGGAGCGAATTTCGGTGCGGCGATGTCGGGCCGAGCCCCGTTAGCTCCGTGATCCGTTGCTTCGGCAACTCCCGGCCTTTGCCACAAATAAAGAAACCTTTTTTTCTGCTTCTTTTGTCCTGCCACCATGTGTCGACAAAGAAAACTTGACACAGCGTCTTTCAGGGCATCCCCTTAATTTATACTGGCATGTTATGTGTATGTCTGCCGGTTACCAAGCCTGGGGACCCCGACTTCCCCGTGCATCGATGCTATTGTTCATGTCACACCCCGGCCTCGGCATCCGGAGATAGATTACCACAAAGGTTCATTGTTGGTTCATTGTCCCCGGCATTCAATTGTGCGCGAAGACCGGTGCATCATGGCCGAGGCGTGTTGGAGCATATAAATGTGAAGGTTCGCGGGACGTTCGCCTGCTTACCCCCCATCGACCTCACCGTGCCACACGCACTCGGTACATTTGCTAACGCTCTGCATACTCTGGCTTCATCTTTCTCCATACTCTTACTCTACCTGCTTAACCCCTCGCGCTTTTCTGCTCACTAATCACCATGATGCAACGCGGCTCCTCGACGCCACAGTGGCCAGGCTACTGCGAAGACCCAAACGACCGCGTCGTCCGCAAGAGCAGCACTCACGGGAGACAGGTATATTGCTCTCCTACTCTTTTCGCGACTCTTGTTCTGACAAGCGCCCATCGCCACAGTCCAACGTACCGCGCCTAATGACACCGCCACCGGGCAGAGCCCGTGGCTTGACGACTCACTCTAATGCCTCTACGACTTCGCTCGTTGGAAGTCCTAATCCTCGACCTGTGCACGGCGCGCCAAATCCACCGACCTCGACTCCGCCTCAGCTCAGCATTACCGCGCCTACTCTTCCTATCGGCTCGAACTCTCCAATCCCGTACTCGCCGCCCCGATTGACGCCCCCGCCCGCGTTCATGGTTCAACAGTTTGAACAGACGATGGCTTCCCTCGTGAAGCATCCGACGCTTCTGGTTTCTCGCCCACCTCATGGCTCTGCCGTGACCTTCCAAAGCTCTCGAGGGTCCTTGCACACTTCTGGCGTGACCTCTCCGAACTCTCGAGGGTCCTTGCAGGCCTCTGTCGGGCCAATTCAGACCCCTCGCCCGAAAGACCCGCTTCCGAAGTGGCTCCTTGATCGACAACGGTCCAAGCCTCCGAGATTGGGCGGTGATTTTTTAGGTGGCTCTTCTACTTCCTCCTTGAACGCTGCGGCTTCACCTTACAAGCCCATCCCGCCCTTTCGCCCGGATTTTCTGGGTGGTAAAGACGGCCTCGAGGAGGTACCACTATCACCACCCGCCGGCCAAAGCTCGTTCAGCGGCCAACTGTCCTTCCGCGACCAGCACTCCCCTACTGACTCGCACTGCAATTACGGACAGCCGTCATCTTCTCAGCTCGCTTTCAGCGCCGCACTCGTGGATATCCCGCCCTTCTCTTCCACCCCGCCGGTGCCACCCGGTCTCGGGTTCAAGACCGACGACGACGATGAGATTGTGTGGGATAAAGACGTGCTGAGGGGTAGGCCGTCGACGGTGGGCGCGATCGGCTCCGGGAGGCCATCGCAGCGCAGCGACAGCGACAACCAGCCCGGCCGCCGCAAGGGCCGCCGATTTGGGGAGCCTAAGACCAGGAACGGGGAGAAGTTCGCTCAGTTCGAGGAGCAGACCTTCCGGTTTGAGGAGAAGAGCGCCCACTTCGAGCTCTACGACCTTCCTGGGAGCCGGGACGATTTCGGCTCGCGCTCGTCCTCTTTCTGCTCGGATTCATCCTCCGATTCTGAGATGTCCGAGGCCTCGTCGTCGTCGTCCGACCAGGACAAGGATTCAATCGAGGTCACGATCAACGAAGTCGACCCCTTCAACGACTTCATGGACATCGATCCTTACTCTCCGGCGAACTCGTCGATGGCTTCGCAGATGGAGCCCAGCGTCCAGACATCGCAATCTTTCTATCAGGCCTCGCAGTTACAGGCCGACCAGACCGCGCAGCCACAAGGCAACCAGTCTTCTTCTGAGATCCTCAACAACCGTACGCGGAAGGCCTACATGCAGGCCCTGTGGGCTCAGGAATTACTCGGTCGCTATGAGCAGGGGCGGTTGGGACGGACGCTGCAATTTGTGCGGCGGCCTTCTCCGCTGCGGCGGGAGCTCGAACCGGAGGTATCATGGGACAACCATGAAGAGGTGTAGATAGGAGGGCCAGAAGGAGGCGACAGCGTCGCCCGGTCCTCTGAGGCACTACTAGACGCACCGACGCACTGCACACAGGATAAGGTCTACGGACGACAAGCTTTCAACCCCTCACTGTATACTACCACTAGATCGCACGCTTGCTACTCATATGCTACATCGTACTAATATGTACCATCACGCTCAGTTTTGTCTCTTTTGGTCTCAACCAGCATTGTATCTCTACCGCACTGGCTCGTACTAGAACACCCACGCTCCCTGATATTTGGAATTTCATATGCTCTCTTTATTACTAGTCTCAGTGGCTACAGCTCGCGCAATTTCTATCACTTCTCCTCAGCGCCCTTGTGCGCATTCGCCCAGAGCGCAACCGTCTCCTCCGGCCACGGGTGCTGCGGCTTCGGGTACCACGACGTCGCCGCGAACTCGGCGACGCTCTTCCGCGGATACAAATCCGGATACAGCTCCTTCGCATCCAGCGCGCCGTCCTTCTTTGCCTGCTCCACCGTATTGTCCCCTCGCACGAACAGACTGTACCCATACTCCGCAAACCAGCGCAGCGGCTCCGCCTTCGCCCCGCCCGCCGTCGTCTCCGCGATCTGCTTCTGCAGGTCCTCGGCGGAGAGGCGGACGATGACCTTGCGCAGGCCCTCCGCGTCGCCGCACTTGGCCTTGTGGGGATCCTGCCCGGAGACCCCTTACCAGTACTCTCGAGTCACGCTCGTACGTAGCATTTCTTTTTGCTCGTATTTTATGTACATTGTAGATTAGATTAGATATGTCGCAGGCCGCAAGGCGGCCTGCCGCATCGGGAATAACCACCATCTTCACTCTTACCACCGTCTGCAGCTCAACTTAGCCTCCTCGGAGAGAGGCTCTGAGCAGCAGGCACCGGAAGGGTCGCCTCCCGCCTCGTCGTAGAGTAATACTCCGACGCAGGCACTCTCCTATACCCGATCTCACGCGCGCGCGTCGTAACACGCGCTCTACACGCTACTCGAGCGCTCCCGCGCCCGACCGTCGCCAACGGGCGACCACTCTGCACTCGCTCCTACCCGCTCGACTGGTGAGATCCCCACTCGCGGGCCCAGAGCTCCCGCAGGCCTCGGCGATGCGGAAGAGGTCGGCGGTGGTGACGTGGTCATCGTAGACGAAGACAGTTTGGTTGAGCGTGCGCGGGTCGCCCAGGATGCGTGCGACGAAGGTGCCGACGGAGGCAAGGGCAGTTACGGCCGTTGGGATGTCGCCGGGACCGCGGTAGAGGTAGCTCATCTCGGCGATGGGGTTGCCCTTGTAACTCGGTGGATAGGGAAGTAGGGACTACGAAGTAAAGGAGCAGTATCGTCAGTACATCGACCTCGATGAATGACAGGACATCTATCTTACCTCGCACCAAAAGCCGACTTCGATGAAGGTATGGCCGAGGCCGAGCGAGCGGATGTAGTCGCGAATGGCAAGTTTCTGCAAGGTTATTCGTCGGTGGAAATCTCAAAGCCTCTCATACGCACTTGCCTTGTCATTCAAGAGCATGGCGCCAGGCGGGGCATGGCTGCTGAAATCATCCGGCACGACGCGCTTGACGCCCGCCTCCTTCGCCGCCGCGAACAGCGGACGCTGTGCATCCAGCATCATCGCATGCACGGTCGACACCAAGATGTCCGCGCCATCGAGCAACTTGACGAGCTCGGCGTGCGTGGCGGTGGTCAGGTCGGAGCAGACGAGAATTTCGACACCGCGATTCTTGAACTCGACGGCGGCGGGCTTAGTGGGGGTGCGCACAATGGTTGCGACGCGCTGAGCGTGGGGATGAGTATCAACAAATGGATGGGCTGCAGTGGCAAAGAGAGCTCACGAAACTGCCGGATTCGAGAAGCCCATTGACGATGCTCGTGCCCGTGGCACCAGTAGCGCCAACGACAACCACGCGGGGCTTTCTATCGCTCGACATGTTCAGTAGATGTCAAAATGAGACGAAATCCTGCTGGTGTAAATGTAGAAGCAAGGGCATCAAGAGACCTTTTATACCACAGGTAGCCCCACACAAAACAGCGAATGACCTTCCCCGATTCTTTCGGAAAAGCTAGGGTTGTCAGCTCGTTGTCAGTCGTTGATAAAGTCTTACATAGAAGACCTGGAGAGGTGGGTCGGAAGTAGCGAGCCATGCGGAACACTCCCGAACCAGAGTGTAAATCTGGATTGTGGGATGCGAGTGGATAACAGCCCGGCGTTCAGTTGACGAGTAATCCCCTTGGACCCATTCTCCTTGAATTGTCCCGGAAGGCTTCTCAGCTTACAGACATGTTCATAGAGGGTGTAGAGGATTTATATAGGAAAGAAATCAAATGGACGCTTGCCCAATTACATGACAAATGACAGCGCAGAGTGGCTTGATGATGGGGGTCCACAAGTGTCAAGAGATCCTGGAAAATATCCTAATTTGGCAATTCGTCGGGATGTCACCTGACTCCGTGCCGTCGCCGACTCGCCGGCTTGAGTTACAGTAAGTATTACCCCATCTGGAACGCCCTTTGTTGATTGGATGTGCTTCTCTCCTCATTGCGACATGAAGAGCAAGATATTGTTGCAGCAGTCGAGCTCACATAATTATTACTAACACTAATACCGAGCACCCTTGAGTAAAGCAACACAAATCCCTGCTGCACAGCACAACCCAGCATCGCGCTTAACAAGCACCGTTATCAGCCCATACACCCGACGAGCTACCAGGCGCCTCGTTCTGAGTCCACCACTTGGCCGTCCAGAGGTGTTTGTTGTACGTGGCCGTCTGTCCGCCCGTGTACGCAACGGAAGCACTCCAGGCGGCCACGCCCGAGCACTTGCCACCCGGCGGAGGGGGCGGGGGCGTACCGCCGCCACCCTTACCACCCATGTTGTTTCGGACATTGTCCCACTTGGAGCTCGGATAGCTGTAGGTGGCCGTGCTTCAGTCAACTGCAATCAGCTCACATATAACAAGAGCACGTACTTGATATGGTTCTGTGTGCTATCGAGCGCACCAAAGACGCTGTGGGTAACCCCCGGGAGACTGTCGGCACCGACCTTGTCCGAGGCGAGCTCCCAGAACATCGTGCCCGCAAGCCCATTGTTAGCGACGTACTGCGCCTTGGTTCTGGCGATGCCGGGGGTATCGTAGGAGACGAACTCGCGCTTGCTGGAGTCGTACGAGTACGATGCGACGGAGGTCGAATTTTCGTAGACGCGGGCGCCGGCGACTAGCAAGACGTTAGCAACATGTCCGGAAATGAGAAGAACGTACGCACGCGGGAGAGTCTTGTAGCTGTAGATGCCGAGCTCGGACGTGCCAGGGCCAACGCCATTGTACGTATGTCCAAGACCATCTGTAGGAGGATGAGCAGGAGGGATGTACGGGAAGGGCGACGACGTACCGGTGTTCTCAAAAGCGCGACCGTAAAGAGGCAAGCCCAGGACGATCTTGGACGCCGTCGCGCCGTTCGCCCTGTACCAGTCAAGCGCCGCCTTCGTACTGACGTTGTTGTAGCCGTCGGGGTACAAGTTCGCCTGGTTCGCGACTGTCGGCAGCCACGAGCCGGCATAATCATACGCCTAGTAGCAGTTTCGTCAGCCAAAGGACGCTCGACTTGTAGGCGCGCGGCTCCCAACTCACCATCAAGTTCCAATAAGTCAGCGCCGCATTCATCGTCCCCACATTCAGATACCGATAGTTATCCGCCCCCGCACTCACCGCCGCCGAGATCTCGTACGGCGTCGCATCCCCCTTGCTCTGCTGCAGCCGATTCAGCGCTGCTCGCAGCTCCGTGAACAATGCAGCAAAACCCGCGCCCTGCTCCGCCGATGCCGGATACTCGAAGTCGATGTCAATCCCGTCGAACCCATAGTCCTCGACGAGGCGTACGGCGCTGTTGACGAACTGAGTACGTGCGGCGGGGTTGGTGACGAAGGCGAAGTGGCCGTTCTGGGAGTAGGTGTAGCCGCCGACGGAGAGGAGGACTTTGATGTTGCGGTTGGCGAGCTTGATGAGGTACATTTGTTTGAGGCAGCCGTAGAGGTTGTTGCCTGTGGCGTGAATGAGTATCGTCGAGTATAAGAACAAATACAAACAAAGTACTGACCTGGCTCGCTGTAGGAGTCGCCTGGGAAATGTATCTGCTCATCCGCCCACGCATCCGTGAGGGTGATGGCGCCTGTGCTGGCGCTCGTGTCCGCAAAGCCATATAGGATATCTGCCGACTAGCGTCAGACACAGCGAGGCGACTGGTATGCGCAGAACGTACGCGTGAGATCCTTCGTCACGATCGCCTGTGGATAGAAGTTTCCCAGTCCGGCGTAGATAGCCCCTAGGACGATCCCTCCATGAGCAGAGACCGCAAGTATAGATGACGACGCTTACAATTCACATAGTACGCCGAATTGACCCGTCCAGTTGCGCGCTTCTGAATCTCGTGCACCGGAGCGTTCTGCTGGATGGGAAATATATTCATAGTCTCGTTCTTGTTGGCGGGGATCTTCATCGACTCCGTCGCCGACGCAAGCTGCGCCACATACGGCAAAATCGCGAAGAGGATGGAGAGAAAGATCATGATCGCCGGGGCCTGATATCTCGCTATGAGGGGGAGTACAAGGCAAACCTGCTTGTGACTGACTGCGTTAGTCGACTGGGCTTATATACTCAGACCTCTCTTCGTAGCGGCGCACGGGCGCTGGCGTCGAGAAAGGGAATCCATGTGCTCTTCGAGCGCGCACGTCAAGCGCGGGATTCCGCGAGGATACCCGGGTTGCTCACTGACAAGGCAACCGCCTGAAAAGCCAGCCGGTAAGCAGAAGAATCCGAGAGCAGGCGTGCGGGCTTCATTGCGCGGCATCGATAGACGGGTCTTGTCGATGATAGGAGACACTGCCAGAGTGCTCGCGCAGCGATACCGACCTTTCCTGTCGGCTACATCGCCCTAGAAGGCCTGCGGCGCGAAAGGAGGTAGACGTATCGGGTGTCCGGTAGTGAAGGATAACCCGGGTTCTGCCCGATTCAACGACGGTGGAGGAAAAAGGCGAACAATCGGGATCACTGGACATATAGGATCTTCATGATGTGCGGGGATTGAGGTGCTTGAAAAGGGACACCTAGAAGACACATGACAGGCCCGAAGCGTTCGGTGCTTGATGATACTCCCGGGTGCAACGCAAGAGACTCAATTCGCCTGTTTGGTCGCCTTGTAGAGGTGGCTAGAGTAGGTCGAGGAGTTGATATCAGCCAGTTTCCTGACGTGTGATAGTGGACAGAAATCGGGGTTGACATGATGCGTTGCCCGATAGAAGTGCTCAAGACCGTAGCGCCATCAAGTGATGATTCTAGGTCCAGGATTCGGGAGTCGTCAGTCAAGTTTGACATTGTAAAGTAGATTCATCGCAGTTGCTTGACTTCAGAAGGTTGGACTCCAGGCGATCAGTTGCCTTTGTCGGTGAGCTGGGCTGATGAACCGCTGACTCCCATCTCCACATTCGGCAAGTCTGCTGAGTAGCGCTGGCGCAGCAAGTTGAGCCATATGGGAGTAGGAGACAACCGTGAGATTTGCCCATGTTTGTCCGGCTCGGCTGTTTATGCCATTTCCCCTTTTGGAATGTTTTGTTTTGCTCCGATTCCCACGGACGAAAGAGTCGTACAACAAATGCACTTGCCTTTAAGTTCGCCCACACTTCACGACACAGCTTTGATTCTATATATGTATCTGCTACCAGAAAGCGAAGATTGCAAATATTAACGACGAGGGGGGATCCAAGCTGGTAAGGCTACATATCATGTACGCCTACAATGGTTAATCATGCACGCCTAGCTAATCATGTAACTTACGCCTAACTGTCCGTTTATCACCTATGCTGTATCTCAGAAGACGACCGGGACTGCGGGCGGCGGCGCCCGCGTCGCGCCCGGGCGTGGTTATGTATATGCTGCGTACTACATACTAGAGGAAGCCCCGGCTTCGCCGGTTGCATACCTTGCTTGCATCACGCGCGTGAGTCTGAATTCTGCTGTCGTTGACAGAGCTCGTCGTGTGGTGTCGTACAGGACTTGTGGACGAAGGTGTCTGCACGTTTACCGATGTTGTCTTCGGAACGTGCTACGCACATGGGGTCATTTTTGATGGGGTCAATAAGACACGGGAAAGACCTTGCAAGCAAGGTGACTACCGGACCCCGATGCCAATGGCAACGACCGATACCCCAACGGACGATGTCGCCTTCACATCCCATTCGCGTAACTGACGCTCTCGCTCAGGTGCTCGTTCGCAGGGTTGTATGTGAAACCGCGGAACTGGTCCTGCACGGTCTCGGATAGCGCGGAGTCAGTGACGACCGAGTCCTGCGCCTCCTCGTTGGTGAAGTCGGGGTCGAAGTTCGCGACGTCGAGCACGGATTCCTGGAAGGATGAAGATCAGAGAATATCAGGTAGCATCTAGACACGAACGTACCACGCTCGGCTTGAACGGCGGCTGGATCTTCTTCGCCAATAGCTTCCCCCAGTCGACGTACTTGGCGAAGAAGGGATGGCGCTTGATCTCCTCTCCACCGTTGTGTCCGAGCCGCTTTGACGGGTCGCGCTGCAGGAGGCCGGTCATTACGCTCCGCGCTTCAGACGACATGTCGGGCGGGAAGTTGAGAGGATCGGTGAGGATGCGCTGGTACATCGTGTTCACGTTCTCGTCGTAGAAGGGCGGCAGGCCGGTCATCATCTCGTACAGGAGCACGCCGAGCGTCCACCAGTCGACCGTCTTCGTGTACCCCTGGCTCTCGAGCAGCTCCGGTGCAATGTACTCGGGCGTGCCGCAGAACGTGTTCGTCTTCTCCGTCTCCGACATGTTGAGCTTGCACAGGCCGAAGTCGCACAGCGCGATATGGCCCGTGTAGTCCAACAAGATGTTCTCCGGCTTCAGGTCGCGGTACACGACGTTGAAGCCGTGCAGGTGCTCGAGCGCGCACAGGAGCTCAGCGGCGTAGAAGCGCGAGCGGTCCTGGTCGAACTTGCCCTCGCGCTGGAGGTGGTAAAACAGCTCGCCGCCGTTGACGAAGGACATGCCGAGGTAGAGCTTGTCCGGGGTCTGGAAGGAGAACTTGAGCGGCACGATGAACGGGTTGTTGACGAGCGCGAGGACGGTGCGCTCGGCGAGGATGTGCGTGATCTCGCCCGGGCGCTGCGCGATATGCGCCTTGCGAATCGTCTTGAGCGCGTAGATCCGCTGAGTGTCCTTCTTCCGGACCTGCATCACCTTCCCGAACGAGCCCTTGCCGATGACCTTGAGCAGGTCGAACGCCTCGATCGTCAGCGGCTCGTTGCGCGTCGGCTTGAAGTCGACCTTGAGGTGGAAAGAGCCCGAGCCAGCCGTCGCGGTGTACCACTGGTCAGAGGCGTGGTGCCCGTCGAGCTGCGGCGTCAGGTCGACGCGGCCCATGAGGATGTCGTTCCCCATGTCATCCTTGCCCTGCACCGGTGCCGTGCGCAGGTAGGACGACACGGAGATGTTCGACGTGCGCGAGACATCGCTGCGGGCAGTCCGTCAGCAGCTACACACGCACAGCATCGCGCCACGCACAAGTCAGCGCGGTAGTTCCACACCGGGCTCGACAGGTCGCCGCCCATCGCGTCGATCAGGATCTCGTTCTTGTCGAACTCGAGCACGACATACGGCAGCCACCAGTTGCGCCGGCGCTGCACGCTCTCGCGGTTGCTCGTCGAGCGGCGGCCCTGCGGGGCGCTCTCGAGCGCCTTGGCGATGATGTCCGGGAGGGGGGTATTGGGAGGGAGCGCGAGTCCGCGGCCTGCGTTGCGTTAAGCGCGTTGCGCGGTATGCGTCGTAGCAACACGCACCTTGGAAGATGCGGATGGTGAGCATGCCGGACCTGAACTGCTCAGGCCCGCCAGGGGGCTTTGGGGTCTCCGAGCGGGAGGGGATAGGCGTCGTGGAGCGGGAGATGGCTCCGCTCTCCTTCGCATCCTTCGCCTCTGCGTGTCGCTCAGGAACAGGTTTTGAGGGCCAGCAAGCTACGCACTTTTGCTGCCGAGCTTCCAGCCAGACATGTTGGATATATTTCCGCGGGTTTATGGGACAGGGAGGAGGGGGAAAGGGGAGATAGACGCCGCCCGGCGAACGTCTGTTGCAAGGTATAATAATACCCAGAAAAGGAAATCGCAAATCCATTGAAACATGTGCGCTTGTTTGGCACTGCAAACGAAAAAATAGAGATGGAAAGGATAGATGATAAAGTTCATAGCAATATTTGGCTGCTGTAAACCTCAGGAAGGTATTCATTGCAGCGAGAGCTCCTCATCGACAAGTTGAATTAGACCTTCACTCCTAGAGCTTCACCGTCGGTACTTCAACTCACTGCACCCTCGTCAATCGATATGGTAAGACCATGTTACATTTCGTGCTTCACATAAACGCTAGTGGTATAGATTGTTGAGCGCATGTAGCAACCTCGGCACGGGTCGCAAAGGATCCGGAATCAGCACACAACCCGCCAAGCCGCGCGATAGCCAGGCCTCCGTCACCAAATGCCCCCAGCCCACCAGCCACACCATCGTCCATATCCACCCTAACGGGCCCTCGACCTTCTTCCCCGTCAGCCTGTAGATCGTCACCTCCACCAGCATCCCCACCCCGCCCGACATCACGAAGAAGCCCACAACGCGCAGCGGGTCGTGCCCCCTCCCTTGCCCCCACAGCCCCGCGTCGTGCAGCAGGCCCGACACCACGTACGCGCCCACAAGCCCGAGCGACTTCCCCCACTTCGGGCCGCACACCTTCACCAGGACGTGCGTGAGCGGGCGAGAGCCAACGCTCACGAACACGTCGCGCAGCACTTGGTGCCAATGGGCGCCCCAATACGCGCTCACGCTTGTCGCGGCCCACGGCCTATCGAACACGGGCGGCCAGCGCGTGGGCGCCTGACGGAGGAGGCCGACGCCAACAAGCGTGCAGAGGTCATAAGAAGCTTGAAGGCCGGCCCAGATGGTAAGGCCGGTGAGGAGCGTGAGCACGGTCGAGCGTGTATAGCGAAGGTGCGGGGGGAGCGCCGGGTCGAAGATGCTGCCGCCGGCGGGAGAGTTGAGGCCCATGGCATGGATGGTGGCTTGCAGCGCGTCGACAATGAAGCCGTGGAAGAGGGCGGAGACGAGGGTTTCGCGGAGGAAGGCGGCGCGCGAGGAGAGGGTGCGCGTTTGTGGGGGGAGACGGAGGCCCGTGGACCAGTCCCAGTCGATGCCGCGGATGTTGAATGCAAGATCAATGCCGTCAAGGAGTATGGTGGTAAGTGATCGCGTCGGTTCCTTGTGGTCTGTCCGGCGGTAAGGTTTGCTAGGCCATGCCCAAGCGATGGTTCGGCAAGTCATGGCGAAGAGCGTCATCTGAGGATTGGTTAGCGCGACATCGGGTGTGCAGAGAAGTACGCACCAGATGCCCCTGATTATAATGTATCAATTTCTCCTTCGTGGAATCCGACACCGGAATGTCCTTTGCAACATCCAAGAGGGTACCCGCACGGAAGTACAAGTACAGCGCGATCGGGAGGAGCGCCATACGCAGTAGTCGGGTCCTGGGTAGAGTGACCAGTAGCGCGAAGAGTCCATAGCAGAGTTGTGCAGGGCCTAAAATGGTGAAATAGGTGTGCCAGTTCAGCCCGAAGCGGTCCTCGGGGGCGGGGATCATAAAAATGTCCATGAATCCATGTTTTGAGGACCTATCGATTGAATATGGGTCAGATATCCTGCGCGATGCTGGGGGAGATAGTAAAGGGGCAGATTTGCTGAATCTTCATACTCACAAGTCATCCATAGTGGGAGGGGGAAAGCAAAGGCTCGCGTCCCGCCTGCACATTACGTAGCCGGGTTTCATCGGCGTGGGGCAAACTAGCCGGTCATCGTCCGGTCATCGTCGCGAACTATCGGGTAATGATGGTCCGGACATCGAGGCATGGCGGGGTGGGCCCTCTGGGCTGCAAAGCATGCTGGTTGAGACGAAAGACGGCGGGCTGGGTCAGAAGTTCGGTGCGGTGTCCAATCGGCTGAAACCGAGGCGCACGTGGGACTTATGGCCAGCTCAGCTTTCCGCGTCCTCGCACTTGACTCAGGTATGCGGAAGAGGCGAGAGGGGAGTCTGAGCATTTAACGCGAAACTGTTAGAAACTGAAGCATAAGAGGCGAATGACATTGTATTGGGGCTACAATCGAGCTGTGTTGACTTGCAACCATCTCCTGTCGCTTTGGCCTCCAGACACGCCCACCGCAGGCGGATGACATCAGGCTGCTAGTCTGGTGCGCTGAGATGGAAGCAGAAGACAACCTTAACATTTACACTTGTTTGCGCTGTTTCCCAACGTCCCCTTTTGGCAAGCATTGTTCTAAGCCGATTCCCACGGTTAGATTAAGGGGTTTCGCAGTGTATCTATCTGCCTTCTGCCACATCAGGCGATTCTCCTTGGAGGTCTGTTTTTGCTTTTCGAAATTGAAGCTCCGTTCCGTTGCTGGGCATAGATTGCCTAGTCGAAGACCGCCAGCTTTTGACGAGGTGACTTTGGGCTGCACCTTTCTTGCGCGTTAGACCACCTTACTCACCTCTTATCATCCTGAAATGAGCATACATGCAAGAAGACTGTATGTCTATCTGGATCCATAATATCATCATTATCTACAGCCGGGAAGGTCGGCAAATTTGTATGTTGGGCTGGGGTGTCAGGTGTTGGATGATGACAAGCTACAGTGAACAAGGACTTCCAAATCGAGCGATGGTAACCGGTTGATCGGTTGATCGGGATCACTTTCAATCACATCAATTTGCTCCCGCTTTGATTAACCAATCACGGCAGGCTGCCTGACAGCTTTTATGGACTGTCATTGAACCAGATAATATATCGCTCCTCCTCGTCCTCCCCTCCTCCGCCGAGCTAGTACGAGACGAGGACGGAGAGCGCTCATTCATGCCTTCCAAACCCATGAGATAGCGAGGCAGCGTGCTGTACGACTTCGAGGCTCGGTGCATGCTAATTGTCATGCTCGGAGGTACGGGTGCTGTATGTTTTTAGGGTGCGGCTTGTCGTCACTCGAGGCGAGCATGTGGGCCGCCGTCGCTGCGCCCAGCGGTCCGAATGTTGTGCGGTGCGGACGATTTTTCCGGAAAAGGAAGGGCAATATTGTTCTGAGAGCAACTGTACTTCTTGTCCTAAACCACCATGTTCTCATTCGAAGTGCCTCGAAATCCAGAGTTCTGGCCCTGCACAGTCGTCCCCCACGTACTTAGCATAAATGCGCTCTCACGATAGGAAGCGCGGAAGCCTCAAGGCCAGCGCTCGGTATTTGTCCGCCGTTCGCCCGCACATTTGATAAGAGATCTGCTGGCAACGATAGAGTAGCGCTCCCCGCCCTGTGAGGTCATCCCAAGGTCATTATCCCGCCCGTTCGCACGCAGTCCGGCGCATTTTTTGCGCTGCGGGTTTTCTTCCCTCTTACGACGTCGGCGGCTGCATTGGTCCTTCTTTACAGCCACCGTCACTCGTTCATCCTCCATCCCCCATCCTCTCCCTCCTCCGCGTCGCAGGTCCAGCACGATGGCGATGGACTACGACCGATACGATGCGCTCCTCCACTGGCTCTTCAAGCAGACGCAGGGGGACGCCTGGTTCCGCCCCCACGAAGAGAACGTGTCGTCCGGCGTCGCGCTTCGCGTGAACGAGGACCCTATCGAGTTCCGCATCTTCCCCTACGAGAACCTCTCCCTCGAGCCTTTTGAGACGGCGGTCACCGCGCTGAACCCCGCCGTGGCAGTCAAGGTGCGTCGCAGACGACTGCAGGAAGTACAGGTACTCATCTCGACGCCAGGTTCGCTCAGCCGCGGTCCATGCCGCGCTATCGCAGCTACCCGAGGGCGAGCGCTCACTCTACGTCGACGCGAGCACTCGGATACAAGTTCTCGACACCATGATGCAGCTCCCCTACGCATCGAAGGAGCAGTGTGCAGCGTTTATCGTGCGTGTTCCCCCCGTTCCCCCTCGCAGCTATATCCCCCTCTCCCCCGTCCACACCTCCCCCCAAACGTTATCTCCTGCTTCGTCGAAGGCGTTCAAATTGAAATTCTGAGCCCCCACATCGCCGCGTTTCCCATATCGCCCGCAAAGACATGAGGCTGACAGCCAATATCAGCGCGACGAACGCGTGCTGGTTGTGTGGTCGCATTCGCTCGAAAGTATCATCCCGACATGCAATGACTTCGAGGAGCGCCTTATCAAACTGCTCTGGCGCAGCCGGCCCAATGGGAGCAGCCTCCTCAGCCCGAGCATCGGCGGCTCAGTCGGCGGCCACGGCTCCTTGCGTGATAGCAGCAGCTACAGCCATGCCAACCTGCAGGTGTGTTCCAACGTTCCTTCTTACCGTGGCTTCTCACCATGCCTAACTGACACGCCCCAGGCAAACGAGCTCGGCGCGTCCGGCAGCAGCAACGAGCAGTCCGAGAAGGGGAAGCCCACCGGCAAGGTTAAGGTTAAGCGGAATTGGTACGGCAAGAAGGTCGGCGTCAAGGAGACTACTGTCGCCGATGCGGAGTCGCTCGCAAGCCGCAGACCTGCCAAACTCTGGGCGCCCCTCTATAACGGCATCGCGGCGGGCCTGTCCATGGTCTTCATTGGCCAAGGTATCAAGGTCTTGCTGGAGGAGTTGGTTTTGGATAGCGATTACATTCGGTGAGTTCTCTCTCTCAAACACCTGGAAATAAATTGGCTCATGTTATTGCAGTCTCGCTCTTTGCGCAACGATACCGCTGCTCTACTGCGTCTCCCTGTTCTTCGCGCTGCAAATCGTGCAGAACGTGTCTATGGTCATCGGTCCGGTCGCACACTATCACGAAAATAGCAAGTACTACAGCGCTATTAAGCCAAGGCCGAGCAAGTGCGTCTTTTTCTATCGTATCTTCATCCCTTTCTTGCGTACCCACTGCCTTTGCGCTGCCGTGACTGACCGCAAAAAACACAGGGAAGTTGACGAGAACTTGCCACACGTCACGATCCAGATGCCCGTCTACAAGGAGAGCTTGGAGAGCGTGCTGTAAGTGATTACACCATGCCATGGCTCCGATTCGGCGAGAAGCTGGAGCTTATAGAGTTGACGCTGATGCCGCCATAGAACGCCGTCCATTGAGTCCCTCAAGAAGGCCATGCAAACGTATGCGCGCCAGGGCGGTTCCTCGACTATCTTTGTCAACGACGACGGTTTGCGGGTGAGTCGGTCTGCGTGTTATCATGACGAGAATACCGCTCACACGCGGCCTGTCCCATTCGCAGCTCCTGCCCCAAGCCGAGCGCGACGAGCGGCTCGCATTCTACGCTAACCACAACATCGGCTGGGTCGCGCGCCCGGGGCACGGCTGGGGCTCGCGCAAGAAGGGCGACGCGGGCGGCGCCGACCCGGGCTTTGTGCGCGCCGGCCGCTTCAAGAAGGCGTCGAACATGAACTACGGGCTGGCGCTGTCGCTGAAGGTTGAGCGGATACTCGAGGACCTTATGCGCGAAGGGAATGAGAAGATGCCGACGCTCGCTGAGCTTGCGAGGCAGGAGGGGGAGTTGCCGCAGCCGCAGCGTCCGGCGGCGACCAACCGGCTATCGGGCGTCAGTCAAAGCAGCGGTGCTACGGGTGGGTACTTCATGGAGAATATCTATTGACGGTTGACTAATGAAACTCACAGGCGCCATCGTCCAACCTCCGCGTTACGGTACCCAATACGTCGGCCGCGATGGCCAGGACAACGACGTTGAGCACCCGGCCTCGGAAAGCCTTGAGGAGCGCGCCCTGCAGATGGCCATAGAGGAGACCTATGAAGAGTCCGGCCGCCGCTTCAAGCCTTGGGCTGCCAACGCGCGCGCCTCCCGCATCGGCGAGATCATCCTCATCGTCGACTCCGACACCGTCGTCCCCGAGGACTGCCTCCGCGACGCCGCGCGCGAGATGCGCGAGTGCCCGACCGTCGCCATCATCCAGCACGAGTCCGACGTCATGCAGGTCGCGCACCACTACTTCGAGAACGGCATCGCGTACTTCACGCGCAGGATCAACAGGTGTATCTCGATGGCGTGCGCGAATGGCGAGGTCGCGCCGTTCGTGGGGCACAATGCGTTCTTGCGGTGGCAGGCGATCCAGGACGCGGCGTTTGTGGACCCGGCGGATGGGAAGGAGAAGATCTGGTCGGAGAGCAATGTGTCGGAGGATTTCGATATGGCGCTGAGGCTGCTTATGCGCGGGTACATCATTCGCTGGGCGACGTACTCGCTCGGCGGATTCAAGGAGGGTGTCTCGTTATCGGTCGACGACGAGTTGAACCGCTGGCAGAAGTACGCCTACGGCTGCAACGAGTGAGCACCCCCTCCGCGTTCACTGAATCCCTCTAACCAAATGTCTAGACTTCTCTTCAACCCGCTCGTCCAGTGGTGGCGCAAAGGCCCCATCGCGCACCAGATTCACCGCTTCATGTGGAGCAACGCGCCGATACACTACAAGATCTCCATGATGGCCTACATGTTCTCTTACTGTCAGTCTGCCTCTGCTCTCCGCTCGTTGACCTCTCGTTAACCTTGCCTCCAAGACGGTATCGCGGCCGCCATCACCATCGGTATCATCAACTACGTGTTCCTCGGCTTCCAGTTCACCGTTGACGGCTTCTACATCGCGTCGTTCGAGATCTGGCTCGCTACCACTGTCGTTTTCATCGGGTCTGGCAACGTCGGGTACACGCTCCTGCAGTATCGGTTGGGTAACAACGAGCTCCTCACGGGCTTCTTGGAGAACATCAAATGGGTGCCGTTCTTGTGAGCCTTTTTGTTCTCCTTCATCTGTTCCGTGTTCCTGATCCTTCTCCTCTCACAGCTTCTTCTTCTTCGGTGGCCTCGCGATCCACATCTCCGTGGCCCTGCTCGCGCATCTCTTCTCGTACAATATCACCTGGAGTGCGACGATCAAGGAGGTCGAGCGGTCGAACTTCTTTAAGGAGATTCCGAAGATCTTCAAGCGCTTCTGGTTCTCGATGCTGGTGTCCTTCGCGATCATCGCGGGCATGATCATCTGCAGCACGTCGCTCGTCCCCTACGCGTGGCGCGTCGACGGCACGGGCTGGGCGGTCATCTTCCCGCTAAGCGTGGTGTGCGGGTGCCACATCCTGTTCCCGGTAAGTTCTCTCCCTCCCTCGAGCGCGCGTACCTAAACTCACACTCCTTCCAGATCGTCCTGAACCCATGGCTCATGGTCTTCTCGTACTGAGCGATCATGCTCGTGGTCCTTCTGCCCTTGCTCCAACCCCCGATACCACCCAACCTACAACCCAAACACGTGTATGTAGCTGTATTGATACCTCGCCGTCGCTTGCTCTTCACACCTACCCCCTTTTCATCCTATACGAACGCACAGACAAGCCTGGAATCCCGAAGCATTGCTCTCGTATACATACAGCCCCGGACATTGCTAGGTCGACGTAGAGCCGGACTGTTGTTGTAATCTCCCGCACTCGCTTATGCTACCTCGACCATCGTACCTTACGACCTACGTTTGCCAGTGACGATGCTCCCGTCGCGCATGGCCCACTGCTGGTCGTGCGTGCGTCCATTCGTTACCCGTTGTAAATATCTAGATTACCTGGTTCTCGCTTTTGCTAGTATGAACATGCTCATTAACATGCACTTCGCATTCAGAACCGAGGATCTCGGAGACCATCGCCTCAAGGTATCTTGCGTTCGCAATCGCCTTGTATGGTTTCTTCGGGGAAGCTGCGCAGTGGCTTTGTAGGTCCACCATGTGGCTGTCCCGGCACCTGCCGGAGCGCCATGTTGAACTTGACTAGAACACCTCGCGCACTCCGTCGCTGTGCCTCTGACAGGCCACAAGGCTGCACATCGTCACCTATGTTCCTGGAAATCTTGTCCTTGGACCTCTGTTGTGACTGGTCGTGCGGCCGACCCACTCATAAAGTGACATGAACAGCTCACTATGCGGATTTTACATCATCTTTGGCATCCAGGGCCCATTCTACCCTCTCGCCAGGTAAGCTGTCGATGCGGAGCTCATCAGTACCGACCCGCATTGGACGCATCCGGTGTCAGAATGGCCGGCACTTCTTGAAGGCCGCTTGCCAAGGCATCCCTGGACTAACTAGAAATTCTCTTCGAGTTCGCGGTCTTGCAGCATAAAAGCATGCCCAGACGCTCAGTGATTCTCTCAGCCGCCTTCTGCTCTTCCAGCTATCAAGACGACCGACTATCTAGCTGTCTCATCCATCATCCATACTGCTATGCGGTCGAACCTTCTTTCATCATTCTGCGCCGCCGCGCTCCTGGCGTCGACTGCTTTTGCACAGCTGAGGACGCTGCCTTACAACTTCACGCTTGCTGCGCTGAATACGACCCTCCCGAACGTCAACGACACCGGCGTTCCCCTTGTTCTTGGTCTTGAATGTATGGTGTCGGACAGGGCGCAATTGTTACATGACTGACCGCTCGCTAGTTGTCTTCGATTATTCGGCGATCTATTTCACGTCGGTGAGTGCCACAGTGGCAGACCTCCGGGCGCTATCTCTTCGCTGATCACTAGCCGGTGAACTATAGACGTATGCGTCAGCACATAACAACACGTTTCCTAGCCTTGGGCTACTTGACGGCGCATTGCACGCCTACGGCAGGAACGACTCGTGGTGCGTGCTCTTACCATACCTCTGATGCACCTACCTAATCGAGTGAATGTCAATATAGGGACACCAACGCGGTACGATGCGATTCAGGGGATAGTATAGGGTGGTTCTCGACAGAGAACGGTCCTCCTGGAGCGGATGTGTTCTCCGTTATTCCTGCTGGTAAGTGCCCGGCTGGCGGCTCTTTCTACATCCAAACGTCGACTGACCCATCCGTATAGCACAGGACCGCCAGTATCCGACATTCGCCGTGCATGAAGAGAATTCCCTGTGGTCTCTTTGCTCGACTGGGAATGATTGGGGGTTGAATGAGGTATACTACAACATTTCCCCGACGAACATATGGGAAGGCAATCGTGTCGTAGTCGAGGACTGTTACAAGGTCACCTTGCAGGTCCTGCCCCTGGAGTAAGCTCCGTGGGGATGGGGTCCTGATGATATAGTAGAAGAGGTCGTCGACAAAGAGGACGTATGGAATGTTGCTGAGGATACGGTGTAGCTGCGATCCGTCGCTGAACCCTTAGGCTTAAATATATCGGAATCTTTCACAGACACAATCAAGCAGAACGAGGGAGCGAGAAGTCGTGCGAGACGCAGTTGCATCCAGGATAAATAAGTTAAATAGTTAACGAGTGACTGTACAGTATGAGGCGTTATACCCATGGTAATCCTTCCCAGCGATTACAACCAATGAACATGTGCGTCGTAAGTGGCGTGGACCCGTCGTCGCTCATAGCGAGGCGCTTAGAGCGAGTTGGAGCGGGTGCGGCGCATGTGCGAGCGGCGCGCGGTGGCCTGGCCAAGGTTGTTCTTGATGTTGTCCCACTTCGAGTTCGGGAAGCTGGGAGAAAGGTCAGTCGGACGACCGGGCAACGCAAGGGGCATAACTCACTTAATGTGGTTCTCCGTCGTGTCGAGGCTGCCGAGCTTAGCAGCGGCGGCGGTCACGAGGCTGTCCTGGCCGGTCTTGTCCGTGGAGAGCTCCCAGAACATGGTGCCCGCGAGGCCCTTGTCGACCGTGTACTGGCCCTTGGCACCGGCGATCGCGGGCGTGTCGTACGAGATGAACTGGCGCTTGGTCTTGTCGTACGAGTACGAGGAGATGGACGTGGTGTTCTCGAAGACCTCCGCGCCGTCGAAGGGCAGGTTCTCGTACGACCAGACACCCTCCTGGGTGGTGCCCGTGCCGACGCCGTTGTAGGTGGAGCCGAGACCGTCGGTGTCCTCGAAGCCGCGGCCGTAGACGGGGATGCCGAGGACGACCTTGTCGGTGGTCGCGCCGGCGCCGGCGTACCAGTCGAGCGCCTGCTGGGTGCTGACGTTGTTGATGCCGTCGGGGTAGACGTTAGCCTGGTTGGCGACGAAGTCGAGCCAAGCCCCAGAGTAGTCGTAGGCCTGCAAGCGAGTCAGAAGGGATGAGAAATGTGAAAAGAAGGAAACCGACCATCAGGTTCCAGTAGTTGAGCGCGGCGTCCATGGTCTTGACGTCGAGGAACTGGTAGTTGCTCTCGCCGGAGCTGACAGCGACGGACAGCTGGTACGGCTGCGCGTCGCCCTTCTGCTTCTGGAGATCGTCGAAGGCGGTGCGGAGCTCGGCGAAGAGCTTGCCGTAGCCGGTGCCCTCCTCAGCAGAAGCCGGGAACTCGAAGTCGAGGTCAATGCCGTCGAAGCCGTAGTCCTCAATGAGCTGGACGGCGTCCTTGACGAATTGCGCGCGGGCGGCGTCGTTAGTGACGAAGCCGAAGTGGCCGTCCTGGGACCAGGTGTAGCCACCGACGGAGAGGAGGACCTTCAGCGAGCGCTTGGCGAGCTTGAACTTGTACATCTGCTTGAGGCAGCCGTACAGGTTGTTGCCCGCCTCGGAGGTGTCATCACCGTCGAAGGTGATCTGCTCGTCGGCCCACTCGTCAGAGAGAAAGAGATGGCCGGTGGCAGGGTCGATGTCAGCGAACGAGTAGAGAATGTCTGACGGAGGATGAGCCACATTCAGGATAGCGCTCAGGAGGGGCACTCACGCGTAAGGTCGTCAGTGACGATGTCGGTCGGCATGAAGTTGCCGAGACCATCGTAGATAGCCCCTGGAGAGTGACTTAGCCAGGTCCACGAGAAAAGACAGTAGAACTCACAGTTGACGTAGTAGGCAAGGTTAACCTTGCCCGCGTCCTGGCGGCCGAGCATCGTGCGCTTGGAGACCTGGTTGACCTTCGGGTTCTCCTGCTGCGCCTGGATGCGCATCGTCTCGTTCTTGTTCGACGGGATCTTCATCGACTCCGTCGCGGAAACCGAGGAGACCACGGAGAGCGCGACGGCGGCGAGGAGCGAAAGGCGGGCGGCGTTGAAGGCCATAGCGATAACTTAAACGAAGGATGGGACAAAAAGAAGGAAAGGGTACGTGAGAGATGGGCAGGCCTCAACCGAAGGGGGCGTAGGGAATGGGGAGAACTGAGTGCGGCGCGCCGTGGTATTTGTACCGGCGCGCGCGCAGGGTGGGCGAAGGCGCGATGGGTGCGCATATGATCGTATGGCGGCGGGCGCGGGCTGGCACGTCAGGTGCGCAGGTTTCATGGGCAGGGTTCGAGATTTGCGTATGAGCGCGACGTGAAGCGGGCACACGGAATAGAGTGGCACGGAATATGCGAGTCTCCGTTGTTCAGCATGCACCTACCTTGTATTCTCCGTACTCCATAGAGATACAAAGTCACCTCTTCCCTCATAACCTTCACTCACCTCTAGGGGAATAGGTACACAGAACCTTATAGAGCACGTCGGAGGCATCCCGAATAGCAAAAAGACGAAAATCAACCTCCGCCGCCGCCCGCCAGACGGCCGCAACTCATTCGCATGCGGCGGGAGGGAGGCAACGATTCAGTGAATCGCGGCGCCCAACAAGACAGTGGAGCTCCCTGCTGCGCTTTGGGCGTCTATTGCTTCAGGGCTGGATAGAGACAGTCGACCTCGGACGATTGGCTGCACGAATTGGCCCGTGTGGGCGCAGAGGAGGACGTGTGGGCTGATGCGCAGGAAACAATGCCCTCCGTCTTGGCCGGCGGGAACGCGATCGGATCAGTCCGAATCACATATTTTCCACGGTTGAACTTGTCGCTGTTAACGAGCTTAACAATGTCGAGGCAAGTCCTCTCCTGATCTAATGAGCGGGCGAGCGAGGCCTGGTGAAGGATGTCGCATCCTTGTACTTTCCATTGAAGTCACCACTTCCAGGAACATCTGGCTGTAAACAGTAGTAGCAATACCGACAATCTTCCCGTACAAGACCGCCTCCTCCCAACCTCTACGTCTTCTTCTTCACAATCTTCACCCCCGACAATCCCTGCTTCTTCTTCGCCGGCGGCGCTGGCGTCGGCTTTGTCGCTGCAGGCGACGGTCTCAAGGGCTTCAGCGTCGGCACTGCCCCTTGGAAAGGCCGCGTCGGCGGCACAGTCGCTGATGACGTTCCCGACGACAGAGAAGGTCGGCCGAGGAGCCCGTGCAGGCCAGTGGTTGGTTGAAAGGGCGCTGGTCGCGCATGGTGGGCCTCGGACGACGAGGACGGTGGTCCCGAAGCAGAAGTCGGTGAAGGCTTGTGTGCCGTCTGCAGGCCTACATATCCACTGGTCGTCTTTGCCTGCACCGGCCTCTGCTGCGTCGGATGGATCGACGTGTCACCCACCGGCTCCCTCGGTGCCATCACGCTTTCGAGTGTCGGCGGCGGCTTGGCGGGTAGCGAAGGGTGCAGGGGAAGCGGATGGGTGGCGTACGCCTGTTCCGTGGTATGAGGCGACGGTGGCTGAGAGGATGACGAAGCGCCTTCTTCAGAGGAGGTGGGTGCTCGAGGGGTCGGTGCGGGCGGCTGAGGCCCGTTCAGCACGGTGTCTGCCTCCATCTGACGCAGCTTGGCCTCCATCTGCGCGATCTTGTCGCTACGGATGCTTCTTAGCTAGAACACACCGAGGTTGACAAGCCGAACTCACCCATTCCTCCTCGCCTGCGCGCTCTTGATGATGCTAAGCGCCGTGGGCTGGTGTTGGGATCGATGTTGGTATGACCCGCCGTCTGCAGGTGCGTGTTGCGCGTGGGTGACCACCAAGCGCCGGCCGCGAAGAAGGCGATCGTGGGTGGCGGTCAGGGCGTTGGTCGCTTCCTGGGGAAGAGTATGAGGATGCTGTTTTGTGCACAGAGATTGGATGCAGGGGTAGGGTCAGGGCGAGACAGGAAGGCTCATGAGGAAGATGGGAGAAGGGCAGAGAGGGAAGATGGGCAGAGTAGCCCGATGCAAACTGGAAGGACGAGCGCCGCAGATGTGGATGTGGGTGTGCCAGGGATGTCCATACATGTATATGCGTGCGCGAGCGGGAAGAATAAGCAACGGAGTTCAACAAGGAGCATATGTGCTTACCTCTGCATGGGCGTACTCCACAAACGCGTACCCGCGCGGCTTCCCGCGCTGGGGACCGGCTTTGTGGAAGAGGAAGTCGAGGCGGGTGACTTTGCCGTACCGTTGGAAGAGGCGAATGAGGGTATATCTGAGGTTTTCATGTCAGTGATAGTCTTTAGGACGGCGAATGACGCACTCGTCAACCGTGGGCTGCAAATTGCCGACATACAGCCTCTCCTTCAGCAAAGGGCGGGCTGACGTGGATGAGCTACTGCTTGGAGGCAGCACAACAGGCTCCGCGGTCGGGTATGAGAGATGCGTGTCGAGGTCGACGTCCATGTCGTCTAACATCATCCCGCTCGTCGTAGCCGTCGCATCTGCCATGGTGGTTGGAAGAACAAGGAAATGCCCAAATGGGGAATGGGGATCGCCGAGGAATTTGTGGCGCTAGGTGAATCTTATCTCGCAGTCCAAGCGGCTCGTCGTCTACCTCGACGTCGGACGCCGAACCGACACGAACGCGAATAATGGCAGACAAGGGCAAAACCGTCGTGCGCACGGTGCCGCCGCCGCTCCCGAGCCCTGCGACCGGTAGCGCGAACCCAGCGAGCTCGCTGCAGGCGCTGTGGCCCTACATATCGCCCGCCCTCGACCACATGTTCGCCGCCCCCGCCGAGGACGAGGACCCCGCGCGCGCGCCCGCCATTGACGTGGGATGGTACTCTGGCATCCACTCGAACGTCTACAACTAGTACGCCACCCTGCGCGCCTCCCTCCCCGCCGCCACTAACAATCCATCCCCCAGCTGCACCGCGCAAAGCGCGACCGCCGACTCGCTCTCCGGCGCGGACCTGTACACGCAACTCGACCGCTATTTCTCAGCGACTGCGCGCGACGTACTGCTTGCCGCCCCCGCCGCGGACGCGTCGCCGCCTGCTGCTCTCGCCCTCCCGCGCTTCCTCGGCCCCGCGTTCGCGCGCTACAACGCTGCCGCGCGTGCCGCGGGGCGCTTGCTGCACTACCTCGACCGACACTACGTGAAGCGCGCCGTAGACGAGGACCGTGGGTGGCTGCGCGCGGCAGACGCGTTCGCGGGTGCCCCTCCACCCCCTGGCCTCCCACGCGCGGAGCTCGCAGCACGGCTGCGCGCATATAGGCTCACAGTTCTGAAGTCGTGGGGCTGGGACGAGGATCAGGGCGACGCAGCGGCGCGTGCGCTGGCGGAGGCGGCGGCAGAGGCGGGGAGCGCGCCCGATCGCGTCGTGCCCGTGAATGCTATGGCTCTGCGACGCTTCCGCACGGAGGTAGTCGACCCACTGCTCGCCGTACCAAAGGCGAAGGGCAAGAAGAAGGGCAAGAAGAGGCCGGGTGCGGACCCGCGAGGGCGGCTGGCTCGCGCTGTAAAGGCACTTCTCGAGCCGGAGAACGAGGAACAGGAGAATGTGCAGCCCGCGGAGGACGGTCAGGGGGAAGCCGGCGGAGGAGGCAGCGGCGCCGCGCAAGGGAGCAGCGTCGGCATGCAAGGCAGCGGCGGCGCGTCGGCGTCGGGCAGCGTTGCTGCAGGAAGCTCTGCTCGTGCATCCGGCAGCAGTGGGGGCATTTCTGCAAGCGGCAGCTCCTCCAGCTCTTGCTCGGCCTCCTGCACACGTTCTGCACCCTGCAGCGACGAGGAGCGCCTGCGCCTCGCCCAGGATCTGGCCAACATGCTTCGCCTCGTCGGCGTCCGCCCTGACCATCCCCTTCGGAAGAAGCTTGATGGGTTCGTGCGTGCGCGGGCGACGGGCAAGGTGTAGCGCGAACGGTGCACATCATCTCCATCCGCCAAAGCACTTGCCATTTTGTTTGCACCGAACCGTTGTCAGCGGAAGCGAAGAAGCTTCTCATTCTTGTACATCAGGCGCCTCAATTCCCGCCTACTTATATCTTGCATGCTTGCATGCGGTTACCATATTTTCTAAAGTCTTGCACAATACACACTTGCGCTAGTGACGGTGCATACAAAGACCTTTCCGTCGGTCGTGTCCGACAGTGCGGAAAGCTTGAAGTCTGACCACCGCCATCGCTGGTGCGTTGAGCAAGCAAGTTAAAGCTTGAAAGCTACGATTTAGGTCCTGAGTAACATATAATCGTAGTTTGTTCAGGCTCGCAAGCATTAATGGGGTAGTGGTAACCTGGGTCGTTGCCAACTGTCTCGACCCGCCGGGGGTTCGATTCCCCCTTAATGTATGTCCGAGGAATTGTCTCCTTTTTGATTCCCAAGTATGTATTTGATTGAATGTTGCTCTCATAAGCCCGTCCCTGTGAGCTCAGGACTCCTTATGCTGTATCAGCTCCGAAATGAGCGGCATAGAAGAGAAATTGAGGAGATCCAATTGTTGAATTGAAGGCCACTTGAACTCAACGTCCATCAGACGTGGTGCTACTTCTCTGGCCTGCACTGAAACTGCCGAGAATGAGCTACGCTATGGTCGGCCGACATGTAAAAGTACTCGCGCAGGCTTGCCGAATGTCGTGGATAGTGGCCCAGCTCCATTTTCGCACTCAATCCCGCACTCCGACGTCAAGCTCTTCGCGATGTCGCCCGCATTGCGCACTGGACTCGGCGCTGAAGCACAGGCACTCTTCCACGGCTCCCGAGAATATCTATATCGATGACGAGAACAATAGGTCAACTGGTCTTTGCCGTCGTCTTACTCTACGACTCACTCTACAACGGGATACCTCCGCGGCGCGGTGCCATCCGGCTGCGCGGCAGGCTCGCGTATATCAGTGACTGCGACTATGGGACGTCTATACCCTACGAAGTTCATCGCTGGGTGCAGCTCGCTGTATAACTACCATGTCTCCCTCTGTTCTCATTGTAGGTGGCAGTCGATTCAAGCGTATCGCGGCGGACTCAAATATTCTCGTAGGTCGGCGCGGGCCCAACGGGTTCCTCTTTGGCCCTCAGTCTACTCAAGAGTGGTGTACCGGTTCGTCTCATCGACAAGCTCCCTCAGCCTCGGGTCGGGCAGAAGGGCAACGGTATCCAGGTGAGCGTCGGTTGTCTCCCAAGCGGTCGTCCAGTTCGATACTGATGTTGTGTTGTTCATAGCCCCGAACGATTGAGGTCTTGAACCTCCTCGGCGTCCTCGACGACTTCTGGAAGCGCTCCATCAATCTCAAGAAAGTCCGTCTATACGAGATGCCAGGCGCAATGAAGGTCGCGAAAGAGATTGCCCTCGAGCCTGTGGTGGACCCGACTCCGGACAAGCCTTGGGTGCGTGGCAACTGTCCCTTCCTACCTCTCCTTCTCTTCTTTCTGTACTCAGTCCGATATTGACCTATCGTCCAGCCCAACCTGCGCGTCATGGGCCAGGACCGCTTCGAAGCCCTGCTGTATGAACACCTCGCCAAGTACGGCTGCGAAGTCGAGCGCGGCACTGAGCTGCGGGGCTTTACGCAGGACGCCGACAAGGTCACCGCGGAGCTGGTGAAGGCAGACGGTAGCACCGAGCACGCGGACTTCGAGTTCCTTGTCGGGTGCGACGGTGGGCACAGCACGGTGCGGCACGGCCTCGGGCTGGCTTTCCTAGGCGAGACGCTTCATGAGAAACCGATGATGCTGGGAGACATCGAAGTGAAGGGATTGGACGACGTGAGTCAACTCCTCGTATATCCCACACAAATCTCTGACGATGTGCTCATCAGTCATACTGGCACATGTTCGACAGCAACATGGGCGGCGCGGCTAACGGCGAGACTGCTCACACGTAAGCCACTCTTACATACTCCATGAACGAACGCTGGGCGCTGATAACCCTGCTCACAGATATTGCTTATTTCGCACCTCAGAGGTCCCAGGCCTTGCCACCGTCATGGCGGGTGGCGAGAACGCGTCCGACAGGCTCGACACCCGCGACGGTATCATCGAGCACTTCCTGAACCTCACGGGAAGGAAGGACGTCGAGTTCGGCGAGCTGAAGTGCGCGTCGTGGTGGCGGCCGAATATTCGCATGGTGGACAGTCTGGGTGAAGGCCGTGTTTTCGTTGCCGGAGGTACGTCGTGAGTCGAAAGATCATTCTGCGGAGATTTTCTAAACTTGTATATAGATGCTGCGCATACTCACAGTCCGACGGGCGCACAAGGGATGAACTCAAGTATCCAGGATGGGGTCAGTTTGATTCACCATCACTCCAAATACTTTGATTGACACCCCTCCCTTAGTTCAACCTCGCCTGAAAGCTCTCCCTCGTACACAAGAAGCTCGCCCCGCTCAGCCTCCTCTCAACCTACACCTCGGAGCGCCTCCCCGTCATCGCCGCCATGCTGCAGAAAACCACCGAACTCTACAACAAGACGAGCAAGGCATTCAAGGCGCACGGCGCCGCCTACGCGGCCGCCTCGGACGAGATGTGGGAGCGCAAGAGCGAGCTGCAGCAACTTGGGGTGAACTACCGGGGCAGCCACATCGTGCTGGATGAGAGGAACCCTGCCCGAGATGCGATCCCAAGCGCGTATGGGTCGGGGGCAGGCGGGCTGCGCGCGGGCGATCGTGCGCCATCGGCGCCCCTGCGAGGAGAGGGCGTCGAGAAGCTGTTTGACGTGCTCGACAGCGTGAGGCATACAGCGCTCGTCTTCACGGCGGACGAGACCAAGGCGAGGTCGGTTGTCGATGCGGTAAAGGCGCTCCCGGAAAGCGTGGCGCAGACGGTGGTCATTGCGCCGCAGGGACAGATACAGGATATTCCTGGCGTCAGAGTCGTGGAGGATGTCGAGGGTCACGCCTATCGTACGTACCAGGTCGGAGACGAGTCAACTACCTTCGTCGTCCGTCCTGACGGTGCGATTGGAGCCATTGTGCCCGAAGCGGAGGGTGTTGCGCGGTACTTTGCGAAGATCTTTGGTGTGTAGAGGGTCTTCATAGCGGCTTTGGGAGGAGATGCGCGTCGGATGGAAATCTCGCATATACAAGGATCGGAACGTATGATAGAATGTCGAGCAGTTTGTCTTCGTTTGCGTGAGCCTCTGAGTAGACCAGAACACGTACGTCGCAGGTTTGTGCATGCGGAAGATACTAGAACGTCACTGCCGTGGCTTCATCACTCAAATTCGCTGGCACACTGCACATAAGAAAGCCCCAAATGATCGTTGTATTTCCCCAAGTATACAGCGCACATACATGCAACCGCAACCATGACATGAGTATGTCCCTAAACACCAATAATAGATAATAAATAAATACTTGAAGGATGCGGGATGGTGGGCGTGATCATCCGTGAATCGTTACTTCTGAGCGCTGAGGTGCTCCAACTGCTGAGGCCCAGACTAGCCATGCACTTAGTGCTGGCGGCTCGCCCAGCTGCGGTGGTGCACGTCGCGCTTGCGCGCAGCGACGATTTGGCCGTCGCGGCAGACCATCCCGCCGGGGACAGAGCCCATGTTCTGCCAGTAGCCCGAGCCGCACATCGACCAGGTCGACTCGCTGTCGCAGCGAATCGCGCCCTCAGTGCACGCGCCGTTACCGGCGGTGGTGGTCGCGGGCGGGGCAGTAGTCGCCGGAGGAGCAGTGGTAGCCGGGGGCGCAGTGGTGGCGGGCGGAGCAGTGGTGGCAGGCGGCGCGGTGGTAGCGGGCGGGGCAGCACCCTGGCCGAGGTTGTTCTTGATGTTGTCCCACTTCGAGTTCGGGAAGCTGGAGGGAAGGGAGGGTTAGTATGTGGGTAGATAGAGGTGAGAACAGGGAGGGAAAGAAGGGTAAGCTCACTTGATGTGGTTCTGCGTCGTGTCAAGACCACCGATGGCGCTCTTCGCCGCCGCGACGAGGCTGTCCGCGCCGACCTTGTCCGTCGAAAGCTCCCAGAACATGGTGCCCGCGAGGCCCTGGTCGATGACGTACTGCGCCTTCTGCTTCACGATGTTCGGCGTGTCGTAGGAGATAAGCTCGCGCTTGGCGCTGTCGTAGGAGTAGGACGAGATCGACTTGGAGTCCTCGAAGATCTGGGCACCGGCGACTGCGAAGGAAGTCAGTTGAAGGTCGTCATGAGGGAGAGTGAAGACGACGTACAAGGCAAGTTCTCGTAGGACCAGACACCCTCCTGGGTCGTACCGGCGCCGACGCCGCTGTACGACTTCCCGAGACCGTCGGTGTTCTCGAAGCCGCGGCCGTAGAGGGGGATACCGAGGACCATCTTGTCCTTGGTCGCGCCAGTGCCAAAGTAGTGGTCGAGGGCCTGCGCGGTGGAGACGCTGTTAATGCCGTCGGGGTTGACGTTGGCCTGGTTGGCGGTGAAGTCGAGCCAGGAGCCCGCGTAGTCATAAGCCTGCGCGAACGTTAGAACCGACACAATCCGATGCTAAAGATGATGCAAACAGACCATCAAGTTCCAGTAGCTCAGCGCAGCGTCCATGGTCGGGACGTCAAGGTACTGGTAGCCAGCCTCACCCGCGCCGATGGCAACAGTGAGCTGGTACGGCTCCGCGTCGCCCTTCTGCTTCTGCAGGTTGTCGAACGCAGTGCGCAGCTCCGAGAACAGCTTCCCGTAGCCGCTGCCCTCCGCCGTGCTCGCCGGGTACTCGAAGTCGAGGTCGATGCCGTCGAAGCCGTAGTCCTCGATGAGCTGCACCGCGTCCTTGACGAACTGCGCGCGCGCGCCGTCGTTGGTGACGAAGGCGAAGTGGCCGTCCTGGGACCAGGTGTAGCCGCCGACGGAAAGGAGGACCTTGATGTTGCGGTTCGCGAGCTTGATCTTGTACATTTGCTTCAGGCAGCCGTAGAGGTTGTTGCCAGCCTCGGAGGTGTTGTCACCGTCGAAGGTGATCTGCTCGTCGGCCCACTCGTCGGAGAGGAAGAGGTGGCCGCTCGCCGGGTCGATGTCGGCAAAGGAGTACAGGATGTCTATTGCAGCGTCAGCGTATATCGACAGTGAGAAGGTTGGTAAGACGTACGGGTCAAGCCATCCGTAACGATGTCAGTAGGCATGAAGAAGCCCAGACCCTCATAAATAGCCCCTGCAAGGATGATAAGCGAGCTTCGTGACGCGAGGCAAAGAGAACTTACAGTTAACGTAGTAAGCGATGTTGACCTTGCCGTTGGCGCGGCGCGAGAGCTGATGAACCTCAGGGTTCTGCTGCATCGCCTGAATGTCCATCGTCGCGTTCTTGTTGGCGGGGATGCGCATCGCCTCGGTGGCGTGCACCGAAGTGATGACGGACATCACCGCGCTCACCATGAGCGAGAGGCGGACAAAGGAGAGGTAGGCCATCACGGAAGTGAAAGAGTGAATGACAGTAAATAAAAATGAAGGAAGGACGGTGGGGACGAAGCCGAGGGGAGGCTGGGGATGAGGGATAGGAGGACAGCTCAGTGCGCCTTTTGTAGCTCCCGGCGGTGGTCCTGAATGGGCAGCGCCCACACGGGAATTTCTCAATGCGAGCGGGCACGAAAGCGGGCGTATGCCTCATACGCGAGGTTTCACCCTCCCTGAGGGGGAGACCGAGAGATGTGCCTTGACATGCCGGGAGCGCGTCTCGTAGCTCGTAGCCCGTCGAAAGGCTGAAGCTAGTCGGGAGGTTTACTGACGAGAACGAGAGAAGAGAACAGGATGCACTTGGTTCTTGTGGCCATCGCTGGCCTGCAACAGATCCTAGGAGACAGAGCGTACACCACCAACAGTCGCTTTGCACAAACAGCGTCCGAAAAGGATGGAATGAATATATGGATCAGTGCCTGGACGTACCCTCGAGATCGCGCCGTTGATGGCACCGAGGACGAACGGCCGCACGTCGACGCATGCGAAGGCGCAGGGCGGGAGTTCGACTCGACGTCTCCGCGCAGATCATCCGAGCGGTGGCAGCGGCCAAGCTGTATCGACGACCATCCGGGCCTGTTTGGTGACTCACGAATCAGAAGTCGTCGTCGAACGAGGTCGCATCGACGGAGCTTCCGGGAGCGCAAGCAAGTTTCGGTGGTTAGGACGAATATTGCCTTTTCCCCTCCCCTCCCTTCGCAGTTTAACACCCACGAAGACTTGAATTTGAAGCCGCTGTGCAGACGCAGATGAGCGCAGGAGGAGAAAGGCATTTTGTTGTTGGTCCATGTAGGGCTCAGGGCTTGGTGTCCACGTGCACTGATTGCGTGCGTAATCGTCATTTATGGAAGGCTTTGTGATGGCCATAAATGTGTAAACCTTGTGTAGAGCTTTGTAGAGGCGCAGCTTCAAAATTCATTCCAGGTATAAATATCCTCTTGCATCGAGATACAAGTACAATTTTCTCTACAGCTGAAAGAGCGGTGATTTTCGTCGCCGAAAGCCCGACAAGTAAGTAGTGAAAAAGGAGTGTAGTACGACCATAGTCCCTTTGAGATGACCCAGTCGAAAGCCCTGTTTACTTCGACATTCATGTATTAAGCCTAGTCAAGCTAGGGTGTGTTACCCATCTAGCACGCGCCGCTGTCGGTCCAGACGTCAGACGAGGCGCTGGGCGTCTCGCCCTGTGTCCACCACTTGGCCGTCCAGAGGTGGCCGTTGTAGGTGCACGTCTGTCCGCCTGTGTACGCCGTCGCGGAGTTGTAGGCCGACACACCGGCGCAGTTGCCGCCCGTCGGGGTTGAGCCGCCAGAGGTTGTCGTCGGCGTGCCCGAGCCGCCCTGGCCGAGGTTGCTCCTGATGTTGTCCCACTTGGAGTTGGGGTAGCTATGGGGAGGGGGACGGAGGTTAGCAAGCGGTACTTCACGGGCGAAGGAAGTCGAAGTAGCTCGTGTAAAATAAAGAACTCGTGAGATATAGAGAAAGTGAACTCACTTGATATGGTTCTGCGTGCTGTCGAGCGTGCCGAAGACGCCGTGCGTCGTGCCGACCAGACTGTCCGCGCCGACCTTGTCGGTGGAGAGCTCCCAGAACATCGTGCCCGCGAGGCCGTTGCTGGCCACATACTGCGCCTTCGCCTTCGCGATGTTGGGCGTGTCGTAGGAGACGAACTCGCGCTTGCTGGCGTCGTAGGAGTACGAAGCGACGGAGGTCGAGTTCTCGTAGACGGTCGCGCCGGCGACTGGTCGGGTCAGATGTCAGCGATGAGGGATAAGGTAAGGTGAGGGGAGGAAAGACGCACGAGGGAGGGTCTCGTAGCTGTAGATGCCCGCCTCAACCGTGCCGGGGCCGATACCGTTGTAGGTGTGCCCGAGGCCGTCTGCGAAAGGGATTGAGTACGCAAGGTGGGATGTGTGTGAGGTTAGACTTACCAGTCTCCTCAAAGGCACGACCGTAGAGCGGCACGCCCATAACTATCTTCGACGTCGTCGCGCCGTTCGCCTTGTACCAGTCCAGCGCCGCCGTTGTGCTGACGTTGTTGTAGCTGTCCGGGTACAGGTTCGCCTGGTTAGCGACCGTCGAGAGCCACGAGCCCGCGTAGTCGTAGGCCTATCGAAAGCTCGTCAGCCCACCGTCCAAACATCCATGTCTCCAGCCTCAAGACTCACCATCAAGTTCCAGTAAGTCAGCGCCGCATCCATCGTGTTCACGTCCAGATACTGATAGTTATTCGCACCCGCGCTGACCGCGACCGAGATCTCGTACGGCGTCGCGTCTCCCTTGCTCTGCTGCAGCTTGTCCAGCGCGGCCCTCAGCTCCGTAAACAGCGCGCCGAAGCCCGCGCCCTGCTCCGCCGAACCGGGGTACTCGAAGTCAAGGTCGATCCCATCGAACCCGTAGTCCTCGATGAGCTGCACGGCACTGGTGACGAACTGCGTGCGCGCCGCGGCGTTCGTGACGAAGCCATAGTGGCCGTCCTGCGAGTAGGTCCAGCCGCCGACGGAGAGCATCACCTTGATGTTGCGGTTCGCGAGCTTGATCTTGTACATCTGTTTGAGGCAGCCGTAGAGGTTGTTGCCTGGGAAGGAGGGGGCGTCAGCGGTGAGGAAGGGAAGTAGAAGAAGACAGTGGAAGCATACCAGACTCGTTCCAGTCGTCGCCATCGAAGTGGATCTCCTCGTCCGCCCAGGAGTCTGTGAGGGAGATCGCACCGGTGCTCGCGCTCGTATCCGCGAAGGCGTAAAGAAGATCTATCAACTCCGTCAGTCGCTTGAACCATTCACCCCTCCCGGTCCGGACGTACGGGTGAGATCCTTGGTAACGATGCTCTGGGGGTAGAAGTTCCCCAGGCCAGAGTAGATGGCCCCTAGTAGGAGAAGTCTCATCAGAGCGCTGATCACCACGGCAAGCAGAAGAGAACACGTACAGTTCACGTAGTACGCCGAATTGACGCGCCCCGTGGCGCGCCGCTCAATGTGGTGCACCGGCGCGTTCTGCGCCGCCTTGAACACGTTCGCCGTCGCGTTCTTGTTGTCCGGGATGCGCATCGACTCCGTCGCGCTCGCGATCTGCGCTGCGAGCGGGAGGAGGACGAGCAGGCTCGAAAGAGAGATCATCGTCGTTGTGATGATGGCAGTGGTGGTAGAGAGAACGTCTGCGGGGACTTCGGTCGCGAAGTCCTAGTGAGTAGTAGTGAGTGTGGAGATGCGAGCCCGAGGAGCTGCTTGGGGGATCGTAGGGCTTCCCTGCGCAACCTTATATACCAGGCCCTGTCGCCCTCCCCCGGCCCCGGGCTTCGAGCGCGATAGAAGCGCCCCATGCGTCCTTCGCGCGGGCGCGTCAGCTGGGCGATCCTGCACAAGCCCCCGGGGACAGTCACAGTACTCAGTGACAAGGAACCCGCAGGAGTAAACAGGCAGCACACAGAGGCGCCCAGGGATAGACGCGTGCGCGTCGAGGCACGCCGCTTATCGGCTGGCCTCGCCGGCCATGCGACGCACTGAATGAGGCGGTTATACGAGAGATGAGACTGTTTGTGGTAGGTTGGAGCAGTCTGGAGGGTTCGGGGTGCTGGGGTGCAGTGGTCGGGCTGACTGGCGAGAGTAGTTGCGAGGGCGTGAATGGAGACGCAGGAGAGCAAGAGTGGCGGGCACAAGCGCGCAGAGAGTCCTGGAGGGCCTGGGATCTTCGTGATATGCGAGAATAGACGTTCGGCACAGGGGCCGCATGACGAGAAAGAAGCTCTCGGTGCTGATGCCAATTTCGGAAGAATGCATCGTTTTCATTGTCGCCTCGCGATAAGGTGAGAGTCCGCAGAGAGGGAGAGAGATCCTGCAGTATGTTGCATATCCTTACAAGTCCATCGATTGGGACGAGCATTGCGCAGTATGGAGTCTGATTGGAAGTACCTGTACTCAAGGTGGCGCGTTTGTGTTCGCTCGTCGGTACCTGCGCCCGCTTGTTCGCTGTGAGCAGTCTGAAGATCTCCATGTTCAGAAGTAGAAGTATGACTAGATGATTGAAAACGTTCCTAGACTGCCCTGGACTATCGGTCCGCGCGTTCGGATGCACGCCATTCAAGCTCAAAGTCAAGAGATCGTCCTGAGCGCCGCAGGGACATTCGGAAGTCAAGTCGTCGACAAGCGGCGTATACAGTCTCTCCAGCACGAAACGACCGATAAAACCGTCCCGGGAAGGGTGCATGAGGGTTCGTTCTGCGACCAAGGAGAACGCACGTTGAAGTCACGCATAGACCTAAGGGTGTCACGCATTGTTCAGAGCGTGAGAAAACCTGTGACTCCAACGTTGCGCCATCGCCTTTCCTCCTCGCCCTCACCATCTCACATCTCCGTGTACATAGCTTCCGAGTGACCTCAAATCCCAGTTCTACTTCAAGAACGAGAACAGTGACGAAGATGGAGAAGAGCGCTTGCCAGCAGCGTCCAGCGCGACTACGCTAAATTAGAGCACGTTTCGCGCGAATTTGCGGCCGTAGCTGTGCCCGTAGCGCCCGCGCATGGCCCTCTGATCGACGTACATATATCGAGGAACAAGGCCTGGAGCGCCCTTTGCCAGCACAGTCACCGCCAGCCACCTATCGTCAACGTCACCCTCACTTTCATCGTTTACCGCCGCTTCTTGCGCTCTACCCGATCGCATCCTGCAATCCACTCTGCTACTTCTCTCGACCCAGTCTACCACTTCTCGCCACTTACTCTCTTTCGCACCATGCAGTTCTCCCTCACCCACCTTTTCCTCGTCTTGTCCGCCGTCGCCGCTATGGCCGCGGCCACGGAGTCGATGAAGATCCCGGAGAACAAGAACGCGACCATGAACGTGCAGAAGATGCAGAAGAACCCGACCGTCCACCAGGTGAACTAGGCAACTCGACGGATGGACTAGCCGTGGGGTGGACGTCGTTTGGGAACCGACTGTACCGCGGAAATTCACTGTACGGGAATGGGTGCTCGGAGTACGTCACCTACCTACCTCACGTGCGAATTCGTGCTGAGTTCAGTCCCTCGTAGTTGTGACGCATGCATGTCGACGCTGGTCGTATACCTGCTGCATGTACACAATATCATTCTCTGTGGAAGTAATGGAAGGATTCAGGTCTGAAGGATTCGACTCGTCTCAATTCTCGTCGTATTCCGTCTCCCCACCGCGTGCCCTCATTGACCCTCTTCATCGATCCCGCTCCCATAACCTCGGAATCCCTGTCCTCGCTGAAGGGTGCAACGCTTGCAGTGACGTCGTAGCAGTTCAAGCCCGACGATGGACTTCTGCGCCTGATTTGTCGAAGACAAGTCACAGCACACATCGTTCTTTCGCCAGTAGACCCTACGGGCGGAGTGACCAAAACGAATATGGAAGAAGCCGCCAGTGAAGTGACCGCGTGAGCGTTTGCGGCGAGTATGAAAGAGAACGTGAGCGTGTGAGGAGGAGTGCACGACTAAATGATTGCACGGTGAGTTGGCCGTCGCGCGAGCGGGCCCGGCAATCACCGAAAGTCATGTGAGGTGGACCTACATACACTCACGAATCGCAGGAGCGACCTCACCTCTAGACCGTGGACTGATATGGCCACATCGCTATTCCAAGTTCGTCGTCATCCCATACTCTCTTATTTGCCTGAGATATGCTGAGTGCTCGCACTCCTGACAGCGGCCAAACAATGCATCTACATAGGCTTGTCTTTGCGTGAATTACAAAAGTAGATCCTTCCCCTCCGTGCGCTCAATCTTACCACCTTCCCACCTCTTTCCTTTCTATCTGCTCGCTCACATCTCGCTTCCCCCATCAAGCCGGCACCAGCATGTTTCCATACCACGACTCCGCGAACTCGTCGAGGCTCAGGACGGCGCGATCCGGGTAGAGAGCGCGAGCGTCGAGCGCGCCGTCCTGTACGGCGCGCTCTACCGTGTTGTCTCCCCGGTACCACATGCTGTACGCGTACTCGGGCAGGGCGCGCGTGCGGAGCGCGGTGGGCCCCGCACGCACGCCCTCGTCGACCTTCGCCATAAGCTCGGCCTCGGTGGTCTGTCATGGGGCGTCAGCCTCTACTTATTACCCCCGCGCGCCTGCGCGACCGGTCCCAAATATCTCAGTGGCTGCCGCCTCTGAGCTTGCAGATTGGCACACGCACCTTGGTCACGACCTTGTCGAGCGCCTCCGCGTCCACGCCCTTCGCGGCGGCTAGCCGATAGAGCTCGCGCTGGGTCGCCTGCGCCTCCCACACGAACACGGTGCGGTTCAGCGTGCGCGCGTCGGCGAGGATGAGCGCGACCCACGCGCCGATGTTGTTGATGTCGGTGCCGGCGGTGGGCACTTCGCCCGGCGCGTGGAACGTGTGCGACAGCCGGACAATGCCGGAGCGGCCGGCGTAGGCGGGCGGGTAGGGAAGGAGGACCTGGAGCGCGAGTAAGTATGTGGTCGAATGGCAAGTGGTCGTAAGCAGTTGGTAGGGAGAGCAAGTCGGACAGGGTGGTAGCACTGGCAGGGGTGCGACAAGCAAAGTCTTTACTGACCTGCAGCCAGATCCCGACCTCGATGACGGTGTACCCGAGCCCGAGCTCCCGGATGTACTTCTGGATGTCGTATTTCTGAAATTGACGGTCGGTAAGTCGTGCGCTCGGAACTCAAGGATAACGACCGACGCATACCATGTCCTGCAGGAGCATCGCCCCCGGCGGCGCGTGCGACGACCAATCGCACGGCACGACGCGCTTGACGCCGGCGTCCTTCGCCGCCGCGAAAAGCGAGCGCTGCGTGTCGAGGAGGTACGCGGTAAGCGCGGATACGACGATGTCCGCCCCTCTGAAGAGTGCGACTAGCTCGTCGTGTGAGGCCTTTGTTAGGTCCGGGTGCACGAGCACCTCGGCGCCGCGCTCCTGGAAGTCGGCCACGGCGGGCTTACTGGCCGAGCGCACGACAACAGCAACGCGCTATGAGGATCGACCATGTGAGCTGCGGCAGTCCAGTAATCCAAGAAGGGCGGCACGCACGAAGTTGCCAGAGCGCAGTAGGCCATTGACGATACTGGTACCAGTACTCCCGGTGGCGCCGATGACCACGACACGGGGCTTGCTCTCGCTGGATTCAGACATGCTGAGTATGAGTGTACGAATCTGGATCGTTTTCGATACAGTCGACCCCACCCACTCACCCTCTTATACTGAAGTCCCCCCACGAGGCTTCCTAACCGCTTACCTGATGCCCACACCCGGTAACGCATCCGACATGGCGAGGCCACTCGAACTTCCTGGGAATCAGCCGACGGCATGTCTGTAGTGGCGACCCACTTACACCGTATTGGCCTCGCATGCAGGCTACTGTTGGTCGCGAATATATGCAGGAGTCAATCATGTATGGCTGTTTCCATTGCCTTACCAATCCCAGTCCGATGAGGGACCCGAATCGGCGGGGCAGCTGACAGACAGTGCGAGGGTGGCCAGTAAAAATGAGCAGTCAGACGTCGGGACCGTTCCAGTACCTCAGCCCTGTCCAAGAGATCTTGAAAAGCCATCGTTCGCAACTCATTCACATCCTACCAGGCTTCAACCAGGTGCGGGTCAACAATAATGCAACGACGATGAATTTGCTGGCGAGAGGGTGAATCTGCGCGTCAAGAGATACTGCAGGTGTCCTCAGTGACAGCGGCGTGGTAGGCCTTTAGCGCTAGTACGACCGATGCTATTCGAAGTCATCTGGGCCAGTGTCAAGAAGGGGAAGGTCAACATCAGTAGCAAGTCCGGCGACTGCCGGATGGTCACGTGCTATGGACCCACAGGCTCACACATACAATCGTAGCCGAGGTAGGACGTGATGAAACGACGAATCAGGGGATGATATTTCTCTGCGAGCTCGTGTACTCACTTTGGGACAGCACCCATAAGTACAGTCCACCGAGATTTGAATGGAGCATATCTTGCTCTAAGCCTTGTCACAAGAACTTACTACAGCGCGGTCAAGATATTTTTCGGTAGGCCGTCCTCGACACCTATGGGTACTATTTCCTTTTGGCAGCCCGTCAACGATATTCCGCCCCTCGACATGCCCCGCTGCCATCCACCTTTCAATGGTGTACAGGTACGATCTGCAAGATCACCTTGTAGCAATCCTTGGCTATGACGCCGTAAATGGTGTCCGTCGTGATATTGTATTCGACGTGATTATCGTATTCAGACGGGCAGAGCGTCCACAGGTCATCGTGCCCGTGCGCTGCAAGCGATGCGTACTTGTGGTGCTTCGCTGCAAGGGTCTTCTGTGAGCCTAGTGATTCGGATCGAGCCAAAGTAACTGAAGACTCACTAGCGCGCAGGGCAGTATACTGATCCAAGTCGGGGTACCAGCTTTCCCCACTCTGCACCCAGTCCATCGATCTCCCTGACATGACCATCGACGCGTTGGTGTTCCTGCGCGGGTGCATAGCGCGTCAGACCCCGTGACAATGCAGTGGCAACACAGATAGACCACACCATGTTCCGTCTGCGTTGTAGGCGCGCAACACCCCGTTGACTAATCCGAGACTCGGGAACTGGCTCGGCCAGCCGTTCGATGCCCACGTCTGCGCGTTTGGCGTTAATGAGTGAATAGATTAGCGATGTGTGAATTGGGCAGCGATGCGTGAATTGGACAGCGATACGTGAAAAGGCCAGCGATGCGTGAGTTGGGTACCAATGTATGATGAAGTACTAACCCTCGTCGTGTAGAATGTTGCCCCATGAATCCCGCCTGTAAAGAAGCGTCAAGGCAGTCTGAAATGAAGCAGCATCGGAATTTCTTACCCTGGCTACCAACCACAAGAGGCACACCGGTGTCGTTGGCGTTCGGGAGGGTCGTGTTCAGGGCGGCGAGCGTGAAGTTGTAGGGTAGCGTCTTCAATTGAGCGAACGAAGCCGGGATCACGGCCATGAAGACCGCGAGCGCGAGAAAGACTGAGGGAAAGCTCGACTTCATGACGAATTGCACACGAAGGGAGGTGGTAGAGCGAGTAGATGAGAGGGCTGCGCGCGTTCTTATATCGAAAATATTGGAGTTCATCTCCGGGAATTTCGTGACAAGCCGTCTTCGTCGTATATACAGTCGTTCCAATCACTGTCAGCGAGCCGGTGCGAGCCGTTCAAGATGGCCGCGACGACGCTAAGATGGCTATCGAGGAAGGGGCAGACAGGACTACCCTACAAGAGGAGGTCATCTCGAGAACTTGAAACTCCGCGGAAGGACTTGTACCTTCATGCGGGAGGATCCCATCGCCACGCAGAGGATGTAGGGATCGACATTGGAAGCTGTCGGTAAGCTAGGGTTCCCGCAATTGACTGACGGCTGTCCATAACCTTGCGCGCGAAAGGACTCGTCGCCGCCAACTTCGCAGTTCGAGGTTCCCTGAACACAAACGTGATTGGCATGTTATATCGGGATGCGCTACTCCGTTTGACGTTGATGCAGATGAGGTAACAAAACGTGTCGCACAGCAGGGAGCCGGTAATAGGGGCATTTTGCTGAGATTTGACGAGGGCGGGTTCAGTAGTGCAGATGAAGTCGTTCCAGAAGAGGTACAGACTCGGAAGCGCGATCTGAGAAAGAGCGAGTCGTCATCGCAGGAAGGGAGACTTGCTTGGAAGAGGCAAAAAAACAGAGGAGCAGATAAGCAAGGTCATAATGCGCAATCTGATGCAGCGAGAGGCGACTCGAACAGATGGAGGTGCAGACGAAGAGAACGAAGGGACGTCGCACGATGGAAGCCGTGTCATCGGCAGGTGCCGAGAGTAATCACGTGCTGGACCCACAAGTCCCAACGCGCGCCTCCTGACGGAAGCGGGTAGATGCGCCGCTCTCAAAGTATAAGCAGCTACTGACAACCGTACATCGACGTAGGCCTCTCACAGCCATTGCAATTACCCCTGGAAATCATGCTACTGACGATCCTATTGATGATACGGTATTAGAGTACTAGTCCGAATACTGAAGTAAGCAAGAAGTCATGTCCGAGTCTTTGGGCTACATTATACGTGAGGAGTCCGAATCATAGTCATAGCTCATAGCGAACGGAAGCCCAGGTCGTAGAGAGATAGTCATGAGCGGCGGGCGGGCGTTCAGACCGCTGAGGCGGTCGAGTTCGCACTCGCGGCATCTCCATCGACGGCGCCAGTCCCATCTCCAGCCCCATCATCCCCGTCACCCCCGTCGACATCCTCCGCCCCATCAGCATCCCCTTCATCACCGTCCGCCCCATCCGCCCCGTCAACCACCTCCGCATCATCCCCCCACCAACGTAGCGGTACAATCTGCAGCGTCACCTTATAGCAGTCGCTCACGTTGAAGGGGTAGTACTGGTACGTCGCCGATACATTGTACACGACCTCGTTCTTCCCGCGGAACTGCGTGCTAGGGCAGAGGGACCAGAGGGCGTCGGTGCCGTGCCGGGAGGGCGAGTCGGAGGCGCGCACGGCGAGGGAGGCGTAGCGGTGATGGCGGGCTGGGGGTGTTGATCAGCAATGACAAGGCAGCACAGCAAGATGATAGAAGACTCACTGGCGTGAAGGGCCGTAAACTGATCTGATTCCGAGCCGCCCAACGTCGTCGACAGCCAGCCCATTTCGTTCCCCGAACTCAGCGCCGTCGCGTTGGTGTGCCTATACGGACATGAAGCGCCTCAGAAGCGGTGCGAATGACGTCCCAGGAGGTACTCACCAATTGCCATACCTGTCATACGCTCGCAACTGGCCGTTGACTAGTGCAAGCCTTGGATAATCATTGTATGGGTACGAGGCGTAGGTCTGCGTGCGCGACGTCGGTCAGCAAGAGGTAGCGAGAAGAAGAAAGGTTACTGACCGACGTGATGTAGAAGGAGGCGCCGGGTACTGCACCTATCGAATGATTCATATACGGGAAAGTATGAATACTTCCAGCCGCCTTACCTGCCGATCCGAGAACAAGAGGCACGCCGGTTCCGTTAGTATTGGGGAGTGTCGTGTTCACAGCAGCCAGCGTAAAGTTGTAAGGTAGCGACTTCCTCTGCGCCAGAGACGTCGGCGCCAAAATCAGAGACAGCGCGAGCGCGACGAAGAATGAAGGAAGACTCGGCGACATGACGGTTCGGAACTGAGTGCGGGGATGGGTGGCCGTCTCGACTGAAAGCGGTGCGCGGGGCAGAGGCATGTTCTTATACTACAAGGCGGACTTTAGTTTAGCAAGGGATATTGTGTCAAGCCGTCGTAAAGTCCCGTTCATTCTGTCATCGCCCTGGCGTGCGCTTGCCGTCAGGCCGGTAATAATGGGCGCGAGGACGTCGGATCCCTCCACAACGCGCTGCGTTCTGGGCTCACCTGCCTGCATGCTGGCGGCGTGGCCGTGTCTACAGGCGCTCCTCGATGTGCTGCGCGGGCGGCTGATCGTACAACGAGGCGATCTGAACAATAGAGATGCGGCTAAGACGCGGCCGAAGTACAAGGGCAGGAACAAAGTGACTGCCGGAAGGAGATTCGAGAACAATAGCCGGTAATCAAACAGACACGTGCTCCGACGCCCCTCGGCAATCACATGTGCAAACAAGGTGTGACAAGCGTCCTTCTCCATCTCAACCTCAACTTCCATCTTGTTCCCCCGCGAAACGCTTTTACTGGATACCCACTCAAGCTGGAAGACTGAAATATCTCACTACGAACAATGCGAAAATCAACAATACTCGGGACTTTGCTAGCGTTCTTACCTCTGGCTCGCGGCGCGCTCTACCCGACTCGGCCCATCGCGAAAACAACACTCCACGTCGGGAAGGATGAAATGATCAAATGGACCGACGATGGAAAGGCGCCGCATCTGAGCCAAATGGGACCCATGAAACTGGACCTGTTCGCGGCAAACAACGTGCGCACCTCGACTGTACTCGTGAATCCTGCTAATGTTTACCCTGCCTCGCGCCCTCCCCCTCTCTACTTCCAGACCTACCTCTGCACGCTCAGCGATAGCGTCGACCCCACCACCCGCAGCCTCGCCATAGCACTTCCGCCCGGTCTTGACTACACCGCGCCTCGCTAGTAAGGCCTCCCCTCCCGCTCTATCGCAGCTTCCTTACGTCCCCATCCCCTTGCTCCCAGCGCGCTGCACTTCGTCCCGCACCACTCCCGCTACGGCATCATATACACGGCGGACTTTGCCATCGCTGACAAGGGGAACGACGATGCGGACGGCGACCGGGATGCCGGTCCTGATGCTAGCGCGCCTGCCGCCGAGACGGATATGATGCCCTTCGCCGCCACGCTCGCGCACGATGAAAAGGCCCCGTCTGCGCTCAATGAATCAACCACGCTTACTGCCAACGAAACAGCCGCGCCGCACCTCCTCACGCTCGTGCTCCCCTCGACCACGCTCACCACCACGCTCGCGGGCGCCGCCGTGATGCGGACGCCCTCGCACTTTACGGTGACCGCGCCGTCGGTTCAAGAGACCGCCCCGTCTCTGAAGCAGGCCGACGAGCCTGAGAAGGAGCAGGCGCAGGAGGAGGACGAGGGTCACGACGGCAGTGACGGGCATGGCGATGGCGCGCGCAATGTCAGCTCGGTGTACCACCCTCCGATCAAGAACCACGAGTACAACAGTGCGCTGCGCGGCTTTGGCTGGTCCTCGTCTGGTGCTATCGACTGGGAGCGCCTCAAGTTCAAGCTCGTGTTCATTGTTTGGCCTGCGATGGTCGGCATCTCAATGGCGGTCTGAGGTCTCGATCCAATCTGGCGACCCGCTTCTTGCGTTATCTTCCCGTCAACCGATTGTCTACTTGACTTCTCCTGTGACGCCTCTCCGTTCTCTCTCCCTTTAATCTGCGTTTTCCCTTCGCCTTCAGCCTGCGCCTCCTCTTCTTCGTCTTCGCCTCTGTCTCCTGGTCTCACGACTTGCCTCTCTATATCGAGCCCTTGTGATTCTACTGCGACCTGCCGCCTCTTTCTCGCTCTAGTCTGCGTCTCTGTACCTCTACTGGCCCCACCATCGTCGACGCTCTGCACAACGCTATTTCGCACCAGTCTCCTACTGTAACATACACTTCCTAACTAGGTCTTGCTCGTCTATATCGTGTATCGTGATGACACGTCTACTGCGAGACCTACTCGTTTGTACCACTAGGTCTCGTCGTCTGTACAACCAGATTCACTTGTCTGTACCACCAGGCCTAGTCGTCTGTACCACTAGGCCTAATCGCCTGTATCACTGCCGCGGGTGTAGCAAGCCATTCCATATCGGCCTCTGCGTACTTTGTGGCAACGTGGGGAATGATGACTCTCATGCGCGAATCAGTGTCCTCGTGCCCAAGCATGGAACGCTCTTGCGCGCAAATATGGAATGCTTGCGATCAGTGCCGTGGACATCAGCGACCCGCCAAAGCGCGGGAGGTCTACACTGCTCAATAGCCGTCAGTCGGGATCCCTACACGCCCTACGTGAAGGTCGGTTTTCAGGTATGAAGGTACAAGTCCTCCCGTTGAGTTTCAGGACCTGACCTGCAGGTCCGTCGTACCCTGAGTCCCGTCGCCGTCGCATCCATCGTCAGCGGCTCGCGCTAGCTTGACCACAGTGGACCCGGGGGGCGGCTTGTCAGGATATACCTGGGTCAAATCGAACTCAGGAGAAGTATAAGAACGTCTACAACCGCACAATGCTTTTTGACGACAACGCATCCCCGTCTTCAGTCCAATATGAAGGCGAGCTTTCCTGCAATCTTCGTCGCGATTTCCCTAGCCGTGGTCCCTACCTCTGTCGCTCAATCGACGACATCCTTTGCTCCAGTAAAGACGCTGCCTTATGAATTCACGCTGGCCGCCCTGAACACGACCCTTCCAAATGCCAACGACACCGGCGTGCCTCTTGTCCTTGGTGACGAATGTGCGCAATCATACTGAAAGCACGGATTGGGGCTGGTGTGCCTGCACACTAACTACTGCTCAGATTTCCTTCCTGGTTCGGCATTGTACATAACGTCGGTGCGTCTTCCGCATCCTTTCAGACGAGAAACAGACTAGGTTATGAGTGGCTGATGTTTAGGAGTCGCTTATGTCTACGAGTCGCTGGTGTTCATGAGTCGCTGATCGCCGATCGTCTCTAACAGACCTACGCGTCCTGGCCTTACAAGGAGAACAACAACAGTCTCGGGCTTGTCAGCGGCGCGATGCGCGGCTATGACCCGGAAGGTGCGTGGTGCGTCCTTCACGGCGTCGGTCCTCCGATCCATTGCCAATGAATCCTATGCTGATATGCATAGGACAGTCAACGCATCGCTAGTTGTTTCGGGGTACGCAATGACATGGCTCGGTTCCTATATGGGCTCCCCCGAGACAGATCAGTTCACTGCTATTCATGCCGGTGAGTCTTCAGAGATAGTGGCTTGGAGGTCGCCTTGAGATACGAGCTAAGTCCTTCGCACAGCGCGAGGACACAAATACGCATCGCTCGCCGCGCATGGGCAAGATGCCCTTTGGTCACTGTGCCCGACTGGGAACAAGGACGGGAAGAATGAGGTGTTTTACAACATCTCGTCGGCAACCTCACACTCTTCCGTCGTGGTCAAGGACTGCTACAAGGTCACCTTGCAGATCATACCCGTGCGCCATTGAGAATTCGGGGCGGTCGGGGCGTGGCGCATAATGTAGCTCAGCAACTCGGACACGACTTACTTCTTGCTTATTTCAGTAGTATGGGGGACTCGGAGTGCCTACGCTGTACTCTAATATTTCAGCTTCAGCTTTGAGGGCAACTGTCAAACTTCGTCACCGCCTCACTAGTACCGGTAGATACCAATATGTGGCGCTAAGAGTTATGGGTACAGCACGTGACTGCACTCGGCCTTTGCCGGGACGGACAATCGCTTTGTGGCGTTCGCCTTGACTCGCGCACCCACATGCGCGTCCCCTTTCTCCTGATCTCCGCCTCCGTCGCTGCGCTTCGTCAATCACATTTCGACTCTTTAGATTACGACCGGCGCCTTCTCGGATTGCGTTTCTGTACCCCTACTGGCTCATTTCCGTGTACACTATTGGAGTCCCTCGTCGAAGCTTAGCAGAGCACGTTCTCGTACCGGTATACTGCTGCATCTGACACACTCTCATCTCACCTGCTTTCGCTATGTTCTCTCTTTGAAAATGCATCATCCGTATTCCGACCTCAAAGGCCATTCGCTCGTCGCCACTTGAAGATATCTCGCGCGCGCAACAATATAGACAACAATCTTCAGTGAATCGCGAGAGGCCTTAGCCAGACAACAAGGCTTTCCACCACCGATATCTCCCAATGCTGACTCCTACATTCTTAGCGCGGCGATGGTTGCCTTGCACATGATTCTGCATGAAGGTAAGTACAAGTCCTCCCGTGGAGCTTCAAGCTTCTCGGTATGAGCTGTCGAGTCTTCAGTAACAGGGTCCACGCGCACGCTCGCGCTACCAGTCTCGTCATCGCTGCATCTATTTTTTCCGGCCCGCACCAGCTTGATGACAGTGGCACCAATGCAAATTCTGATGAGACGGCCTGTGACGATAATCCTGAACGCGTTATATGCTTCATCGCGGTATAAAAGTCCTGTCAAGTCACTCTGTTCTTGCGTACAGCCGCCTCCAGCCTCTCACCACTTAATCTACGCTTTCCAGCGACTTGCGAACCCTCAGAATAGCCACGCAACTCCGCCTCCAGCTTTACATGAGGTCGAACCTCCTCTCATCGCTCCTCGCCCTGACCGGCAAATCGAAGGAATCAACGCCAAATATTCACATAGAGATTCCCATGATTATGTGTTAAGACAACTGCTCAAACAGGACTCGCCTCGCTTTCGAGTGTACTGTGTTTCAATCGCTACTTCCTGTCCCAAAGCCCGCGTGTATACCTGTAGGTCCATCTCACGTGATCCTCCGGAAGCTGCCGTGCTACTGAAGTCACGCAGTATGTCACGCAGTGCTCAATCTCATCCTGACCCAGTCACTCTTGAGACTGGTACGCAATAGTGAGCTCAGTGGCGAGTCAGTCTCGGGGGAATACCCGACAGCTGTCATCTAAGCCCCGTACACCATTCCTCAGCGCGCAGATTCACCCTCTCGTTAGCAAGTACATCGCCGTCGCGCCCGATATAATACCGACCCGCGCCTGATGGAAAGGCAAGATGGACGGGATTTTACAACGACCGCTTGTCAAAGTATTCCTGGACGGACTAGATGATGTTCACTCCAGTATAAGAGCGTGCGCAACCGCTCAGCTTTTTTGCCGACCGACAACCGCCCACCAGCCACTCACCGCCTGAACCATCTTACCTTCGAAAGTTCGCCATGCAGTCCAACATTCTTACGCTTTTTGTCGGGCTCGCCCTTTCTGCTCTCCTGCTGCCAGCCTCTGCTGCTTCATTGGCGACTTCGTCCGCTCCACTGAAGACGCTGCCGTACAATTTCACGCTCGCTGCGCTGAACACGACTCTCCCGAATGTCAACGATACTGGCGTGCCCCTCGTCGTCGGCTATGACTGTATGGCATCGTACAACGAGCCTACCTTTGCACGTACTGACCTCTAGCTAGATTACGTCCATGGCTCCAGTGGATTCTCCACGTCGGTGAGTCGCCCATTATTCTGCGTCATCACCTACTAGGCTAATCACTACCCAACGTGCACTAGACGTGGGCATCCGCGCATGACAACGTCTTTCCCAGCCTCGGGCTAGTCCATGGCGCTCTGCGCGCTTATGGCAGGGACGGGTCATGGTGCGTGCTCTTTGTTGTCGTCGATGTAGCGTATCTCACGACATTTACGGGAATAGGGACGCTAACGCGTCGACAATCATCTCAGGGGAATCTATGGGCTGGATCTCAGGGAGTATATATGGACCTCTCGAGCATGATCAGTACACTGCGGTCCATACGAGTGCGTGTCCCCTCTGAAACTATCGTCTATCCTTGCATGACAGCTAAATCTACCCACAGTGCACCACAGCAAGTACGCGACGCTTGTCACGCAAGGCCAGGACGCTCTTTGGTCGCTGTGTCCGACCGGTGACTACTGGAAGAAGAACGTGGTTTATTACAATATTTCCTCGCCGGATAAGGATTCCAAGGATTGCTACGAGGTAGCTCTGCAGATTGTACCCGTTCACTGAGTATTGTGGCCTTTGTGGCGTTGATAGTGCTGTGCACGACATCGATATGACGCGGGGAGGATGAACAAGCGACCGAAGGCTGCCCACTGGCAGGCGGCAGTTTATAACTCATCGTGCCGCATCAGCTCGGTATGCGCAGTACTAGCGTACAACAGGAAAATAACTGCTTGCCCCTTCCCTATGACTGTCTCCTTGCTTCCCAAGCGATGTGGACGCAGACTCACGAAGGACTCCAGGCTCCCTGGACGATAAACGTGCTGGCTGGTCATCAGTGCCTGAAAACGTGCGTACTCAAATAGGAAATTTGTGCTCTCGGCTTCTACGTCAATGTTACGCTCTGTCTTCTGTTCCTCACGCTGCTCCGGCACGCGCAGGATTCGAGCGCTATGCACACCCTCCCATTTACTCGAGCGCTCGTACTCTGAGCTCTACGAATTTTGGGAGACCAGGTTTCAACGTAAACGGAAACAATGGGACTTGAAAGTGTGCCTGCGGCCTCCGATGGCCTTCATTGTCGAGCCGTCGAGGAAGCGCTACACGACGACGCGGATCTTTCTCGCCGCCTTCCGCATAGCCATTTATATCGGGAGCCGCAAAGACACGGGGAAAGATTGCACGCGCCGCCGCAAGCTCAGGACGGATGCACTCTTATGAATTGTTGCTTTAGGACTTCTGCGCTCTCCACTGCCTTTTGAGCGCCTAGATACTCGCTCCAAGCATCTCTAGAGTATTCATGAACTCCTCGGACCTGCCACGAGGGTCCGAGACATGCTGCCTAACCCTGCGCTGATCCCTTCTTGATCACATCGACGGCGGACGCAATGTGGACTTGCCCTCGGAGCACAGCCTCGGGATCCGCACATATATACTACACCTGCACGGATGGCAGCCGCTCGTGCGTCTTTCCCTTCTCAGTCCATCCTTTGCGCTCCTCGGCCAGGCTCGTGCGGAGTGCCGGTTGAGGCTTTTGGTCCTCCCGTTCGACTGCGTCCTCCAAGCTCTCATACAACTGTGTCTTCTCGTTCGACTGCGTCCAGCGTTTAGCGATACCGAACTACTTTTTGAACGCACGATGCGATCCGTTGTCTTTGTACTCGCGATCCTGGCGATCTCTGTTGCGGCCCGCCCTCTGCATGCTCGCAACGGCTCGGATGGAGAAGCGGGACGGTGGCAGGATGATAACGACGATGTTATGGCTATTGAATGGCCTACAACGGGTGAGTTTTTCCTGATGTTCATCTTGGACGTGTCCTTACCGAGTTACTGTAGGGCACCCGTATCTTGATTGAGCATGCGTCCGTGCACTCATCGCTCGGTCATAGCCGTCAGCAGAGATTACCTGCGTCAAGCATATCCGGCCTGAGGATGCCCATTGAGCTACCGAGCGCTGGAGGTGCTGCTTGGACGAAGGCGAGCCCATTCAAGGCACGTTGTGTCATTGCGTGCGAGCGCCGCGATGCTTGGCGAACGCGATGCCTGTTTGGGAGACTCCAGGCAAAGGAGCCTGCTATGGGGTCGCGCAATTCTTCCTACAGTCGAGTTTACTTTGCTGTCTTGACCATTGCTTTGCTATCTTGGACAATCTATTATTATTGGGCTCCGGGTGTACATGGCTACTGTACTGTATAGTATCGGTGAAGTCGGCGTTGCTGCTGTGTAAATTATATACTGTCGTTCACTCAAGCATATACTAGTTTGGGATAGAGTCGGTTACGAATCAAGCATATAATGTCATTCTGCATGTGGAGGAGTTGGGAATCTCGGTCAAAAATCAGGCGTGAGTCGTGGCTGTTTCCACTGTCAGATGAGGCTGGGTCACAGTCAGAAGTGGTTTCTTGCACTATTCGTGTTCGGCGTCGCCGCTCAGGTCATGTTTGCACTCAGGCAGCGCGTCGGACAGGTCGGATGGGGCGGGATTGGCGGGTAGATGGGACGAGAAGCAACTCCGAGATGCCCTTCAGTCGCACACAGACGAGTTCAGAACTCGTCCATGTACGGCCTGCAGCGCTCCCAAAGCCTCGCCCACCGCCCGCCGTTCCACCCGCGTACGCGCGCCCACCCATCGTGCGGCGCCATCCGCTCCATCCACACCAGCACCGCGCACAGCGCAAAGTCGGCGTACGACACATCGTGCCCCTGCGCCACGACCGCGTCGCCGTCGCCGTCGCCCGTGTTCTTGTCGAGCACGCCGGCGAGGAAGTCGAACTCAGCGCGCACGGCGGCCCACGCGGCCTCGCGCTCCGCTGGGCTGCCCGCGCCGCGGCCGGCGCCCTGGTAGTGCACCTGCGTGCGCGGCGGGAGGCGCTCGTGGCTGAGGGGGACCATGACCGGGAGCAGCGAGCGCGCGAGGGTCTCCTGGACGTGGTGCACGAAGAGCGTCTGCAGCGCGCGCGAGCCCTCGGGGAAGACCGCGCGCGCGGGGTAGCGCGTCTCGAGATACTCCGCGATGGTCGTCGCATTGGAGAGAATTACGGGGCTCGCGCCCGCTTGAGTAGGTGTTGGGTCGACGATGACGGGCAGTGTGTACACGGAACGGCCATCGGGGCGGCGGGCGCTGGGCGGCGCGCCGAGGGCGCGCAGCGTAGACTCGACGTCGGGAAACTCGACCCATATGGTGCGGTAGCGCAGCCGCTTGTAGTTCAGGATGAATCGGATGCGCCAGATGTTAGGCGCCCAAGGTTGAGGCGTGCTGCCCGGCACGTCATACAGCATGATCACGGGCGGGGAGTGTGCGCGCGGGCGCGACATGGTCGGTTAGGCGAGGGTCAGGAAGGCCTCCGCAAAGGTCGGATAGTCGGGGTGGGCGAGGAAGTAGCAGGTTGAGGGCGAAAGAGGTGCGCCTGGCTCTGGGTGGCTTATATATCCGCTGGATCTCGACAGCCTGGAGTCAACGTGGAGTGCGTGAAGGTGCTTGTTATTTAGTCTGCAAGGTCGGGGGCTCTGGAATGACCGATCCTCCGTCAGCATCCGTCGACGCACGCAGCGCGTGAGTCACCAGCAGCGCACAGAGCGCATACATCGTTCCGCGGCGCGGTACTGGGCCCGCGGGCCCCACGATGAGAGGCGGTCCCCGCGATTAGATGCAGTGCCAACGCCTGCGCCCGACCGCTGGACAAACGGAGCTGTATGAGAGAAAGAAGGTGTAGAACTTTGCGACAATATACCCTGAGATGCGTGAGTCAGACGGATTAACACCCTTTTTGAAAGGCGGACGCACAGCATTGGGTGACTCTGACAAAACGGTGGCAAGGCGGAGGCCGACAGCCAGAGTAGCGTCAGCAACTAAGTGTGTTTGGTCTGGAAGAGAGGAAGAAAATAGTAATAGTTGCAGAGCATTTTAAAACGATACGTGGCCCGGAGAAAATAAACGCCGTCCCGCATTGGAATTGGGTCCTTGCGCAAGAGACAAGGCCAAGATCTGCGTGGCTCCCAGCCGTATAGCGCGCAGAGAACGGTCGCTGATAGGAAGCGACCTAGTGAGACGTGTGAACAGGCGAAAGACGGGGTGATTACGAATATCACGGGGTTGAAAGCTGGTAGTAACAGGTCCATTGGGTCGCTATCTAAAGCCCAAGACCCGGCCGTTGCTGAATGACTGGAGATGTACGCTGAACAGTTCGTCGGAAAATGCGTAAGATTTCGCACGGAATGAGGCGAGTCAGGACCATACCATTCACTAGGGTTTTGTGGCGAGACCTGCGTTCGACGAGCCTCTGCAACGGTAGCGTTCCAGAATTTGCCGCCACGGCTCCGAGCGTACAGCTCATGATTCTCGGTGATACTTTTGATAGGCTTGCAAGCAGGGAAGCCGTGGGGTCAGGGTGATAATCCATCGGCAGTATGCAAGATGTTCACCTCGAGCTCCATCCGTAGGTCTTCGACGTATATCCGTGGGACGACGGTGCATGGAGGCGAACCTGGGGCTAGTGCGTGTTAGTGCGTCAACATCCACTCATAAGGCTTTGCTTACAGGGTCTTCCGTGTTCAGCGCTTTTTGTTGGGCGCTTAAGCGCCCAACGAGCGCTTAACAGATACGGATGAGCGGCTTGGCCGATGAAGTTGTTTTCAGACACAAAATTCATCCGAAAAGTTACCGTGTGTGTATGTTAAGTGGGTTGACTTGGTAACAGAGCAAGAGAAGGGCAGCTTGCGCGCTACGATATTTCGCAGTATTTTACTGCCTTCCGAGCCGTTCCCCACCCATGAGAACTATCTCTTCTTCCGAGCGCGGTATTTCAGGGAGAGATTCCGCTGTAGATAAGGCGTTCATCATTCTACGGAGTCGAGGGAGGACCAGAAGAGCGGAAGAATCGAACTCGAGCGGGAGAGGTGAGTGGCATCGCCGAGCAAGGCCGACAATTGCCTGCCGCTCGGAATCCCGGCAATTCCCAGTGCTTTTGACGGCACCTGACTGTGTGACCAATCGTAACGCTCGCACCCCGGGTCACGTTCGTAACTGCGACGTGCGCTCAGGCTGCGTTTCCATGTCGTTCTTCCGGCCATACCGGGGTCTCAGAGCGCGATCTTGACTCCAAGGCTTGCGATCGAGAGGAGGCCGAACATGCGGGGGGTAGCAGCGGGGAGCGTGAGATGTGGCAACGATGGATAGTTCGAGAGTCCATTAAGTGGAGGTCGCGGAGTCGACAAGAAATTGCTCGAGAAACAGGCGCGAGCGAGGCCAGGGCAACTAGGACCTGCAGAAACGCTGAGGGATGCCAGAACACTCCGCTTAGCCGCTTCGAAAGTCATGGGGCAGGTGAGTTTCCCCAATGGCCGAATGCGGAAGCCGTGAAAATCGCACGGGAGACGGTCGAGATGGGGGCCTTGGTCTTCGGGGCTGATAGAGATGGCGTGCCTACTACAATTCGTGATTCGCGTGGTTCTCGGATGCTCACAGAACATGAGAGAGGTGCCGCGACTGGAGACTGAATACAAGAAGGACAAGCAAGGAATCTCGACGAACTTCAACGACGTTGCGGAGCAGCTTGTGACCGGCAGGCACGGTGAAAATGATTGTAGGGAGGTCCATAAGCGGAGGATTGCGCGGGTACCCGGTGGTCCACCATATGCGGAGGCCCTCCCTCCAGAACCAATGGTGAACTCGTGCAGTGCCTCCCGGGGCCCATAGCCAATGGAAACAAGACCTTCGAAAATTTCGCCGAAGGGCCTATGAGGAGAGCTAGACACCAGAATATTGGGGAAAGCGTTCAGTAGTTGTTTTTCGCAGTAGAGTAGGTAGCAGAGAGAGCAAGTTGACCCCTCCATCGGGGAAGCGTCTCGGGCTTCCTGTGACATCCATGAGCATTTCAAACCCAACTCTCCTTCCGACGTCTAATTCTTCCTCCGAGATCTGACATCATGATCTGGAATAAGGAATTTCTGCAATCATCTAACGATCCGTAACGCCACAAAACCTTTCTCGAAACTTCCAAGTAGCCACTGGCCGCTGGCGCATAATATCCACGGCGACCGTCTATGGTCCCAGCAGCGCGTCTTTCTCCCGACTCTCATGCACCAGGAGCATGCCCAACAACTGACTGACAGCCGCTCATTAGCCAGACTCGCGCTTCTGCCCGTCGAGATCCTCGACCATGTCGCCCAGCACCTTGCCTTGCGCGACAAGTTGGCGCTCGCGTCCTCCTCCCCCCACTTTAACGACCTCTGCACCCGCCTAATATACCGCTCCATTGAGCTCTCGAGCTGGCCGCAGGTGTTGCGATGCTGCCGGACGCTGTTGAATAGTCCGCGCACCGCCCAGGCCGTCCGATCACTCAGCATCTCACTGGAAAGGTGGGCATCAATCGCAGAGGGCTTGACACAATTTCTAAACACTTTGAAATCTAGCCCCCCACCGCCACTGCTGCAGGCAGCGTACAGGACGCTCTCGACGGCGCTGCGGAGGCTGGAGCGGCTCAAGACATTGTATGTCGCCGCCCCGCGCGATGCGTACTTCTCCATCGTGCTCGCCCCCTGCCGCTTCGAGCACCTCGTCAACCTCACACTGTCCCTCCCCATCCCCCGCGCCTTCACCGCGTTCCTGGCACGTCACGATGGCCTACACGCACTCCAGATCCATCCGACCGTACATGCCACGGACCTCGCCTCCGTCCCGACCATCGCGCTCCCCGCGCTGCGCACGCTCGTAGCGCCGCAGCTGTGGCTACCGAAACTCGTAGGCGCCGCCACGCACCTCGAGTACGTCGCGATACTGTGGGACCCGCGCGTGCCGGGCGACCCGCACGCGCTGCTCGCCACCGTGGGCGCCCCGACGACGCTCGTGAGCGTGAGCCACGGATGGCGCGTGGACGTCGTTGATGCCGCTGCCGACGCGCTCCCAGGGCTTGTCGCCCTCATCCTTCGCTCCTCGGATCCCAACGAGGACACGAAGGTGTGTAGTTACGTGCGGCATCGTCGGCGTTACGCTCATCCTCCACCCCTAGGCGCTCCTCGACGGACTCGAGCGCGGTCTGCCGTGCTGGAAGCAGCTGGTACGGCTGGACGTTAGCTTCGACTCCGAGCCTTCGCGGGAGCAGCCGAAGCCACCCACAGAGGCTGCGCTCGAGGCGGGCTTCACCGTCGTCACGCGCCTCGGCTCGCTCTGCCCCTCCCTCAAGCATTGTTCCCTCCCTGGTGCGTGTCTCGCACCCGCCTCCGCGGCGTCCGATGCCCATCCCGCCCGCGCAGGCAAGGCGACGTGGGCGCGGCCCGTGCCGCTCGAGAACGCGTGGTTCCCGCAGGTCGCGCCCGCGCAAAAGTACAAGTTCATCGCGATGGGCATCTTCACGGGCCGCTACCCGCCCGCTATCCTCGCGAGCGCGGGGATCATGACCGAGGCGCAGACGGAGGCGCTGCGCGACGACGTGCAGTCGCTGCGCGAGACGGGCCTTACGGCGCGGCAGATTGCGGAGATGGTGACTAGCTTAATGCTCAGCAAGAGGGAGCGCTGGTGAGGCGGCGCGGGGCGCGGGTTGTGCGTGTCATGGGTGGACAATGGTGCCGTCCGTGCTTTCCGTTGCCTCACTGCGTCCTGCTGCTGCTGCGTGTGCTTATTGTGCAGGTACAGGACGTTTTTCACGAATGGGAGCTCGGCCACATAGTGCTGCATATCGTCGCTCGATACCGGGATTGATGTCGGCTGTCAATGGTCTTTTTTGCTGTTCATGGTCATGTTTGCATCGTTTCTCGCCCGCGCTTCCCCCACCAAACACGACACGCACTATATATCACCTGCTCATGACTTGCTTCGCCATACATGATGCACATCGTAACGCACACACGATGCACACCGTACCACGCACACGATACACACGGACACGCCACGGAAATATTCTACACGGGCCTTCTTTCTTGTGTATAGAACCCGCATAGAAAGTTACGGTCGAATGTAGCCTCATCTTCTCGATATATCATGACTATACTCACGGCCGAGCCTTGTCCATACACAGAGCCTCGGCTGTTGGCGTGGCAGTCTGGTGGGAGGAACTGACTACTATCTCTTTGTGCTATATATTCGCTTACTCACCTCCTACCCTACTGCAAGTATAATCGCTTACAGCCTATAGCTATATCAACCTTCCGTGCGTCTATTGTTGAAAAAATCACTGACCATTTTCTGATCATTCACCCAGCTCCCCTTCTTGACCTCTCTCAGGCATGGTGATTGACAGTATTCCGTGGAATCATGCCAGGTCGAGGGTAGCCCCCTATCACTTTCTATTGACAGATTGCTTTTGTCACTGTCAGACCCTGACTGACGCTGACAATGTCACAGAAGCCATGGCTATTGATCCACATTTGGAAAGAATGGGTTCCATTCCCGAAAAGGGAATTGTTGGTCGCCCGCGTTCATGCATTGATCACCTCTGGCTAGCTGTTCGACTGCATGCATTCGCGGTTTGAGAAAATCTTGGTTTGAATATCGCCTCCAGGTAGAGCATGCATGCCTCGCCTCCTTGAGCGACAGCAGATTTTGTGTGCTTGACGCCACTGCGTGGCGGTATGGGAGTGGTACTGAGATATCGAAGACGCAGCAGAGCACTGGCCACGGAGTAGGCCCAAATAAGCGCATGAACCCAGCCTTTGATATGGTCAATACGGGGGTCAACGCGTGTTCATGAAGTTGAACATGCATCGTGCTCGACAACGTGATAGCAACGTGATCGCGCCGGCGAACGCGATCAGCATATCTTGCTCTGAACCACCATCTATACCCTAGCTGCATGGTCTAAACCCCGCCATTCATATCCCGCAACACGTCCCCCTGTAGCCTAATGCATGTCTCACTCATGGAGAAGTCGAAAAGCGCGTCTCTCAGAGCTTCTGCGGAGCGAAGGTGACGAGGAGGCCGACGGGCTGGCCCTGGATCGTCTGCTCCACGGCCAGAATGTGATTGGGAGGACTTGTGCGTGGCAATGCAATGACTTCCTGGTGGCTTGACTGACGAGGAGATCACTCCCAGCGCGCACAGCAGAGATCGACGCGATCCGGTTTCAGAACAAGGATCTGAAGGTGCTTGGAACGCTGGAATTCGGTCAATTCGGTGTGGTGCGTCTTCAGGATATCTTTCAACCCCTCCGACTGAAGGGGGAGCCAGGTCGATGTCGTGAACTGCCGTATGGATGGCCGCGTCTACATTCGCAAGTCCATCGAGAAGCAGATCGCGCTGCGCAACCGACAGGTGCGTGTACTAGAACTTCACGCCCTTCATCCACTCACGCGCACCCCAGCAATGCTTCCCTCAACTCGAACGCGACCTCCTCGTCCGCGCGCGCCTGTCGCAAACAGCCTGGGCGCCACACCTCGTTTGCGCATTCCAAACCCTCACCCATCTCAACCTCATCATGGACTACGCGGAAGGCGGCACCCTCTGGGACGTCCTCGAGTCCAGTCCACACGACGGGCGCATCCCCGAGAGTGACCTCAAGTGGTGGACCCCGCAGCTCGTGAGCGCGATCCACTGGTGCCATTCGCAGGGCTTCGCGCACAGGTAGGCAGCTCCCGCATGCCACGCACGCCGTCCTCCACCAGGAGCTCTAACCCCCCCTCTAGGGACATCAAGCCGCACAATTTTGTCCTCACCCAGTCCGCGCATGTGCAGCTGATCGACTTTGGCTCCGCCGCGCCGCTGCTGCCGCCCTGCGAGGACGGGAGCCAGCGGATCGCGAAGCGCTACTGTTTGGTGCCGTGCGGGACGTGCGACTACATCTCGCCCGAGATCCTAAACGCGCACGAGCAGGCGCTCGTCGCGCTCGAGATGGAGGACGAGGGCGCGGGCGGGCTTACGGAGGGCTACGGGCGCGAATGCGATTGGTGGAGCCTGGGCGCGATGCTGTACGAGCTCGCGTACGGCGTCGCGCCATTCTTCGCAAGGGATGTCGGACAGACATACGCGAAGATCATGAACCACAAGGTTTGTCGAATGTTCGTGGCGTGGCGCTGGTTGACAGCTGCGTGACAGAGGAGCTTGAGGATGAAGACGAGTGTGCCGCTGTCGGCGGCGTATTGCGATTTGCTGAAGCGGTTACTGACGGATGCGGAATTCCGTCTGGGCAGGCTGAGTGTGCAGGAGATCATCGCGCATACGTTCTTTGAAGATGTTGACTGGGTGTCGTTGCCTTCGAGTATGCCTTTGCGTCACCAGATAGATGCTTTTGTTGACTTTTGTCTAGGTTCACCGCCACCCGGGATTCACCTACCTCAGTTTGCATACAACGAGCAACCGGCGGTCTCTATGAGTGCCAGCCCGTCCTACGCAGACCTCTCCAAGTCGCAGGGCTTCCGCTTCAGCGCGCTCTTCCAGTCCTCCAGTGACGCGGCACCGTCGACTGGCGCACCATCCATGCACCAATCTACCGGCGCCTCCTCTATGCTACAGTCTAGTGTGGGTTCTGCATCCTCAACGTCAAGCGACCAGACCGCTGCCTTCATCGGCTTCTCGTGGGGACCTCCCATCGACGCTTTCCCGAGCCAGCAACCATCCTCACCCATGCATAGTACCCCACTCCGATTACCCTCGTCGACACCCTCCCTCTTCACCCCCGCGCCACCCTCCCTCCGCACTCCAGCTCCACCATCTTTCCTTACCCCCGCGCCACCCGCCTTCAGCTCCGCCGCGAGGATGCAGACGCCCGGCCCCGTGCCGGGTCGCTCGGCCTCCGCGCCCGTCTCGCACGCCTTCATCACTCCGCTGCGTGGCGTCGCTACCGGTGTGTCTGTCACAGCCCCTCCCAGCACCATCCGCCGCAGTGTCCTCCCGCCGCGCAGCTCGCAAACCGCACGCCGCACCATCTCGGACCGCGAAGCCATGAGACTGCTCGTCGATTGTGTGGGCATGTCCGCCCGGAAGCGGGTGTTGGATAGCGGCCGGAAGCCGCGATTGCTGAAGGATTTGGGCGGTGGGTTCGGATCCCTGAAGAAAGCGCTGCGATTCGAGGAGCCGCCCGAGTTCTCGTTGAATTCGAGGTCGGGAGTGAACGGGAACTCCAGGTCGGGTAGTGGGAATGAAGAGAGCGGGAGCGGGAATGAGGAGAGCGTGAGCGAGCCTACGCCAAGGCCGACACGGAGAATACCACCGCCTACATTGGTGGTACCGCCCCTTGCGGACAAGCGCGTCCCATTGAACGTAGGCTTCAGCGACGAGACGATGCACATCGACGACGCGCGCGGCTTGGATGACCCCCGCCGCTACCACGACCCGGACGACAGCTCCCTCACGCCCCTCGAGACGGACACAGAGACGGAGACCGAGTCGGAGGGCCCGCCCAGTCCAAGCCCACGCCCGGGGTCGGCGCTCAGCCGCAGCCGCAGTCAGACGCCGACGCTCACGAGCACGTTTCTCCGTAGCGCGACACCGACCCTCAGCGCGTTCGCCTTCCAGCGGAGCGCGTCGCTGGGCGCGCCGACGCCAACCGCGCAGTCGTTCTCGCAGGTGGGGATGAGCAAGGTAGAGCGCAGCCTGGGCGCGGAGTCGGCGCGGTCGGTGGCGTCGGGGTCGAGAGTGGCGTCAGGGTCGAGGTTGGTGCCGGGGTCGAGGTTGGCGACGGGGTCTAAGCCGGCGACGGGGTCCAAGTTGGCGACAGGTTCGAGGTCGGAGGCGTCGGGGTCGAAGGAGTTCAAGAGTGGCAGGCCGGCGCAGGCGCGGCGGGGGAGCGTACCCGTAGTCAACGCGCCGCCGCCTGGACCGTCTGCACCTCTCGCGACGTCGACACCGCGACCAAAGAGGCGGGCCTCCGATGCCGATAGGCGGGCGCCAGAGCCTAGCAGGAAACCGGCCGAGGTGAATACGACTGCCAACGGCGAGGACCGCCGGCGATATCCCACAGAGCGTTCGCGTCACGCCCGGTCCATGTCCACGACGACCTTTACAGACGAAGGCTTCGAGTCGCTCGAGCTGCGGTACACCCAGCTTGTGCGCGACATCAAAGCGATAGAGAGTAGGTTAGGGTTGCTGACCACTGGGACGGTGAAATAGGAAGGTTCGGATCCATGGCACGCGCGTTCTCCTGCATAGACTCTGGGCTTCCACCTGACACTCACATTCTGTACATGCCGCACATTCTCTGAACGTATATACCGCACACATTCTGATTGTACACTCTTCCTGTTGTATGCTAGGACTGCGCATACCGAGCTGATGCATGATGCGTCACGAACATGTTAGCTCACTTCTGTCGATAGACGACGCAGCAAGCAATGTATAGCGCAGGATCATGCAGCGTCCCTCGATGGGCGCACGGCCTACCTCCAGACCGCGATAGCACGCAGCGTCTTTCGCACGGTTATGCAGCGTCGTTCGCATGGTTATGCAGCGTCTTTCGTATGGTCTAGATCTGCAGCATCCTAGACGCCACATGTGCACCGTGACAAGGTTGGCTTCGATCTGTGCTGCTACGATCTGTGGATAGCAGGCTTTCCAGGATCCCGGTAAACACGCCCATGTCATTAAATACGGGTCTAGGTACACTTGAGAAATCCAGCCGTCAATATCGCATGCGGAATCGTAAGGTAGGTAGGTAGAATCTTACTGCTCGGACGGCCGCCCCCTGCTCGACTCAATCCTCCCTCCTGCTCGACTCAATCCTCCCTTCTCGCGCAAAAAAGTTAATTGCGCGGAGCACCTACTTCCCCCGCCCGAACCAGCCTCCCCAGGCATGTTGAGTCCCCTTACCCTTATCCTTCCCCGCGTCCCCGCTCTCCGCCCCCGCATCGTGCCCCGCGTCCCCTCCCCCGCTGAGCAGCGGCGTCGTTTCTGAAGCGCCCTTATCCAAGCTCCCCGCCCTCGACCCCTCCACACTCCCCGCCCGCACCCCGTCCATACTCCTCGCCCCCGTCGCATCCATACTTGCCGCTCTCGTACCGTCCATGCTCCCCGCGCGCGCTGCCTCCGCGACCAAGTCGCCCGCCCGCTCGCCCGCCGACGTCCCCAGACCGCCGGCCGGTGACTCTCCCGCGCCAGGCCACGATGCTGCGCGCATCGCGCTGCCCACGATATCCTCCCCGACCGCGCTCTCGATCGCCGCCGCGAGCGCCGCACGCACGGCCTGCGGCTCCTCCTCCTCGTCCACCTGCAGCCCCGGCACGCTAAGGTCGCTCTCCGCGCGCGTGAAGGAGCTCGGGCGCGACGAGGACGAGTTCCGACGGCGCCGCCGCCGCCGGGCGGTGTAGGCGGAGGGTGGTAGTGGCGCGCCGAAGTCGTCGATGCCCAGCTTGAGCTGGCGGAACTTCCAGGTGATGCACATCACGAGGAGGGTGCCCTGCATGATGCCGGCGACGGCGAAGGTGATCCAGCCTAGGGAGGGGAGTGTGAGTTAGCGAGGGAGCGGAAAAGAAAATGGCCGTGGAAAAGAAACATGGCCGTGGAAAAGAAAATGGCCCTGGAAAAGAAAAATGACAAAGGAGACAAAACTCACTCGTCCAGTTCGTATCCGGCCTGAGCGCGATGCTCAGCACCATGAGCACCGCGCCCGGGCTCTGGATCATCATCATCGCGATGCTGAGCGCGCCGACGAGCTTCATGCGGTACGTGTGGATGATTTGCGGCATGTACTGGATGGCTGCGAGCATGGCGGAGCTGACGCCGAGCAGCGTGGCCCAAGAGGAGAGCCGGGGTGGGAGGGGCTGGTTCGGCACAGGTGAGGGTGAGGTGGTGAGGAGGAGGTAGATGGTGGTGATGACGATTATGGCGCTGAGAGGAAGTGTTAGTGGAATGCAATTGGGTCAAGGGGTTGAAGCGAGCGTGGAGGTAGAGTGTAGGGAGAGTATCGTGAGATCGGGTATTCAGGTAAGGTGACTTGGCGGAGGGGGAGGGTGAACGAGGGCGGGGTGCCAGTCGAGAGCTGACAGCCTCATGGGGGTGACTGTGGGGAAAGGATGGACGGCCACACGCACAAGTGTCCGAAGGTGACCCAAGCGAGGATGACAGAGTTCTGCCACTCTTCAGTTCGTTGTGGGCGCTTGAGGGGTTTGGTATTAGACGAGGTCTCGGGGTCGGAGGCTGGGGTGATATATTTGAGGTGCGGAGGGTAGTAGAGCATGTAGAGGACGAAGCTACGGGAGGTGTCAGTCAGCGGTGGGTATAATGATGATCGCGCGCCACGCACATGAAGGTGAACATTGCCCATTGCAACCCGACTTGCACAATCCCTGCTGTCATCTCGAGGCATCCTCCGAGGCTCTGCAAGGTGGGTGAGACGCGGGAGTTGACGTATAGGGCCGTAGACGCACGAAGTATCGGCAGCACTTGACGATGCCGAACTGCATGGTGAACCTGTGGTGGCGTAAGTACCCAGCTCATAGATGTAGCTGACTACGCACATGTTGAGCATCCCCGCCGCACTTGAGGTACTCCCTAGGAGAAGGAACCATGGGCTGAAGCCTTCCGAAGAGCCGGCGCGAATGATCCTGGCATGCTGGGTGGCTGTTAGACAGGAGGTACGGTACGCTGATATGGCTATGCCATAGAGGGTTGAAGCAAAACATTGAGGTTCGTGAATTGGGAGGTGGGATGAAGTTGAACGTCCGAGGTACCGAGACGTACTTGAGGGAGGTATGAGATGATCAGGCCGCAACACAAGCCGAACGTCAACGTCGCCGTAAACCAATCATGTTTCTGTTGATGCATATCGTGTTGTGAGACGTATATGAGAGAGGAGGGGAGGACGCCACAGATAAAGACAGGCAGGACAAGTCAAGGCGCGTCGACAGAAGGAGGCACGGTTAGCTTCATTGTTGCTCTCGCGAGCCAGCGCACGCACGGGTTGACATGTTTCTGACATCGGTCTTAATCAAAGTCACTGCTCCTCGGGGTATAGAACCGGCGCCTGTCCGCGGCTGGTGGACCGTGTACAGGAGGTGGCGAAGCGTAAGTCCTAACATGGACTTCGATGGAGGCTGGTTTACGGGGTTAGATCACGTGGGTTGCCTCGGAAATTACCGAGGATAGATTTTGGGACTTGTCCGTGACCTTCATCAGCATCTTCTGCCCTCAACATCCTACGCATATCACCCTCTCTTACAAGAGTCGATAGAATATTGGTCTGTATACTCTTTTGGTCTGTATACTCTTTCGGCATCTATTGCTGAGGATGAGCATGAGTATTCTGCTTGGCGCCTCGAACTGGAAGGCAGGCCGTCTCTACCGAACCACTTTGTCGAAAAACCTTCACACAACGCAACCATATTCCTGGTAAGGACACGCCTCTAGCTCTGCTAACTGACTCATGCGCCAGCCTTTCGCCGCAACAAGGCAGGAACCCGTCGGGAAGGCACAACCCACTTGCCAAGTCTCTTGTCCTCCGCTTGTCCTTCATCTTGATTGTGCTGCGCCACCTCTTTCGCCTCTCCTGAAGACTCTCCTTGGATCTTGGCTATGCACGTTCGCTCACGCCCGATGCCAACACTCCAAGTAGCGTCAAATTTCTCTGTGCTCGTGCGTGCCAGCGAACGGCTTATAACAGGGCGGGACGTGAGGATGCGCTTGTGAGAGTACAAGTCGTCTCCCACAGCCCTCACCTTTCCCATTCGAGTAGACTGTCACCAAAATGGCGCGCATGTCGCAGTATGACTACCTCTTCGTCTTCGGGCTGTTCTTCGCATCGATGGATGCGTATGGGATCGGTACGTCTCCTTCCCTTCGACCCTTCATCGACCGCATACTCAGTTTCACCCATGCCAGGCGCTAACGACGTCGCGAACTCCTTCGCCACATCCGTCTCCTCGCGCTCTCTCCGCCTGTGGCAGGCCTGCATCGCCGCTGCAATCATGGAGTTCTTGGGCGCTGTCCTCGCGGGCGCGCGCGTCTCGGGCACGATCAAGAACGACATCGTCGATATCGAGATCTTCAGGGACGACCCGGGGATGCTGCTGCTGGCGATGGTGTGCGCGGTGGCGGGGAGCTCGGTGAGTGACCGATCCGACTTTCCGTTGAATCTCAGAATCGTGCACGACCGCTGATCCTGTTGTCTAGATCTGGCTCATCTTCGCCACCCGTCACCAGATGCCGGTGTCCACGACGCACTGCATCGTGGGCGCGCTCACGGGCGTCGGCGTAGCTGCTGGTGGGCCGGGTGCGGTGCATTGGGGCTGGGATGGCCTTGGGCAGATTTTCGCTACAGTGCGTCGCCTCCTTTTTCCCTAGCACAAAATCTGCTAACATAGATATCATAGTGGGGCGTCGCACCCCTCGTCGCTGGTGGCTTTGCGGCCGTAGTCTACCTCCTCACCAAGTACATCGTCCTAGTCCGCAAGGATTCGGTCCGGGCGGGGTTGATCATGGCGCCGTTCTGGTGGTTCGCGGTCACTGGTGAGTGGGCACACTGTACAGCCGTTATAGCCTGCTCACATATGTTCTCAGTTATCCTCACCCTTTGCATCCTCTGGAAAGGCTCGCCGAACCTCGGCCTCAAGGACATGTCCACACCGGACTTGATGGCAGCGGTCTTCGGCACAGGTTTGTCCTACCTCCCTCGTCGCAACCTTACTCCTATCTTGTCATGAATGCCATTGCTGACTCCTCCTAAGCCACCGTCGTCTGCGCCCTCGCTTGCACCTTCTGGCTGCCCTTCGTATACTGCAAGGTCGTGCGCGGGGACTACACCGTGCGCTGGTACCACTTCTTCGCGGGTCCTGCGCTGTGGTGGCGCGCACCGCCCGCGGATGCGGGCTCATTCACGGCTCCGGATCCGGTGCCGGATTATTATCTGTGAGTGGCCAACGCGGTCGTGCTTTCGTCGTCAGGACGTGCTTTCATCAGGACATCGCTAACCGAGTTACCTTCGCAGGGGTCACCACACCGCGTCGAACCCCGCTCCCACTGGGGCGGCGGATGCGGAGAACGCGTACGTGGCGGAAAATGGTCAAGATGCTCACGCGCAGCCGAATTTGAGGAAGGAGGACACGGCGTCGAGCGAGGATGGCAAGGAGGGCAAGGAGAGCGCGGAGGAGAGCGATCAGGCGCAGAACCGCGACGCGCGCCTGAGCGATGTCGAGTTGCCCAAGATCGAGGGTGCTTGGTAAGTGAACTCGCCGGCTGGCCACCTCTTTCTACGACGCAAAGCAATGATTGTGACACACCCTCCCCAGGATTGAGCCCCGCAATCTCTACATTCTCGCGCGCTACCACGCCGTCCCTTTCGTCAAGAAAGCGCTCTTCGGTGGCCTGTTCAAAGACGTGCTCACGCTGCAGACGACGCACGAGGACTCGCGCCGGCTCGCGGACGTGCACTCGCGCGCGAAGCAGTACGACAACAAGACGGAGCACCTGTACTCGTTCCTGCAGGTCATGACCGCGTGCACCGCGTCGTTCGCGCACGGCTCGAACGACATCAGCAACGCCGTCGGCCCGTTCTCGACGATCTACGAGGTCTGGCGCACGGGGAGCTACGTTGGCGCGAAGACGAGCGTGCCGACGTGGATCCTCGCATACGGCGCCGTCTGGCTGGTGATCGGGCTGGCGACGTATGGGTACAACGTGAGCTTGCATAAGTACCATCTCAAAGGAACGATCCAGGGACTGACCGACCTCCCAGATCATGCGCGTCCTCGGCAACCGCCTCACCCTGCACTCGCCCACCCGCGGGTTCAGCATGGAGCTCGGCTCGTCCATCGCCGTCGTCCTCGCGTCGCAGCTCGCGCTCCCGGTCTCGACGACGCAGTGCATCGTCGGCGCAACCGCAGCTGTGGGCATCTGCAATGGCGACGTGAAGTCGGTGAACTGGAGGGGCATTGCGTGGATATTTGCATCGTGGGTGATCACGGTGCCGATTACTGGTGTCATTGCAGGCTGCTTGGTGAGTCGCATTCCGTTGAAATAGCCGTAAAAGAGAGCTGACTGGGTTCATAGTTCGGTATCATCATCAATGCGCCCAGGTTTGGGTATTCCGGGTAGAGCGTCTAGTTCAAAGTGTAAGATACCGGCGCGCTGTAGAACGCCCTGTGTTATGTGGAGATGATTTTGATGTTGCTCTTGTAGATTTCCTGTACAAGTCGCAGTGTAGCTTATACTGACGGCGCACATGTGAGGAGCCCGCAAGGACTGCTGGGTTTAAAGCCACTTCATAATTCTGTTCGATACATCCAAATCAAGATGTGTAGAGTTCCTGAAGCCATGGTCTTTCTTTGGGCCTGCATTGCTCACCGACAGACGGTAATCCCCTAAATTCCTCAGAACGAGACGAAGTTCAACTTGTGACCGGCACTTGCCGTGTCCTTGAATTTGCAATTCTCCCCTTCTCCCTGCCATCATCTCAGGCGACGCCCAGCGACCTTCCACCGAGATACATGGCCGGCAAGCGCAAACATGTCGAGGACGACACATCACCTAGAGATGACGTGCACGAGTTCAGCCCCCCTCTCGAGGGAGAACAGATGTGGACGGGCAGCATCGTCGGCGAGCGCGAAGACGCATACAAGATCAAGTGGGACCCAGATCGTAGAACGGGCAAGAAGTACAGGCCGACTTGGGAGCCCAAGAAGAACTGCAATGAGCACATGGTGAAGGACTGGCGTCGTAGGGTGAAGCAAGGTGCGCCGCGCGTGTGAGGTTCCGCACAGCGCGCTCTGATTACGGCTTGGGTCAGAGAAGAATGTATCGTCTCGGACGACCTCAACATCATCAGCGCGCGACCGTAGTCCCTCTCCTGCGCGCCCGGCGAAGAAACGCAAAGTTGGCGCCGAGACCAATGCTCCGATGCGAGGAAAGGAGAGCGCGTCCCAGGCAGTCACGCGGGTCGGGCCACCGAAGGGGAAGCGCAAGGCCACACAGGACGCATCGCAGAAGAGTACGCAGTCCTATGGCGTGGCTAGGCGTGCAACCGAACCCGATGCATCGCGTCAAGAGCGAGAATCAACCGCCGCTAGGCGCCACTCAGAATCGGCGGCTGCTGCGCGTCAGACTCGAACAGTGAATGCCCCTGCAGCATCCACCTCCCGCGCAAGCACTGCCGCGAAAGCAAGGCGAACCGATGACACTGGTGCGTCCACCGATAAGATACTGCGTCCGTTTCTCTGACCTTCATCAGAGAGCACGCGCTCAAAGACATCTTCATCCGCCGTCAGTCGAATACCCACATCCATTGAGCCGCATATCAAGGCTCGCCTGAAGATATATGACACCAAGCGCCGCCAACTTGCGGACCCGAGCCTTCCACCTCCCCCTTTCAAGGCGCGTCAGCCAGCCACCACCGTCGATGACTTCCCCTCTGCGTCGAGGCCATCATCCCCTCAACCCCCGTCTCAGCGACGACAACGTCCGCAATCCCCCACCCACCATGCTCCGCGCCCCCCTTCGCCGTTTGCAACATCCCCGGACAAGCCTCCATCACCAGTCCCATCTCGGTCTCGGTCCAAGAATGCTGCCGAGTCGCCCTCACGCTCGCCATCCGTCGAAGTTGGTCGGAAACGCAAGAAGCGACCCGCTGCCACGAGCAAGCCCCTTAAGCCCATACCGCGCGTCTCGCCTTCCGTGTTCAACGATCTAGCTGGTCCCTCATCATCCCTTAATGGGCCTCCACCTAGCGGCAGCCACATCGAGAGCGCTGGTGGACCTACACAAACCGAAACAATATCGGAGTTCTCACCCGAGAAGCGGCGCTCGGGAATACATGACAGTCGCGAAGAGGACGATACCATCGAAGGGAGTAGCAGCCAGCCTTCCCTGAACCGCAGAGTGCTGGACGGCGCGAGAGCCCTGGCCGAGCGGATTGGCAACGGCGGTACGGCTGCTCAAAATCGACTACGACGACCGCTGGGCGATATATTAGGGTCTAAGGCCCAGCGCCAACGAGTCTTCTCGGGATCAATACCGCAGCGACAGGCGGATGATGTGCCAGAGGAGGAGATCAGTGGGACCGGCGGCACGCAGGGACTCAGTCAAGATGCGGGGATGGAGGATGACGGCGGCACTCAGGATATCAGCAGCACGCAAGATATCAGCATGAGTATCGGCGTGAACGGTGACGAGGAGATGGACGATGCGACGCGGGAGATGGAGTCGTACGTGGACTTCGAGGGGGGCGCGGAGGCGGAAGCGCCGAAAGACCCCATCGCTCTTCGAGAGGAGATGGAAGAGTCAACGCAGGACTTACGCGACGAGCAGCAGGCGCGGTTGCAAGATGCATCAAAGGCGGCGGAGGTTGATATGACCAAGGCGTCAACAAAGGTACGTGCACGCTTTCTTCTCGCAGCTCTGTGACAGGGACGGTAGCGCTGACCATCCTTCTAGGTGCATCCTCCAACCCAGCAGAACAAACTAGCTCCTGCTTCGCCGCTACCAGCAGCACCCTCGAGGAAGCCAGGCGAAGACACATCCGCATCATTTGTACCGCCTACGCCGGATGAGTCGCAGCGAACGACGAACACGCAGTCCTCACAAGATCAGCGTATCCTCGAGCTCGAGCGCGACCTGACCTCCAGCCAAGCTGAGAAGGGGTCGTACGAGGCGCGGTCGCAGGAGCTTGAGGCGGAGAAGGAGATCCTCGCCCGCGATCTTGCTTCGAGCCAAGCCGAGTCCCAATCGCTCTCCGCGAAAGTCGCTGACCTCGGTGGCCTGCTCGAGAGAGCGCAGCTTGAGTTGGGCGCCATCCAACGTCGGCATGAGGCTGAGGCAAAGAAGAAGGAAGCGGCGTGGAAGAAGGACCAGGCTGACTGGAAAAAGGAGAGGAAGGAGTGGGAGAAGGAGCGGTCTGCGTGGAAGGAGAAGGAGCTGGAGTGGGAGGCGAAGGGGGCGCACTGGTCGGAGGAGAAGATGGCGCTGGAGCAGAGGTGCCGAGAGTTGGAGGAGCAGGCGAAGGCGCGGGATCGGGTTTGGGAGGCGAAGGAGCGGGCGTGGTCCGACAAGGAGCATGTCCAGGCGGAGAAGGAGAACCGCTGGAGTCAGAAGGAGGCTGACTGGGCGCAGAAGGAGCAGAAACTGCAGGACACGCTGCGCGAGCACGAGGTGCAGCATGGGCAGACGGTGCGCGATCTCGAGGAGAAGCTGCGCAAGGTTCAGGAAGAGATGGTCGAGAAGGTCCGCAGGGTGCAAGAAGAGGTCGGCGAGCAGTCCATGGCAGAATGGGCGCAGGAACGCGGCAACCTCGAGCGCCGCAACACTGAACTGACGGCCGCGAACGCGGAGGTCACGACCGCGAACGCTGGGCTCCAGGGCAAGATCGCCAGCCTCGAGCTCGCCAACACCGATCTGCAGCGCAAGAACGGCGATCTGGAAAGGCACATATCTGCGCTCGAGGATATGATCGCCGACCTTCAGGAGGAGAATGCTACCCTCGAGGACAAGAACGCCGAGTTACAGACTACGATCGCCGACCTCAATGTCCGCTTGGCGAGCGTTGAGTCTTCGCTTGCTGGCAAGGCTCGCGAGGTCGAACAAGCAAAGCTCGATCTCGCCGAGGTCAAGAAGGAACACGAACAGGTCATTCCCTTCCTGGCGGAGCGCGATCAGGCTCTGGCCACTCTCAAGGATCGTCATGCGCAGACCGAGCAGACTCTTGCCTTGAAGTCAGAGGAGCTGTCCAAACACCAGCAGGAGCTCGCCGACTTCTACATGCAGCGCGCGGACGCGAGCAAAGAGCTCACGGACGTCACCAAGCAACTCGAGGACACCGTCAAGAAGCTTGAGGATACCACCAGCACTCTGGAGACCCTCCGCAAGCATAAGGAGCTGGACGAACGCGAGTGGGCCGACCAGCGGGCAGCACTGGAGAAGAACGTCGAAGTCCTGATCCAGCAGACTGCGGCAGAGTGGCAAGGGCGCGTCGCAGAGGTTGAGGAGAAGTTGAAGATCGCAGAGGAGAGGGTGAAGGATGCGGAGAGTCGTGTGGCGGAAGCCAGGAAGGAGGCAGATGCTTTGAAGGAGGCGAGGGGCTCGAGCGCCAATGCGTCCGTAATGGCGAAGCTCGCTGAAGGAAGGGCCATGATGGCGGAGGATGCGACGAAGCAAGCTGAAGAACGCGCGTCTAAGCTCGAGGCTCGTGCGATCGCCGCGGAGACGCGCCTCGCGGATGCAGACACTCGTGCCGCCGCTGCGGAGTCGCAACTTCAGCTCGCCCAGAAGCAGCTCGTCCTTGCACAGGCTGAGCTGAAGCAGGTCAAGGCCAGCCTACGCTCAGCTGAAGATGCGCATTCTTCCTCGCAGACGAAAGTCGAGGCCATCGAGTCGCAACTTGCAGCCCTGGAGACGAGCGCCGTTAACCAGACCCTGGCACATACCTCGACGGAGGAAGACCTCAAGTCGCAGCTAGCCGCTCGTGACGCTCGCGAGTCCGACCTTCGCTCCGAGATAGCATCCTTGCATGCTCAGCTCGCTGCTTCCGTATCCACGTCCGGAGATACTGCCGCGCCTGCCTCTGACGAGCAGCTTGTAGGCTTCGAAGCGCGACTTGCTGAGCTTGAAGCGCGACTCGCTTCTGAGACTCGTGCAAGGAAAGCCGCGGAGGACGACGCAGAGTTCGTGCGAGAGCAGTACAGGGTGGCCTCTGCTCACGTCGGCGACATGCGCAAGGAGATCGTCGCGCTCACTAACCGCACGAACATCGCCGAGGACCAGGTCGCTCGCGGCCTCGCAACCGTCCGCGAGACCTTGCTGGGCCGCACACGCACCCTCGAGGCCGAGCGCGACAGGTGGCGGAAGCAGGCGGAATGGGTCCGCGAGCTCGATGCACGCACGAACGGGGACATACGGCGGAAGGCTGCGGAGCGCGACGACCTGGCAGAGCGCGTCGAGGCCTTGGCTATGGAGCGCCGGAAGCTTGCGGTCCAGAGGGACAAGTTGGAGGAGGAGCGGGATGATGCCGTCGAGGCGCGCGATCAGGCGCTGGTGAAGCGGGATAAGCTCGTTGCAGAGCGCGACGGTCTGAACGCGCGACTGGCAACCCTGGAGGCCACACAGGCGCAGTCGGCTCAGCAGATTGAGGAGCAGACCGCGGAGATCGCCACGCTGAAGAAGAGTCTCCAGACCGTTCGCGCGCAGCTGGAGCAAACCCAGCATGACACGCAGCCGGTGTATCGGTGCCAGTGGCATCACGGCGGTGCGAGCTGCGAGGCGCTGTTCGCGTCGATTGAGGTGAGTAACCTTTTGGATGGTCTGCCTGGCGTTGATATGCTGACGATGCTGTTCACAGGACTTGGAAAGTCATGTACGGCAAAGCCATGTAAATGAGTAGCTGCCCTACGAGGCGCAAACCCGTCGATTGTTTTGTTTTCTGTATTGTCGTTGCTGCTGTCATGCAAATGCACATCTTCTTGGATTTCCCGTAACTCGTCGCCTCATTGTTCATCTACATGGTACCAAGCGTTGACACGGATGGTCAATGCACTCGCCGACCCGTTCGCAAACTTAGTTCACACTCAAGAGTCCGATGGTATGGGGCGTGACCGCGGCGGAGTCTAGAAGAAGTCGGCGAGGAGGTGTATAAAGCTAACGAGGCTTGTTGCAGATTGAAGACGATTCTGCTGACAACATTGCGGACTCTTCGAGTCAAGATTGGCGTCAGCTCTATGGAAGCTTGCCGGTGTGTTGTCCAGGTTCTTGCACGGGCCATGCGAGACACGCTGTGTTCCCTCGCGGTGTGCTGTTTGCTCTTAACGATTGCTGTATGCTCTCGAAGGATGCCGTACGCCATCGAGGAGCGCTACATGGTCCAGCGCTAAAGATGTACATCGATAAGTACCCCGCGTCCCTCCTTACGTGCCGGTCCCAGGTTCATATAGCGCCTCTCCCAGGTTCATATATCGCCTCTCCCAGGTTCATATAGCTTCTCTCCCAGAATCATACAGATCTCGAGTCGAAAATACGGAAAGCCATCCGCTGGGCACACGTCGAAGGCGGAACAGGGAGCAAAGGCAGACCGTGCGCCTTTCATTACGGAACGGAAAGGGATGCACATACATGATCATGGAGTAGAGGGGACCCACATACAGGACGGAAGCTTCCGCAGGGAAGATGTCTACCGTAGATCCACGGTAGACGTCCGATGGGGACTGACTTGTAGAGACATGGCCGTAATGGGGAAGCGCAGAAGACCGGTGTCGGACGGTCCGTCGCACGGCACAGTGGGACGGCGGACCGTCGCAATATTGATAAAGACGGCGACGGACCATTGCATACAACTTGGAATCTTGGATGGACGGCGCATGCTAGCCAGGGCGTCTTCCACGCCATAACACTCTCGCGTGTTGTTGGATCAGATATGTTTGCGAGCTAATCTTGATATCTTTGAGGAGCCACGCCTGTCGTACGCCGCACATACGAACTGCAGTGGACTGTGTATATCGCCAGCGACACGCGCCACATTGACATGATCCCATTGACAAGGTCCAGAATAGCCGACTAACATACGCAAAGGAGTCAATCGCCATACGGTCATGCACCAGGAGGATGTTGCACATTGAGCAAACGACATAGGGTACCTATCGAGCTGAGGCCACGATATTCCGACGCGGGGAAAAGGTTCATTGAATCCGTATACGGCCCAGCGGATCGTCAGCACCCTAAAGAAAGTAATCATGCACCCTAAAGTCAGTACTTCCTCCTTGACTTCTCCGCCGTGCCTCGACGCGGAGCCGGAGATCTCATGCGGGCATGTCATCGACGATGAACAATTGGGTTCCGTCAGCATGGTCGAGCGTCTTCGAAGGCAGATAGCTTGCCTTGGCCAGTCTATCTCGTCCCTCCGCACCGGCTGGTATGCGTTCTCGCGCCGGTCCCATTGTCCCTTCGCCGGCGCGCACTGTGTCTGGACCGGTAAACGCATCTGCGGCTCCGCCAAGGCACTCGTCCTTCGTTGACGTCGTCACTCCACATGTTTCGCGGATCGCGTGCCATGTTCTGCGCGGGTCTTCATTTGGGGAGCCCTGGATCTCCCGAAGCCCGTCCGGACTCTGGTCACGACCGCAAGCTAAACCATGGTGCCAAGAGGCGCATTTGGCTGGAGACTCGGTCATCGTGAGCAGCCATCAAGGGTGGTTTTCCCAGGTGGCGTGAGCTGCACCGTCTTCCATGGCATGACAAGCAGGCCACACACCTTGCGCGCGATATCGATGTCTATGCTTCGAGTAACGGCATTCTCCACGCGAGAGGGGTCACACAGTAATAGGCCTCGACAGAATGGTCGCTCGGAGCTGGTCGAATGGAATCAAAGGAGGCATAAAAGCGCGATAGCCGGGCAGCATGAAGTTCAAGTTCAATTATGGAGCCGGCGAGAGTGACACGCGCCGCGCACGTGCGCCATCAGCGAGCGTGTCACGTGAGAGGTTGAACATTTCCGAATTTGGCACCGCATGCAAGATCGCCTTCGATTCTGCGTGCAGTGCGCTCGGCGGTTTTAGAATGCGGTACGAAGGCAGACGTACCGCCTTCACGGTGAGCGGAGGCCTACTCGAGGTCTGCTGATCCAGGGTCCGAGGATTCGAGCACTTGCAGGATGGATCCGAGGTCGCTAGACTCCCTATGACGCTGCTAGCTGCTATTCCTAGGTAATAAGGAGGCAGGGATGGAATGGGTGAAAAGGCGGAGCAATGGCCGGCTAAAACCTGGCAGTGGGGAATGCCTCGGCTGGACGACGTCGAACGATGGTGTCCTGCTCGTCCGAGGTAGCTGCACGGAGAAAGCCACGAAAGGTCCAGCGTCGGGGAAAGTCCTAAAGGAGCCCGAGAAAGAGGCTGAGCGGCAAAGAAGGGGGGTGAACAACGGAGAAGGGGTAAGATCGCAGCGAAGAGGGCTCGTCAGTGAGGAAGGAAGGAGGGAGGGCGGCCGAGAAGGTGGCAGGCCAGCCGAGGGATGCTGGCGCCGCTGGAGCGCGTGGGCGAGGCTTTCTATAGAGCGGGACGTGAAGCGCGCGAGGATGCCCACTTGGCGGTATGGAAAGCCGCCTGGGGTCTCGAGGGTGGTTCTTGTGGGTATTCGAGAGCGTGTAGTGCGGTGTTACGCTGCCCAGCATCCTGGAGGGGTGGTCGATGTTGGCGCTAGTCTTGGTTTGCGTTCCCTGTACTTCCTCGATTTCCCGATAAAAGGTGTATTTTTCTATGGGAATTTGTACACTCTCAGGGTACAAGATAGAGTGTGTAGATCTGCTGGTCAGCTGCAGGAGGCCAGATGGGAGGCGCGCGGCGAGTTGTGACGCTCAGGAACCGGAATATGAAGGCACACGTGCGGGCCGCGCTTGATTCCGTGGGCGGAGTTCGAACCGGTTCGCTCAGACCGTCACCTAAAGATTCAGAATCCCAGCCCCGGGACCGCTCGCACATCCACGCCCGTCGTTACTCTTCCTCCGCCATCACCATGGCTGACAGCGAGCTCGACCATCAAGATGGGAACAGTTTCCCCGGCGACCCCCGCCTCCTCCTCGCCGCCACAGTCGTTGTCGTCGGATCCGCCGCGTACCTCTGGCGCGCGAATCTAGCGCAGGTGTCCTCCAGCTATCTCGGCCGCGTCGCGGGTGCGGGTGATGGGCAGGGCGTGCGCGGCTGTGCAGCTCACGGCGATGCAGGGTTTAGGGCGCCCCCGGACGCGGCGAGCAAGCCCGAGGGGGCGGGCAGCGTGCCCGACGACAAGGGCGCGAAGGGCGCGCGCTCGAAGGAGCGGCGCCGAAGGGGGAAGGACCCGCTGAAGGACCTCGTCAAGGGCGGGAAGAAGCTGAAGGGGCTCGCCGCGCTCAGTATACCAGGGGACCCGGCCGACGCCAGGAGCGCATCGACCCCGCCACATTTGCACGAGCCGCCGTCCTCATCACACTCCATCCCGCCCTCCGCGGGCCCATCCCCGCGCCGCAATGGCCGCCTGGCGGACGCGCAGGCGTATATCGACAGCCGGCCAGACGGCGCGACGGACGACGAGGACGCGATGTGCTCCTCCGTCTCCGGCTTGTCCTCGTGCCCCACGGAGGCATCTAGCAGCCGCGTCCGAGCGACTAGTCGAGCCCGTGAAGACGTTGAATCGACGGCGACTCCATCATCCAATACCCGCACCCCCCACGAAGACCGCGCCCCCCACGACGACCACGACCCAGTGTCCATCTCGTCCAGCGCGTCACACTCAAGCACCGCCTCCCTGTCATCCTTCTCCGACTCCGCCGACACGGTTGACACTTCCACGACGTCTGTCTCCGAGTACGTTTCTACGCCGAAGGCCGGCACGGACCGCCCAAGCAGCGGGGTCTTCGATGAGTCTAATAGCACGGTTTTCGACCGCTCTGGGAGCTCTAGCAGCGCGAGCGCCCTAAACGGCGCTGGAGTGGCCAGCTCAAGCAACAAGGCCGCGAGCTCATCAACAAAGCTCCAATTCCCCGGCCCCTGGGACCCCGATCCCGACGACGCGCGCGATCCTCGAAAGTCCTCGCCCAGCAAGCCCTTGCGCAAGCGTTCAAGATCTCGTGGTCCGCTCGACCCGTCCTCCCCCTCCCGTCCCTCTGGTTCCTCATCACGCCCCTCTGGCTCACGCCATGGCTCCGAAGCGCCAGCGCACAGTGCAGCGGCTGCACATGGTACGTCCCCCTTGTACTTTACTCAGCAGCCATTCACACTCACGTAACCTCGTCATCCAGGACGCCCGCTCGACGGATCGCGTGGCGCAGAGCATGCCGTAACGCCCACCACACCTGGCCCGGCGAGTGGTCTTCCCACGCCTGGAGCATCCTCGGCGTCAACATCCTATTCGGCTCCGACGGCTGGACCCCACCCCGCCTCGTCGTCTGGCTCCTATCCTTCCTCAACGTCTGGCCCTCAACCGCCAGGCTCTCATCTCCCCACAACCCCCGGAGCCTACTCTGAGCCCTCCGTCTGCCTCCAGACGCAGGTCGCCTCCCTCCGCGGGGCGCTCGAGGCCTCGCGCATGCGCGAGGAGAACATGCGCGGCGAGATGGAGCGGCAGAGCAGGGAGATGCGGGAGATGGAGCAGCGGAGTCGGGAGATGGAAAGTAGGACGAGGGAATGGGAGCGGCAGCGGGGCGAGATGGAGAGGCAGAGCAAGGACGTGGAGATGTTGCGGTGGGAGAGTGCGCATTGGCGGCGGAGGGAGATGGAGGTGAGTAGATCGAGGCGCTGCGCTGCTGTACTATACCGATTGACACCCTCTGCTTTTCTAGCTCCAGTCTCAGATCCACCACCTCATGCAGCAGCTGCAGTACTCGACGATGATGGCATCCAACTCGGCTAGGGTGCGCGGCTCAGCGAGCAATGGCAGCAACAGCCCTGCGCCCTCGACGGGTCCGACGAGCCCAGCGTTCTCGGGGCCACCGCCGATGTCGATGTTCTCGCCGCCGATAATGCCCTCGATGCCTTCGTCGAGCGGTATGCCAAACGGGATGATGCCCTCCCCGAGTGGGATGGTACCCTCACCGAACGGGATGGTGCCCTCACCGAGTGGGATGGTGCCCTCTCCCGGCGGTATGATGCCCTCGTCCAGCGGACCCTTCAGCCCGGTGCTCCCGCCGCATATGCAGCAGGCGCCCCCACTGTCGATGATGTCGCCGACGATGCAGGGCAGCCCGCGCTCGCCCTATTCCTATATGCCTGACCAGGGCCAGCCGTACTCGCCGTCGCAGATGCGCCCTTATTCCCCTTCGCAGATGCGGCCGTACTCGCCAATGGCGTCTGCATACCCCTCTACGGGGTCCATCCCGCAGAGCCAAAGTCACTCGGAGTTGCTGGCTGTCTTCCCGTCGAGCGCGCCGCGGGCGGGCGGGAGCAGCGGGCCGCCGTCTGTTGGCTCGAGCTCGCGCGGGTCGGCGAGTCCGGAGCTGGCGGCGTCCGGCTCGACGGCTTCGTCCAGCCACAACTTGACGTCGTCGTCGAGTCAGAGCTCGCTGGGCATGGACCGCGGGCGGCAGCGGACGCGGCCGGGGTATGATGGCGAGTACGACGAGGGCGCCGCGGACGAGTATAGCGGGGTGCTGGCGGATGCGATCCTGAAGCGGCCGCAGGCGATGCGGGTGGGCTCGAGGCAGGCGATCGAGGAGGGTGCGTCGAGGGAGAGTTCGTCGAGGGAAGGCGAGCTGGCCGCATCGAGAGAAGGGCAGAATGGACCGTCGAGAGAGGGGGACGCGCCAGAGGCTGCGGATCGGCGAGAGGCGGTGGACCTACGAGAGTCGCCCGAAGAGGAGATCGTCGAGTTCAGCTTCCCGTCGATCTCGGATTATCGCGAACCTCCGCGGCCGAGGGACGAGCCTGGTCCGGATGAGGTGGCCGCATAGGCTGCGTCGGTCTGACCCATCGTCCGTCGTTGTTTGCAACCCGCTCTTCATCCGCTTTGTCGCCGATCCGCCGACCTCCAACACAACCAACTCATACCTCGAGGCCATCCACCATCATATACTCATCCATGCATCCATCCTCACATCCGTGCCAGACACGCCGTCCGATTCACTCCAGACACGTTAATCCTATTCTTATGTATACTTCGTTCCTGAATGCCCTCCTTTACGCCTCGCAGGATACCACCACGACACTCCTTCCGCGCCCGGCCTCGCCAATCCGGATCGGTGTGGTACGAGCTCGTCAGTGCTATAGCCCACTTGGCTAGCGCACCCCGACACCTCGCCGACTCCCACTAGGCTCCGCCGCGGTCACGCCCCATACCATTATCACCGCACACACGCCTGCCTGCTTCTCCACGGATGCCTCGCCTGGCGCACGGGCGACCGACATTGCACGTCTATCGACCGTCTCAAGGACGGCCTCCGCATCGTGACGTTTTTCCACATAATACTTATATCCCCTAGCATACCCCCCACCTGCACTTTCTTGTGTCATAGTCTGACAGTTACGTGAAGACTTTATCGAAGATCGTTGGTTAGTTATCTGAATCTCTGGAGCCTGAACTCGTTACTTGCTTGATCGTTAGCTATCAGTTCCTCCCATTATATCCACCGCCCCATTTCCCTCCACCGCCCCATTTCCCTCCACCGCCCCATTTCCCACCACGCCCCCTGGCCTCGAGGGCCAAAATCGACAGTAGCGCACGTATGCTTAGTATACATATGCGACCAGCAGGACACGCTGGATGAAGAAGTAAAATGAACATTTTGGATATCGCATCGTGTAGTCGGCGGAGGGGTTGGGGAGCGAGGTTCGAGGTGGCAGTGATACCGTTCAAGTTCTCTCGCAGCATATGCCGATAGCAAAGGTTTGCGGAATATGCCGCTCCCTGCTTGTCTTCATCGACTTCAACCCCGGGAGTGTGCTCATCGCGTGAGTGGACCTATACCTCGTTGAGTTACCTGAACAACACAGACTGACGGCCGTCACGGGCACGATTTACCCGTCCGCAACGATCGAACTCGAGTGCTGCGAAGCAACCCATCCCAGTCCAGTTACCTTCCCTAGCGGGCTAAGTGACCGCGTCATTTTCTAGAGAGAGAAACGATGCTAATAGTAACGACCAGTCGCAGAAATGTGCTATTACCCCTCTCATCTATAGACAGCTGTCAAGACTCAACAGGAAGGAGGACCTTTATTTGACTTCACTCGCCGGGTGTCCGCTTCATACCCAAATGGATCTTTGTTGGGCGAATCACGGCTTTGCTCATATCCAGCCCGAGGACGAGACCAACCAGGGCGAGACTAGGGTGTACTCGACGGCTGTCAAGTGATCTTCCTAATGGCGGTCGAGAGTGAGGACGTTGCAGGGGACTAGTGCTAATAAGCGCTGCCAGCATGAGCCAGAAGAACACAGTCCGAAATCCTCGGCCAACCAGTCGATAATACAAAGGGACGCCTTATATAAAGCTCTCCTCGTCGCCTTCGCACCCATCTGTACCGCCCTTCGTAACTTCTACCTCGAGGAACCGCACAAACAAGCACTCTACTACCCGTCTCGATGCGCCTCCTCGTTGTGATTGCCATATTCATCCTCCTCGCCGCCCTCGCGCGTGCACAGTTCCCCATCAAACGTGACTCTTATTCCGTCCCTGCTCATCGCAACTATACTCACTGAATCGACGCCTTTCCCGCCCACTCCGTCCTTCACTTTCCTTCCTGCGCGCCTTCGCCTTCCATCTCTCCGCCCACTCCCCTCCGACTTCCACTTCTCCGCCCACCCCCTCGGTCTTCCACCTCTCCGTCTGCTCCGCCTACCACTTTCTCGTCCGCTCCGCCTCCCGCCGCCTCCAGCTGCATGCGCGCAGCGCTGCGCCGACCAGTCCTGCGGCTTCTTGAGCGACGAGCCTGATTCGGAGAGGGTCTGCGTGTGCTTCGTGCGCGACAAGGAGGTCGATGGATGTATACAGAAGACCTGCTCGAGCGCAGACCAGAAAAAGGCATCACAGAGTCTGCAGAGCCTATGCAAGGAGGAGTAGGCTGCCCACCGTTGCTGAGAGAGCAGGGAATCGAAGTGGCGACGCGTGCTGAAGGAGGCGGGGAGGGTACGCTGCGGTCGAGCTGTAGTATGGAAGGAGCTAGGATGTAATTGCTGGCAGTCCTGTGGAAGTGGTAATATCTCGATTCGACAACGAGAGCATGAGATGCGTGGACAGAACTCGGTCTAGCGCAACGCCACAGTCACCAGAGACGGATTGTCGGCTGATCGAATTTGGTGTCGACTTGCTGACGGTCAGCGGATGATCAGAAACTGAAAGGAAAGAAGCATTGGGAGCGCGTTTAGTGCGCCCCAGTGGGGGCGAAGGCAGAAGTGGCGAGCGCCATCATCAAATAAGCGCCCGTGTGATAAGATAAGATGGGATCGACCGCTCATGACGAGGATCGCTCATGATTCTGACTCTTCGGGGTCTTCCGCAGCGACCATCACAGCGGGGGAGAGGTTTTGCAAGCGCCCGCCAAAGCCACAGTCTACACCAGAGCTCATCGCCTTCTGGAGCCAATTTTTGAATTCGAACGCCAAATCTCTACCACCTTCGAACAGTCTACCAACAATCATGGCCGCTCCCGCCGTGCACAGCCCACCACGCCTCGCCCTTCTGCTTTGCGACACGCCCATGCCCGCCGTGCAGCGCGAGTACGGGGACTACGCGCAGATCTTCAGAGATCTTCTGCGGAATGCGCTGACGGCGTCCAAGTCGGGCGCAACGTCGGACTCGAACTCAGCCTTGAACGGTAACGCCCCACCGCACTTTATCCTCGACGCCTTCGACGTCGTGCACAAGATGGAGTACCCGAAGGAGGAGGAGATAGAGACGTACGATGCGGTGCTGTTGACGGGATCTGGTGAGTGATCCCGCCGCTACTCAGTCGTTATGCACTTCCTAAGTCCTATCTCATAATTCCTTCCCAGCCGCCTCCGCCTACGACGACGTCCCCTGGATCAACAAGCTTGTAGACTGGGTACGTCATATTGCCCAGGATGTACCACAATTGCGCATCTTTGGTGAGTCGGCTGCTCACTTGTTAGAACACTTCTCCTTATTCCCCGGACCTCGCCAACCTGGGGTGGAGGATCTTGACGGTCCAAGACTGAACCCTTCTCTCCCAGGCATCTGCTTCGGCCACCAGATCGTCGGCCGCGCTCTCGGTGGCACCTGCGAGCCCAGCGGCTACTGGGAAGTGGGCCCGACGCCGTTTAGGCTGACAGAGGTCGGGAAGAGGGTGTTTGGCGGGAAGGACGAGCTGGTGCGTCGCGGTGTGTCTTTGACCGTTCATACCTTTCAATGACGATAATCCCTAATATATAGTACCTTCAACAAAGTGAGTTGCTCTTCCTCAGCGTTTACTGACGGATCTGACGCCTTCTCCCGACCTACCTAACGCCTTCTTCCAAACTATCTGACGCCTGCCTCCACCTATCTGACCCTATCCTCCCACTCAGTGCACCGCGACCACGTCCCCGCCGTTCCCGCCGGCTTCGAGCTGCTCGGCTCGACGCCAGTGTGCCCGAATCAGGGGATGGTGCAGTTTTATGAGGGCGATGGGGAAGGTGAGTCTATCAAGCCTCCGCACCGAGCCGGATGCTTCACACCGAGTCGGATGCCTCTCGCTGGTTTTTGCGTTAACGCTCACCCCAGCGAACGACCCCCGCCGCATCCACATCCTCACCGTGCAGGGCCACCCGGAGTTCACGGCGGAGATCGTGGACAAGATGGTCGATGCGAGGGCGGCGAGTGAGTGGGAGTTTCTTTTGTTTTTGTTCTTTGTTTGGGTATGCGGGCGAGAGGTTGGGCGTGGGAGAGGCTGGGTGAGCGAGATTGCGGGAGAGATGGTGAGCGAGATCTTCTCTGCCAACAACGCGAGATGTCCTCGTTGGTGGCTGAGTAAATATCGATGTTGGCGGGATGATCCGCAACCGCTTTCCTCCTCCCTTCACCTCTACCCCTCCACTTCCACCTAACGCCCCGCTAACTCACCCCAAGGCGGCGTCATTCCCCCGGACACGGCCAAGGACTACGCCCGGCGGCGCGCGTGGACGAATGATGGAGTCACTGCTGTCGGAAGGGTGATTTGGGCGAGTTTGGGCGTGGTCTAAGGCCGGCGGCCACTGACAGGCTTCAAGCATTTGCTCTTGCATACGGTGATTTGCTCTTGCATACGGGTGAAATGCTCTTGCATACGGTGTCGATGAAGCGAAAGGGTGAATTCTCTATTACAGTAGCCGAACATCGCATAACGCGCTCAAGACGGGCTTGATTGACGTTGATGAGCGCTGAAGGATAGGCCTCCCAGTGGGCATACGCGCGAAGCGAATCGGGCGAATCACTCAATTTCGCTACTGTAGGCTGTCCTTCCTGCCCATTGTGACACGCTGTCTGTCATGACCTTTCGCAAGAAGGCGCATACACTCAAGTCTAGCAGCATGGCTCTCTATTGACCCTGCGGCAACCTTGCGACGCTGGCAAGGTAGAATACGCTCTGTTTGTCTGCTTTGACGGCCCACACTCTCCTCCCGTCATCCAACATCGACATTCGCCCGGCGCCAGTGTGTACATGGTAGACGTGCAGTGACATGGAGTGCTTGCACATAAGAATTCTCCGAGGGTATGAGCCGGAAAATCGAGTATAAAGCTCAACTCATATTCGGTCTTTTCCCTCACTGCGTCCATCGGTCTACCCCGCATTCTCCATTCGTGAAATATCGCAATGCGCTTCATAGTCCTCGCTGCACTCGCCGCCATCGCGCACGCGCAGTACGGCACTCCCCCCACCTGTGAGTAACTACTCCATTGTCAGGGGTCAGTCGAGGCGGCCATGCCTGCCTACCGCATACTACGTCGCTCGTCGGTCATCATTATAACATTGCCCCTCACCGTCCTACGATATGCCCGCCACCGTCCGTCGGCAGCACCCTACGCTCTCCCGCGCATGCTGACGTCGATCCCCCCGGCCAGCCCCATGCGCCAAGGAATGTGTCGACACCAACTGTGCCGAACTCATCCTCCCCTTTTTTGAACGCGAGTGTGTGTGCTCTGCGCGTCGCTCCAGAGTCGATTCCTGCGTGGAGCAGACATGCGCCAGTCAAGACAAGGAGGAAGCGAGAATGCAGGTGCAGAAATATTGTTTCTTCTAGGGTGGGAGGGGTGAGGGTGGCCAAGGGTCCAATCTAGGGAGTGGGGCTTGGGGGATGGGTGAGGAGAGATGGTGGGGGAGGGTGAGCGGGGAGTGGGCGGGGCGGTGGTAATAAGACCCAGTTGCACCTCGTCCACCTTTGGCACGGGTGACTCTATCGTATCCGGTGACCGTGTTTGATTTCTACAGAGAAGTCGTTGGCGGCGGGCTACATCGGCTCAGTGGATCGCTAGCTGATAATTGACGAGCTTGGAATCCGCTTTACTCAACGCCCAATGGCTCGCGATCACTGCCGGCGTCAGGCGGTACTTCAGAGCGTCATTCACAAGTGGGATCGATGCCCGGCAACACTAGTGGTGCTCTTGGTTGTGGTCGAGCGAACGTACAACAGCCGTCGCGCGACCTTGTGAATCACAATCATGCGTAACGGCCTTGCAACTGACTACTAACAGGCGCTGCTAGCACGATGAAGATCATCAAATACAGTAACGGCAATGGTGGTCACGAAGAAAAGACGAATATAAAACCACAGCTAGCAAAGGTATAAAAGCGCGGCTGAAAAATAGCTTTCCCTAGGCGACCCGCACCTACCAGCGCACCACATCCAAAGCGACAAAGAGTAGCACGCTCGTCGAACAGTCGATATGCGCTTCCTCACCCTCGCAGCCGTCGTGCCCCTGCTCGCGGCGCTCGCGCGCGCCCAGCTTCCCATCACGCGTGAGTCCCCTCCGTACCATGCTCGTACCAAGCTCACCAATTCCTTCGCCCGTTTTCCACGAAATCCCCACTGCCCTCTCTTGCTCGACTCTGCACTTCGAATTCCTTCTCTCGCCCCATCCCCTCTCGTGTGCAGCCTGCGCGCAGCGTTGCGCCGACGAGTACTGCCAAGGCCCCGGTGGAGGGCCCGAGATACAGAAAGTCTGCGTGTGCGAGACACGATACAGAGCAGTCAACCACTGCATCGTGCAGAACTGCCCCGCGGATGAGGTGGCTGCGGCGAAGGAGTCGGTGCAGCGGCTTTGTAGGGCGTAGGCATTCGAGTTCATAACCGCACGTGTGACGAACTGCAGAATATATGCTTGCTGCTCCGTGGATCATCCAGTGGCAAAGTCCTAGCATGCGTTCCATCTGTAGCGTCCCTACAATGCTGAGCAGTATGATCGGCGGTAGCATCTCGCAAGCTCCCCAATTTTCCCGAGGCTGGCGGTGAACAGGTTCGGGCCCTCCGGGAGGTGCTATCGCAGACGTCAGTCATCCACTATTGAGTGTCAAGATACGTACGCAGGAAGGGGAGAGGAAAGAGACCCATCGGATGCACTTTCCGTATGAAGGCGAGCCCCGTATGCAAAGCGTAATTATAGTCATTACTTCCCGTTCGAGAGTACATCCATGCACATCGAAGCGCCCGGCCCAGCGCGGCGCCATGTACAACGTTATGCACCCTAGCGATGTACAGCTCTATGCACATCTCTCGAACGCATGCTGTGCTGACGCTCGTGCCCGAGTTGTCCCCAACGCTCGTGCCCGAGTCGTCCCCAATGCTCGTGTTCAAGTCCTCCCCAATGCTCGTGTTCAAGTCCTCCCCAACGCTCAGCCTACATCGGCACTATCGGCGCCGCGCCCTTCTCCAACGCTGTTCGCAAGCTGTCGCGCAAGATCAGCACTGCAACATGACGAGTACATCACACAACGCGCACCTGTAGTCGTCCCCGTTCTGCGTGATGTACCGCACCCACGGCAGCGCCTGATACCCGCTCTTCTCGACGATCTTCAAGTAGCGCACCTAGCGAAGAGAGAGAAAAAAAGGTCAGGAAAAGCCAACAAAATAGCACGTCCCCTCGCGTTCGCTCCACGCCAAGGCACAGGTCCCGCTAACAGATAGCCCCGTCGCCCCAGCCCCGTCGTCGCAGCCCCGTCGCCGCAGCCTCATCGCCGCAGCCTCGTCGTCGCATCCCCCTCGTCGCAGCCCCTTCGCCGCAGCCCCCCCGTCGCCACAGCCCCGTACACTCACCTGAATCCCCGACACCGTGAAATACGGAATCTCGAACTTGACCGTGATCGGCGCGCGCTTGTACGCCTGGTCCTGCTCGCCCCGCACGCTCGGCAGCCCAAAGTGCGCGCGCATGAGGAACTCGCGCGCGCCGCCGAGCTGCTTGATCTTCCACACGAAGGCGGACTTGTCGGGCGCGTAGGTGACGGTGCCGGTCGATGCCTGCGCGCGGGTCAGTAAGGGTGGACAGGGTGGAAGGACGGATCGAAAGGGAGGACGGATCGAAAGGGATAGTCGAATTGGGAGGAAGGATCGAAAGGGTGGAAGGAGGGATCGAAAGGGAGGAAGGAGGGATCGAAAGAGAGGTCGGATTGAAAGCGAGGCCGTATCAAACGCACGAACGGCCAGCACCGTCTGCGGTAAACAGCGCTCTTAACTCACCCTAAACCGCGGACTGTCCGCATCGTCCGGCACGCCGACGTAGATCTCCACGTTGTTCGCCGTGCTCCGCCGCTTGAACTGCGCCTTGCACTTCACGACGTACTCGACGCGCGAGCCGTTGTGCGACTCGATCGCGGCCTCGACCCAGATCAGCGGTTTTACTGCGCGGGGCGGCGAGAGTCAGCTCATCGTGGTACGGGATCCAGCCTCGTGGCCCGTGCAACCTCGTGGCCCGTGCTACCTCGCAACCCATCCAGCCTCGCACCCCATCCATCCTCGTTCCTTCGCACCCCATCCAGCCTTGCCACCTTAAACCGTGAATCGACACTCACCCGGCGTGCTCAACCGGTAGCTCATGAGCTCGAACTCGCCGTCGGGCGGGATGAAGCTGATCGTCCGGTCGTTCTCGAAGCGCGAGAGGCGCACGCACTGGTGGAACTTGACGTCCTCCATCTCGATCGCCTTCCCGCGCGCGGCTGGAGGGGGGGCGTCAGTCAGGTGTTTCTGGTCAGTCGATGCGCAAGGAGGACACGTCGATGCGCAAGGAGGAGGATACGCCGATGCGCAAGGAGGATACGCCGACGCGCAAGGAGGATACGTCGATGCGCAAGGAAAACACGCTGACGCGCAAGGACGACACGTCGATGCGCGGAAAGCGGTCGCAATCAATGGACACTGCAAACTCACTCCTCCCCGTGCTCTCGAACATGACCTTGTCGTTCAGGCCCAGCCGCAACTCGGGCATGCCCGAGAGGTAGCACTTCATCTTGACGGCGCCGAGGATCTCGGAGCGGACGACGTTGCCGGACGCGTTTACCTAGGGGGAGGGTGAGGCGGTTCAGCGTACATAGGGTAAGACGGTTCAGCAGAGGGTAAGACGGTTCAGCGGAGGGTAAGACGATTCGGCTTAGCTGATGTGCTCATTTGCGGGATAAGAGGTGAGGAAGGGGATGGTGCGTGCAGACGAGGATGGTACATGCAGACGAGGCGTATGTGCAGACGAGGCGTATGTGCAAACGAGGGTGTGTGTGTGCATGCAAAACGGGGGTGATGTATGCGGCCGTACGCAGAGACAAAGAGTAGAAGGCGAACACAGAAAATAGGCGACCGCAGAAAACAGGCAAACGCAAGGGAACAGGCAAGCGCAGGGAACAAGCGAACGCAGAAAACAGGCAAGCGCAGGGAACAAGCGACCCCAGATAACAGACGACCGCACTCACCAGCAAGTTGACGCTCTCGATGACGTCCAAGAACACCTCGTTCTTCCTGTAGCGGATGCCCTCCGTGCGCCACGACACCGCGTTCGTGACCGCGGGTGGCGGGCGCGCCTGGATCTCGAGCTTGTGCGATTCTTGGGTGATGTATCTGGGTGGAGCGCGGTCCGGTCGGTTAAGTATAGGAAGGACGGAGCATAGGAAGGACGGGGCATGGGAAGGGCGGGGCATGGGAATGACGGGGCATGGGAAGGACGAATCATAGGAGGGACAGAGACGTAGCATAGGAAGGACGGAGCGTAGGAAGGACGGAGGATAGGGAGGAACGGAGGATAGGGAGGACGGAGCGTAGGAAGGATGGAGCGTAGGAAGGACGGAGCAAAGGACGGGCGGGCGGGTATGATCTCAAGGCACAGCCCACTCACTCTTGCAAGATCTTGCTCTCCGTCGTCTGCGGGTAGCCAAAGTCCATGACCTCGTCGAGCAGCTCGTAGATGATGACGAAGTTGTCGCGGATCGACTCCTCCTCGAGCTCCTTGAAGTACTCGACGAGCACCTGCGAGAGGCGGTGGAGGAAGAGGATGATCTCGGCTGCATTTGAGTTGCGCTTGGAAAGGGCGAGGACTGAGGGTGGGGTTCGTTAGCGGGAGTTCAGGATGCGTGTGTGGCGCGTAGGACGGCGAAGAGGAGCAGGTGGGGCTAAAGGTCGACAGTAGGAGGAGGAGCGGGTGAGAAGCGCCAGGGACTTTGGGGCCGCAGGGCATTCAGAACGCGTCATATACCCTAAGATGGTTGATACCAAGCAGCAAAGGCGGACACGCGCCTCGTCCAGACCATTAGATCTCCCCTTGCCTTCCCACCTCATCCTCCCCCGTCCCACCGCGTCTCCAGCCTCCCCCTGTCCGGTACGCAGCCCGTCAAACACTCACGGTACAGATTCGAATGTCGGATGTGCATATAGTTGATGCCCTGCGCGGAGATGCACGGCGTCACCTGCTGGCCTTCCTCTTCAAGGTCGAGCACCAGCGGGAGAAAGCGCTCGACGTAAGACGCGGGCACGTCGTCGCGATACGAGCGCTGGATGAGGGGCTTGCCCTTGAGGTCGAGTATCGCGATGAGGCTGGCCATCGCGGCGGGAGACAACAGGCTGATGGGCGCATGCGTGCCGACGATCGCGTGATGTCACTGCTTGCCTTCACCCGTCTCTACTGCCACGCCCAAACACCGCCGCCTCGTCCTTCCCATCCACACCCAGTCCACTCCCCTCATCTCTCGACCGACTCGGCCAGCCAGCCAGCCAGCCAGCCAGCCACTCAAGCCCGCCCGCCCGCACAATACGCGGCCTCAACCCGCCTGCTGCCAACCGCCGCGTCATCCGCGCTCCCGCCGCCGTCGTCCCGCGCCAGATGACGCGTCCGCGCTGCCCGTCGCATAAGAAGCCGGTTCGCGTCCGATCGACGTCGACGCGCGCCCCTCGCCTTGACGTTCTTGCCCGAGCCCGCCCGCGATCGCTGACTGCGACGCATACACACGGTGAGCAAACGTCGTATATTCGACTCACTATATGCTAACATTCCCGTTCTAGTATATCGCCCTACGCCTTCCCGCAGCCGCGCGTCAAGACCACCGCCTCGCGCCTCTCCGCTATCCGCCCCACCCGCGTCCCCTCCTCCGCCTCTCACGACGCGCTGCCGCCTTCGACAACGCCATAACCACGTCATCAAGCCCCCGAAGGACATCCCTACCCCTCTCCCACTCCTTCCCCAGCCTCCCCTCTCCCTTCTCCCGCTCGATCCCAACCCACCCTCTCCCTTCTCGCACCTCCTCACCACCTACCCATACCCTTTCGCGCTTCCCCACCCCTCCCCATCTCCCATCATTCTCCTTTCCTTTCGCGCGTCCCCTACCCCCACCCTCCCTTCGCACCACTATACCCCCCTCCCGCTTTTCGTACCGTCCTACCTCCCCCCTCCCTTCCCTTGCGCGCTTCGCCCCCCTCCCCTTTCGCGCTTCGCCCCTCCCTGCCTATCTTCGCTCCCCCTCCTCTCATTGTTCACGCGACCCCCTTCCCTCCCTACCCCCCTCCGCTTTCGTATCACTCCTCCCCTCCCCCATCTCGCATTGCTCCTCCCCCCTCCCCTTTAAATCTCGTATCGCTCCTCCCCTCCCCTTCGTTCCGAACCCCTTACCTCACCCTCACCCTACCCCTACCCCTTCGTGCTAACCCCTTCCACTCCTTCTCGCCCCTCCCCCCTCCCACCTATTCCCTCCCCCTTCCCACCTATACCATCCCCCCTTCCCACCTATACCATCCCCCCTTCCCACCTATACCATCCCCCCTTCCCACCTCTCGCCCCTCCCCCTCTCTCACCCCTCCCCTATCTCGCTTCTCCCCCACCCCCCCTTCCCACCTACCCTCTCCCCTCCCCTTCTAGCACGACGACGCGCGCGGCAGAGATTACTAAGCGGGGTGGGGGTCAGTCGTCTGGTCGAAGGGCGTCAGACGTCGGTCGAAGGGGGTCAGTCGTCTAATTGAAGGGCGTCAGTCGTCTGGTCGAAGGGGGTCAGACATCTAGTCGAAGGGGGTCAGGCATCTGGTCGAAGGGGTCAGTAATTCCGTCGAGACAGTCGAGGTAGGGAGGGGGCTTACCTTCTGTGCGTCCGTATTCGGAGTCGGCGGCGGGTAGGGTGGGGTCCGTGCGAGGGTGGGGCTAGAAGTCCAGGAGGGTGGGACTTGAAGTCCAGGAGGGTGGGGCGGGGTCCGCGCGAGGGGTGGGGTTCGACGTCGGCGGGTCGCCTTCGACGTGGCGGGGGTTGGGTAGGGAATTTGTTGTGGGGCACCGGGTAGGGTAGTAGTCGCGTAGTCCCCCTCGCTCGTAGTCACGTAGATAGCCCTGCAATACAACATCAGTAATCCCTTCGTAGCCGGGCGAGCGAGCGAGGCTAGTGACTGTCCGAGCGAGCGAGGCTAGTGACTGACCACTGCGGGGGAGTCCAGTGACTGACCGGGCGAGCGAGGCTAGTGACTAACCACGTCGGGGGAGATCAGTGACAGACCGACCGAGGTGGGGGACCCGGGAGGGGCGGGTCGGGGGACCCGGGAGGGGCGAGTCGGCGAGGGAGGGGAGGGTCAGTGAAGTAGGTAACAGGCCAGGGCAGTAAAGAAGGAGGGGAGGGTCAGTAAAGTAGGTATCGGGCCAGGTAAGTAAAGTAGCTGACGGGCCGTGTCAGTAAAGTAGACGACAGGACAAGATCAGTACACTGCACCGCGCGAGATCAGTACACTACACTACGCGAGATTGATAGTAATTAACTCAAAGTCAAAGATCAGTAAGACTTGTAAGTAAGTAGGAGATCAGTAAGGCTTGTAAGTAGGAGATCAGTAAACCGACTCGAAGTTGCAGATCAGTAAACCGACTCGAAATCGAACATCAGTAGCAACCAACTCGAAGTCGAAGATCAGTAAACCGACTCGAAGTCGAATTCGCGAAGATCAGTACGATCAAGATCGAACGGCAGCGGGTTCTCGCTCGGGTGCGAGGGGGAGGGGGGAGGGGAGGTGTAGGTGAGGGGGAGGGAAGTGAATCAGAACAGTAAAATCAAGTAGAACGAGTAGGAAAATCCAGAAGAGCGTCCATAAATCGATAACAGGGCGCGGAAGGCGAGGGGAAGTGACAAAAGGGCTGGGGGAAGTAGTAGAAGGCGAGGAAGAGTAGTACAAGGTGGAGGGGAAATGGTAGAAGGCGGGGGGAAATGGTATAAGGCGAGGAAAAATTGAAGAAGGTGGAGGAAAAAATAGTAAACAGCGAGGAAAAATCGTCAGAAGGCGGTGGAAAATGCGCAAGCCGAATGAAAAGCAAGGACTCACCAGGACATGACTGCAGGGTCATCTGGTCGGGGTGGGTAGGGTGGAGAGGAACGAGGTCGGTAGGATAGTGATGCAGCGGTCACTAAGTTAGTGATGGTGAGGTCACTAAAATAGTAGACTCGCGGTCACTAAAGTAGTGGTGGCGCGGTCACCAAACTAGTAAAGCCAATCAGTAAACGAGTGAATAGGCAGTGGGCACGACGCACCTAACCAATAATCCCGAGGGTCACTGGACCTCGAAGTACAGCCCACTGGGCCTCAAAGCGCGATCTATAGAGAACAAAAGATAATCAGCAATCGCCCTCAAAGCGTCGGAAGAGGGGGTACTCACGAAATAGCATAGAAACGAGATTGCATTCAGAGAACCAGACTGGGGAAAGCGGTCAGCATCAGGTAGGGAAAGAGCGAGCAAAGACGAACCTAGGGTAGGTGTATAGGAGACAGTAATTGGGTAGATAAACTGGAAATCGAGGTGTCAGTAAGGATGTATAAGAGGCGAGGTAGAGCGTGCTTACCGGATAGTAAGGACGAGACGGAATCCAAAGACCCCTGCAAAATGCGTCAGGAAGAGGGATAGAAGAAGACAGGGATAGACGCACCCTCGACCAGGACGTAGGATAACTGAACGAGTGTTGAGCGAAGGTGAAGTAGTAGCGAAAGGAGGGATAGGACGAGTAGGAGGAGGTAGGAGGAGGGAAGGGAAGGATAAGAACCTGACCATCGCTTTCCCCTCGCCCTGGCTCTTATACCCATCCCCACCTCCCGACCCGAGCAGCAGCCCCGCACTGCCGCCGACCCGAGCAGGCGCGGTCGATTATCCGTGTACGTGAGCGCAGAAGATTCGGGGAGGGCGCCTTCGTGCAACCTTCCCTCCCTCGATGCGACTCCGCCGTCGATGCGCGCCCGCCCGCGTCGTACGTCAGTGCAAGCCAAAAGTGAATAGAGAGCTTACCTTTAGTATATCCTGACGGAATGTGGCGCACCCCGCCCCGCGGACGAAGATCAGTGCAGAGACAGAGGTATTGAGCGTCTATTAGTGTATGGCGCGAGTTCTCCGGCGGATACGCAGTAGGAGACGCCTTCTGTTATATGACAACCTCACGTCCAACACGCCCGCGACCCGAGAAAATCGACCCCGCGGCCAAAATCCAACACCGCGCTCCCAACCCCGTGACTTCGGCGCAAAGTCCTTTTCGGGCAGGCCTTGAGCGCCGCGAAGGCAGCGCGCGCGTCGACTGCCCATGCCCTGCGCCGAGCTCGCCGAAATTTCAGAAAACATCCACCGAGGTCCTGAGCACGTGCTTCAGCAAGAACCAGAGCCCAGAACACACGCCAAACGCACCCTTTCGCGGAGGGAGGCGATCTTCAATATGCCGTCTTCAACTCTACTCGAGTGCGACGGCAGCGCAGCGTCCGCTGCGCCACACGAGCTAGTGCAGCACGTGTTCGGCTCAAGGGTGACAGCGGATGGGGGCGAAGATTGGGAGGATGAGAGTGGAAGATTGGGGGAAGGGTGAAGTGGGGGCGGACGAGTTCCGCTGGCTGGAAAGCGTATTCAGCCGACGAGCGCGGTCGAGCGAGCTTGGGATTACGTTGAGGAAAATTCTCAGTCGAATGCGGGGAGAGCTTCGTAGCGGGATGTGCTCAGGACGCGTTCAAGTTGAACTCGTTCTCTGCGCGTCTGGTAGTGCTCAGTGTTGAGCAGAGCGCGCAGATATAGCCCGGAAAATGATCTGGAAGGCAATGAGCCATATTTGCGACATTTCAACCGCGAGAGAGACACCCTGGAGCTTCGGGTTGGTCGCTCGAATTCGCGCGGCTCGGGATCTACCCGATTGGGAAGGCCTTGAGTACGCAAAAGGCAGCGCGCCGCAGGCGCGCGCTGAGCTCGCCGAGGCCCCCACCCACCGAGCTCGCGCACCCCGCAAAATTCATATCCGAGATCCCCGCGCCACCGAGCGTATATTCCGGGTGTTCTCGCGTCGAATGCGCAATGGAGACACAGTGGAATTCAAAGGAACATCGTACCGCCGATCCTGCGAAGGCAGCGTGCGTCTCCGCGCCTCCGCTGAAGCTTCCGCACCTGGATCCGAGTACGTGTGAGCTTGGCGTACTCGGGGTGACAGCAGAAACGCACCTGGAAGGGCGGAAGATGCGCAGCAGCCAGGAGGTTCGTTTTGCACGAGTGTGGGATTGCGAGCTTGCCGTACGTCGCGCGGGCGGCGTGACGGCATCCTCGGCCTCGTGTCAGCCGATATAATCGCTGCTCAAAATTTGGGGAGATGGGGTGGAAGATTCGGCAGGGGGTGAGGTGGTAGTGGTCGAGGAGGGGGTGGTCAGTAACACAGCGCGCAGGCGTCGAGAGCTCACCAAGCGTCCTGATCCTCATGAGGATATGTACCACATTATGTCTGTATACTCACTTCCTTGATTTGCGCCCAGAAGGAGGCGCAGTAGGCGGCCCAAAAGCGACGCCACATATTCAAATCACCCTTGTTTGCGCTATGGCACTCTATCCGCGGCGCGGAGGACGGGGGTCGATATACAAAACCTGCTCAGAATCAATTTCCGCATCGATTTTGTTCGGGAGGTATTTTTGGGTGGGTGCGCAAGAAATGGAGGGGAAGACGTCGAGTTCTGCATGCAAAGCAGCTCGACGTTCAGAAACGATAAGTCAGAACGTAGATCTCGCCCATCGTAACTTTGGGGCCGCATTCTGAAGAGATGGGAGGTATGTTTTGATGGTATAGGACCCATCGCTAGCGCGAATCTTGTCTGCTGCGACCTTGACGACGTTGGGGAGCGTCGCTTGCGACCTTTTCGTGAGTTGAGGCAGGCCGAGAGATCCCCTCGAGTTCGTAGCTCGTAGATGAGTGCAGTCATGTATTGCGAGCAGTTTGGCGTTGTTTCCGAGGCGGGGGATGGCCGCGATGCATGAGAGTCGAGGTCAAGATGCAGAACGCGGGCGCTCGGACAGGGCGGTCCGACTCCCGGTCCCTGATTGGCGGCGCCACAATTGCCGTCCGTCTTGTCCGCAACCACCACTATCGACGCCGGCGAGTATCCGCGGGCACTGAGAGGTCCCTTGATCTTTTTATTCCACTTCTACAACATGAATGCACACCAACCCTTTGCCTTCCGAGCCCAAGACAACCCCGCTCATCGAATTGAACTCAAACTCAGGTGACGTGTAGTCCGATAATAATATCCGGTCCCGAGGGCGACCTTAGATCTGCGCTACCGTCACCGCGACTGGGACGGCCTTCTAGCGCCGTACCTAGCGAAGCATCCAATTACGACGGCTATTGAGCCCATTCCGGAAAGCCTTCACGAGCTCGACCGCCCTGCCTCATTCTCTCCAATCGCGGGCTTTTTCAGTAGTTCCCGGTGAATCGAGCGCTTGTTCCTTATTGTATCGCGCGACTGAGATCGAGAAAGCGACGATACTGACCTTGGCACTGCGCACTCGTCGCCAGAACAGGCAGACTCAGCGCAATGAAATGTGCGAGGGCAGCGCTCTCGTATCGCATGTCCGCCGCCGCGAGTAAACTAACTCTTACGTATCGTAATAGGTTTCCTAAGGCTGCGGAAGAGCGTCGAAAATAGACGAGTGGGAGATGGAAGATCCACGCGAGTAGGTGAGTATCTCCATCCGTCGACGGTGCGGCTCGCGCTTCTGGTGAGCGCGGCATTCCTCGAGGAAGCTAAGCCGCTCGCCTCGCTTTCAGCGCGCCGAGGTTGGAGTACCAAGCGTGCACGAACGGGTTGCAGGTGACCTGCGAGTCGGATCGCGGGTCAGGCGGCGTGAATTCGGTATGTACAATCCTTCTTCATATGTCAGCAGCTCGAACTGACTCGGCAGTGTGTTAGGCAGCACGGGCAGCAGCTGCGGAGATGTCTCCGCTTCCAGCAGAGGCAGCACGCGGCGACAGCCCCCAAAAGCATAACCCTCAAGAAGGTTTCACGGAAGCGAAGGGGGCGGGCATGCGGCACTGCCGATTGCGATGTCGTACGTCCGAAATTTTTGCTTACGGCGCGGCCTTATATACTCGGCCGCGATCAAGACCGTAAGTGTTTTCCCTCCTCTCGCGGCCCCGCGCTACCGTCCACTCCCCACAGCCCTCGGCCTCGGCCTCGCTCTCGTCCTCCGCTTCCGCTCATCGCTGCGTCCGACCTACTGCGCACTCGCACGACGAGCTGTTGAGTGGGTGTATCAACGGCTCAACGGTTCTCCCTCCAGCACCCTTCGCGTTGCTGGTCGACGGCCGGCAAGCGCGAGACGTGCGAGCATCACCCTGGCGTCGCCAGGTACGTGTGTGCTTTGTCCTTCTCGACACGAGCCTGAGGCTAACAACTTGCTTACTTTTAGGCCCATTTTCTGTCGACATTCATGACGGCAAAATGCACATTGCGACGTCGATCGATCCGAGGCCCGCGCGGGAATTCCTCGCAAAGCACTGCGAGATGACCGACGTCGGGAGGGGGGCACGGGCGGCGCGACGGCGCGACGGCGCGAAGCGCCGTCACAAACGCTCAGGCTCATTCACATGGTGCGTTAATTGGTCATGTTCGACCCCATTTCCTGACGCTTTTTCAGGTATTCTGCGCGCGCTTTCAGATGCAGAACTTTTGCGTTTTGACGCGAAATGCGCCGAGGGCCGCGCGGAAGTCTCTAGCAGAACGCCGCGAGCTCAGCAACGCGAGGGAGGGGGCATGGACACGGCGGCGGCGGCGCGGAGCGCCGCCTTCTTCGCGTCGTGCAAGGCCCTGAGGTGTGTTTCATGTCCCTCGCTACCTCCATTTCCTGACGATTCTGAAGGGGTTTTAGGCGCCCCTCCAGATGCAAAACTTTTGCATTTTGATGCGAAATGCGCTGAGGGCCGCGCGGGAATCTCTAGCGGAATGCCGCGAGGTCATAGACGCGGGGAGGGAGCACGGACGCGGCGGCGGCGCGGAGCGCCGCCTTCTACGCTCTTGAGGTGTGTTCTACGCCTCTCAAAACCTCCATTTCCTGACGATTTTGAAGGGGTTTTAGGCGCGCCTCCAGATGCAAAATCGGCGCATTTTGACGTCAAATGCGCTGAGGTCCGCGCGGGAATCCCTAGCGGACCGTTGCGAGTGTCTCAGTGTGGGGGAGGGGGCAGAGGCGGGGGCGGCGCGAAGCGCCGCCTTGCGTGACTCTCACTGTGCTCGAAGTGCGTGTTCTCCGGTATCTCAGCGCACGATTACTGACGCTTTTCTGCAGGTTTTCTTCGCCCTTCAGACCGCAAGAACGTCGCGCCTCGCCGTCAAAAACGCCGAGCTTCGCGCGGGGCCCCCTGGCGAAGTGATGCAATCTTGACTGGGAGGAGGAGGGGCGGCACGCGCGCGATCGCGGCGGGAGCGCCGCGCTTCACCGTTCTCACTTCCGGCAATCTCACCCTTCTCACTTCCGGCAATCTGCCTGGGTGCTTATAGACGACTGGTCGCCCGGCGCGCATGGGTGAGCGCATCTACTCGTCCTTAGCATCCCTTCACTAACTCTTTTTCAGACCGCCCTCGCAGCTCAAGTGCCCCCCCCCCCCCCCGCCATCCCCGCGCCACGCCCGGCGGAGCACAAGTCATCGCAACCCATCCCCCTACGCGATGGGTATATGTATTTTCGTCCGGCGAGCAGAGGTGAGCGCAGCTTATTCTTATTCCACACCCTCCCTTCATCCCCCTACCGCTCCTTCTCGTTCGCACCTCCCCTTCCTCCTCCCTTCCCCCACTGCTCCTCCCCCCTCCCCCCGTTCCTATGAGTTAGACTTTGACTTGACCATTTCTCACCGCCCCCTTCGCTCGTGCATTGTACCCTTCACTGACCCTTTTCCAGGATTATCCCTGCGCTTCCGAAGGTGTTTTCGTCCCGCCACCAGTCCGTCCTTCGACCCTTACTCCCTTCCTTCGCTCTCGCCTCCCCCGAGCGAGGGTAAGGGCACCCCCTGCACCTCCCTCTTGTGTAGACAGCATGACCTGCCCCCTTTTCTGCAGGAGGGGCACGTTGACGAGCACGTAGTGTACTTGTACTCGACTTGTCCTCGTTTACCATTGCAATGCAAGATCCCGTTTGACTTGTAACGAAGGCCTCTTGCTTGAAATCGATTCCCTTGACTTCAATGAAAGCTTGCGTTCACTCGAACTTGCCGAACTCATTTGTGGCAACAACTCATTTGTGGCAAAGGGATTGTATTGCAGCTACCCTACGTACAGGCGGGGAACGTGTCGAGAGAAGGGGCGGGTGGCGCAGCGCCACCAAAGGTTAGCAAGGGCAAAGCGGGGGAGGAGGGGAGAGGGAGGGCAGTGGACGGCGGCGAGGGGGGCGCAGCGACAAGGAAATCGAGACGCAGACAGATACGCACCACCCCCACCCACCGCCCAAGTCTGAGCGCGAACGGAGCACGCCGCCGAGCAGAACCAAGGCGGTTCAGCGCATACCCCAGCCCGGCGATACGGTCACATAGCACCCGTCCGCGTCGGACTGCCAAACCGCCCTCCGCCGACTGAGAATGCGGAATAGACCGCGCGCGTCCCCTCCCCCGGCCTGCCTCTATGAACAAGAAGTGGCCGGCGACGTTTTGCGCGTCGAACGCGCCCACTCCCGCGTCGCTGCGAGCAGAAACCAGAATTGTCACGTGATGCAAAGGACGCACTTGCCTTCACCACCCACCACCGTCACTCCAACCGAAAGCGAAGGGTACGCGGGCGAGCTGTGACCCGCCACCCGCGCCGGATCTTGAGCTTGACCGTGATCGGCGCGCGGTAGCCAAAGTCCATGACCTCGTCGAGCAGCTCGTAGATGATGACAAAGTTGTCCCGGATCGACTCCTCCTCGAGCTCCTTGAAGTACTCGACGAGCACCTGCGAGAGGCGGTGGAGGAAGAGGATGATCTCGGCCGCATTGGAGTTGCGCTTGGAGAGGGCGAGGACTGGGGGTGGGGTTCGTTAGCGGGAGGTCAGGATGGGTGCGTGGCGCGTAGAATGCCGAGGGGAAACAGGAGGGGGAGGGGTCGACGGTAGGAGGAGCGAGTGATACCGGTGTGAATGGATACGCTGGAGAGTTTGGGGCCGCCGTCGGATGGAGGAGTCGTGAGGACGGTTGATAGCAAGCAGCAAAGGCGGACACGCGCCTCGTCCAGACCATGAGATCTCCCCTTGCCTTCCCACCTCATCCTCCCCCGTCCCACCGTGTCTCCAGCCTCCCCCTATTCGGTACGCAGCCCGCCAAACACTCACGATAGAGATTCGAATGACGGATGTGCATGTAGTTGATGCCCTGCGCAGAGATGCACGGCGTCACCTGCTGGCCTTCCTCCTCAAGGTCGAGCACCAGCGGGAGAAAGCGCTCGACGTAAGACGCGGGCACGTCGTCGCGATACGAGCGCTGGATGAGGGGCTTGCCCTTGAGGTCGAGTATCGCGATGAGGCTGGCCATCGCGGCGGGAGACAACACGCTGATGGGCGCATGCGTGCCGACGATCGCGTGATGTCACTGCTTGCCTTCGCCCATCTCTACTGCCACCCCCAAGCATACGTCCCCCAAGCATCGCCGCCTCGTCCTTCCCACCCACGCCCAGTCCACTCCCCTCATCTCTCGACCGACTCGACCGACCCAGACAGCCAGTCAGCCAGCCAGCCAGCCACTCAAGCCCGCCCGCATAACACGCGTCCTCCTCCCGCCTGCTGCCTACCGCCGCGTCATCCGCGCTCCCCCGTCCTGCGCCAGATGACGCGTCTGCCCTGCCCGTCGCATAAGAAGCCGGTACGCGTCCGATCGACGTCGACGCGCGCCCCTCGCGTTGACGTTCTTGCCCGAGCCCGCCCGCGATCGCTGACTGCGGCGCATACACAAGGTGAGCAATCGCCGTAGATCCGACTCACTATATGCTAACATTCCCGCTCTAGTCTATCGCCCTACGCCTTCCCGCAGCCGCGCATCAACACCGCCGCCTCTCACCTCTACCCCACCCGCGTCCCCTCCTCCACCTCCCACGACGCCCTGCCGCCTTCGACATCGCCATAGCCACGTCATCAAGCCCCCGAAGGACGTCCCTAACCCCCTCCTCCTCCTCCTTCCCTACCCTCCCCCTTCCCTTCCCCCGCCTGATCCCATCCTATCCTCTCTCTTCTCGCACCTCCTCACTACCTACCCATACCTTTCCCGCCACCCTACCCCGTTCCTTTCGCGCGACCCCTACCCCTCTCGTCCCTCCCCTCCCTCTCCGTTACCGCCCTACCCCCACCTTCCTTTCGCGCCACTATACCCCTCCCCCTCCCGCTTTTCGTACCATCCTCCCTCCCTCTTCCCTCCCTTCTCGCGCTTCCCCCCTTCCCCTTCGCGCTTCGCCCCTCCCTGCCTATCTTCGCTCCCCCTCCTCTCGTTGTTCACGCGACCCCCTTCCCTCCCTTCCCCCCTTCGTTCCGAGCCCCTTACCCTCACCCTCACCCTCACCCTACCCCTTACCCCTACCCCACATCTCCCCACACCCTTCGTGCTAACCCCTTACCCTTCTCGCCCTTCTCGCCCTTCTCGCCCCTCCCCCTTCTCGCCCCTCCCCTCTTCTTACCCCCACCCCCCCTCCGCTCCCCTCCCCCCTTCTCGCCCCCCTCCCTTCGTGCTAACTCCCTCCCCCCCCTCCCACCTACCCTCTCCCCTCCCCTTCTAGCACGACGACGCGCGCGGCCGAGCTTACTAAGCGCGGCGGGGGTCAGTCGTCGGTCGAAGGGAGTCAGTCGTCTAGTCGAAGGGGGTCAGACGTCTAGTCGAAGGGGGTCAGACGTCGGTCGAAGGAGGTCAGTCGTCTAGTCGAAGGGGGTCAGTAATCCCGTCAAAGCGGTTGGGATAGGGAGGGGGGCTTACCTTCGGTGCGGTCCCAGTCGGAGTCGGCGGCGGTGGGGAGAGTAGGGGTCGGTGGCGAAGGGTGGGTGGGGTGGGGTCCGTGCGAGGGTGGGACTTGAAGTCCGCACGAAGGGTGGGGTCCGCGCGAGGGGTGGGGTTCGACATCGGCCGGTCGTGTTCAACGTCGGCCGGTCGCGTTCGACATGGGGGCCGGGTAGGGTAGTTGTCGTGGGGTAGCGGAGGTGGTCCAGTAGGCCCCTCGTTCGTAGTCGAGTAGCCCCCTCGTACGTAGTCGAGTAGCCCCTCGTTCGTACTCGAGTAGCCCCCTCGTACGTAGTCCAGTAGCCCCCTCGTCCGTAGTCACGTAGACAGCCCTGCAATACAACGTCAGTAATCCCTTCGTAGCCGGGTGAGGGAGCGAGATAATGACTGATCACGTCGGGGGAGATTAGTGACTGACGGGGCGAGCGAGGCTAGTGACTGACTGGGCGAGGGAGATGAGTGACTGACCGAGCGAGCGAGGCTAGTGACTGACCACGTCGGGGGAGATGAGTGACTGACCGAGCGAGCGAGGCTAGTGACTGACCACGTCGGGGGAGATAATGACTGACCACGTCGGAGGAGATTAGTGACTTACCACGTCGGGGGAGGCTAGTGACTGACCTGGGCGAGCGAGGCTAGTGACTGACCACGTCGGGGGAGATTAGTGACTGACCGAGTGGGAGGAGATTAGTGACAGACAGACCGAGGTGGGGGACCCGGGAGGGGCGAGTCGGCGAGGGAGGGGAGGGTCAGTAAAGTAGCTAACGGGCCAGGGCAGTAAAGTAGAAAGCAGGTAAGTGAAGTAAACAACAGCGCGAGATCAGTACACCGCACGAGCGAAATCAGTACACCGCGCGAGATCAGCACACCGCGCGAGATCAGTACACTACACTATGCGAGATCGGTACACTACACTACGCGAGATTGATAGTAGTTAGCTCAAAGTCAAAGATCAGTAAGACTTGTAAGTCGAACATCAGTACACTACACTACGCGAGATCAGTAAACCGACTCTTAAGTCGAACATCAGTAAACCGACTCTTAAGTCGAACATCAGTAGTAACCGACTCGAAGTCGAACATCAGGTAACCGACTCAAAGTCGAATTCGCGAAGATCAGTACGATCAAGATCGAACGGCAGCGGGTTCTCGCTCGGGTGCGAGGGGGATGGGAGGTGTAGTGAGTGGGTAGGAATAGACAGTCGCGTCGTGTACTAAGCCTCGGAGCGCGGTCAACCGAGTCAAGCGCAGCCTGCTAGAACAAAAAACGATCAGTAATCGCCCTGGAAGCGCCAGGGGGAGTGCACTCACCAAAGAAACACAATGCCGGGATTGCATTCAAGAGTAAAGACTGGGAAAAGCGGTCAGCATGGGCGTAGGTGAGGAGGGAGGAGGACGGTGAGGAAGGGAGGGGGGACGGTGATGAGGGAGGGAGGACGAACCTAGGGTAGGTGTATAGGGGACGATAAGCGAGTAGATGAACTGGAAAGCGAAGCGTCAGTAAGGACACATAGGAGGCGAAGCGTCAGTAAGGACACATAGGAAACGAGGCAGAGCGCGGCGCTTACCGAGTACTAGTAAAGACAAGGTACAAGTAAATACCCCTGCAAAGCGCGTCAGTCATAGAGAGAAGGAAGGGTTGGATTCGACGTACCTCGACCAAGACATAGTATCACTAAATGAAGAAGCAGAGGAAAGGTATGATAGGAGGGGATGGGTGATAGGAGGGGAGGGGAAGGAGGGAGAGGAACCTGACCATCGCTTCCCCCTCGCCCTGACTCTTATACTCGTCCCCACCACCCGGCCCGAGCAGCAGCCCCGCACTGCCGCCGACCCGAGCAGGCGCGGTCGATTATCCGTGTACGTGAGCGCGGAAGATTCGGGGAGGGCGCCTTCATGCAACCTTCCCTCCCTCGATGCGGTGCCGCCGTCGATGCGCGCCCGCGTCGCACGTCAAGCACACACCAGAAACGAAGTGAAAGCATGCATTAAGCAGATCCTAACTCCGGAATGTGGCGCACCCCGCGCCGCGGACGGGGGTCAGTGCGGGCACGGTGTTGAGTATGTCTCTGTGAATGGCGCGAGTTCTCCGGCGGATACGCAGTAGGGGACGCCTTCTGTTAGCTGACAACCTCACGTCCAACACGCCCGCGACCCGAGAAAATCGTTCCCGCGGCCAAAATCCAACACCGCGCTCCCAACCCCGTGACCTCGGCGCAAAGTCCTTTTCGGGCAGGCCTTGAGCGCCGCGAAGGCAGCGCGCCCGTGCCCTGCGCTCAGCTCGCGGAAATTTCAGAAAAAATCCACCGAGGTCCAGAGCACGTGCTCCAGCAAGAATCAGAGCCCAGAACACACGCCAAACGCACCCTTTCGCGGAGGGAGAGGATCTTCAACGTGCCGTCTTCAACTCTACTCGAGTGCGACGGCAGCGCAGCTTCCGCTGCGCCACACGAGCTAGTGCAGCACGTGTTCGGCTCGCGGGTGACAGCGGATGGGGGCGAAGATTGGGAGGAGGAGAGTGGAAGATTGGGGGAAGGGTGGAGTGGGGGCGGACGAGTTCCGCTGGTTGTAGAGCGTATTGAGCCGACGAGCGCGGTCGAGCGAGCTTGAGATTACTTTGAAAACAATTGAAAGTCAAATGCGGGGAGAGCTTCGTAGCGGGATGTGCTCGGGACGCGTTCAAGTTGAACTCGTTCTCTGCGCGTCTTGTAGCGCCCAGCGTTGAGCAGAGCGCGCAGATATAGCCCCAAACCAATCTGGAATGGTTTGAGCCATATTTGCGACATTTCGACGGCGAGAGAGACACCCGGGAGCTTCGGGTTGGTCGCTCGAATTCGCGCGGCTCGGGATCTACCCGATTGGGAAGGCCTTGAGTACGCAAAAGGCAGCGCGCCGCGGGCGCGCGCTGAGCTCGTCAAACCCCCGCCGATAGGGCTCGCGCACCCCGCAAAATTCATCTCCGAGATCCCCGCGCCACAGAGCGTATATTCCGGGTGTTCTCGCGTCGAATGTGCAATCAGAATACGACAGAATTCCAAGGGACATCGTGCCCCGCAATTCTGCGAGGGCAGCGTGCATCTCCGCGCCTCCGCTGAAGCTTCCGCACATGGACCCGAGCACGTGTGAGCTTGGCGTACTCGGGGTGACAGCAGAAACGCACCTGGAAGGGCGGAAGATGCGCAGCAGCCAGGAAGTTCGTTTTGCACGAGTGTGGGATTGCGAGCTTGCTGTACGTCGCGCGGGCGGCGTGACAGCATCCGCGGCCTCGTGTCAGCCGATCTAATCGCTGCTCAACATTTTGGGAGATGGGGTGGAAGATTCGGCAGGGGGTGAGGTGGTAGTGGTCGAGGAGGGGGTGGTCAGTAACACAGCGCGCAGGCGTCGAGAGCTCACCAAACGTCGCAATCCTCATGAGGATATGCACCACATTATGTCTGTATACTCACTTCCTTGATTTGCGCCCGGAAGGAGGCGCAGTAGGCGGCCCAAAAGCGACGCCACATATTCAAATCACCCTTGTTTGCGCTATGGCACTCTATCCGCGGCGCGGAGGACGGGGGTTGATATACAAAACCTGCTCAGAATCGAAATCCGCATCGATTTTGTTCGGGAGGTATTTTTGGGTGGGTGCGCAAGAAATGGAGGGGAAGACGTCGAGTTCTGCATGCAAAGCAGCTCGACGTTCCGAAACGATAAGTCAGAACGGAGATCTCGCCCATCGCAACTTTGGGACTGCATTCTGAAGCGATGGGAAGCATTCTTTGATGGTATACGACCCATCGCTGGGGCGCATCTCATGTGCTGCGACCTTGACGACGTTGGGGAGCGCATCTTGCGACCTTTTCGTGTGTCGAGGCAGCCTGAGAGCTCCCCTCGCGTCCGTAGCTCGTAGATGAGTGCAGTCATGTATTGCGAGCAGTTTGGCGTTGATTCCGAGGCGGCGGACGGCCGCGATGCATGAGAGTCGAAGTCAAGATGCAGAACGCGGGCGCTCGGACAGGGCGGTCCGGCACCCGGTCCCTGATTGGCGGCGCCACAATTGCTGTCCGTCTTGTCCGCAACCATCACTATCAACGTCGGCGAGTATCCGCGGGCACTGAGAGGTCCCTTGACCTCTGTATTCCACTTCTACAACATGAATGCACACCAACCCTTTGATTTTCGAGCCCAAGACAACCCCGCTCATCGAGTCCAACCTAAGCTCAAGTGACGTGACTCCGACAAGAATACCCGGTCCCGAGGGCGTGCTGAGATCTACGCTACCGTCACCGCGACTAGACCGGCCTTCTAGCGCCGTACCTCGCGAAGTAGCCAATTACGACCGCTATTGAGCCCATTCCGGAAAGCCTTCACGAGCTCCACCCGAGCGGGCGCTCAGCCCCATTCCCTCAAATTGCGGGCTTTTGAGCGTTTCCTGGTGAGTCGAGCGCCTGTTTCTCGTCGAATTCCATCACTGGATACGAAGACTGCGAGAATTCTGACCTTGGCAGTGTGTATTCACTGCCAGAACAGGCAAACTGACCGTGATGAGATGGGCGAGGGCAGCGCGCTCTCGCCCGCTCCCGTGTCGCATTTCCGCCTCCGCGAATAGACTAACCCTTACGTGTCGCATCAGGCTTTCGAAAGGCGCGGAAGGGCGATGGAAGGAGACGAGCGGGGCGTGGACGATTCGGGTGAGTAGCTACGTATCCCCATCCCTGATTGGCGTGTCCCGCGCTGCCGACGAGTGCGGCGTTGTTTGAGGAAGCTAACGGCACGACGTGCTCTAAGATCTCGTCGGGTACCCAGTGCGCTGCAAGCGGTCAAGAGGGGAGTTCAATGGCAATGGTACGTTGGACGAGCACAAGGCGCATGTCATGTGGCGTGAATTAAGCATGTTCCTCTACATTTCATGTCGGCGGTTTGAACAGACTGAGCAGTGATGCGCAGGCGGCAGCCGCGGAGATGCCCCCGCCACTTGCAGATGCAGCACGCGGCGGCATCCCTCAAAAGGATATTCCGTCAAGAAAAGCCTAAAGGAAGCGAAGGGGGTGTGTATGAGGAGCGGCCGATTGCAAGCCGGATTTCGTACGTCCGAAATTTTCGCTTACGACACGACCTTATATACTCGGTCGCGACCAGGGTTCTGAGCACTTTCCCTCCTCCCGCGCGCTTGTCACCCTCGACTTACGGCCGCCTTCTTCCTCACCCGCCCCCGCTCCTCTCCCTCCACTTCTGCTCACTGTCGCGTGAAGGACCTCAACGAACTGCGCGTTCGCACGGAAGACTGGTAAGTGGGTATACCATGTTCTTGTCGACCACGACTGATGTTTTTTCAGCGCCCTCGCGTCGTCGATAGACAGTCAACAAGCACGACGCGCTCGAGGAGATTGAGGTCTCGAGCAGCATATCGCCGTCAGGTACGTGTCCTGCCTTCTGCGGGCGAGCCTTGAGCTGACAGTCCGCTCCACTTTAGGCTGATTTTCCGTCGACGGCCAAGACCGAAAAATGCACATTTGGACGTCAATTGCGCTGAGGTCCGCGCGGGAATTTCTAGCGGAACGCCGCGACTTCAATGGCGTCGGGAAAGGGGCACGGGAGCGGCGACGGCGCGAAGCGCCGTCGCACATGCTCAAGCTCATTCTCAAGGTGATCTCATTCATCCTTGTTGAGGCCATTCTCTGACGCTTTTGTAGGCTCTTCGAGGGCGCCTTTAGATGCAGAACTTTTACATTTTGACGCGAAATGCGCCGAGGGCCGCGCGGGAATCTCTAGCAGAACGCCGCGAGCTCAGCAACGCGAGGAAGGGGGCACGAACTCGGCGGCAGCGGCGCGGAGCGCCGCCTTCTTCGCGTCGTGTAGGGCCTTGAGGTGCGTTTCATGTCCCTCGCTACCTCCATTTCCTGACGATTTTCAAGGCTTTTGAACGCCCCTTCAGACGCAAAATCGGCGCATTTTGACGTCAAATGCGCTGAGGTCCGCGCGGGAATCCCTAGCGGACCGTTGCGAGTGGCTCAGCGTGGGGGAGGGGGCAGAGGCGGGGGCGGCGCGTAGCGCCGCATTGCGCGAGTCTCCTTGAGGTCGAGGTGCGTGTTGTCTAGTATCTCAGCACTCAATTACTGACGCTTTTCTGCAGGTTTTCTGCGCCCTTCAGACCGCAAGAACGACGCGTCTCGCCGTCAAAACGCCGAGCTTCGCGCGGGGCCCGCTGGCGAAGTGATGGAATCTTGACTGGGAGGAGGAGGGGCGGCACGCGCGCGATCGCGATCGCGGCGGGAGCGCCGCCCTTCACCCTTCTTACTTCCGACAATCTGGCTGGGCGTTTATAGACGACTTGTCGCCCGGCGCGCATGGGTGAGCGCATCTACTCATCTCGCTAACTCTTTTTCAGACCGCCCTCGCACCTTTAGTGGCCCTCGCGCCACGTCCGGCAGCGCGCGCAAGTCATCGCAACCCATCCCCCTACGCGATGGGTATATGTATTTTCGTCCGGCGAGCAGAGGTGAGCGTAGCTTCCTCCCTTCCTCCCTTCCCTCCCCTCTCCCCCTCCCGCTCCTTCTCGCTTGCACCTCCCCCTCCTCCTTCCCCCACTGCTCCTCTCCCCTCCCCCCCCGTTCTCACGACTTTGACTTTGACTTGACCATTTCTCACCGCCCCCTTCGTTCGTGCATTGTACCCTTCACTGACCCTTTTCCAGGATTGTCCCTGCGCTTCCGAAGGCGTTTTCGTCCCGCCTCCAGTCCGTCCTTCGACCCTGACCCCCTTCCTTCGCTCTCGCCTCCCCCGAGCGAGGGTAAGGGCACCCCCTGCACTTCCCTCTTGAGTAGACAGCATGACCTGCCCCCCTTTTCTGCAGGAGGGGCACGTTGACGAGCACGTAGTGTACTTGTACTCGACTTGTCCTCGTTTACTATTGCAATGCAAGATCCCGTTTGACTCGTCATGATGGTCTCAATTGAAGCACTTGCCTTAAGACCCTTGACTCAAACTCGCTGAACTCATTTGTGGCAACAACTCATTTGTGGCAAAGTGATTGTATTGCAAGCTACGCTACGTACAGGCGGGGAACGTGTCGAGAGAAGGGGCGGGTGGCGCAGCGCCACCAAAGGTTAGCAAGGGCAAAGCGGGGGAGGAGGGGAGAGGGAGGGCAGTGGAGGGCAGTGAGGGGGGCGCAGCGACAAGGAAATCGAAATGTAGACAGATACGCACCACCCGCACCCACCCCCCAAGTCTGAGCGCAAACGGAGCACGCCGGCGAGCAGAACAGAGGCGGCTCAGCGCATACCCCAGCCCGGCGATATGGTCACATAGCACCCGTCCGCGTCGGACTGCCAAACCCGCCTCCGCCGACTGAGAATGCGGAATAGACCGCGCCTGTCCCCTCCGCCGGCCTGCCTCTATAAACAAGAAGTGGCCGGCGACGTTTTGCGCGTCGAACGCGCCCACTCCCGCGTCGCTGCGAGCAGAAACCAGAAATGTCACGTGATGCAAACGACGGACTTGCCTTCACCACCCACCACCGTCACTCCATCCGAAAGGGAAGGGTACGCGGGCGAGCTGTCACCCGCCACCCGCGCCGGATCTCGAGCTTGTCTGATTCTTGGATCGCGGGCCGGTTGGTTAAGTATAGGGAGGACGAAGCACAGGAAGGAGAGGCGAGGGCAGCCCACTCACTCTTGCTCTCCGTCGTCTGCGGGTAGCCAAAGTCCATGACCTCGTCGAGCAGCTCGTAGATGATGACGAAGTTGTCCCGGATCGACTCCTCCTCGAGCTCCTTGAAGTACTCGACGAGCACCTGCGACAGGCGGTGGAGGAAGAGGATGATCTCGGCCGCATTGGAGTTGCGCTTGGAGAGGGCGAGGACTGGGGGTGGGGTTCGTCAGTGGAAGTTCAGGATGGGTCTGTGGCGCGTAGAACGGCGGGGAGGAACAGGAGGGGGCGGGGTCGACAGTAGGAGGAGGAGTCGTGAGGACGGTTGATACCAAGCAGCAAAGGCGGACACGCGCCTCGTCCAGACCATCAGATCTCCCCTTGCCTTCCCACCTCATCCTCCCCCGTCCCACCGTGTCTCCAGCCTCCCCCTATTCGGTACGCAGCCCGCCTGACACTCACGATACAGATTCGAATGTCGGATGTGCATGTAGTTGATGCCCTGCGCGGAGATGCACGGCGTCACCTGCTGGCCTTCCTCCTCAAGGTCGAGCACCAGCGGGAGGAAGCGCTCGACGTAAGACGCGGGCACGTCGTCGCGATACGAGCGCTGGATGAGGGGCTTGCCCTTGAGGTCGAGTATCGCGATGAGGCTGGCCATCGCGGCGGGAGACAACAGGCTGATGGGCGCATGCGTGCCCACGATCGCGTGATGTCATTGTCACTGCTTGCCTTCGCCCATCTCTACTGCCACGCCCAAGCATCGCCGCCTCGTCCTTCCCATCCACGCCCAGTCCACGACCCGACCGACTCGGCCAGCCAGCCAGTCAGCCAGTCAGTCAGCCACTCAAGCCCGCCCACCCGCCTGCTGCTTACCGCCGCGTCATCCGCGCTCCCGCCGCCGTCGTCCCGCGCCAGATGACGCGTCCGCGCTGCCCGTCGCATAAGAAGCCGGTTCGCGTCCGATCGACGTCGACGCGCGCCCTCCCGTTGTCGTCGCTGTTGCCCGAGCCCGCCCGCGATCGCTGCCTGCGGCGCATACACACGGTGAACAAACCTCGCATATCCGACTCACTATATGCTAACATTCCCCCTCTAGTCTATCCCCTACGCCTTCCCGCAGCCGCGCGTCAAGACCACCGCCTCGCGCCTCTCCGCTATCCGCCCCGCCCGCGTCCCCTCATCCGCCTCCCACGGCGCGCTGCCGCCTTCGACATCGCCATAGCCACGTCATCAAGCCCCCGAAGGACGTCCCTAACCCCCTTTCACTCCTTCCTCACCCTCCCCCTTCCCTTCTCACGCTCGATCCCACCCCACACCTCTCTCTTCTCGCACCTCCTCACTACCTACCCATACCCTTTCCCGCCACCCTACCCCATTTTTTTCGCGCGTCCCCTACCCCTCTCGTCCCACCCCCTCCCCTTCGTTACTGGGCTACCCTCTCCCTCCTTCAGCACCACTACCCCGACCCTCCTTCCGCACCACTGCGCCCCTCTTCCCTCCCCTCTCGCGCTTCGCCCCTCCCTCCCTATTTTTCCCTCCCCCTTTTCTCGTTATTCACGCGACCCCTTCCCTCCCTTCCCCCCTCCGTTTTCGACCGCCCCTCCCCCCTACCCCCCTCCGCTTTCGACCGCCACCCTTTCCATCTCGCATCACTCCTCCCCCTCCCCATTTCGCATCGCTCCTCCCCCCTCCCCTTCGTTCCGAGCCCCTTACCCTCACCCCACATCTCCCCCCTCCCCTCTTCTCACCTCCACCCCTCATCTCCCCCACCCTTCGTGCTAACCCCCTTCCACCTCCCCCTTCTCGCCCCTCCCCCTCTCTCACCTCCCCCTTCTCGCCCCTCTCGTTTCTCGCCTCCCCCCCTTCCTACTTATCCCGTCCCCCCCTTCCCACCTACCCTCTCCCTTCCCCCTTCTAGCACGACGGCCCGCGCGGCCGAGATTACTAAGCGCGGCGGGGGTCAGTCGTCGGTCGAAGGGGGTCAGTCGTCGGTCGAAGGAGGTCAGACGTCTAGTCGAAGGAGGTCAGGCATCTGGTCGAAGGGGTTCAGACGTCTAGTCGAAGGGAGTCAGGCATCTAGTCGAAGGGGTCAGGCATCTAGTCGAAGCGGTTGGGATAGGGAGGGGGGCTTACCTTCGGTGCGGTCCCAGTCGGAGTCGGCAGCGGGTAGGGTCGGGTCTGCGCAGGGGGTGGGGTCCGCGCGGGGGGTGTGCGGGTCAACGTCGGCCGGTCGCGTGCGACGTGGGGGGTCGGGTAGGGCAGTTGTCGTGGGGTAGCGGAGGTGGTCGAGTAGGCCCCCCGTACGTAGTCGACCAGCCCCCTCGCACGTAGTCGAGTAGGCCCCTCGTTCGTAGTCGGTCCAGTAGCCCCCTCGCACGTAGACGCGTAGATATCCCTGCAATACAACGTCAGTAATCCCTTCGTAGACGGGCGAGGGAGCGAGATAGTGACTGACCACGTCGGGGGAGATTAGTGACAGACCGAGGGAGCGAGGCTAGTGACTGACCGAGGGAGCGAGGCTAGTGACAGACCACGTCGGGGGAGATTAGTGACTGACCACGTCGGGGGAGGCTAGTGACTAACCACGTCGGGGGAGATCAGTGACAGTCAGACCGAGGTGGGGGATCCGGGAGGGGCGAGTCGGCGAGGGAGGGGAGGGTCAGTAAAGTAGCTAACAGGCCAGGTAAGTAAAGTAGGTAACGGGCCGGGTCAGCAACGTAGCTAACAGGCCGGGTCAGCAATGTAGAAGGCAGGGCGAGATCAGTACACTACACTACGCGAGATTGATAGTAATTAACTCGAAGTCAAAGATCAGTAAGGCTTGTAAGTAGGAGATCAGTAAACCGACTCGAAGTCGAATTCACGAAGATCAGTACGATCACTACCCATCATCACTAAAACCACTACCCACCATCACTAAACTCGTCCACCGCCACCCGAGTCAGCAAAAATCCCCAACCCGGCCCGCAAGATCGAACGGCAGCGGGTTCTCGCTCGGGTGCGAGGGGGAGGGGAGGTGTAGGTGAGGGGTGAGGTGTAGGTGAGGAGGGTAGGAGAGGGGGAGGTAGAAGCGTACGAAATTGGAAAGGAAGAGTAGCAAAGTGAGTTAGAAGCGTACGAAAGTGGATCAGAACCATACGAAAGTGAATCAGAAGAGTAGGAAAGTGAATCAGAACAGTAGAAAAGTGAATCAGAAGCGTAGGAAAGCGTATCAGAAAAGTAGCAAAGTGAATTATAACAGTAGAAATCAAGTAGAACGAGTAGGAAAATGCAGAAGAGCGTCCATAAATGGACAAGAGGGCGCGGAAGGCGAGGGGAGGTGACAAAAGGGCTGGGGAAGTAGTAGAAGGCGGTGGAAAAATAGTAAACGGCGAGGAAAAATAGCAGAAGGCGAGGAGAAATAGAGGAAGGTGGAGGACAAATAGTAATTAGCGAGGAAAAATAGTATAAGGCGGTGGAAAATGCTCAAGACGAGCAAAAGATACGGAAAGGCAAGGACTCACCAGGACATGACTGCAGGGTCATCTGGTCGGGGTGGGTAGGGTGGAGAGGAACGAGGTCGGTAGGATAGTGATGCAGCCGTCACTAAGTTAGTGATGGAGAGGTCACTAAAGTAGTGATGGCGCAGTCACTAAACTAGTAAAGCCAATCAGTAAACGAGTGAATAGGCAGTCGGTGCGACGCACCTAACCAATAATCCCGAGGGTTACTGGCCCTCGAAGCGCAGCCCACTGAGCCTCAAAGTGCGGTCTATAGAGAACAATAGATAATCAGCAATCGCCCTCAAAGCGTCGGAAGAGGGGGTACTCACGAAATAGCATAGAAACGAGATTGCATTCAGAGAACCAGACTGGGGAAAGCGGTCAGCATCAGGTAGGGAAAGAGCGAGCAAAGACGAACCTAGGGTAGGTGTATAGGAGACAGTAATTGCGTAGATAAACTGGAAATCGAGGTGTCAGTAAGGATGGATAAGAGGCGAGGTAGAGCGTGCTTACCGGATAGTATGGACGAGACGGAATCCAAAGACCCCTGCAAAATGCGTCAGTAAAAGGGATAGAAGAAGACAGGGATAGACGTACCCTCGACCAGGACGTAGGATAACTGAACGAGTGATGAGCGAAGGTGAAGTAGTAGCGAAAGGAGGGGTAGGACGAGTAGGAGGAGGTAGGAGGAGGGAAGGGAAGGATAAGAACCTGACCCTCGCTTTCCCCTCGCCCTGACTCTTATACTCATCCCCACCACCCGACCCGAGCAGCAGCCCCGCACTGCCGCCGACCCGAGCAGGCGCGGTCGATTATCCGTGTACGTGAGCGCGGAAGATTCGGGGAGGGCGCCTTCGTGCAACCTTCCCTCCCTCGATGCGGCTCCGCCGATGATGCGCGCCCGCGTCGCACGTCAAGCACACACTAAAAACGAAACGAAAGCTTGCATTATAATAAGCAGATCCTGACGGAATGTGGCGCACCCCGCGCCGCGGACGAGGGTCAGTGCGGACACGGTGTTGAGTGTGCATGTGCGTCACTCGCGAGTTCTCCGGCCGGTGCGCAGCTGGAGACGTCTGCTACTAGCTCACAACCTCACGTCCGACGCGCCCGCGACCCGGAAAAATCGTTCCTGCGGCCAAAATCCAACACCGCGCTCCCAACCGCGTGACCTCGGCGCAAAGTCCTTTTCGGGCAGGCCTTGAGCGCCGCGAAGGCAGCGCGCCCGTGCCCTGCGCCGAGCTTGCGGGAATTTCAGAAAACATTCAACGAGGTCCAGAGCACGTGCTTCAGCAAGAATCAGAGCCCAGAACACACGCCAGATGCACCCTTTTGCGGAGGGAGGCGATCTGCAACATGCCGTCTTCAGCTCTGCTCGAGTGCGACGGCAGCGCAGCTTCCGCTGCGCCACACGAGCTAGTGCAGCACGTGTTCGGCTCGCGGGTTACAGCGGATGGAGGCGAAGATTGGGAGGAGGAGAGTGGAAGATTGGGGGAAGGGTGGAGTGGGGGCGGACGAGTTCCGCTGGTTGTAGAGCGTATTCAGCCGACGAGCGCGGTCGAGCGAGCTTGAGATTACGTTGAGGAAAATTCTCAGTTGAATGCGGGGAGAGCTTCGTAGCGGGATGTGCTCAGGACGCGCTCAAGTTGACCTCGTTCTCTGCATGTCTTGTAGTGCCTGCCGTTGAGCAGAGCGCACAGATATAGCCCCAAACTAATCTGGAATGGTTCGAGCGATTTCTCAACATTGACGACCGCGAGAGAGACACCCGGGAGCTTCAGGCTGGTCGTTCGAGTTCGCGTGGCTCGGGATTTACCCAATTGGGAAGGCCTTGAGTACGCAAAAGGCAGCGCGCCGCAGGCGCGCGCTGAGCTCGCCGAGGCCCCCACCCACCGAGCTCGCGCACCCCGCAAAATTCATCTCCGAGATTCCCGCGCCACCGAGCGTATATTCCGGGTGTTCTCGCCTCGAATGCGCAATGGGAATGTATTTGAACTGATAGGGACATCGTGCCCGCGGCTCTGGGAGGGCAGCGCGCTCCTCCGCGCCTCCGCTGAAGCTTCCGCATCTGGACCCGAGCACGTGTGAGCTTGGCGTACTCGGGGTGACAGCAGAAACGCACCTGGAAGGGCGGAAGATGCGCAGCAGCCAGGAGGTTCATTTTGCACAAGCGTGGGATTGCGAGCTTGCCGTACGTCGCGCGGGCGGCGTGACGGCATCCGCGGCCTCGTGTCAGCCGATCTAATCGCTGGACAAAATTTGGGGAGATGGGGTGGAAGATTCGGCAGGGGGTGAGGTGGTAGTGGTCGAGGAGGGGGTGGTCAGTAACACAGCGCGCAGGCGTCGAGAGCTCACCAAGCGTCCTGGTCCTCATGAGGATATGCACCACATTATGTCTGTATACTCACTTCCTTGATTTGCGCCCGGACGGAGGCATGATGGGCGGCCCAAAAGCGACGCCACATATTCAAATCACCCTTGTTTGCGCTATGGCACTCTATCCGCGGCGCGGAGGACGGGGGTTGATATGCAAAACCTGCTCAGAATTGGAATCCGCATCGATTTTGTTCGGGAGGTATTTTTGGGTGGGTGCGCAAGAAATGGAGGGGAAGACGTCGAGTTCTGCATGCAAAGCAGCTCGACGTTCAGAAACGATAAGTCAGAACGGGGATCTCGCCCATCGCAACTTTGGGACTGCATTCTGAAGAGATGGGAGGCATGTTTTGATGGTATACGACCCATCGCTGGGGCGCATCTCATGTGCTGCGGCCTTGACGACGTTGGGGAGCGTAACTTGCGACCTTTTCGTGAGTTGAGGCAGGGAGAGAGATCCCCTCGAGTTCGTAGCTCGTAGATGAGTGCAGTCATGTATTGCGAGCAGTTTGGCGTTGTTTCCGAGGCGGCGGACGGCCGCGATGCATGAGAGTCGAGGTCAAGGTGCAGAACGCGGGCGCTCGGACAGGGCGGTCCGACTCCCGGTCCCTGATTGGCGGCGCCACAATTGCCGTCCGTCTTGTCCGCAACCATCACTATCAACGTCGGCGAGTATCCGCGGGCACTGAGAGGTCCCTCGACCTCTGTATTCCACTTCTACAACATGAATGCACACCCACCCTTTGCCTTTCGAGCCCAAGACAACCCCGCTCATCGAATTGAACTCAAACTCAGGTGACGTGTGGTCCGACAATAATATCCGGTCCCGAGGGGCGACCTTAGATCTGCGCTACCGTCACCGCGACTGGGACGGCCTTCTAGCGCCGTACCTAGCGAAGCAGCCAATTACGACGGCTATTGAGCCCATTCCGGAAAGCCTTCACGAGCTCGACCGCCCTGCCTCATTCTCTCAAATCGCGGGCATTTTGGGTAGTTCCCGGTGAATCGAGCGCTTGTTCCGTATTATATCGCGGGACTGAGATCGAGAAAGCGACGATACTGACCTTGGCACTGCGCACTCGTCGCCAGAACAGGCAGACTCAGCGCAATGAAATGTGCGAGGGCAGCGCTCTCGTATCGCGTGTCCGCCGCCGCGAGTAAACTAACTCTTACGTATCGTAATAGGTTTCCTAAGGCCGCGAAAGAGCGTCGAAAATGGACGAGTGGGAGATGGAAGATCCAGGTGCGTAGGTGAGTATCTCCATCCGTCGACGGTGCGGCTCGCGCTTCCGGTGAGCGCGGCATTCCTTGAAGAAGCTAAGGCGCTCGCCTCGCTTTCAGGGCGCCGAGGGTGGAGTACCAAGCATGTAGGGACGGGTTGCAGGTGACCTGCGAGTCGGATCGCGGGTCAGGCGGCGTGAATTCGGTATGTACAATCCCTCTTCATATGTCAGCAGCTCGAACTGACTCGGCAGTGTGTTAGGCAGCACAGGCAGCAGCTGCGGAGATGTCCCCGCTTCCAGCAGAGGCAGCACGCGCGGAAGGCCCCCAAAAGCATAACCTTCAAGAGAGTTTAACGGAAGCGAAGGGGGCGTGCATGCGGCGCTGCCGTACGTTCGAAATTTTTGCTTACGGCGCGGCCTTATATACTCGGCCGCGATCAAGACCGTAAGTGTTTTCCCTCCTCTCGCGTCCCCGCGCTACCGTTCACTCGCAGCCCTTGGCCTCTCCCTCGCTCTCGTCCGCCACTTCCACTCATTGCTGCGTCCGCCGCTTCCACTCATTGCTGCGTCCGACCTACTGCGCACTTGCACGACGAGCTGGTGAGTGGGTGTATCATATTCTTGTTGCCTTCGACCAACGGTTCCCCCTCCAGCACCCTTCGCGTTGCTGATCGAGGGCCGGCAAGCGCGAGACGTGCGAGCATCACCCTGGCGTCGCCAGGTACGTGCTCTGTCCTTCTCGACACGAGCCTGAAGCTAACAACTTGCTTACGTTTAGGCCCATCTTCCGTCGACATTCATGACGGAAAAATGCGCATTTCGACGTCAATCGCGCCGAGGCCCGCGCGGGAATTCCTCGCCGAGCACTGCGACCTGAAGGACGTCGAAAGAGGGGCACGGGCGGCGCGACGGCGCGAAGCGCCGTCACAAACGCTCAGGCTCATTCACATGGTGCGTTAATTGGTCGTGTTCGACCCCATCCAATTCCTGACGCTTTTTCAGGCATTCTGCGCGCGCTTTCAGATGCAAGGCTTTTGCATTTTGACGCGAAATGCGCCGAGGGCCGCGCGGGAGTCTCTAGCAGAACGCCGCGAGCTCAGCAACGCGGGGAGGGAGCACGGACGCGGCGGCGGCGCGGAGCGCCGCCTTCTACGCTCTGTGTAAAGCTTTGAGGTGTGTTCTACACCTCTCAAAACCCTCATCTCCTGACGATTTTGAAGGGGTTTTGGGCGCGCCTCCAGACGCAAAATCGGCGCATTTTGACGTCAAATGCGCTGAGGTCCGCGCGGGAATCCCTAGCGGACCGTTGCGAGTCCATCAGCGTGGGGGAGGGGACAGAGGCGGGGGCGGCGCGAAGCGCCGCCTTGCGTGATTCTCCTTGAGGTCGAGGTGCGTGTTCTCTATCATCTCAGCGATCGATTACTGACGCTTTTCTGCGCCCTTCAGACCGCAAGAATGACGCGTCTCGCCGTCAAATACGCCGAGCTCCACGCTGGAGCCCTTGGCGAAGTGATGCAATCTTGACTGGGAGGAGGACGGGCGGCACGCGCGCGATCGCGATCGCGGCGGGAGCGCCGCCCTTCACCCTTTTCACTTCCGGCAATCTTGCTGGGCGTTGATAGACGACTTGTCGCCCGGCGCGCATGGGTGAGCGCATCTACTCGTCCTTTGCATCCCTTCGCTAACTCTTTTTCAGACCGCCCTCGCACCTTTAGTGGCCCTCGCGCCACGTCCGGCAGCGCGCGCAAGTCATCGCAACCCATCCCTACGCGATGGGTATATGTATTTTCGTCCGGCGAGCAGAGGTGAGCGCAGCTTCTCCTTTTTCCATTCCCTCCCTTCCCTCCCTTCCCTCCCCTCTCCCCCTACCGCTCCTTCTCGTTCGCACCTCCCCCTCCTCCTTCACCCTGCCCTTCCGATCCTGTCCTCCTCGTTCTCACGAGTTTGACTTTGACTTGACCATTTCTCACCGCCCCCTTCGCTCGTGCATTGTACCCTTCACTGACCCTTTTCCCGGATTATCCCTGCGCTTCCGAAAGCGTTTTCGTCCCGCCACCAGTCCATCCTTCGAGCCTGACCCCCTTCCTTCGCTCTCGCCTCCCCCGAGCGAGGGTAAGGGCACCCCCTGCACCTCCCTCTTGTGTAGACAGCATGACCTGCCCCCCTTTTCTGCAGGAGGGGCATGCAATTACCGAACTTGTTGACGTGCACGTAGTGTACTTGTGCTCGACTTGTCCTCGTTTACCATTGTAATAAAAGATCCTGTTCGTGATGGTCTCAATTGAAGTGCTTGCCTTAAGACCCTTGACTCGAATTTGCCGAACTCATTTGTGGCAACAACTCATTTGTGGCAAAGTCACTGTATTGCAGCTACACTACGTACAGGCGGGGAACGTGTCGATAGAAGGCGCGGGTGGCGCAGCGCCACCAAAGGTTAGCAAGGGCAAAGCGGGGGAGGAGGGGAGAGGGAGGGCAGTGGACGGCGGCGAGGGCGGCGCAGCGACAAGGAAATCGAGATGCAGACAGATACGCACCACCCGCACCCACCCGCCAAGTCTGAGCGCGAACGGAGCACGCCGCCGCGCAGAACAAGGGCGGTTCAGCGCATACCCCAGCCCGGCGATATGGTCACATAGCACCCGTCCGCGTCGGACTGCCAAACCGCCCTCCGCCGACTGAGAATGCGGAATAGACCGCGCGCGTCCCGTCGCCCGGCCTGCGTCTATAAACAAGAAGTGGCCGGCGACGTTGTGCGCGTCGAACGCGCCCACTCCCGCGTCGCTGCGAGTAGAAACCAGAATCGTCACGTGACCCAGACGACGCACTTGCCTTTCCTCCCCCCCACCGTCACTCCATCCGAAAGGGAAGGGTACTTGGGCCAGCTGTGACCCGCCACCCGCGCCGGATCTCGAGCTTGTGCGATTCTTGGATCGCGGGCCGGTTGGTTGAGCATAGGAAGGACGGAGCACAGGAAGGACGAAGCAAAGGAAGGATGGGCGAGGGCAGACCACTCACTCTTGCTCTCCGTCGTCTGCGGGTAGCCAAAGTCCATGACCTCGTCGAGCAGCTCGTAGATGATGACAAAGTTGTCCCGGATCGACTCCTCCTCGAGCTCCTTGAAGTACTCGACGAGCACCTGCGAGAGGCGGTGGAGGAAGAGGATGATCTCGGCCGCATTGGAGTTGCGCTTGGAGAGGGCGAGGACTGGGGGTGGGGTTCGTTAGCGGGAGGTCAGGATGGGTGTGTGGCGCGTAGAATGGCGAGGAGGAACAGGAGGAGCGGGTGATAGCGGTTTGAATGGATGCGCTGGGGAGTTTGGGGCCGCCGTCGGATGGAGGAGTCGTGAGGATGGTTGATACCAAGCAGCAAAGGCGGACACGCGCCTCATCCAGACCATCAGATCTCCCCTTGCCTTCCCACCTCATCCTCCCCCGTCCCACCGTGTCTCCAGCCTCCCCCTGTCCGGTACGCAGCCCGCCAAACACTCACGATAGAGATTCGAATGTCGGATGTGCATATAGTTGATGCCCTGCGCCGAGATGCACGGCGTCACCTGCTGGCCTTCCTCTTCAAGGTCGAGCACCAGCGGGAGGAAGCGCTCGACGTAGGACGCGGGCACGTCGTCGCGATACGAGCGCTGGATGAGGGGCTTGCCCTTGAGGTCGAGTATCGCGATGAGGCTGGCCATCGCGGCGGGAGACAACAGGCTGATGGGCGCATGCGTGCCGACGATCGCGTGATGTCACTGCTTGCCTTCGCCCATCTCTACTGCCACCCCCAAGCACCGCCGCCTCGTGCTTCCCATCCACGCCCAGCCCACTCCCCTCATCTCTCGACCGACTCGACCGACTCGGCCAGCCAGTCAGCCAGCCAGCCAGCCACTCAAGCCCGCCCGCATAACACACGCCCTCAACCCGCCTGCTACCCACCGCCGCGTCATCCGCGCTCCCGCCGCCGTCGTCCCGCGCCAGATGACGCGTCCGCGCTGCCCGTCGCATAAGAAGCCGGTTCGTGTCCGATCGACGTCGACGCGCGCCCCTCGCCTTGACGTTCTTGCTCGAGCCCGCCCGCGATCACTGACTGCAGCGCATACACAAGGTGAGCAAATCTCGCATATTTGACTCACTGTATGCTTACATTCCCGCTCTAGTCTATTGCCCTACGCCTTCCCGCAGCCGCGCGTCAAGACCGCCGCCTCTCGCGTCTGCCCCACCCGCATCCCCTCTTCCGCCTCCCACGACGCACTGCCGCCTTCGACAACGCCATAACCACGTCATCAAGCCCCCGAAGGACGTCCACAACCCCCTCCAATTCCTTCCCTACCTTCCCACTTCCCTTCCCCCGCCTGATCCCACCCTACCCTCTCTCTTCTCCTCACTACCTACCCATACCCCTTCGCGCGTCCCTACCCCTCTCGTCCCACCCCCTCCCCTTCGTTACTGCGCTACCCTCTCCCTCCTTCCGCACTACTACCCCGACCCTCGTTCCGCACCACTGCGCCCCTCTTCCCTCCCCCTTCGTGCAACTCCCCTCCCTCCCTAGTTTCGCCTCCCCCTTTTCTCGTTACTCACGTGAGCTCTTCCCTCCCTATCCCCCTCCGCATTTCGCATCGCTCCTCCCCCCTCCCCACCTCGAATCGCTCCTCCCCCTCCCCTTCACATCTCGTATCGCTCCTCCCCTCACCCTCACTCTATCCCCTACCCCTTACCCCCACCCCACATCTCCCCCCACCCTTCGTACTAACCCTTCCACCCCTTCTCGCCCCTCCCCCCTCCCACCTATCCCCTCCCGCTCCCCTCCCCCCTTCTCGCCCCTCCCCCCTCTCACCTATCCCCTTCTCGCCCTTCCCCCCTTCCTACTTATCCCTCCCCCTCCCTTCGTGCTAACTCCCTCCCCACCCCCCTTCCCCCTTCTAGCACGACGACGCGCGCGGCCGAGATGACTAAGCGCGGCGGGGGTCAGTCGTCGGTCGAAGGGAGTCAGGCATCTAGTGAGAGCGGGTCAGTAATCCCGTCGAAGCGGTTGGGATAGGGAGGGGGGCTTACCTTCGGTGCGGTCGGGTGCGGGGGTGGCAGGGGGTAGGTCGAAGTTGGAGTCGGCGAGGGGTGTGCGGTTCGGAGCTGGCGAGAGGCGGGGTGAAGTCCGGAGTCGGCGAGGGCGGGGGCGAAGTCGGTGAGGGTGTGCGGGGTCCGTGCGAGGGGTGTGCGGTTTGACGTCGGCCGGTCGCGTTCAACGTCGGCCGGTCGCCTTCGACGTGAGGGAGTCGAGTAGGCCCCTCGTTCGTAGTCGCGTAGGTCCCCCGCACGTAGTCGGTCCAGTAGCCCCCTCGCACGTAGTCACGTAGACAGCCCTGCAATACAACGTCAGTGATCCCTTCGTAGCCGGGCGAGGGAGCGAGATAGTGACTGACCGCGTCGAGGGAGATTAGAGACTAACCACGTCGGGGGAGATTAGAGACTAGCCACGTCGGGGGAGATTAGTGACTAACCACGTCGGGGGATTAGGGACTGACCACGTCAGGGGAGATCAGTGGCAGACCGACCGAGGTGGGAGACCCGGGAGGGGCGAGTCGGGAGACACGGGAGGGGCGAGTCGGCGAGGGAGGGGAGTGTCAGTAAAGTAGGTAACGGGCCGGGTCAGCAACGTAGCTAACAGGCCAGGACAGTAAAGTAGCTAACAGGCCAGGACAGTAAAGTAGCTAACAGGCTGGGTACGTAAAGTAGAAGGCAGGCCGAGATCGACATCGGTACACCGCGCGAGATCAGTACACCGCGCGAGATTGGTACACTACACTACGCGAGATCAGTACACTACACTACGCGAGATTGATAGTAACTACGTAACTCAAAGTCAAAGATCAGTGAGACTTGTAAGTAGGAGATCAGTAAGTGGTAGAAGATCAGTAAGGCTTGTAAGTAGGAGATCAGTAAGACTTGTAAGTAGGAGATCTGTAAGACTTGTAAGTCGAACATCAGTAAACCGACTCGAAGTCGAACATCAGTAGTAACCAACTCGAAGTCGAACATCAGTAGTAACTGACTCGCGAAGATCAGTACAGTCACTACCCACCATCACTAAACTCGCCCACCCCCAACCGAGCCGGCAAAATTCCCCATCCGAGTCAGCAAAATTCCCCAACCCGGCCCGCAAGATCGAACGGCAGCGGGTTCTCGCTCGGGAGCGAGGGGGAGGGGAGGTGTAGGTGAGGGGGAGGAACAGGGTGGTGAGTGGGTAGGAGGGTAGGAGAGGAGGGAATTAGTAGTAGTGAGGTAGAAGCGTACGAAAGTGTATCAGAAGCGTACGAAAGTGAATCAGAAGCGTAGCAAAGCGAACCAGAAGCGTAGCAAAGTGAATCAGAACAGTAGAAATCAAGTAGAACGAGTAGAAAAATCCAGAAGAGCGTCCATAAATCGATAAAAGGGCGCGGAAGGCGAGGGGAAGTGACAAAAGGGCTGGGAAAGTAGTAGAAGGCTGAGGGAAATGGTAGAAGGCTGAGGAAAAATGGTAGAAGGCGGAGCAAAAATGGTAGAAGGCCGAGGGAAAATAGTAAACGGCGAGGAAGAATAGCAGAAGGCGAGGAAAAATAGAAGGAGGTGGAGGAAAAATAGTAAACAGCGAGGCAAAATAGTAGAAGGCGGTGGAAAAATGCTCAAGACGAGCAAAAGATACGGAAAGGCAAGGACTCACTAGGATATGACTGCAGGGTCATCTGGTCGGGGTGGGTAGGGTGGAGAGGAACGAGGTCGGTAGGATAGTGATGCAGCGGTCACTAAGTTAGTGATGGAGAGGTCACTAAAATAGTAGACTCGCGGTCACTAAAGTAGTGATGGCGCGGTCACTAAACTAGTAAAGCCAATCAGTAAACGAGTGAATAGGCAGTGGGTGCGACGCACCTAACCAATAATCCCGAGGGTTACTGGACCTCGAAGTGCAGCCCACTGAGCCTCAAAGCGCGGTCTACAGATAACAAAAGATAATCAGCAATCGCCCTCAAAGCGTCGGAAGAGGAGGTACTCACGAAATAGCATAGAAACGAGATTGCATTCAGAGAACCAGACTGGGGAAAGCGGTCAGCATCAGGTAGGGAAAGAGCGAGCAAAGACGAACCTAGGGTAGGTGTATAGGATACAGTAACTGAGTAGATAAACTGGAAATCGAGGTGTCAGCAAGGATGGACAAGAGGCGAGGTAGAGCGTGCTTACCGGATAGTAAGGACGGGACGGAATCCAAAGACCCCTGCAAAATGCGTCAGTAAGAGGGATAGAAGGAGACAGGGATGGACGCACCCTCGACCAGGACGTAGGATAACTGAACGAGTGATGAGCGAAGGTGAAGTAGTAGCGAAAGGAGGGGTAGGACGAGTAGGAGGAGGTAGGAGGAGGGAAGGGAAGGATAAGAACCTGACCCTCGCTTTCCCCTCGCCCTGACTCTTATACTCATCCCCACCACCCGACCCGAGCAGCAGCCCCGCACTGCCGCCGACCCGAGCAGGCGCGGTCGATTATCCGTGTACGTGAGCGCGGAAGATTCGGGGAGGGCGCCTTCGTGCAACCTTCCCTCCCTCGATGCGGCTCCGCCGATGATGCGCGCCCGCGTCGCACGTCAAGCACACACTAAAAACGAAACGAAAGCTTGCATTATAATAAGCAGATCCTGACGGAATGTGGCGCACCCCGCGCCGCGGACGAGGGTCAGTGCGGACACGGTGTTGAGTGTGCATGTGCGTCACTCGCGAGTTCTCCGGCCGGTGCGCAGCTGGAGACGTCTGCTACTAGCTCACAACCTCACGTCCGACGCGCCCGCGACCCGGAAAAATCGTTCCTGCGGCCAAAATCCAACACCGCGCTCCCAACCGCGTGACCTCGGCGCAAAGTCCTTTTCGGGCAGGCCTTGAGCGCCGCGAAGGCAGCGCGCCCGTGCCCTGCGCCGAGCTTGCGGGAATTTCAGAAAACATTCAACGAGGTCCAGAGCACGTGCTTCAGCAAGAATCAGAGCCCAGAACACACGCCAGATGCACCCTTTTGCGGGGGGAGGCGATCTTCAACATGCCGTCTTCAGCTCTGCTCGAGTGCGACGGCAGCGCAGCTTCCGCTGCGCCACACGAGCTAGTGCAGCACGTGTTCGGCTCACGGGTGACAGCGAATGGAGGCGAAGATTGGGAGGAGGAGAGTGGAAGATTGGGGGATGGATGGAATCGGGGCGGACGAGTTCCGCTGAATGTAGAGCGTATTCAGCCGACGAGCGCGGTCGAGCGAGCTTGAAATTACGTTGAGGAAAATTCTCAGTCGAATGCGGGGAGAGATTCCTAGCGGGATGTGCTCAGGACGCGTTCAAGTTGAGGTCGTTCTCCAGTGCTCAGTGTTGAGCAGAGCGCGCAGATATAGGCCGGAAAATGATCTGGAAGGCAATGAGCCATATTTGCGACATTTCGACCGCGAGAGAGACACCCGGAAACTTCGGGTTGGTCGCTCAAGTTCGCGCGGCTCGGGATCTACCCAATTGGGAAGGCCTTGAGTACGCAAAAGGCAGCGCGCCGCGGGCGCGCGCTGAGCTCGTCGAAAACTTCGCCGACAGCGCTCGCGGTCCCTGAAAAACTCATCTCCGAGATCCCCGCGCCACCGAGCGTATATTCCGGATGTTCTCGCCTCGAATGCGCAATGGGAATGTATCTGAACTGAAAGGGACATCGTCCCCGCAGCGCTGGGAGGGCAGCGTGCATCTCCGCGCCTCCGCTGAAGCTTCCGCACCTGTATCGTATTACGTGTGAGCTTAGCGTAGTTGGGGTGACAGCACAGACACACCTGGATGGGCGGAAGATGCGCAGCAGCCAGGAGGTTTGTTTTGCACAAGTGTGGGATTGCGAGCTTGCCGTACATTGCGCGGCAAAGTGACGGCATCCGCGGCCTCGTTTCATCCGATGAAATCGCTGCTGAAAATTTGGAAAGATGGCGCGGAAGATTCGGCATAGGGTGATGTGGGAGGTGACGAGGAGGGGGTGGTCAAGAACACCGCGCGCAGACGTCGAGAGCTCACCAAACGTGCTGAATGCCATGGGTACCTGCACCACATCATGTCTGTATGCTCACATCGCCGATATTCGCCCGGAAGGAGGCGCAGTAGGCGGCCCAAAAGCGACGCCACATATTCAAATCACCCTTGTTTGCGCTATGGCACTCTATCCGCGGCGCGGAGGGCGGGAGTTGATATACAAAACATGCTCAGAGTCGAAATCCGCATCAATTTTGTTCGGGAGATATTTTTGGGTGGGTGCGCAAGAAATGGAGGGGAAGACGTCGAGCTCTGCATGCAAAGCAGCTAGACGTTCAGAAACGATAAGTCAGAACGGAGATCTCGCCCATCGCAGCTTTGGGACCGCATTCTGAAGAGATGGGAAGCATTCTTTGATGGTGTAGGACCCATCGCTGGGGCGCATCTCATGTGCTGCGACCTTGACGACGTTGGGGAGCGTCACTTGGGACCTTTTCGTGAGTTGAGGCAGCCTGAGAGCTCCCCCCGCATCCGTAGCTCGTAGATGAGTGCAGTCATGTATTGCAAGCAGTTTGGCGTTGTTTCCGAGGCGGCGGACGGCCGCGATGCATGAGAGTCGAGGTCAAGGTGCAGAACGCGGGCGCTCGGACGGCGCGGTCCGACTCCCGGTCCCTGATTGGCGGCGCCACAATTGCCGTCCGTCTTGTCCGCAACCACCATCATCGACGTCGGCGAGTATCCGCGGGCACTGAGAGGTCCCTTGACCTTTGTATTCCACTTCTAGAACATGAATGCACACCCACCCTTTGCCTTTCGAGCCCAAGACAACCCCACTCATCGAATTGAACTCAAACTCAGGTGACGTGTAGTCCGACAATAATATCCGGTCCCGAGGGCGACCTTGGATCTGCGCTACCGTCACCGCGACTGGGACGGCCTTCTAGCGCTGTTCCTAGCGAAGCAGCCAATTACGACGGCTATTGAGCCCATTTCGGAAAGCCTTTACGAGCTCGACCGCCCTGCCTCATTCTCTCCAATCGCGGGCTTTTTGGGTAGTTCCCGGTGAATCGAGCACTTGTTTCTCATTGTATCGCATAACTGAAATCTAGAACGTGAGACAGTGTACGCTCACCGCCAGAACAGGCAAACTCCGCACAATGGGACGTGCGAAGGCAGCGCGCTCTCGCCCTCTCTTGCATTGCATTTCCGCCGCCGCGAGTAGACTAAGCTTCATTTGTCGTACTAGGCTTTCCGAAGGTGCGGAAGAGCGTCGAAAACGGATGAGTGGGAGATGGTGGGTGGCTCCGTATGTCTATCCGTGGAAGGTACGGCTCGCGCTCCCGGTGAACGCGGCGTTCTTCGAGGAGGCTGACGGCATGCCTTTGTCTAGGATGTTCGGGTCACCGCTCGCCTCGCTTTCTGGGCGCCGAGGTCGAAAGACAGAGGGTGCCCAGATAGGTTGTAGGTGATCTGCGAGTCGGAACGCGTGTCATGCGGGGCGAGTCAGGTATGTACGCTGACTCTTTGTATGTCAGCAGTTTGGACTGACTCTGCAGTAGTTTAGGCAGCATGGGCAGCGGCGGAGATGTCTCCGCCACTGCAGCACACGGCAATAGCCCCCAAAAGCATATTCCCTCAAGAAAAGCCTAACGGAAGCGAAGGGGGTGTGTATGAGGAGCGTCCGATTGCGAGCCGGATTTCGTACGTCCGAAATTTTCGCTTACGACATGACCTTATATACTCGGTCGCGACCGGGGTTGTGAGTACTTTCCCTCCTCCCGTGCGCTCGTCGCCCTCGACTTACGGCCACCTTCTTCCTCTCCCGCCCCCGCTCCCCTTCCTCCACTTCCGCTCAATGTCGCGTGAAGAGGCTCGACGGACTGCGCGTTCGCACGGAAGACTGGTAAGTGGGTATACCATGTTCTTGTCGACCACGACTGAGGATTGCTCAGCGCCCTCGCGTCCTTGATAAGCAATCAACAAGCACGACGCGCTCGAAGAGATTGAGATCTCGAGCAGCCTATCGCCGTTAGGTACGTGTCCTGCCTTCTGCGAGCGAGTCTTGAGCTGACAGTCCGCTCCATTTTAGGCTGATTTTCCGTCGACGGCCAAGACCGAAAAATGCACATTTGGACGTCAACTGCGCCGAGGCCCGCGCGGGAATCTCTAGCGGAACGCCGCGACTTCAATGGCATCGGGAAAAGGGCACGGGAGCGGCGCTGGCGCGAAGCGACGTCGCACGTCCCCAAACGCATTCTCGAGGTGCGCTCATCGGTCTTTGTTGATGCCATCCTCTGACACTTTCGTAAGCACTTTGTGCGCGCCTCCAGATGCAAAACTTTTGCATTTTGACGCGAAATGCGCCGAGGGTCGCGCGGGAGTCTCTAGCAGAACGCCGCGAGCTCAGCAACGCAAGGGAGGGGGCATGGACACGGCGGCGGCGGCGCGAAGCGCCGCCTTCTTCGCGTCGTGTAAGGCCTTGAGGTGCGTTTCATGTCCCTCGCTACCTCCATTTACTGACGATTTTGAAGGGGTTTTAGGCGCGCCTCCAGACGCAAAATCGGCGCATGTTAACGTCAAATGCGCTGAGGTCCGCGCGGGAATCCCTAGCGGACCGTTGCGAGTGTCTCAGCGTGGGGGAGGGGGCGGAGGAGGCGGTGGCGCGTAGCGCCGCATTGCGCGAGTCTCACTGAGTTCGAGGTGCGTGTTCTCCAGTATCTCAGCACACGATTTCTAACGCTTTTCTGCAGATTTTCTGCGCACTTCCGAGCGCAAGATTGACGCGTCTCCACGTCATATGCCGCGCGGGAATACCTAGTGGAATGTTGCGAGTCCATTCGCGTGGGGGAGGGTAGTGCCGCCTCGCGTCCTTCTTTCCGATCTCGAGGTGCGTGTTCCTTGGTATTTCTCATCGCTCGACACCTAACGCTCTTCTGCAGGTTTTCTGCGCCCTTCAGCACGCAAGAATGACGCGTCTCGCCGTCGAAAACGCCGAGCTTCGCGCGGGGCCCCCTGGCGAAGTGATGCAATCTTGACTGGGAGGAGGAGGGGCGGCACGCGCGCGATCGCGGCGGGAGCGCCGCCCTTCACCCTTCTCACTTCCGACAATCTGGCTGGGCGTTTATAGACGACTCGTCGCCCGGCGCGCATGGGTGAGCGCATCTACTCATCTCGCTAACTCTTTTTCAGACCGCCCTCGCACCTTTAGTGGCCCTCGCGCCACGTCCGGCGGAGGACAAGTCATCGCAACCCATCCCCCTACGCGATGGGTATATGTATTTTCGTCCGGCGAGCAGAGGTGAGCGCAGCCCCCTCTCCCCTCTCCCCCCTACCGCTCCTTCTCGCTTGCACCTCCCCCCCTCCTCCCTCCCCCCACTTCTCCTCCCCCCTCCCCCCTCGTTCCTATGAGTTTGACTTTGACTTGACCATTTCCCACCGCCCCCTTCGCTCGTGCATTGTACCCTTCACTGACCCTTTCCCAGGATTATCCATGTGCTTCCGAAGGCGTTTTCGTCCCGCCTCCAGTCCATCCTTCGACCCTGACCCCCTTCCTTCGCTCTCGCCTCCCCCGAGCGAGGGTAAGGGCAACCCCTGCACCTCCCTCTTGAGTAGACAGCATGACCTGCCCCCCTTTTCTGCAGGCGGGGCACGTTGACGAGCACGTAGTGTACTTGAACTCGACTTGTCCTCGTTTACCATTGCAATGCAAGATCCCGCTTGACTCGTCATGATGGTCTCGACTGAAGCACTTGCCTTGACTCGAATTTGCCGAACTCATTTGTGGCAACGACTCATTTGTGGCAAAGTGATGGTATTGCAGCTACGCTACGTACAGGCGGGGAACGTGTCGAGAGAAGGGGCGGGTGGCGCAGCGCCACCAAAGGTTAGCAAGGGCAAAGCGGGGGAGGAGGGGAGAGGGAGGGCAGTGGAGGGCGGTGAGGGGGGCGCAGCGACAAGGCAATCGAGACGCAGACAGATACGCACCACCCGCACCCACCGCCCAAGTCTGAGCGCGAACGGAGCACGCCGCCGCGCAGAACAAGGGCGGTTCAGCGCATACCCCAGCCCGGCGATATGGTCACATAGCACCCGTCCGCGTCGGACTGCCAAACCGCCCTCCGCCGACTGAGAATGCGGGATAGACCGCGCCCGTCCCCTCGCCCGGCCTGCGTCTATAAACAAGAAGTGGCCGGCGACGTTTTGCGCGTCGAACGCGCCCAATCCCCCGTCGCTGCGAGCAGGAACCAGAAATGTCACGTGATGCAAAGGACGCACTTGCCTTTACTCCCCCCTCCGTCACTCCATCCGAAAGGGAAGGGTACGCGCGCGAGCTGTGACCCGCCACCCGCGCCGCATCTCGAGCTTGTGCGATTCTTGGGTGATGTATCGCGGGCCGGCTGGTTGAGCATAGGGAGGACGGAGCATACGAAGGACGAAGCAAAGGAAGGATGGGCGAGGGCAGCCCACTCACTCTTGCTCTCCGTCGTCTGCGGGTAGCCAAAGTCCATGACCTCGTCGAGCAGCTCGTAGATGATGACAAAGTTGTCCCGGATCGACTCCTCCTCGAGCTCCTTGAAGTACTCGACGAGCACCTGCGAGAGCCGGTGGAGGAAGAGGATGATCTCGGCCGCATTGGAGTTGCGCTTGGAGAGGGCGAGGACTGGGGGTGGGGTTCGTTAGCGGGAGGTCAGGATGGGGGTGTGGCGCGTAGAATGGCGAGGAAAAACAGGAGGACGGGCGGTGATAGCGGTTTGAGTGGATGAGCTGGAGAGTTTGGGGCCGCCGTCGGATGGAGGAGTCGTGAGGACGGTTGATACCAAGCAGCAAAGGCGGACACGCGCCTCGTCCAGACCATCAGATCTCCCCTTGCCTTCCCATCTCATCCTCCCCCGTCCCAACGGCCCCACCGCGTCTCCAGCCTCCCTCTGTCCGGTACGCAGCCCGCCAAACACTCACGGTACAGATTCGAATGTCGGATGTGCATGTAGTTGATGCCCTGCGCGGAGATGCACGGCGTCACCTGCTGGCCTTCCTCCTCAAGGTCGAGCACCAGCGGGAGAAAGCGCTCGACGTAGGACGCGGGCACGTCGTCGCGATACGAGCGCTGGATGAGGGGCTTGCCCTTGAGGTCGAGTATCGCGATGAGGCTGGCCATCGCGGCGGGAGACAACACGCTGATGGGCGCGTGCGTGCCGACGATCGCGTGATGTCACTGCTTGCCTTCGCCCATCTCTACTGCCACATCCGCCAAGCACCGCCGCCTCGTCCTTCCCATCCACGCCCAGTCCACTCCCCTCATCTCTTGATCGAGTCGACCGACCCAGACAGCCAGCCTCCCAGCCAGCCCACCCGCACAACACGCGTCCTCAACCCGCCTGCTGCCTACCGCCGCGTCATCCGCGCTCCCGCCGCCGCCGTCCCGCGCCAGATGACGCGTCCGCGCTGCCCGTCGCATAAGAAGCCGGTTCGCGTCCGATCGAAGTCGACGCGCGCCCCTCGCCTTGACGTTCTTGCTCGAGCCCGCCCGCGATCGCTGCCTGCGGCGCATACACAAGGTGAGCAATCGTCGTGTCTTCTACTCACTATATGCTAACATTCCCGCTCTAGTCTATCGCCCTACGCCTTCCCGCAGCCGCGCGTCAAGACCACCGCCTCGCGCCTCTCCGCTATCCGTCCCACCCGCGTCCCCTCCTCCGCCTCTCACGACGCGCTCCCGCCTTCGACAACGCCATAGCCACGTCATCAAGCCCCCGAAGGACGTCCACAACCCCCTCCTATTCCTTCCCTACCATACCCTACCCTCCCCCTTCCCTTCTTCGGCTTCGATCCCACCCTACCCTCTCTCTTTTCGCACCTCCTCACTACCTACCCATACCCTTTCCCGCCACCCTACCCCATTCCTTTCGCGCGACCCCTACCCCTCTCGTCCCACCCCCTCCCTCTCCGTTACCGCCCTACCCCCACTTCCCTTTCGCGCCACTTTACCCCTCCCCCTCCCGCTGTTCGTACCGGCCTACCTCCCTCTTCCCTCCCCTCTCGCGCTTCGCCCCCCTCCCCCTTCGTGCAACTCCCCTCCCTCCCTATCTTCGCTCCCCCTTTTCTCGTCATTCACGCGACCCCCTTCCCTCCCTACCCCCCTCCGTTTCGATCGTCCCTCCCCCCTACCCTTTCCATCTCGTATCGCTCCTCCCCTCCCCCTTCCACCCCTTCTTGCCCTCCCCCTCCCTTCTCGCCTACCTCATCCCCCCTTCCCCCCTCCCTTCGTGCTAACGCCCTTCCTTCGTGCTAACCCTCCACCCCTTCTCCCCCCTCCCCCTCCTCCCTCCCCCTTCTCGCCCCTCCCCCTTCTCGCCCCCCTCCCTTCCTACTTATCCCGTCCCCCCCTTCCCACCTACCCTCTCCCCTCCCCCTTCTAGCACGACGACGCGCGCGGCCGAGATGACTAAGCGGGGTAGGGGGTCAGGGGGTCAGGCATCTAGTCGAAGGGGGTCAGGCATCTGGTCGAAGGGGTCAGTAATCCCGTCAAAGCGGTTGGGATAGGGAGGGGGGCTTACCTTCGGTGTGGTCACAGTCGGAGGGTGGCGGCGGTGGGGAGGGGAGGGGTCGGTGGCGAAGGGTGGGTGGGGTGGGGTCCGTGCGAGGGTGGGACTTGAAGTTCGCACGAAGGGTGGGGTCCGCGCGAGGGGTGTGCGGTTCAACGTCGGCCGGTCGCGTTCGACGTCGGCGGGTCGCCTTCGACATGGGGGGTTGGGTAGGGTAGTTGTCGTGGGGTAGCGGAGGTGGTCCAGTAGGCACCTCGCACGTAGTCGGTCCAGTAGGCCCCTTGCTCGTAGTCGAGTCGGCCCCTCGTTCGTAGTCGAGTAGTCCCCCTCGCTTGTAGTCGCGTAGCCCCCTCGCACGTAGTCACGTAGATAGCCCTGCAATACAACGCCAGTAATCCCTTCGTAGCCGGGCGAGGGAGCGAGATAGTGACTGACCGAGCGAGCGAGGCTAGTGACTAGCCGAGTCGGGGGAGGCTAGTGACTGTCCGAGCGAGCGAGATTAGTGACTGACCACGTCGGGGGAGATTAGTGACTGTCCGAGCGAGCGAGGCTTGTGACTAGCCGAGCGAGGGAGATTAGTGACTAACCACGTCGGGGGAGATCAGTGACTGACCGCGTCGGGGGAGATTAGTGACAGACTGACCGAGTCGAAGTAGGGGCGTGTCGGGGGAGGGGCGAGTCGGCGAGGGAGGGGAGGGTAAGTAAAGTAGCTAACAGGCCGGGTCAGCAACGTAGCTATTAACAGGCCGGGTCAGTAAAGTAGACGACAGGACAAGATCGGTACACCGCGAGATCAGTACACCGCGGGAGATCAGTACACTACACCGCGCGAGATCAGTACACTACGCGAGATCAGCACACTACACTACGCGAGATTGATAGTACTTAACTCGAAGTCAAAGATCAGTAAGACTCGTAAGTAGGAGATCAGTAAGGCTTGTAAGTAGGAGATCAGTAAGACTTGTAAGTAGGAGATCAGTAAACCGACTCGAAGTCGAACATCAGTAAACCAACTCGAAGTCGAATTCGCGAAGATCAGTACGATCAAGCTCGAACGGCAGCGGGTTCTCGCTCGGGTGTGAGGGGGAGGGGAGGTGTAGGTGAGGGGTGAGGGGGAGGAACAGGGTGGTGAGGAGGGGAGGGGAGGTGTAGGTGAGGGGGATTAATAGACAGTCTACTGAACCTTGATGCGCCGTGTACTAAGCCTCGGAGCGCAGTCGACCGAGCTTCGAAGCGCAGTCAACCGAGCTTCGAAGCGCAGTCAACCGAGTGAAGCGCGGTCTACTGGACCTCAAAGCGCAGCCTACTAGGACAAAAGACGACTCCTAGGACAAAAGACGATCAGTAATCACCCTGGAAGCGCCAGGGGGAAGTGCACTCACCAAAAAAACACAATGCCGGGATTGCATTCAGAAGTAAAGACTGGGAAAAGCGGTCAGCATGGGCATAGGTGAGGAGGGAGGGAGGACGGGGAGGAGGGAGGAAGGACGGTGAGGAGGGAGGGAGGACGAGCCTAGGGTAGGTGTACAGGGGACGATAAGCGATTAGATGAACTGGAAAGCGAGTAGATAAACTGGAAAGCGAAGCGTCAGTAAGGACACATAGGAAACGAGGTAGAGCGCGGCGCTTACCGAGTAGTAAAGACAAGGACGAAGTAAAGACCCCTGCAAAGCACGTCAGTGACAGAGAGAAGGAAAGGTTATAGTCGACGTACCTCGGCCATGACATAGTATAACTGAATGAAGAAGCAAAGGAAAGGTATGATAGGAGGGAAGGGGGAGGACGAGTAGGAGGAGGTAGGAGGAGGGAAGGGAAGGATAAGAACCTGACCTTCGCTTTCCCCTCGCCCTGACTCTTATACTCATCCCCACCTCCCGACCCGAGCAGCAGCCCCGCACTGCCGCCGACCCGAGCAGGCGCGGTCGATTATCCGTGTACGTGAGCGCGGAAGATTGGGCATGAGGTTAATGCGGAAGATTCGGGGAGGACGCCTTCGTGCAACCTTCCCTCCCTCGATGCGGCTCCGCCGTCGATGCGCGCCCGCGTCGCACGTCAGTGCAAACCGAAAGTGAATAGAGAGCTTACCTTCAGTATATCCTGACGGAATGTGGCGCGCTCCGCCCCGCGGACGAAGATCAGTGCAGAGACAGAGGTATTGAGCGTCTATAAGTGTATGGCGCGAGTTCTCCGGCGGATACGCAGTAGGAGACGCCTTCTATTGGAGCAATATAGCATGCTCGATGCGCTCGGGACCCGAGAAAATCGCCCCCGCGGCCAAAAACCAACACCGCGCTCCCAACCCCGTGACCTCGGCGCAAAGTCCTTTTTGGGCAGGCCTTGAGCGCCGCGAAGGCAGCGCGCCCGCGCCCTGCGCCGAGCTCGCGGGAATTTCAGAAAACATCCACCGAGATCCAGAGCACGTGCTTCAGCAAGAATCAGAGCCCAGAATGCACCCCAAACGCACCCTTTCTCGCAAGGAGACGATCTTCAACATGCCGTCTTCAGCTCTGCTCGAGTGCGACGGCAGCGCAGCGTCCGCTGCGCCACACGAGCTAGTGCAGCACGTGTTCGGCTCGCGGGTGACAGCGGATGGGGGCGAAGATTGGGAGGAGGAGAGTGGAAGATTGGGGGAAGGGTAGAATTGAGTCGGGCGTGTTCCTTTGCGCTGGAGAGCGTGTACAGCCGACAAGCGCGGTGAATCGAGGCCAAGATGACGTTGCGGAAAATTTTGAGTCGAAGGCGGAGCGGGGCGCGGAGGATCACCGCCTCGGATGCGTTGAGTGTTGAAGTTGTTCTTTGCGCGTCTTGTACCGCGCAACGCTGTACTCAGCGCCTTGTTATGAGCTAAGTGTTATCCTTGAGTGATTTGTGTAATCTTCGAAATCCGGCGCCCGCCAGACAAGCGCCCAGGCGCTTCAGGTAGGTCGCCCGAGTTCGCGTGGCTCGGGATTTACCCAATTGGGAAGGCCTTGAGTACGCAAAAGGCAGCGCGCCGCAGGCGCGCGCTGAGCTCGCCGAGGCCCCCACCCACCGAGCTCGCGCACCCCGCAAAATTCATCTCCGAGATCCCCGCGCCACCGAGCGTATTTTTTGGGTGTTCTCGCCTCGAATGCGCAATGGGAATGTATCTGAACTGAAAGGGACATCGTGCCCGCAGCTCTGCGAGGGTAGCGCGCATCTCCGCGCCTCCGCTGAAGCTTCCGCACCTGGATCCGAGTACGTGTGAGCTTGGCATCCTCGGGGTGACAGCAGAAACGCACCTGGACGGGCGGAAGATGCGCAGCTCCAGGAGGTTCGTTTTGCACGAGTGTGGGATTGCGAGCTTGCCATACGTCGCGCGGGCGGTGTGACGGCATTCACGGCCTCGCATCATCCGATGGAATCGCTGCTCAAAATTTGGGGAGATGGGGTGGAAGATTCGGCAGGGGGTGAGGTGGGAGGTGACGAGGAGGGGGTGGTCAATAACACTGCGCGCAGACGTCGAGAGCTCACCAAACGTCCTGAATGTCATGGGTAACGGCACCACATCATGCTTGTATGCTCACGTCGCCGATATTCGCCCGGAAGGAGGCGCAGTAGGCGGCCCAAAAGCGACGCCACATATTCAAATCACCCTTGTTTGCGCTATGGCACTCTATCCGCGGCGCGGAGGACGGGGTTCGATATACAAAACCTGCTCAGAATCGAAATCTGCATCGATTTTGTTCGGGAGGTATTTTTGGGTGGGTGCGCAAGAAATGGAGGGGAAGACGTCGAGTTCTGCATGCAAAGCAGCTCGACGTTCCGAAACGATAAGTCAGAACGTAGATCTCGCCCATCGCAACTTTGGGACTGCATTCTGAAGAGATGGGAGGCATGTTTTGATGGTATACGACCCATCGCTGGGGCGCATCTCATGTGCTGCGGCCTTGACGACGTTGGGGAGCGTAACTTAAGACCTTTTCGTGAGTTGAGGCACGGAGAGAGCTCCCCCCGCATCCGTGGTTTGTAGATGAGTGAGTAAATGTATTGCGAGCAGTTTGGCGTTGTTTCCGAGGCGGCGGACGGCCGCGATGCATGAGAGTCGAAGTCAAGGTGCAGAACGCGGGCGCTCGGACAGGGCGGTCCGACTCCCGGTCCCTGATTGGCGGCGCCACAATTGCCGTCCGTCTTGTCCGCAACCACCATCAGCGACGCCGGCGAGTATGTGTGGGGCCGGGCAACGCCCGCCAGGTGATCGGAGTTTGGCGATGTTTACAAGGGGTCCTCCCACGGCGAGAATTCAGTCCATGCAGTTTTCCCTTTTGCGCATTAGCCGGCTCGACATCGGCAGATGTGGAATGGTATCAGCAAGGCACTTCGCAGGTTTTGTTGGGACGAATAGTGAATCCGACGAATATTCGCTGATATAGTAGAACAAACTCGACGATAAGTCATCGGCTGAGGATTTCCTCCCAACACAACCTAGGCATAGTGATTGGGAACACGTTCCGTCTTGACCGAAGAGATGCCAGGATTGTCGCGCAACGCAATACTGCAGGTGATGGGGCAGGCTAGGTCACGCTTTTTGACCATTCACGTGGTGCGGACGGCGGCGCGGGCTCCGATCCGAGGATGCCTCCCAGCGTTATGATCCATACGTTCCGTCGCAAGGCTTTGGGAACTCCCTTTATATTATGCCCTGACCAATTTATACTTGTGTAAATATCCAGAGCCGTCTGAAGCTGCATAGGTATGGTCCCAGCCTTCCCATTGGTACTGCGCTCTTACTGTACTGAACAATACTCGTATATTCGAGCAGCGCGTGCTCGCGGATGGTAGATCATGATAACCAAGGCAGATACCCTTCTTCCTCAACGGAAAGAGGGAAGGTAGCGGAAGGATCAAGTACACCAGATGGTAGAAGTCGAGCTACACCCTCCCAATGTAAGAAACACGGTATCTCTAAGCGATATAGCACATCCAATTCCTGTTTGCTCTACCCAACAGACCTTTCCACAGTCCAATGCCAGCTTCATTGGGCATGATTCGTCTCTATCACCATCGCCGGTTCCTTGTTGGATCTTGTGGGCGCACCGGGCACCTGCCAAATGCGGTGGTCGGCGAGGTCGGAACGATGATGGGGGGTCTGCTTCCATCAAACCGATCGTTTGGCGGGCGTTGCCCAGCCCCAGTATGTGCGGGCACTGAGAGGTCCCTTGACCTTTGTATTCCACTTCTACAACATGAATGCACACCAAACCTTTGCCTTTTGAGCCCAAGACAACCCCGCTCATCGAATTGAACTCAGACTCAGGTGACGTGTAGTCCGACAATAATATCCGGTCCCGAGGGCGACCTTAGATCTGCGCTACCGTCACCGCGACTGGGACGGCCTTCTAGCGCCGTACCTAGCGAAGCAGCCAATTACGACGGCTATTGAGCCCATTCCGGAAAGCCTTCACAAGCTCCGCCCGAGCGGGCGCTCAGCCCCATTCCCTCAAATTGCGGGCTTTTGAGCGGTTCCTGGTGAGCCGAGCGCCTGTTTCGCGTCGAACTCCATCACTGGATACGAAGACTGACCTTGGCTGTGTGTACTCACCGCCAGAACAGGCAAACTCACCGCGATGAGATGGGCGAGGGCAGCGAGTGCTCTCGCCCGCTCCCGTGTCGCGTTTCCGCCTCCGCGAATAGACTAAACCTTACGTGTTGCATCAGGCTTTCGAAAGGCGCGGAAGGGCGATGGAAGGAGACGAGCGGGGCGTGGACGATTCGGGTGAGTAGCTATGTATCCCCATCCCTCAATAGCGTGTCCCGCGCTGCCGACGAGTGCGGCGTCGTTCAAGGAAGCTAACGGCACGACGTCCTCTAAGATCTCGTCGGGTACCCAGTGCGCTGCTAGCGGTCAAGAGGGGAGTCTGAGGGCAATGGTACGTTGGACGAGCACAAGGCGCATGTCGTGTGGCGTGAATCAAGCATGTCCCTCTACATTTCATGTCGGCGGTTTGAACAGACTGAGCAGTGATGCGCAGGCGGCAGCCGCGGAGATGCCCCCGCCACTTGCAGATGCAGCACGCGGCGGCATCCCTCAAAAGCATATTCCCTCAAGAAAAGCCTAACGGAAGCGAAGGGGGTGTGTATGAGGAGCGGCCGATTGCGAGCCGGATTTCGTACGTCTGAAATTTTCGCTTACGACACGACCTTATATACTCGGTCGCGACCGGGGTTGTGAGCACTTTCCCTCCTCCCGCGCGCTTGTCACCCTCAACTTACGGCCGCCTTCTTCCTCTCCCGCCCCCGCTCCTCTTCCTTCACTTCCGCTCACTGTCGCGTGAAGAGGCTCGACGAACTGCGCGTTCGCACGGAAGACTGGTGAGTGGGTATACCATGTTCTTGTCGACTACGACTGATGATTTCTCAGCGCCCTCGCGTTTTGATAGACAGTCAACAAGCACGACGCGCTCGAGGAGATTGAGGTCTCGAGCAGCCTATCGCTGTCAGGTACGTGTCCTGCCTTCTGCGAGCGAGCCTTGAGCTAACAGTCCGCTCCATTTTAGGCTGATCTTCCGTCGACGGCCCAAGACCGAAAAATGCACATTCGGACGTCAACTGCGCCGAGGCCCGCGCGGGAATCTCTAGCGGAACGTCGCGACTTCAATGGCGTCGGGAAAGGGGCACGGGAGCGGCGACGGCGCGAAGCGCCGTCGCACGTCCCCAAACGCATTCTCGAGGTGCGCTCATTGGTCTTTGTTGATGCTATCCTCTGACACTTTCGTAGGCACTTTGTGCGCGCCTCCAGATGCAAAACTTTTGCATTTTGACGCAAAATGCGCCGAGGGCCGCGCGGGAGTCTCTAGCAGAACGCCGCGAGCTCAGCAACGCGAGGGAGGGGGCACGGACACGGCGGCGGCGGCGCGGAGCGCCGCCTTCTACGCTCTGTGTAAAGCTTTGAGGTATGTTCTATGCCTCTCAAAACCTCCATCTCCTGACGATTTTGAAGGGGTTTTAGGCACGCCTCCAGACGCAAAATCGGCGCATTACGATGTCAAATGCGCTGAGGTCCGCGCGGGAATCCCTAGCGGACCGTTGCGAGTCCATCAGCGTGGGGGAGGGGGCAGAGGCGGGGGCGGCGCTTCGCGCCGCCTTCTTCGCGTCTGTAAGGCCTTGAGGTGCGTTTCAACTCCCTCGCTACCTCCATTTCCTGACGATTTTCAAGGCTTTTGAACGCCCCTTCAGACACAAAATCGGCGCATTGGGACGTCAATTGCGCTGAGGTCCGCGCGGGAATTTCTAGCGGAATGCCGCGAGTGCCTCTGTGTGGGAGAGGGGGCGGAGTCGGGGGCGGCGCGTGGCGCTGCATCGCGCGAGGCTCACGGAGTTTGAAGTGCGTGTTCTCTATCATCTCAGCGATTGATTACTGACGCTTTTCTGCAGGTTTTCTGCGCCCTTCAGAACGCAAGAATGACGCGTCTCGCCGCCGTCAAAAACGCCGAACTTCGCGCGGGGCCCCCTGGCGAAGTGATGCAATCTTGACTGGGAGAAGGAGGGGCGGCACGCGCGCGATCACGGCGGGAGCGCCACCCTTCACCCTTCTCACTTCCGGCAATCTGGCTGGGCGTTTATAGACGACTTGTCGCCCGGCGCGCATGGGTGAGCGCATCAACTCATCTCGCTAACTCTTTTTCAGACCGCCCTCGCACCTTTAGTGGCCCTCGCGCCACGTCCAGCAGCGCGCGCAAGTCATCGCAACCCATCCCCCTACACGATGGGTATATGTATTTTTGTCAGGCGAGCAGAGGTGAGCGCATTCCACACCCTCCCTTCCTCCCATCTCCCCTCTCCCCCTACCGCTCCTTCTCGTTCGCACCTCCCCCTCCTCCTCCCTCCTCCCCTTCCGATTTTGTCCTCGTCGTTCTCACGACTTTGACTTTGACTTGACCATTTCTCACTGCCGCCTTCGCTCGTGCATTGTACCCTTCACTGACCGTTTTTCCAGGATTGTCTCTGCGCTTCCGAAGGTGTTTTCGTCCCGCCACCAGTCCATCCTTCGAGCCTGACCCCCTTCCTTCGCTCTCGCCTCCCCCGAGCGAGGGTAGGGCACCCCCTGCACCTCCCCCTTGAGTAGACAGCATGACCTGCCCCCCTTTTCTGCAGGAGGGGCACGTTGACGAGCACGTAGTGTACTTGAACTCGACTTGTCCTCGTTTACCATTGCAATGCAAGATCCCGCTTGACTCGTCATGGTGGTCTCGACTGAAGCACTTGCCTTACGACCCTTGACTCGGAATTGCCGAACTCATTTGTGGCAACAAGTCATGTGTGGCAAAGTGATTGTATTGCAGCTACGCTACGTACAGGCGGGGAACGTGTCGAGAGAAGGGGCGGGTGGCGCAGCGCCACCAAAGGTTAGCAAGGGCAAAGCGGGGGAGGAGGGGAGAGGGAGGGCAGTGGAGGGCGGTGAGGGGGCCGCAGCGACAAGGAAATCGAGATGCAGACAGATACGCACCACCCGCACCCACCCGCCAAGTCTGAGCGCGAACGGAGCACGCCGGCGAGCAGAACAAGGGCGGTTCAGCGCATACCCCAGCCCGGCGATATGGTCACATAGCACCCGTCCGCGTCGGACTGCCAAACCGCCCTCCGCCGACTGAGAATGCGGAATAGACCGCGCGCGTCCCCTCGCCCGGCCTGCGTCTATAAACAAGAAGTGGCCGGCGACGTCTTGCGCGTCGAACGCGCCCACTCGCGCGTCGCTGCGAGCAGAATCCAGAATCGTCACGTGACCCAGACGATGCACTTGCCTTCACCACCCACCACCGTCACTCCATCCGAAAGGGGAGCATACTTGGGCAAGCTGTGACACGCCACCCGCGCTGGATCTCGAGCTTGTGCGATTCTTGGGTGATGGATCGCGGGCCGGCTGGTTGAGCATAGGGAGGACGAAGCACAGGAAGGAGGGGCGAGGACATCCCACTCACTCCTGCTCTCCGTCGTCTGCGGGTAGCCAAAGTCCATGACCTCGTCGAGCAGCTCGTAGATGATGACAAAGTTGTCCCGGATCGACTCCTCCTCGAGCTCCTTGAAGTACTCGACGAGCACCTGCGAGAGGCGGTGGAGGAAGAGGATGATCTCGGCCGCATTGGAGTTGCGCTTGGAGAGGGCGAGGACTGGGGGTGGAGTTCGTTAGCGGGAGGTCAGGATGGGGGTGTGGCGCGTAGGACGGCGAGGAGGAACAGGAGGGGGCGGGGTCGACAGTAGGAGGACGGGCGAGTGATAGCGGTTTGAATGGATGCGCTAGGGACTTTGGGGCCGCAGGGTCTCCAGAACGCGTCGGATAACCTAAGATGGGTGATACCGAGCAGCAAAGGCGGACACGCGCCTCGACCATCAGATCTCCCCCTCTCATCCTCCCCCGTCCCACCGGCCCCAACGTGTCTCCAGCCTCCCCCTATTCGGTACGCAGCCCGCCAAACACTCACGATACAGATTCGAATGACGGATGTGCATGTAGTTGATGCCCTGCGCGGAGATGCACGGCGTCACCTGCTGGCCTTCCTCCTCAAGGTCGAGCACCAGCGGGAGGAAGCGCTCGACGTAGGACGCGGGCACGTCGTCGCGATACGAGCGCTGGATGAGGGGCTTGCCCTTGAGGTCGAGTATCGCGATGAGGCTGGCCATCGCGGCGGGAGACAACAGGCTGATGGGCGCGTGCGTGCCGACGATCGCGTGATGTCACTGCTTGCCTTCGCCCATCTCTACTGCCACCCCCAAGCATCTCCGCCTCGTCCTTCCCATCCACGCCCAGTCCACTCCCCTCATCTCTCGACCGACTCGACCGACCCAGACAGCCAGTCAGCCTGCCAGCCAGCCACTCAAGCCCGCCCGCCCACACAATACGCGTCCTCAACCCGCCTGCTACCTACCGCCGCGTCATCCGCGCTCCCGCCGCCGTCGTCCCGCGCCAGATGACGCGTCCGCGCTCCCCGTCGCGTAAATGGCCGGTTCGCGTCCGATCGACGTCGACGCGCGCCCCTCGCCTTGACGTTCTTGCCCGAGCCCGCCCGCGATCGCTGACTGCAGCGCATACACAAGGTGAGCAATCGTCGTATCTTCTAGTCACTGTATGCTAACATTCCCGCTCTAGACTATCGCCCTACGCCTTCCCGCACGCCGCGCGTCAAGACCACCGCCTCGCGCCTCTGCCCCACCCGCGTCCCCTCCTCCGCCTCCCCAGACGCGCTGCCGCCTTCGACATCGCCATAGCCACGTCATCACGCCCCCGAAGGACATCACTACCCCTCTCCTGCTCATTCCTGACCCTCCCCCTTCTTTCTCGTGCCCAATCACCTCCCCCTTCCCTTCTTCGACACGATCCCAACCCACCCTCTCCCTTCTCGCACCACCTCACCACCTACCCATACCCTTTCGCGCTTCCCCACCCCTCCCCATCTCCCATCATTCTCCTTTCCTTTCGCGCGTCCCCTACCCCCGCCCTCCTTTCGCACCACTATACCCCTCCCCCTCCCGCTTTTCGTACCCTCCTACCTCCCCCCTCCCTCCCCTCTCGCGCTTCGCCCCCCTCCCCCTTCGTGCAACACCCTCCCCTTCTTATCTTCGCCTCCCCCTTTTCTCGTTATTCACGCGACCCCTTCCCTCCCTTCCCCCCTCCGTTTTCGACCTCCCCTCCCCCCTACCCTTTCCATTTCGCATCCCTCCTCCCCCCTCCCCATCTCGAATCGCTCCTCCCCTCCCCTTCGTTCCGAGCCCTTTACCCTCACCCTCACCCTCACCCTAACCCCCTACCCCCACCCCTCATCTCCCCCCCCCTTCCCACCTACCCTTTCCATCTCGCATCGCTCCACCCCCCTTCCCACCTACCCTCTCCCCTCCCCTCCCCTTCTAGCATGACGACGCGCGCGGCCGAGCTTACTAAGCGCGGCGGGGGTCAGTCGTCTAGTCGAAGGGGGTCGTAGAGGGGAGGGGGCTTACCTTCGGTGCGGTTACAGTCGGAGTCGACGGCGGGTAGGGTGGGGCGGGGAGGGTGGCGAAGGGTGGGTGGGGTGGGGTCCGTGCGAGGGTGGGGTCCGTGCGAGGGTGGGGCTTGAAGTCCGCACGAAGGGTGGGGTCCTCGCAAGGGGTGTGCGGGGTCCGCGCGAGGGGTGGGGTGGGGTCCGGAGTCGGCGAGGGCGGGGGCGGAGTCGGCGAGGGTAGTTGTCGTGGGGTCGCGGAGGTGGTCCAGTAGGCCCCTCGTTCGTAGTCGCGTAGTCCCCCTCGCACGTAGTCACGTAGATAGCCCTGCAATACAACATCAGTAATCCCTTCGTAGCCGGGCGAGGGAGCGAGATAGTGACTGACCGAGTGGGAGGAGATTAGTGACAGACAGACCGAGGTGGGGGACCCGGGAGGGGCGAGTCGGCGAGGGAGGGGAGGGTCAGTAAAGTAGCTAATGGGCCGGGTCAGCAACGTAGCTAATAGGCCGGGTCAGTAAAGTAGAAGGCAGGCCGAGATCGGCATCGGTACACCGCGCGAGATCAGCACACCGCGCGAGATCAGTACACTACACCGCGCGAGATCAGTAAACTACACTACGCGAGATCAATAGTTACTGCCTCGAAGTAAGTAAAAGTAGGAGATCAGTAAACCGACTCAAAGTCGAACATCAATAAACCGACTCGAAGTCGAACATCAGTAAACCGACTCGAAGTCGAAGTCGAAAGATCACTACGACCACTAACCCACCATCACTAAAACCACTACCCATCATCACTAAAACCGCTACCCACCATCACTAAACTCGCCCACCCCCAAACGAGTCAGCAAAAATTCCCCAACCCGGCCCGCAAGATCGAACGGCAGCGGGCTCTCGCTCGGGTGCGACGAGGGGTGAGTGGGAGGTGTAGGTGAGGGGGAGGAACAGGGTAGTGAGTGCGTAGGAATAGACAGTCTACTGAACCTTGATGCGCCGAGTACCAAGCCTCGGAGCGCAGTCAACCGAGCTTCGGAGCGCCGTGTACTGGACCTCAAAGCGCGGTCTCCTGGACCTCAAAGCGCGGTCTACTGGACCTCAAAGCGCAGCCTACTAGGACAAAAGACGATCAGTAATCGCCCTGGAAGTGCCAGGGGGAAGTGCACTCACCAAAAAACACAATGGGGAGTTTGCATTCAAGAGTAAAGACTGGGAAAAACAGTCAGCGTGGGCATAGGTGAGGGGGGAGGGAGGACGGTGAGGAAGGGAGGACGGGGAGGAGGGAGGGAGGACGGACCTAGGGTAGGTGTATAGGGAATAATAAGCGAGTAGATGAACTGGCAAGCGAAGCGTCAGTAAGGACACATAGGAGGCGAAGCGTCAGTAAGGACACATAGGAAACGAGGCAGAGCGCGGCGCTTACCGAGTACTAGTAAAGACAAGGAAAAAGTAAAGACCCCTGCAAAGCACGTCAGTTACAGAGAGAAGGAGGGGTTGGATCAGACGTACGTACCTCGGCCATGACATAGTATCACTAACTGAAGAAGCGGAGGAAAGGTATGATAGGAGGGGAGGGGTAGGAGGGAGAGGAGCCTGACCTCCGCTTTCCCCTCGCCCTGACTCTTATACTCATCCCCACCACCCGACCCGAGCAGCAGCCCCGCACTGCCGCCGACCCGAGCAGGCGCGGTCGATTATCCGTGTACGTGAGCGCGGAAGATTCGGGGAGGGCGCCTTCGTGCAACCTTCCCTCCCTCGATGCGGCTCCGCCGTCGATGCGCGCCCGCGTCGCACGTCAAGCACACACTAGAAACGAAACGAAAGCTTGCATCAAGCAGCTCCTAACTCCGGAATGTGGCGCACCCCGCGCCGCGGACGAGGGTCAGTGCGGGCACGGTGTTGAGTGTGCTTGTGTGTATGGCGCGAGTTCTCCGGCCGGTGCGCAGTTGGAGGCGCCTTCTATTAGTTCACAACGTCGTGTCAGACCCGCCCGCGACCCGAGAAAATCGTTCCCGCGGCCAAAATCCAACACCGCGCTCCCAACCCCGTGACCTCGGCGCAAAGTCCTTTTCGGGCAGGCCTTGAGCGCCGCGAAGGCAGCGCGCGCGTCGACTGCCCGTGCCCTGCGCTAAGCTCGCGGAAATTTCAGAAAACATTCAACGAGGTCCAGAGCACGTGCTTCCAGCAAGAATCAGAGCCCAGAACACACGCCAAACGCACCCTTTCGCGGAGGGAGGCAATCTTCAGCATGCCGTCTTTGACTCTACTCGAGTGCGACGGCAGCGCAGCGTCCGCTGCGCCACACGAGCTAGTGCAGCACGTGTTCGGCTCGCGGGTGACAGCGGATGGGGGCGAAGATTGGGAGGAGGAGAGTGGAAGATTGGGGGAAGGGTAGAATTGATTCGGGCGCGTTCCTTTGCGCTGGAGAGCGTATTCAGCCGACAAGCGCGGTGAATCGAGGCCAAGATGACGTTGCGGAAAATTTTGAGTCGAAGGCGGAGCGGGCCGCGGAGGATTACCGCCTCGGATGCGCTGAGTGTTGAAGTTGTTCTTTGCGCGTCTTGTACCGCGCAACGCTGTACTCAGCGCCTTGTTATGAGCTAAGTGTTATCCTTGAGTGATTTGTGTAATCTTCGAAATCCGGCGCCCGCCAGACAAGCGCCCAGGAGCTTCAGGTAGGTCGCCCGAGTTCGCGTGGCTCGGGATTTACCCAATTGGGAAGGCCTTGAGTACGCAAAAGGCAGCGCGCCGCAGGCGCGCGCTGAGCTCGTCGAACCCCCGCCGACAGGGCTCGCGATCCCTGAAAAATTCATCTCCGAGATCCCCGCGCCACCGAGCGTGTATTCCGGGTGTTCTTGCGTTGCATGCGCAATGGGAATGTATTTGAACTGCAAGCGACATCGTGCCCGCAGCTCTGGGAGGGCAGCGTGCATCTCCGCGCCTCCGCTGAAGCTTCCGCGCCTGTATCCGAGTACGTGTGAGCTTAGCGTACTCGGGGTGACAGCAGAAACGCACCTGGAAGGGCGGAAGATGCGCAGCTCCAGGAGGTTCGTTTTGCACAAGTGTGGGATTGCGAGCTTGCCGTACGTCGCGCGGGCGGCGTGACAGCATCCGCGGCCTCATTTCATCCGATGGAATCGCTGCTGAAGATTTGGAACGATGGCGCGGAAGATTCGGCATAGGGCGATGCGGGAGGTGACGAGGAGGGGGTGGTCAAGAACACCGCGCGCAGACGTCGAGAGCTCACCAAACGTCCTGAATGTCATGTGTACCTGCACCAAATCATGTTTGTATGCTCACGTCGCCGATATTCGCCCGGAAGGAGGCGCAGTAGGCGGCCCAAAAGCGACGCCACATATTCAAATCACCCTTGTTTGCGCTATGGCACTCTATCCGCGGCGCGGAGGACGGGGGTTGATATACAAAACCTGCTCAGAATCGACATCCGCATCGATTTTGTTCGGGAGGTCTTTTTGGGTGGGTGCGCAAGAAATGGAGGAGAAGACGTCGAGTTCTGCATGCAAAGCAGCTCGACGTTCCGAAACGATAAGTCAGAACGGAGATCTCGCCCATCGCAACTTTGGGACCGCATTCTGAAGAGATGGGAAGCATTCTTTGATGGTATAGGACCCATCGCTGGGGCGCATCTCATGTGCTGCGGCCTTGACGACGTTGGGGAGCGTCACTTGCGACCTTTTCGTGAGTTGAGGCAGGCCGGGAGATCCCCTCGAGTTCGTAGCTCGTAGATGAGTGCAGTCATGTATTGCGAGCAGTTTGGCGTTGTTTCCGAGGCGGCGGACGGCCGTGATGCATGAGAGTCGAGGTCAAGGTGCAGAACGCGGGCGCTCGGACAGGGCGGTCCGACTCCCGGTCCCTGATTGGCGGCGCCACAATTGCCGTCCGTCTTGTCCGCAACCATCACTATCAACGTCGGCGAGTATCCGCGGGCACTGAGAGGTCCCTTGACCTTTGTATTCCACTTCTATGACACGAAAACACATCAAACCCTGGTTCACCCAGCCCAAGGCAGCCACGCTCATCGAGTCCAACCTAAACTCAAGTGACGTGCACTCCGACAAGAATACCCGGTCCCGAGGGCGTGCTGAGATCTACGCTACCGTCACCGCGACTATATCGGCCTTCTAGCGCTGTTCCTAGCGAAGTCGTCAATTACGGCGGCTATTGAGCCCATTTCGGCAAGCCTTCACGAGCTCGACCGCCCTGCCTCATTCTCTCAAATCGCGGGCCTTTTCAGTAGTTCCCGGTGAATCGGGCGCTTGTTTCTCATTGTATCGCATGACTGCAATCGAGAATGCGAGAATACTGACGTTGGCAGTGTGCACTTGCCGCCAGAACAGGCAAACTCAGCGCGATGAGACGTGCGAGGGCAGCGCTCTCGCATCGCATTTCCGCCGCCGCGAGTAAGCTAACTCTTACGTGTCGTAATAGGTTTCCTAAGGCCGCGGAAGAGCGTCGAAAATGGACGAGTGGGAGATGGAAGATCCAGGCGAGTAGGTGAGTATCTCCATCCGTCGACGGTGCGGCTCGCGCTTCCGGTGAGCGCGGCATTCCTCGAGGAAGCTAAGCCGCTCGCCTCGCTTTCAGGGCGCCGAGGTTGGAGTACCAAGCATGCAGGGACGGGTTGCAGGTGACCTGCGAGTCGGATCGCGGGTCAGGCGGCGTGAATTCGGTATGTACAATCCCTCTTCATATGTCAGCAGCTCGAACTGACTCGGCAGTGTGTTAAGCAGCGCGGGCAGCAGCTGTATGTCCCCGCTTCCAGCAGAGGCAGCACGTGGGAAAGGCCCCCAAAAGCATAACCCTCAATAAAGTTGAACGGAAGCGAAGGGGGAGGGCATGCGGCGCTGCCAATTGCAACGTCGGCGGATGTCGTACGTCCGAAATTTTCGCTTACGGCGTGGCCTTATATGCTCGGCCGCGATCAAGGTCGAAAGTGTTTTCCCTCCTCTCGCGTCCCCGCGCTACCGTCCACTCCCCGCAGCCTCGTTCTCGCCCTCGCCCTCGCCCTCGCCCTCGCTCTCCTCCTCCGCTTTCACTCATCGTTGTATTCAACCTACTGGGCACTCGCACGACGAGCTGGTGAGTGGGTGTATCATGTCCTTGTTGCCTTCCACCAACGGTTCCCCCTCCAGCACCCTTCGCGTTTGGTGGTCGACGGCCGGCAAGCGCGAGACGTGCGAGCATCACCCTGGCGTCGCCAGGTACGTGCTTTGTCCTTCTCGACACGATCCTGAAGCTAACAACTTGCTTACTTTTAGGCCCATTTTCCGTCGACATTCATGACGGCAAAATGCGCATTTCGACGTCAATCGCGCCGAGGCCCGCGCGGGAATTCCTCGCCGAGCACTGCGACATGACCGACGTCGGGAGGGGGGCACGGGCGGCGCGACGGCGCGAAGCGCCGTCACAAACGCTCAGGCTCATTCACATGGTGCGTTAATTGGTCGTGTTCGACCCCATTTCCTGACGCTTTTTCAGGTATTCTGCGCGCGCTTTCAGATGCAAAACTTTTGCATTTTGACGCGAAATGCGCCGCGGGCCGCGCGGGAGTCTCTAGCAGAACGCCGCGAGCTCAGCAACGCGAGGGAGGGGGCACGAACTCGGCGGCGGCGGCGGCGCGGAGCGCCGCCTTCTCTCCGCGCCGCCTTCTTCGCGTCGTGCAAGGCCCTGAGGTGCGTTTCGTGTCCCTCGCTACCTCCATTTCCTGACGATTTGGAAGCGGTTTTAGGCGCGCCTCCAGACGCAAAATTGGCGCATTCTGACGTCAAATGCGCTGAGGTCCGCGCGGGAATCCCTAGCGGACCGTTGCGAGTGGCTCAGCGTGGGGGAGGGGGCGGAGGAGGGGCGGCGCGAGTCTCACGGAGTTCGAGGTGCGTGTTCCCTAGTATCTCAGCACTCAATTACTGACGCTTTTCTGCAGGTTTTCTGCGCCCTTCAGAACGCAAGAACGTCGCGCCTCGCCGTCAAAAACGCCGAGCTTCGCGCGGGGCCCCCTGGCGAAGCGATGCGGTCTTGACTGGGAGGAGGAGGGGCGGCACGCGCGCGAGCGCCGCCCTTCACCCTTCTCACTTCCGGCATTCTGGCTGGGCGTTATGGACGACTTGTCGCCCGGCGCGCACGGGTGAGCGCATCTACTCATCCTTCGCATCCTTTCGCTAACTCTTTTTCAGACCGCCCTCGCACCTTTAGTGGCCCTCGCGCCACGTCCGGCGGAGGACAAGTCATCGCAACCCATCCCCCTACGCGATGGGTATATATATTTTCGTCCGGCGAGCAGAGGTGAGCGCAGCCCCATCTCCTCTCCCCCCTACCGCTCCTTCTCGTTCGCACCTCTCCCTCCTCCTCCTCCCCCCACCGCTCCCCCCCCCTCCCCTTCCCCCTTCGTCCTTCCTCCTCGTTCTCACGAGTTAGACCTTGACTTGACCATTTCTCACGGCCCCCTTCGCTCGTGCATTGTACCCTTCACTGACCCTTTCCCAGGATTATCCCTGTGCTTCCGAAGGCGTTTTCGTCCCGCCACCAGTCCGTCCTTCGACCCTGACCCCCTTCCTTCGCTCTCCCCTCCCCCGAGCGAGGGTAAGGGCACCCCCTGCACCTCCCTCTTGTGTAGACAGCCTCTTCTTTATCATGACCTGCCCCCATGCAATTACCGAATTTGTTGACCACGTAGTGTACTTGTACTCGACTTGTCCTCGTTTACAAATGCAATAAAAGATCCTGTTTGTGATGGTCTCAACTGAAGTGCTTGCCTTAAGACCCTTGACTCGAACTTGCCGAACTCATTTGTGGCAAAGTGATTATATTGCAGCTACCCTACGTACAGGTGGGGAACGTGGTGTAATAAGGGGCGGGTGGCGCAGCGCCACCAAAGGTTAGCAAGGGCAAAGCGGGGGAGGAGGGGAGAGGGAGGGCAGTGGAGGGCGGCGAGGGGGGCGCAGCGACAAGGAAAACGAGATGCAGACAGATACGCACCACCCGCACCCACCCGCCAAGTCTGAGCGCGAACGGAGCACGCCGCCGAGCAGAACAGAGGCGGTTCAGCGCATACCCCAGCCCGGCGATATGGTCACATAGCACCCGTCCGCGTCGGACTGCCAAACCGCCCTCCGCTGACTGAGAATGCGGAATAGACCGCGCCCGTCCCCTCCGCCGGCCTGCGTCTATAAACAAGAAGTGGCCGGCGACGTTTTGCGCGTCGAACGCGCCCACTCCCGCGTCGCTGCGAGCAGAAACCAGAATCGTCACGTGACCCAGACGACGAACTTGCCTTTACTCCCCCCACCGTCACTCCATCCGAAAGGGAAGGGTACACGCGCGAGCTGTGACCCGCCACCCGCGCCGCATCTCGAGCTTGTGCGATTCTTGGGTGATGGATCGCGGGCCGGCTGGTTGAGCATAGGGAGGACGGAGCACGGGAAGGACGGAGCACAGGAAGGATGGGCGAGGGCAGCCCACTCACTCTTGCTCTCCGTCGTCTGCGGGTAGCCAAAGTCCATGACCTCGTCGAGCAGCTCGTAGATGATGACAAAGTTGTCCCGGATCGACTCCTCCTCGAGCTCCTTGAAGTACTCGACGAGCACCTGCGAGAGGCGGTGGAGGAAGAGGATGATCTCGGCCGCATTGGAGTTGCGCTTGGAGAGGGCGAGGACTGGGGGTGGGGTTCGTTAGCGGGTGTTCAGGATGGGTGTGTGGCGCGTAGGACGTCGGGGAGAAACAGGAGGGGGCGGGGTCGACAGTAGGAGGAGGAGTCGTGAGGATGGTTGATACCAAGCAGCAAAGGCGGACACGCGCCTCGTCCAGACCATCAGATCTCCCCTTGCCTTACCACCTCATCCTCCCCCGTCCCACCGTGTCTCCAGCCTCCCTCTGCCCGGTACGCAGCCCGCCAAACACTCACGATAGAGATTCGAATGTCGGATGTGCATGTAGTTGATGCCCTGCGCAGAGATGCACGGCGTTACCTGCTGGCCTTCCTCCTCAAGGTCGAGCACCAGCGGGAGGAAGCGCTCGACGTAAGACGCGGGCACGTCGTCGCGATACGAGCGCTGGATGAGGGGCTTCCCTTTGAGGTCGAGTATCGCGATGAGGCTGGCCATCGCGGCGGGAGACAACAGGCTGATGGGCGCATGCGTGCCGACGATCGCGTCTTTCAGATGTCATTGTCACTGCTTGCCTTCGCCCATCTCTACTGCCACATCGACGGATGTTGCACACACACAGATACATAACCCTCGGTAAGCAAATCAGCGGGTAACATATTATTATTACTAGGTCATGCACAGTGCTCCCGACTGCGGCTGTTGAGCGACCTCGTCGTTTGGGCAAGCCACACCGGCAAAGAAACCATCGGCGTCCACGCGCACGGCCGCAGCGTCCACCACATCTACCCACGATCCCTTTTTGGCGTCGAAATAGCGCCACCGTGGCTTCAACTCGCCACTACAATCAACGCCCTTCTGCTTCAACAGATACCGGATGCCATTGCCCTCGCTCAGCGTGGTCATGTGTCGTACCCACTCCTCGTCCGTCCACACGATCTCCGCGTTGCGCACGCCCGCGCAGCCGAAATCCAGGATGACGCCGCGCCCGCCGGATGTGACCAGCACGTTGCCCGCGTTCAGGTCGTCGTGGAAGACGCCGTGGGCGGCGAAGCTGTCGACGGCGCGCACGAGCGCATCGCATACGGCCGGCGTCAACAGCTCCAACGGCGCCTGGCGGAGGGTGACGCCGTCGATGTATTCCAGCACGAGCGCGTGCGGCACGTATGCGCGCTCGTCAGGCGGGATGAAGCGGCCCTCGGCGAGCAGGCGCGGGATAGCGCCGCCCTGGAGGCCGCGCAGATTTTCGTACGCCGCACGCTCGTACCAGAATGATTCTTCCATGAGGTGGCGCAGGTGCGCCTCCCAGATCGCCGCGCGCTCGAACTGGCCAGCAGGGTCGTCCGCCGATGGCTCGGGGCGATAGATTGCATTGGAGTCGAATGTGGCTGGCGCGGCGCGCTCGGCGGCGAGAGACCACGGATGGGGAGGCCTCGACCGTCCATACGTGCTCTCGCGCCCGTTGCGGTCGTTGATGAAGCGAGGGTCGTATATCTTGAGCACCACCGGGCTAGGGCCAAATTGATCGCAGCGCGCGACGACCACGACGCTCTTGGTGACCGGGGTGAATAGGCGGTCAACGGTGAAATCGAGGCGTCGGCCGTCGTTGATGTCCAAGGTGAGAACGCGCCCGGGGGCGAACATAGCAGGCGATTCCTCGGCCATTGAGCTTGTGAGGAGAAAGGGAAAGTCAAAAGGGGCAGACGAAGCAGACGATATCCCCATAGGGTGATTACGTCATACTGCTCTAGTTGGTAGTAGGCTGTAGTACGTCGATCGAGTTCAGTTTGAGTACCTACCAAGGGGTCAAAGGTTAGTTGGGATACACCTGACCCCACCATGGATACTTGCTGTGATACCTTTGGACGTCACTGCTGTCTATCGTCCTCTTTTAGAACCTCAGTGCCGGCGAAGAATCTTGAGACACGTATGAATGCTGCAAATTTCTTCCAGATCCCATACGAAGAGCGAACCTATATGCCGGGATGCCAGCAGTGAATATATGGACATCATTGTCCCCTGTGTTTGGACGCCGAACCAGAAGGATATACACGACTGGGAACAACATCCATAAAAGGACTGACAATGAAAGCCACGGGTCGAAGGTCCGGACAGTCGACGACGTTGTCTACCTAGTCAACCCACGCATGACTACCGTGTCGGTCTGTCTTAAGGTCACGCAAGACGGCTTCTCCGTACTTGATGCACGCCGCCCTCTCCCACAATCCGACACCGCAGGAAGTCATGCCGTGCACGCTGTAGGTATTGGACAATTGAATGTTTACCTATTTGCTCACAAAACTCTACGAGCGAAGGAGGGAAGTGGCATCGCGATAGTGATTTTGGCTGGGTCACCTACTGCGACTTCGAACGGTCATACCCTTACTCAGGATGCTGATTCGAGAGCTCGGACGGAGTCGGGAAGGGTGGAGTATATCATAGTGATGACCACTATCCCTACAGCTAACGATCCAGGTTCCCTCTGAAGAACAGGTCAGACGACGGATGCACCTAGCCAACGAGCGCACACACCTGTTGTTCATTGCCGCCTCATGCTGCAACCTCTTCTTCTCCAGCGCGGAGCTGTCCCCGTTGATGACCTTGATGATCGCCTTCGCCAGGCGCTGGTCAAAGTGCCGCCCGGGCACCGTCTTCAGGCTGTCCTCCACAATCCACTTGATCGCCTGCTTCGTCCGCTGCCGCTCGTTCAGCGGGCGCGGGCGCATGACGACCTTCGTCCCGCGCAGGAGCCGGTCGCTCACGAGCTTGCACGCGGGCGCGGCGAGCTCGACCGCGCGGCGCAGGAGCGGCAGCGCGGGCGCGCGCGTCATCGCGTGCAGGTGCAGCATCGCGCGCGAGACGGTGCGCGAGGCGCGCGCGCGGTGCCCGTGGCTGAGGATCGTCGACGCGAAGAGGTGCAGCAGCGGGTCCTGCGCGGGGGGGATGTTCATGAGCGGCGGCTGGTTCGCGGCGGCGGCGTCCTCGGGGAGGTCCGCGAAGGACGCGAACGCGGGCGTCTCGGGCGGGGGCGGCGGCGCGTCGGTCAGGCTGGGCACGGGCGGCGCGGAGGGCTGGGCGGCGGCGCGGCTGCTGGCGAGGACGGCGCGGAAGGCGTCCCTGGGGTTGCGGGGCTTCGTGCGCTTGCTTGCGCGGAGAGCACCTGGGAGGGCACTCGGCTCGCCGTTCTGCGTGCCGCCAAGGGCATCCTGCCCGGTCGTCGTAGGTCCAGAGGTGACGGTGCGCACGAAGCGCGGGGCGGCACGTAGTGCCTGATGGCGCAGCGGTGACAGCATTCTCAGCTTTACACCGCCCTGTCGCGTCCGCGGAGGGCTTTGTCTGGTCAGACGAGAATGTCTTCCTCGTCGTTGTCGTCGACGTCGACGGTCGGCGGATGAAGGCGTAAAAATGTGGCTGTGCTTTTCGCCCTACGGTCCGAATCGCCGGGCGCTTATTTGTCTGCGCCTGCCCCGCGACTATTCCAAGTTCTTCATATCCAATTTTGCCAGCTTGCCTGTAACAGGACATGCCGAAATTCCCTCAGACACAGCACAATATAGGTACAAAATCAGAACTAAAAGCATCAAGTCCGAAACGACAACACTTTCAACATGGGTAACATAGGCGTGCGGCAGGACCGCAGGGTGCTCGCTAGGAAACCTACTCCGTAGGTCGAGCAATGTGCAGCGGCAAATGCCGAAAGAACGTGCTGTGAATGTGACGTCATCGCTCGCTGCCCCAAAGCCAGGCGTTGCCTAGCGCGAAGGTGCACGAGCGATGTTGGACAAGAGCTATCCTACGTATGTCGCTCAAATTCGAGAAGACGGTGGTGATGGGTGAAAGGAAGGGGTCCGGCTTTAAAGCGAAGCGAAAGAGCGAGATTCGAACGCGAAACGGCGGCTTTGGGGGTCGGATACAAAAAGTCGAGCGCTCGGGACGAAACTTTGGTGAGTTAGGAATGTATATGAGTAACTCATCCTTTATCCCCAGAATCCCGCCACTTTTTGGTACAAGACTAAACGCTGCAACCAATCATGATTACGTCCGTCAGGCACGCGTCCAAACCGGGCCTCTCTCATCAAGGGGGATCGCTCCCGTGGTTCTTTCGATACTTTCTTTTCTTCCTGGTGCTTACCATCCTTTCTCCTCGAGTACCTTTCTCTTCCCTGCTGCCCAACTGCCCACCACGCTTTTCGCAGGTGCGGGCGGCCATTCTTCCTTACGACGCCGTGCTTACTCATGTCCGAGAGTTCGCGGGCAGATGCGTGCTTTTTGTGACGTCAGCAGATCTATTGCCGTCATCGGCGATCCAGGCCCACGTTTCCCTTGGTGGGTCCCGGTTTGTTTGTGTTTTCAGAACATCAGGCACGGAGCGCGCGCGTATGCATCAACGTCGTCGATCTCTCAGAGTAGTACACGCAGCAAGCTATCCTACATGTCCTTCGTCAATACAGTCAGATGGTCGATCAGCTCCTGAATGTGCGCTCCGTGCTCGGAGACGGCCTTGAAGAGTTCTGCGCCGTTGATGGCGTTCGAGCGGTAGTACGTGACGACCTTGTTCTCGGGGCAGTTCTCATGGGGGCAGTAAGGGCCACGGTGGTGATGACAGTCGGCCTTGGGCTTAGAGTACTGGGCGCCACAGTTGGGGCATAGGTCCTTCACGCAGATTGTGCAGACCGGCTGCTTGCACGGGTATGCGAAGCCTTCAGCCATCCGGCCGCACCCGCAGGCCAGGGTAAGCTCCTTCGCGCTTTGCTGTGCGCAGCGTTAGCATCAGAGAGTCATTGAGAGACAGGTGCGTACGATGGTTTGGAGAGCAGGCACGAGCTGGGCGCCGAGAACGCGGGCAATGCGGAGGGCGGAGGCGGTGTTCTGGAGAATGTTAGAGAGCGGAAGGTAGAGAGACGAAGGTAGGGAGCGCACGTTTGTTGAGGAGCTCATGATGAGTATGGTTGGCGATGGAGTGAAAGGCGCAGAGGCCGACTTTTATACTTGCGGTTGAGGCTCCGGCACCGGTGTCGTCTTTCAACCATGAGTGTGGGATTGACTGCAAGCAAGTACCTTCGTTTGAATGAAGATATCTCAGGTGAGCACAGTGCCGGTGTCAGCTGAGGCGTTTGCTGGGGCGATTACGACGAACACGAGTTGAACATCGAGCATAGCGTTGCATGTTCCCTTGATGACTTTGGAAAAGCGAATAGAGTGGTGGTTCAGGGTTAAGGAATGCCGAGATAGAGCAGGGTGGTCAGAGGGCGATGTCAGATATGGACGCCAGGCAGTCGGTACCGCAGCGAGCGTTGCCTGCGCGGCGCAGGCGAGGAACGAGTGTAGCCTTGCATGTTCTCTCGGTGATTCTCAGGAGGTGACTGTTGTCTGGTTCTTAGGGTCGAGGGTTGGCGCAGAGGGCGTACATTTGGGTAGGTGACGGACGATGTCGAGACCACGCCAAGTTTTCGGTATTGCAAGAAGCGCTACCAGAGCGGCGTCTAAGGTACGTTTCTTCAGCGCTCCGTCGACGAAGAGGCTGATTAGATGGGAACATCGATGGGCGGCTACTTGAGTGTCGCCGGTTTGCAAGCGGGTGAGTGCCAGGGGTTGTAAGGGCGAGAGGGGAGCAGCGTGTGGCCGGTTCGTTCCCGGCTGCCATAAAGGTCGGCAACATCCGAGAGCCGCGTGCGCGGCTTCCTCTTTTGTCGTGGTTTCTCCCACGCACTTGCCTCCCGCCGTCTTCCCTTCCCCCTATGACTGATCGAAGTAAGTTCCCCATCCTGGTTTACTCTCAGCTAACTTCATGTAGGATCTTTACCGTTTGAGCTCGAGGGTGCGATTATGCGCTTCTGTGACCGCCAGTCTCTCGCACTTCTGATGCGCGTTTCTCCCGACTTTTTGGAACGCGCGAGACCTCTCTTCTACGAGGTCTTGTGCTTCACGCATCCTTTGGATGTCGTCCACTTATCCGGGACTCCATTGGCGCTGTCCTTTGTGCGCGTTCTTACAGCACACCTGGGTGCAGAGCTACTTCAGTTGCCGGCTCTTCCCAACCTTCAAACCCTCTCATGGACGCACGACGCATGGCCAGGTCATGAGAAACCTCTCAACGCTCGGTCTGTACGTGCTTTCCTGCCACGCTTTCAAAGTCTTCGTCATCTCGCGCTGTCGTTGTCGCTCCTGACCGTCCCCAAATTGGACTTCGTCTTGGCGCCTATTTCGGCACGCTTGCTGTCTTTGAAGGTGGTCTGCGTCGTCCACGGTCCTATGGATCACTGTCGAGCTCGCCCAAGGAGCTGTTTCTCTAATCTCCGCGTCCTATTCGTCGACGATCCCCGATACGGGGAACTCAGCGGATCGGTGTTCTCGTGTCTCACACGCGGAAACCGCTGTCTGCAGACGATCCGCTTCCCTCGAGACACGACGTGGGCATCGATCAAGACTGCTCTGTGGCATTCCCCTCCTTCTGTCTCTTCTTTGGAGTTTGAAGGCTGTCTACCGCTTGTGCGGTTAGCCCCCACGTACGGTGCGTGTTCGTATGCCCGATCCTTACACTGGTGTAACCTTCTTCAGACACCTCCCAGTGGTTCCGCCTTCGGTCCCTGTCTTTTCGTGTCGCACTGGAACCGCATCAAAGCCTGCGAGTTTGGAGCGAGACGTCAGAGTTTTTCGATCTGGTTTATGGCGTGCCTTTGGCCCCATCATTGACAGCGGTTACCGTGACAATCGACGGGCGTCGCGCCTCCTGGGACATGGTCACCGATGGAGGTGGTCCCTTATTCGATATGAATGGTCACGGCGGCGCTCTCGATTGGCATTCTTGGTTTGCGGCGCTCGGTGGCCGGTGCACTCTCCACCTCAATGTCTATACATCAGCTGAAGAGGGCACCTCCGCATTCAGCGCCATCACTTTAGGAGTGGCCCGGACTGTTCCTTTCCCTCACACGGCGGTGGTTTTCGCCAACCGGCCAGGTTCGCTTCCACCATCGTAGACACAATTGCGTCTGTTTCACCACCATAATCTATTTTTTATCCTTTCTCTCACTGTCTCTGGGACGTTGAGCCTCAGTCGTCGTCTTCGAGACTGTCTCTGACATATCCAGGTGCGTAGCAGTTGCGTTAGCGTTCACCTTAAAAGGCGCCGGAGCTTCTCACATTCGCAAGCGTCTTTCTTGGTGATTAAGTAAGTGCAATCTCGTCTCTCATACGCGTGACTCACAACTGTCCCTAGTGGCCGTCCTATCGCGATTGCGGAGTGCAGACGTGCTGCGGCCCAAAGTCCACGTCGAGCTCTTCGACGTCATCGTCTCTTTCTGCGACCGCAACACCCTTCTCGCTCTGGTTTGCTCAGCGCAACACTTCCATTATCTGCTCCGCCGTTTCTACGACACTGTACACATTTGGACACCGCAGGATGCGCTTACTCTGGACGACCGCAAGGACGTCGCTGAGTTTGTTCACGAGTTGATCGTGCACACGTACCGCCTTCCTTGCTACCTGTCGGGTTTCGACAACCTTCACACTCTGGAGTGGTGTCCACCCCCCAATGTCCCTTTATACGATGTCCGTAGACGTCTCCCTCCCTTCCTCCGCCTTTTTTCAGGTCTTCGCCATCTTCGTCTGGCTTACAAGACCTTTGGTCTTCGCGAGCTGGATGTTGCATTGCGGGACTGCAGCGCGAACCTTGTTTCATTAGCCGTCTCATTCAAGGTGTTCGCACCTTACGCCTCGATGCAAGGAACGTCTTCAACCTTTCCTGCGCTACGCGAGCTTACTGTGCGTCATTGCCTCGCCGAGGATTACTCGCACTTTACGACGGACTATTTCCGCGCTCATGCGCGCGGCCTGGAGATTCTAGACATCCCACAAGGTCTGACCTGGTCGGCGCTTGACGGATTGCTGTCTCATTCGCCGCCGATGTTGAAGGAGCTGCGCCTAGGCCCAGTCCCTGCTGTAGATCCGCCCCTTCCTTGGGCCTTAGGTTCGTGTTAGTTTTTATCCATGCACAGCACTACTCATCGTCGTATAGGTCCTTCCGGGCAGAGGTCGCTTCGGCGTTTGCAAGTCGTGCAGTTCACCATGCGCCGCGTGCACGACGACGGACGACGGGAATGGCGACGATTGGCGACCTTTCTACGCACGGAAAGGACGAGAGGGAATCTTCTCAGCTTGAGGACCGTCCGGGTTTGCGTTCTAGCGACGGCGATGGAGCGGATCACTGGAGTTAACTGGTGCTTGACTCTCTTCAGTGCTGTACAGGAGTCCGACAGCGTGCGTTGGGACACCTGGGCTTCTGACGTGCTAGGTGATTCGGTCAGTCTGGATATCGTTTTTGTCGTCGACTTTGACGTGGACGGCGAGCACGCGATTGCCCTCCGACGCACTGTTCTTCATCATCTTCAGGTCGTACCTCCCGAGCGATTGACTCTACGTATCGTCGGTGACACTGATTAACTGTCTCCTACACGTGTCTGTACTGCAATGCGAGACATTCTTTTTATACACTTGCGAAGTGTCTCAATGAGACTGAGGATAAAAGTGCGCTTTTTTGCTCACCTCTTCTAACCCCTTTTCCCCCGTACACTCATCAGTACGTCCGCCTTCCTCTTGCTCTCGCTTCTACTGACTGCGTCTCAGTGCAGCGCTCCCCATCTTCGCAGCCTATTCCTTTGGAGATTCAGCACCTTGTTGCGGACAGCGCCGATCGCCCTACTTTGGCGTCTCTCATGCGGGTTACGAAGGCTTTGCATAGGGACATTTCCCCCCTCTTCTTCCGCACGCTGGTCATTCGCTCTTTGTCGCAAGCGAAGGAGTTGAAGGCCCGACCGAGTCTTGGCAAGCACATCCTCTCACTCGACGTTCATCTGTACCTTCCTCCTGAATCTTTGCCTCCCCTTCCCAACGTGCGCTCCCTTTATTGGAGGTTCAATCGTCGGGGGGTCGACGCTGGCATGACTCCAGAGCATGCGGCTACTTTTCTCCAGCAGTTTCCTCAACTCCAGTCTCTCCGACTCGACTGCGACTTCTGCGACACCGCAGAGCTCGACGTCGCTCTCCGGCATGTGAGCCGTCAGATAACCTCACTCGAGATCACCTTTTCCTCGGTGTTCTTTGACACCGAGAGCATTTCCTCACCTTCGTCCGTGTACCACCAGCTTCGCACGCTCAATCTCGCGGATGGTCGGTACTGCAACGTGGGCGCATTTGTGGAAAAGTACATTTCCCCATCTGCTCCTCATCTCTCTCGTCTGCGAATCCCGCGCTATTGCGACTGGGATGGATTGTGCGGCGCTCTGCGTGCGGTGGCGTCGTCTTTGACCCACCTCGATGTCGAGTGGTTCAATGACATTCTCTTCTACGGTGCGGCATTCTCTTATTATACATTTCGTCGTTTCTGAACTGACCACTTTCTAGATACGCGGCCTATGCCCGTCTTCCCCCGCCTTTCCACCGTGCTGTTCGAAGTCCACAACGCCAACGACGAACTGCGTCAAGAATGGGACTTTATGCGAGACTTCATGCATGCTTTCCGGTATCGCGAGCAGCATAATCTGCAGCATCTCCACACCATCGCAATTACCGTGTACGCGCGAAATGCCGTGCCTTGCCTCCTCATTGGGGATTGGGAGTATGCGCTCTTCCGCGAGGGCGACGGTCCATCCGAGATTGACTGGGCGCGTTGGGCGACAGTTGTTTTGGGACAGTCTCGGGTACTGCGGTTGGAGATCCGCCCACCATTTGCTGCCAGTAGTCCCGAGATTCCGCGCCTTCGTGCGGGTATTCACAAGCATTTGTCACCATTGCTTCCGAACCGCCTTCACCTAACTATTATTCCTGCCTGAGTGATGCTGTATTGGAATATATTGAGACCTCGTGACAAGTTGAAGTAGCACGTGCGACCTCGGTGATTTCCGTTTTCGCTTCTGCCGCAGGTGATGTTTGACTGTATTGCCTCCGCCCTCTTACGCTCGCCTCAACACGTCTGTTCGAAGACTCTGTTTAGGAGCACCTCTCCCCGCACAGTAATGCATATGTACCTGCTCACTTGAGCTTGTTGAGTCCTTTTGACCTTGCATTCGCTCTCGCTCACTGGCTCGCACCTCTTTCCTTCGCAAGGGGGCGCTTTGCTGGACCACCCGGGTGCAGTTCACGTCCTGTCGTTCCCGCCCCTTCTGAGACAGACTAATCCAGCCCCGAACTCGCTAACCAGAATTCGTTTCCGTTCTTTTCCAGGCGCGCTCTTCGCGATCTCATCTGTTCTCCGGAGCGCCTAGACCGATGCCCACGTCCATCTACCCTCCTTATAAATGCGGAAAGGTCACCTTCTATGTCTATGTCCTTGACTCGCCATGTCATATTCCCCATCGCTTTGGAGTCTGTGAGTCCTTCATGTTTCTCTGTGGCGTCATGCTCATTGTTTGCCAGACCCGAGGACGTGGACAATGCTCTCTTGTCCGCTCTGTCGCCGCGGGAGCTCGCCCTCGTCGAGAGGACTTCGCGTGAGGGTCGGGACCGGGTCACAAGATATCGCCATCGCAGTTTCAATTTCGCGGAGGCCATCAAGAGATTCGTTCCCTTCGAACACCTCCTCGGTTTTCGACAAATGTTGCGAGTCACTGGTTCTGTGATATCGGGTTCGTTCGCTCTCGCTTTTATGGGTCGGTTCCCTTGGCATCCGAAGGATCTTGACTTGTACGTTGAACTCCGTCACGTCCTCGCTGTGCACGACTTTTTGCTGGGCTGCGGCTACCAATATCGGCCGCGGCCTACTCAACTTCGCTCTTTTTTGGATCAGTACGCACAGGTGGCGGCGCAACCGGAGCATCTGGACGGATATCCGCTTGCGTCTCTTCGCGCGGCATTCGACTTCGTCCAAGTCGGTGATCAATCCACCATCATCCAGCTCCTGGTGACGCCTGTTGCTGTCGTCGAGGTCATCCTTGGTTTCCATAGCAGTACGTGGCTCTACTCTCTTTAGGCGACATGCTTATTGTCTATTAGCTGCGGTGATGAACGTGATTACTCACGATACTGCGTATGCGCTCTACCCCGTAGAGACGTTTGAGCACCAGCGGTCTTTGAAGCTCAAGGCAGCTTCATACGACGACCGGGCAGCTGCCGCGTATGCGAAGTACCACGCCCGCGGCTGGCGCAACCTTGGCGCCGTCGGCCGGGATGAGGCGGGTGACTCGCATCGCGAGTTTGGACGGCGCCACCGCTTTGTTGGGGACGACATGACTTGGAAGATGAAGTTGTTCGTCTATCAGTGCGTTGGGTGCTCTCTTTCTTCGCTTGCTAGTTGCTTATCCTTGTGATAGGCAGGAAGTCCAAGGGTTCGACCATGTCCTTCACAGGTCATGGGCATTGACGTATACTCGCAAGAACGCCGTGCTAGCGGATTGCCCCCACATGCGCGCCAGAGTCTTTCGTTCACATCCAGTCTGCGACAATAGTCCCGACGTGACGGGCATGACGTTTGCTTGCCGATCCATTCGCGAAGAGTTTCGCCGTCGCGCTCGAGCGAACTGCTCAGGTCCCCTCTGGTGAGCGGTTCCTATCTGTCTCGTTCGTTGCGCTCAAACCGTTCGCAGGTGGGTCGAGAAGGACTGCGCGTTCATTGCGAAGGCGGTCTGCATAGAGTGGCCAACGCACTTTCGACAAGCGGCGGCGTGCAAGTCACTTCGTGAGTTACTTCATCCCTCGATTCGTGGCTTTTGTTCTGATATTTTTGCAATGGCAGTCGCTCGTACCGTACGTCGCTCTGAGCGTATACGGCGCATGTTGGAGGCGCGCGCGCGTAACTGATACTTAACTCGACTGCTAACACGTGCTTGTACGTTCTATATAGACGGTTATTACCTGTGCCTTTGCAGCGCACTCTGGCATGTCGCTTCAAACCAGACCGAACGTGAATCTCTTCTTAGGATTGTGCATGCGCTATCGACCGCGATAAGAAAGTCTAAGTATGTACTCTCCTGCATGTCACTTGTCAAAGGCGTCCTTCACCACTTCTTCTATCCTTCGAAGCGACATTTGAAGGTCGCGGACTTGTTCGATGAGTTCTCGGTTCTGGCTCAGTTAGAGGGAAAGTGGTTCAGTAAGCTAACACGCGCACCATAGCCTTCGTCGCCGCAAGGTCAGTTTTAAGGTCTGCAATGTGAGATGCGTAGTTGGACTTCGTCCTTTCCAGGACTCGATTCGCATGCTCGATGTCGCGTAGGTCCTTGTTCTGGACTGTTGTCTGTACAGCATCGGCGTCGTTCTTCGTCCCATCGCGCCCTCTAGGTGGAGCAGATAAATGTTCATCGACGTCTTCTTCCGGTTTGCGACGAGCGCCGAGGCTTCTGCGAGTGATTCGGTACGGTGGGGGTCCTGAGAGGTTCTATGAGCTGAAGAGGAGGTCTGCGCGCTCTCGTCGAAGTACCTCGTCCAGGGGTTATTCTCGCCGTCATCTTCTTCTCCTTGCGAGAGGGGTGCATGCCGGTTAAGTATGGCAGTGAGCCGCTCCCCTGTCGACGTATATGTGGTCCTACATGTTCCACTTTAGCGACAATTATAGCGCGCGATGTCTTGGTTAAGGGTTCTTACTTACGTCAGTCGCAAAGTACGGGAGGAATTCACCCATAGTTCTCGATATCTGACGTCCTTTCCCGGGGGCTCTCAGCGCTCGAATGGTCGGTGTGTACTTCTCGGTTGACTCTGCCATTGTTCTTGATGAGGAAATGATGATCCAAGGATGGATGAATCGCATGTCCGGCAACTGACGTCAGGGCTCAAGCGCCACGTGTGTGCCGTCGTCAACAACAACCGCCGTCTGCCGGGAGACCCCCGTGTTGAATACAATCATTAAGCTCCCGTCAACATAGAACTGGGGTTCAGATCATATCTCGTGTCCGGTGTCCCAATAGTTGGCGCTTAAGCGCGCTGTCGTTAACTTCGTTCTGACCTTCACCCTCTCGCTCTCAAACTCTCCCATGGCTTTTACCGTCCAGAACTGCTGCTTCTTGATCGCAGGTGCCGTTCTTGGGACGCTCCTTCGTGCTGCTTTGCCCCACCTTCTCAGGCTTTTCCCTTTCCGATCGCTGGCGTTTTTGGCGCGAGGCGTCAACCAGCGGTGTCGTCCAGGTGCTCGTCCTTGGGCGCCCCTCGAAGAGTTGCCGTTAGAGATCCTGGAGCAAGTCCTCTTTCACTGTCACGCAGACGATGTTGCTCGCGTCGCTTTGGCGAGCCCACGTCTTGCGTACCTGACACGGCGCTACCGGTGGAGTAAGGTGTCGGTGCAGGCAGGCGAGCCTTACTACAGTTTTAGAGAATGGAGTCTGCAAGCGGCGATGACGGGCACGCAAAGTGAGTTCAACGTCTACCGCAAGAACTAGCTTCTGACGCTTTGCGCAGGCTTGCGCTCCCTGCAGATTGTCATTCCAGGGCTGGACATCACCTTTCCCCTTTGCCGTGAGCTTTTCTACCTACTCCGATTCTTTTGGCTCACCCCCATTGTAGGAGAGCTTCGTCGGGACTTCAGTGACTTCGTCCGGCAGGTTGCTTTTCCCAGCCGTTGGTCGCCGGAGTCTCTTGCGTTTCTCGCAGTCGTCGCCGGGCTAGCGCCGGCGAGTGCTCACACTGTGGTCCTCGGCAGCAGCACGAACGAGCGCAGCTGGTGGTCGACCTTGCAGCGTGTCTGGGTGCCGTCTACGATGGACGCTATGATCGCTCGCGCGAGAGTCCTTCGGTTCGTGAACGCGACAAGAGGAGGGCTGCATTTCGCGCTGTCGAGGAGGGTTTCTGGCACTATCGTTCGCGTGTCCGAGGTCGTGCACACCGTCGAGATCAAGCACACAACGGACTCTCCGGAGTGGCACACGGGCGAAGACTGGTCCGATCTAGGGTGGGGCTCTGTCGCAGGTCCAGAGGCAGAAGTGGACACGCGGGTGAAGGCGAAGGCTCTTCACGTGGACATGGCGAACGGTGTTCTGCGTCTCTTGCAGCATCTGTATTTTCCTTGTCTTACTGTCCTTGTTTTCGACCTCGGTTACTTCCGTCAAGGCGAATGGGATGTCATCTCTCGCCTGCTGCGAGACAGCGCCTCCACCCTTACGGAGCTTGGGTTCTTTGTGAGCAGGCTCGGCAGTATGTGCTCTCGTCCGCATCGGTGATCTGATTCGATCTTCTGACAACCGTGTCTAGATTCGGGGCTAGCGGGGCATTGCTCCATTGACGACCTCCCCCTTCTCCAAGCTGTTCGAACGGACTGGAAAGCGCTCGCCTACTTGCCCGACCTTCAGACGAGAACGCGCGCTGGTGTCGTTGAGATGTTTGTGGACGGCTACTTTGCGACCATAGCCACGACCGACGACGTGAACGCTGCTTGTAGGGTCCTCCGCGGCGGGCATTGGGGACGCATAACCTTCTTCGACACGCCTTTTCTTCGGTGCTCAGGTACGGGCAAAGGTACACGGGCATACATATCCTCACTGTGCCTACAGACAACGAGGACTTTCGCCGTCGTCGGCATGCGGACTTGATGGAAATGCTGCAGATCCGCGACTTGAGCTTCGATTAGGGTTTCTTGTGTGTTTTATTTAGTCGCGCGAGATATACGCTGTTTCTTGGCACCTTGACAGGGGATGAGAGCCTGAGCCCCGAGGTGCTATTGCCGTCGTCAAGAGCGCCTCCATGATTACTTTATAAGGACGTAGGACAGTACGACCAGAGAGACGAGCACGGTAACGACAGCATTACAGAGCCTATTCCCACCCGATTCGCGGTCGATGCTTGAAAACACGGCATCGGGGTTGTAAGCTAAGAGAAGTCCGCCACAAAGTCGAGGTTCGCCACAAAGTCGCCGGGGAGTGCCGAGTGCGTGGTGAACGCCTGAGATGGATCCGCACTCTCGTTCCCCTCGTCAATAGACATACGGCGACTTCTCTTTGGCGGCGCAGCAAGCGTACCCTCAAAGCTCACACTACCACGCTTCAGCGACGCCTCCACATGCTCCGGTTCGATTTGAAGATCTTCCAGAACCGCGGTCGTGTTGGCCTCCTTCGTTGAACAGGTGAGCACTTGCGATGATAGCGAGTACAGAAAAGACGGACCTCAGTGACTGTGTTGTCCATGACACAAACGGCCTTCAGGACGTTGAGCATCTTCCAGCCGACATTGCTCTTCTTCGGCATCGGCACCAACATGAACGCCAACTTGCAAGTCACGATGTCACCGGCTTTTATAGCCGCTGGGGAGCATGCCTTGTACCTGTACGCAGGTCAGGGTCGCCTCTCTGAGAGCGAGTGAAGGCCACGTACGTTCCCGTACCGGTTAACGGGTCAGTTTCATACTGGACATAACTAACGACGTTGTCTTTGGTGTGCAGAAAAGTCGAAGACGCGAGCGCGGCGAGGTACCCCTTGGGGTCGACTTCAGTATCGAAAGGCACGACGTCTTTGGAGTCGACGTCGTTCTTGTGCGAGAAGTAGCGGCTGCTTCCGGAGATCCCCGGGCCGACGTTCGTAGTGATGTGGTCTGCAGCCTGTACGCCGCCTCCGACGGATCGATCGAAGAAGAGACGGATGCGCTCAATAGCCTTGATAGCGGCATCGAACGGTTTCTGGTGGAAGCCAGCTAGGTTCAGTCCCTGCCGCAAGAAGCGCGCTCTGTTCTCGCTGTCCCAAGATGAGTACCTCATCGACGACAAGAGTCGATTGTGATGCTTACTGCTGTCTCTTGGTCACAGGCGGAAGGTCCGCATCGACTACAACACCACTGACCTCCAAGATGAGTTCGGCGTCGTTGAGAAGGTCGACAGCGACTCTGACGCGCCCGTTCTGCGCAGGACGAACGGCGACTCGCGAGGCGATTGCTGTATCCTGTTGAACGGTAAGTGCCGGTCCCCAAAGTTCGGTTCCATCAACACTAACCTCCAAGAATGTACCCAGCGTCAGCTTCGGCGCGATTGAAGCGCGCGATGACGTGATCCACATCAAGCGCTCCCCTGCTCGTTCATTAGCTGAAGCCCGAGCGATCAACGGTCGACATACCGGCCTCTTCCACATCATAGCAACGGGGAAATTTATCGGTCATATCGTGTCAATGAAGGTGGTGCGTCGCTCGCCGAATGCTGATGGACAGGATTGCATAGGGGGAACTTATATACGTGCGAGTACTGCACTACAGGCGATGTGGACTTAGGAATTTCCGCCTCTCGCTCGAGCCCAACACCGACCAGTGGCGTATCCGTGTCTTGCGACAAGGCTGTCCGTTCTCCGGCCATGGCTCGACGAATCGTTTGGGCTCCCGTTCGTCCAGAGCGTGGCTCGCCCGGGTTTCGGTTGCGCGCATGCAGTGGCTCGGATGTGTATGACAGGAAATGATTTACTTCCTGAGTTGCGCGCCATTTTCGCCTCTTGGTTTCGGACAGTCAGCAAATGGGATCGCTTTTTCGTTCAAGGTAAGACATTCGTTCCCGCTTTCGACCTCACGGGCTTCTAACACGAGCCAGAGAAGGGCGGATAGCCCCGTCTAGCTCTCATCGACCAATAAGATCTCTGCCTTTCGCAAAGTGAGGAGCCTCGTTCTACGTTCCCGACAGCTCGCGTGTCTGACATGCTCCTGGGCGACCAGTCGATCTTCTCGACGTCGGACATGCATGTTCCATACCAGTTGACGGCTAGGCTTTCTGTCTTACCTGTCTATCTCAACCGAGAGCCGCCTGACTGGCGGAAAGGCGACTGCAGCCGCGAACTCGGGGGAGGTAAGCGACGTCGGAGCTGTAGGAAGAAGGACGGGTGCTGAATTTTCGTCAGGGCTTTCGCGCCTCGCCTCCGCAGACAATGCCTGCGGCGGATGTGCACAGCACGGAGGTAAGACACTTGAAAATTGTTCTCTCCAGCAGAGCAGCACTTTTTCGGCCGGTAGGCAATGTGTCGCTCTAGGTCGCTTTTCCTTTCTACGACCGATGAACACGATAAGTCTTTTTGCTTTGGCGCGTACGGGCCTTTCCCAGCGAGCACTCGTGATCATCAATGACCATTCCGCCAGCGTCCGGTTCGGACCATGTCCCGCGTCGTTCTAGCGAATTTGACGTGATGGTCCATCGAAAGGCCGTCTTGCAATTTTTTGTCTCATCGGCCTGGAGCCAGCCCGGGCAAGACCGTCTCTTCCTTCTCGTCCAGTGGTTGCGAAGCGCACCCCAGGATGCGTCGTCGGACTAGCATGTGCAGAGACATATATAAGACGACTGACACGTTTACAGAACCCGTCTTCGTCAATTATGACAGAGTCTACTCGTCGCTCCACGCGCCAAGTGAATATGAAAGAGTCGTAAGTCCTTTGGTCTCCTGCTTTTCTCGCTTATTCTGATGGCTATTATAGTCAAGGCAACGTCGATGATGGAGGGGGTGGCGAATCCACCTCCCAAGCGCCTTCGAAAAGGGCGAAGACCGGCAGGCGCATGCGCATCATTTCTCCCGCTCCCGGCACAGACGACTCGACCGTGCCGCAGTCTGGAGCCGCTCAGCCGCCCACGGACACATCAGGGGACAACGGAGGCTCAGAGAAGGAGATGACTGGGCATGGCGAGAGCGATAACGATGAGGGCGGTGAGGAACGTGTGAAGAACAAGTAAGTCTTCTTCTTCTGGCGAATAGCATGAGATTGATGAGTTGCTTTAGGTTTATCGACGATGAGGCGGAAGAAGACGACGAGGGAGAGGAGTTAGTTTTCCTCCTTTTCTTTTTCCTAACCGCGAGCTCACGGTCACCTCAGCGAAGACGGGGAGAAAGCTCACCCGGATGCAATCGAAGACCTGGGCGTCGCAATCGGGGGCAATGACAGGTTCGATTCACTGCCTTATTCTTACTCTGTCAGCTCATGTCCTACAGCGATGACGAAGACATGGTCGACCTTGGGTACGGCTAACGATTGACGATCGCGTACTGCTAAGCTCAACAATCCCGCAGCGCCGGGGCGCATGCTGATAACGACGACTCCGACTCCGATGGCGAGCACTCGGCGTAGTACGTCTTTCTTTCTCGTCCTGCTCTTCCCCATAGACTCATCATCGTTTAGTTCTTCCGCCAATCACCAAGCCCCGTACGTGTCACTCTCTCCACGCTGCATTCTCTGCTGATTGTAGGTGCTTTTAGGGGCGTTGTCTCTGGTCCTGAGGCCGTACAAGTCCATATCAACGGTCTCCAACCCGCCGCTCAGTACTTCAGGATGTTCGTTCTCGACAAGAAGCACCCAGTGTATGTTCTTAGCCTGTAGTCGTGGGACTCGACTGACGCTGTCTCAAGTTACTTGGCTATCAAGGCGGACGCTATAACGAAGTACTACGGCGTCAATCCGTACTTGTTCGCACAGGGTGTCTATAATGCCATGCACACTTACGAGTACGGTCTTACATTCTCGGTGATAACCCTGTCCCTGACTCAATCAACAGCGAGATCCCCCTCTTCTCGACCTCTGCGTACCGTCCGGAGAACGCTACGGACTACCCGGATCCCGCTGCTACGCTGGAGAAGATTTATCCGCAGTTCGACCTTCTGAGGTGAGCGCCTTGCGTGTGCTCTGCTGGACTTGCTTCTTACCTTTGGTCAGGACGCTTGCTACCATCGTCGGCTTTAGGGAGGGCGCTGGTTACATCAACCTCAGTCGTATGGACCCTGCCCGATTGTTGTTCATGACCATGGACAGACGCAGCCGGGACACGTCGCTTGTCACTGTCGCCGACAAGAGGACGCCCGTGATGTGCCTGACGGGCGGACTCGTGAGGGACTTCTTCGTGGGGCCCGAGGGTCGGATCTTCAACAAGGATCCCCGTCGTGGTATCAGCATCGCTCCTCTCGATGGCGAGCCGGCCCGTATCTTCGCTTGCCTGAACGAGGTCGCCAAGTTTACGGGTGAAGATCATCACAAGTTTCCTCTGTACGACAACGGAAGCGTCGCTTTTTCCACGAAGCCGGGGAAGGACGGTGAGCCGCTGCTACATCCGTATCCGAGCACTATCCTGACTGCCTGCAGGTAGGAAGCCCAACGTTCCTGGTTACCCAGCGAGCGCGAAGGCGAAGCGAGAGAAGCCCGAACTGATCTCGGACGGATCCAAGAACTTCCGCAAAGCAGGAGTGCTCGAGTACATGGACGAAAGTGAGGGCTTGCAAACGCGGTCTCGTCTGTGTCTTACATATCCGCAGTTCCTGTGATCGATGCTCGGTCGAAAGCCGTCGACTGGGGCGTCGATACCCTCAAGGATTTGAAGGACGAACGCAACTGGCCGCGCTTCGTGGGCATGCTGGACAGAGACGCTCTCGCAGTCGTCTTCTACACCGTCTCCCGATGGCAAGTTGACCAGAAAGCGGTCTCGTTCAACATCGACAGCATTGTCGTCCTGTCCGACAGCATCGATGCCGAGAGTTCTCGCGCGACGAAGGCCCTGAAGGAGGTTGAGAAGGAAGCACTCGCGCGGAAGAAAGCGGAGTTGGAGCAGCAGGTGAAGGATGACGCAGAGAAAAGGGCTAAGAAGAGGGCGGAGAGGGAGAGGGGAAAGCGAGCGAAGGCGCTTGAGAGCAGTGCGCGGGCCGAGGACGTGCCTGTCGGTGGCGGCGCTCCTGGCACTGACGGGGACGTCGCTGAGACCCCGGTCTCCGGTAGGAAGAAGCGTCTGACTCACGAGCGCCCTGCAGTCGCTAATGGCGCCTCCAATGATCAAGAATCGCCTTCCAAGAAGGTGCGGTCGTCGGAGGACGAGGCGGGGGTGCCTGCGAGCGGCGGAGACGAAGGCGGCGACGCTGACATGAACGGGTAGGCGAGCCCTGTCTGTCCTGACCGTTCCCAAAGTCCATTCACTGTCTTTACTATACTTTCTGGCCTCAACATGCTGTACGTTCGTTACCTACTGTCTCTACGTCTGCCCAATGTCACTGTCTTTACTCGAACACCCGCGCAATCTTACCAAAGATCTACATAAATGTCTGTGTCCGGCCATCGACAGACCCAGACCCGGTCTTTAGTGAGATCGTGGCGGTAGCAAACAGGCTTTGCAGTTGTAGGCCTCTATTTGTTGTTGCTTGTTCCGCAAGCTGACGTGATCGAAAACTTGTCATCACAGGACAGTATAAGGGGAATCCCATTTGGACGCTTGATCTTTCCTGCTTTCCCCCGCATCCAGGTTCGGACTATCACCATCGTGAAGTTGTGGCTAAGGACTATGTTAGGTGCGTCTCGCGCGCATTCTTCCACGTCTCCGAACTTACACTGCCTAGCGCCTGGCCTTGCCCCAAGATCGGTGACTCTCACTCTCGTCTGCGCATGCTCGACACCACGGCGTACTCTGCGTGGTCGTGTGCTCATCTTGTCTACGGCCACTCTCTGTGCTACATGTAACGACACTATCACCGTCCTCGTGCAAGCAATGGACCCGTGCATAGACGTTGACCGCCTTCGACTCCATATCTCCGCTTCGCCCCTTACCCGCCAACTCCTTCCCTCCCTGCAATCTTCTTGTTCCCGTTGCATCTGGGCAGCGGAACACTGTATTATGCCTTCACAGGCATCCCCGAGGGTTGAACTCGGGGCCGTTATGCGGTTGGACAATCCAATACCCATCGTCGACATGGCTATCGCAGCCCCTATTATTTACTGTCGATATGTACGTCGGTACACCGTTTGCCATCTATCTATCGCTCGCTCTTGCCATCGAATCCTGAGTACTTTGTCATGCGGGTCTGATCCTTCTTTTGTTGAGCCTCTCACGACTACGCGCCCCTCCGGTGGCGCTAGAGATCGCGCCGACTTCAGAATCCTTCGGTCCTATGAGATCAAGCCATACGTGGTGCATACGCCAGACTCTCACGTCCTTGAAGATTGGTGCTACATCTACGAAGACACCGTCGCTGTCGACGGGGTCAATCGTGAGTACACGGACGACATAATCGGTATGCTGGCTCCTCCCGCTGCTTTGTTCATGCACCTTACAATAGTGGAGGCTAAAAAAGTCTGCAGACTTCACGACATCTCTGTTACTTGGCGTGGCGTCGCTGCTGGAGACCTCCCTGGTATTGGTGAGAATCATCATTGTACCGCCAGTTGCGAAGGCTGGATCACGCTCCTGAGGCGTATCCCTCTCGACGAAGAGAGAACGTTGTTGAAAGTGTCCAAGTATGAAGCTTCACGCCGTGCGAAGCCGGGACACGCGCAAATGAGGCATGATCAGTACGAGAGAGCGAAAGCCGCAGTTCCCGAGCCGCCTTTTCCTCCTCCTCCATATTCTAATCAACTTCTACACACTATTACCAGCGATTTTATCGCTGATACCATGGCCATGGAAGAGGCGGCCTGTGGTGTCTGCGCAGAGTTGAAGCCCACAAAACATTTAACAAACATTAGGCACGTTGCCAGACACTTTCCCGTTCTCGCTGTCGCTGACGCTGCTCTTAAAGACGATGGGTCTCCCTGGGATGATGATAAGCCCGTTCTGATACCGAATGCCAGATACATCTGCTCCGAGTGCCGTCCTGTGGTTACCAAGGGCTTGATCCCTCGCTTGGCGCTGGCTAACAATCTTTGGATAGGCGAGGTCCCCTTCGTGCTCAGGCGCCTGCGCTACTTCGAGCGGCTGTTGATACAGCCTGTCCGTCACAACGCCTTATTCGTGAAGGTAGCAGGTGGGTATCGAAAAGCGATCGCTCATGTCATCTCTTTCCCCGTGGAGTCAGACAAAATCTACGAGTCCCTGCCACCGCCGAAGGAGGACATCGAGAAGGTATTGGCAATCATGTTTACGGGCCCCACACCACCATCCGTTGAAGACTATAAGTCCCCTAGGTTTGCTCCACTCCTGGTGCGTCACCACGTTGTCCGAGACGCGCTACAGTACCTCATCGCGCATACACCGGGGTGGGGGGATATCACCGTCGACGAGAGCGCACTTGCGCGGTACTTGGAGTCTGTCCCGCCAGTCTCCGTCGTGTACAGGCCCTCCACTTCTAACATTGCACCGGAGGGGCGAAGCTCTTATGATGTGGCAGACGAGCATGGCGTCGAGACAGGTGAAATCCCTTTTCAAGTGCACGGCCTGACGGGAAACGACTTGGAAACGAAAACTCACGAAGAGCTTACAGCGCTGGCTTTGGACCACTTCAACGCGAACAAGGGAATGTTGCGCATCGGCCATGGCGAGCGACCGGAGTCTCTCTATAACAATCCGCTCTTATACCCAAAGATGTTCCCCTGGCTCTTCCCTTTCGGCCGCGGAGGTCTTGGTTGCACCAGCGACGCTTCTAGTAAGCGGCTGCGCCTTTCTCTTAAAGAACACTGTCGCCACTTGCTCATGTATCACGACAAGCGGTTTCAATTAGATCCTGCTTTCATCTTCGTCGCGTTCAGCCACTTTCAGATTCGAGATGCGACGACGCAGAGCTTTCTGGTCGCCCGCCGAAGCCAATTCGAGGCGGTCTCTCAACGGCTTCTGTCCGTCAATCCAACAGTTCTCCAGCACATCGTTAACCGTGCTAAGACTGGTGAGAGGGTGATTCCTGCCACAGACGAGGAGAAACTGTGCTATCGCGTCCTTCAAGACATGGAGAGTGTTGCGGCTAAAGTTGACGGATCTTCCGCAGGCAGGAAATGGATGAGAACGGAAATATGGTCCCTAATTGCGCATCTTGGATCCCCTATCTGGTACATAACGATTGCGCCAACAGATATCAAACATCCACTGTGCTTCTACCTTGCAGACGCCGAACAAGCGTTCAAGCCTAACTTACAACCTCCGACGACTGACGAGGAGCGAGACCATCGCTTTCGCGCTGTAGTGAACAACCCAGTCGCAGGCGCGCGTTTCTTTCACTTCGCCGTCGAAGGATTCATTAAGCACGTCCTTGGTGTTGACTCGGGACATGATGGTATTTTTGGCGAGACGAGTGGGTACTACGCGACTGTCGAGCAGCAAGGCCGACTGACCTTGCATCTACACTCTCTGTTATGGATTCGCGGCTCGTTTTCACCGACGGAGATTCGTGAGCGAATGAAGGACTTTGAATCCGAGTTTTGCGCACAAATGGTCGAGTACGCGGAAGCTTGCCATAGGGGAGAGTTTATAGACGGTACATTCGAAGAGATATCTGCGCATCTGAAGGAGATCAGAAAGAGACCGGGATATCAGAACCCCACTTACACGCATCCGGCGACTCCGCCTAAGGTCTACTGCGTCTGCGCCAAGCCAGGGTGTCATAAATGCGAGGAGACCCGCCAATGGGTGACCACATTCAAAGAGGAGGTGAACGACATCCTCATGAGAACGAACGTGCATACATGCAAAGACAAGTACTGCAAGTTTAATAAGACAGGGCGCTGCAAAGCTCGGATGCCGAGGGAGGTACGTACCGAGACAGGAGTGGACCCTAATACCGGAGCGTTGCGCTTCAAGCACCTGGAGCCCAATATGAACGACGTCTGCTCTGTTTTGAGCTACTTCTTTCGGTGCAACCACGACTGCTCGTGTCTCCTCTCGGGAAGCGCTGTCAACCACATCGTTTACTATATCACGGAATATATCACTAAGATGGGACCGCAGACGCACGTTATATTTGAAGTCATCAAATCCGTGTTCGACCAAAATCAAGACGTGCTCTGCTCTGGTGGTGACGGTATCGAAGCGGCGCGCCGTCTGATGACAAAAATTGTCAACAAGCTGGCGACGAAAATGGAGCTCGGAGGGCCTATGATCGCCATGTATCTGCTTGGTAACCCTGACCACTACACGTCGCACCGATTTAAGCCTTTCTTCTGGCACACTTACTTCAGGCAGATTAAGATGTATTGGCAGAAGAACAGCGAGGGTTATGGAGAAGAGAGTGTACTGCTCGTCAAGAAGAAGGGGGCGATCATTGGGGTTTCTGAAGCGCAGAATTACACTTACCGTGCGGATGCCCTTGAAGCTTTTAACCTATATAGCTTCATGTTGAACTGCGAGCGAATCTCGCTGCCAAAGGGCCAGACAAAGGAGAGCAAGGACGACGTACCTAAAGGTTCGTCAGCAGCTGAGGAAGCAAGTGAGGAGGAACACGGGGGCGCAAGCGACGTAGAGGACAGCGAGAACGAGGAAGACGAGAGTCCTTGGTCTGCCCCACCTGAAGACGACACGGACGTTTCTGCCGAAGATGCGCACTCCACACAGGCACACGACTCTGAGGCTGATGAAAGTGATCGTCGAGACGCAGAAGCAGAAGGAACTGGAGACGAAGGACTTCCCGTCGATGAGCCTGACGACGATGAGCCTGTAGATCCACTGCCCGAGACGCTCGGAGAGCCACCCACGACGCGTTTACCGAACCTCCATTACCCTTTCCGATACGGACACTCCCTCGCGAGCTCACATTGCATGAAGAAGCGGCAGAAAGAGGACCCGATGCTCGTGTTGAACTTCATGCGCCTGTTGCCCCGCAGCGATAAGGGCAATCTTGACGAGTACATCCAGGTCATGTTGATGCTTTTCAAACCTTGGAGACGACCGGAAGATCTCAAATCTGCGGATGAGACCTGGCGAGACGCTTTCGATAAGCATAAGTTCTCACCGCGCGAAAAGCAGCTCATGAAGAACTTTAACTTGAGATGGGAGTGCATGGACGCGCGTGATGACTACAGGTCAAGACAAAAGAGTGGCGAAGGCTGGACTGAGGATATACCACTCACCGAAGAGGACGTGCAAGACATTGACCACGATGACGACTGCAGAAGTCAAATCGAGACCGTCTTTCCGACCACGCACGCAGAATACGAGGAAATGAATACGCTGTACACCAAGAAGAAGACGTCCTTCCTGGGCATGAAAGACATGATGGTCAGACACAGATGGAACGTACCTATCGCTACGATTGCCGCACCTGCGGGCAGAATAAGCGTCAAGAGAACCGCGAGGAATTGGACAGAGATCGTTAAAGAGGCGAAAAAAGCAGCAATCGACGCACAGGGAGTCCGCATTCTCGTCGTCCCTGAGAATCATCCAGTGGTAGGTCCCGCCTACGTAGTGAGCGTCGACATCGTGAACAAGGCGCTATTGATGCGCACCTATGTTGCACCGCTTCAGCGAGGTCTCGTAGACGCAGTATTAGCTGATTTCTCGCTCAACGAGGACCAAGAGCGTGCAGTGCGCATCGCGGGGAATCACATTCTCACTCCTGGCTGTGGTCAGCTTCTGATGTACGTTGGTGGTATGGGCGGTACCGGAAAGTCTCGTGTGTTTCAGGCCATCCAAGCCGTTATTGACCGAGCGAACATCGGCTCCGGATATCTTGTCATGGCTCCGACAGGAACTGCGTCTAATCTGGTCAATGGGTCTACATACCACTCGACGTTGGGGATATCAACGCTAAAAGAGCAGACTATGACCGGGCGTGCGAAGGTCAAGCAGCGCATGAAAGGTAAAGGTACTCTGCTGATGGACGAGGCGTCTATGCTGGCGCACTACGAGAACTATAACGTAAGCAGAGCGACCTGTCAAGCGGTAGGCGTGACGGACGTACCATACGGCGGCTTGAACATGATTTTTGCTGGGGACTTTGCGCAGCAACCACCGGTCGTGGGCGGTGAAGAAGGCTCGCTTTACAGTAGGAAAGCCGGGCGATACGGCGCTGATGCACGCAGTCAGAAGGCTGCGCTGGGAAAAGCCATATGGCATCTCTTCGTTGTCGTCGTTCTCCTGAAGCAGAATCACCGTCAGAGCGCGACCAGCGCAGACGACTTGGAGTTCCAAGATTGTATGATGAGAATGAGGTTGAAGGTGTGTACGACCAGAAACCTTACCTGGATAGACTCCAGATGCGCCTTCTCTTCTACAACAGACCTTTCAATCGCAGAAGAACTATTCAGAAATGTGTCTGTGATTACCGCCCGTAACATCGTCAAAGACGCCATCAACGACCTCGGCGTTCGTCGGTTCGCTATAGAGAGCGGTCAGGAGCTTATAGAGTTCTTCTCTGAGGACTGGCTTCGCGTTAAAGGACAGCAAGATAGACCACTGAGCGCTTTCTTACAACACGAACTATGGGAACAGCCCCACTCTTTTTGCAAGTCGTATGTTCCTGGGAAGCTGTCGCTGTGTCGAGGGATGCCGGTCATGCTGTGCTACAACTCCGCGACAGAGCTGTCGATGACGAAGGGCCAGGAAGGAATCGTTTATGACTGGCAAGAATCGAGGGGTAGCCGTGGGCAGAGAATGCTCGACGTCCTGTTTGTCGAGTTAGTTACTCCGCCGAGACCAGTTCAGTTTCCTGGCTTACCTAAGAATGTGGTTCCCATTACAAGGCAGAAGATGACCGTGGAGTGCATGCTGCCAAGGGTGACGACAGGAAGCAAGTACATAACCGTCGTGCGCGACCAAGTCCACGTCTTGCCGAACTTTTCGATGACTGATTATGCCTCCCAGGGCAAGTCACGCGAGGTCAATGTTGTGGACTTACAGGACTGCGCTGATCACCACGCGTACTACGTGGCCCTCTCAAGAGGTCGAACATCGGCGGGGACGCTGATTTTGCGAGGATACAATCCAACCAAGATCCAAGGGGGGTGCAGCGGCGCGCTACGCCAAGAATTCCGAGAGCTAGAGCTTTTGAATGAGATAACAAAGCTCCAGTACGAGGGAAAGCTACCAGCGGAGGTCACAGGACATCGGAGGAAGGACTTGATCTCAGCCTTTCGGAAGTGGAAGGGCGAGGCGTACATGCCACCAGGCATGCCTGAAGCGCTCGAATGGACAGACGAAAAGCCTAAGTACAATGCAAGTGGAAATGTGACGAATCCAGAGGCGTGGCTGGATTTCGAAGTCGCGCCCATTGACTGGCAGCTCATCACCGTGAAGGACGCGAAGGGAGATCTGCCGCGTTCGGCAATGACCGATGACTTTGTTCCCATCAGCACCTTTGTGGCGTCGTCAAGATCCACCCTCAAGCGCGGCCGAGACCATGGTACAGACCTTTCGCCGCCTTCTAAGCGCCAAAGGGCTGAGATACTCACCCATCCCGTTGAGATTGACCACGTGCATCCCCCTGTACTGAACTTTGGAGCGACGTGGGCGGACAATAGCTGTGCGTACGACGCCGTCGCTACCCTGATGGCATGGGTCACGGCTGAAGCTCCTGAAGAGTGGCTTCCGCGACTGAAGTGCTGGGGGAGCGATGGCGCCTCTATTCTATACAGCGCCCTAGATGCGCATTTGAGCATGACCCTCGCAGCCAGCTTGGACGTGACCGCTATCAGAGACTCCGTGCGCGCCTTCTTACACGTTACCGCCCCAGCTACGTTCGTCCCGGGTCAGTACACTGTTCTTCACTCTGTCCTCACTCATCTGTTCAACGTGAACAGATGTGTCGCTATTACGACGACGCAATGCAAGAAGAGCCAGACGCATGACTTGCATGGCGCAGTTGGTCCGCGCATGAGATCCTCAACGGCGCCTGTGTTTGAGATTGAGGCTCAGTACGCACGGGATGTCGGTAAGTGGTTCAGAGGGTCTGACGCTCGAGATGTTTGTAGTATCTGCAACATCAGCGCAAAGCAAGTTACTCGGCTTGAAACTGACACATCCTTCCTTTTTGTCGAGTTTGATCCCAGTCATGGTCGGGTTTTGCAGTCCTCGTTCTCCGTACGCTCGGAGCGGCGACAAAAGAGGTCCTACGTATTGAAAGGAATTATATACTACGGCGGGGATCACTTCACGCTCAGAGTAATGCAGGGATTCCATCATATCTGGTACTACGATGGCATGTACAACAACGGCAAATTCATCTACGAAGGCTTGATGAGCGACATCTTCTCTCTGCGTACAGCCTACGAACGTCATGCGGTCGCGCTTTTCTATGTTGAGATTGAGACCTGACAACTCAGGTTACCCATTGCGACGTAGAACATCAACTCGACGCACATGGCCTGTCACGGATTGATCACGGGAAAGCCAACTCGTTCACGTGGTCAACTCAACGTGCACGCAGCGCGTGGCACCGCGCGCAACATTCCGGCGGCACATGTCTCTTGCCATACCCGTCATCTTAGCTCTTAGCAAACAGGCTGGGCATGATACATTCGCTGGCCCATACTGTGCATCAATGTACCCGACCATCGGATTACAGGTGCGTGGGAGAGCTGACGAACGTGAGAACAGTGATGGCCATACGCGGTTAATACTGTCGAGCACTCTTTCACAGTCCACTCTAATGTACTGCCGTCCCCCTCCTCTCCCCTGAAATCGAGCGCATACCTCAATCCCGGGGCAGTTACATTCTCACTTGTGAGGCCACCCCTCCCCGCAACGCGTTCGGTTCGCGGTACCATTTAATGCTCACCCCGTTGGATCTGTTGTCATTCCTCGACTCAAGGAGGCATAACAGCAGAATTCACTTGCTCAACAAGCGCGTGCGATCAGAGTCGGTCATCAGTCGGCCGTGGCCGTGAATCCAATCGGTGTCGGGGAGGGGAAATGGAAAGCTCGGACGTATTTTGCATCCGTTTATCTTTGGTCCTGACTATCATCTTCGCCATGTCTCTCACTCCTTCTCCCTTTCAAAGCTTGGCTCCCGAGCTCATTGCGCGCATTTGTGCTTGCTGTCATGGGGATGACTTGCGGAACTTCGCCAATTCCTGCAAAACCGTGTTCTACGTTGCCCGTCGCTTCCGCTGGCGTCGGATCACCATCATCGACGACAGATACTTTGAGTTCCGGGAATGGCTCCTTTTGGAGGAACGCAGGAAACCCACTGGTCAGATAATTGGTAGCTTGGACTCGCTTGAGCTGACATACGCCTCGTCAAGGGCCCCTGCCTTTGCGGTTTGTGCCTGGTCTCAACACCGCTGTCGCTATCCCTCGTACGTCTCTTCCCGCCATCTGCGAGTCTACCCTGAACATCCCGAAGCTTTGGCCGATGATGACTTTAACCGGTACATCCGCGCCCTTGTCCTCCCCAGCGACTGGACGAAGGATACGATTGCGATGGTCAGGCTTCTGGCCGCCATTGCGCCCCGCAACCTGACCTCCATCGTCTTCGGAAGAAACGGGCGTGCCGCCTGGTACGTCGACATGAAGACAATGTGGACGTCGCCTACTATGGACGACTTGATGGCACCTGTTCTGACTCTGACGGTCTTCAACGCTCCTCGGGAAGGTCTTCATTTCCTCTTTGGCCGTGTTCCTTCGTCTGTTGGGAGACCGATGTCCGCTCTACTCAAGGCCGTGCACATCAAGGCGTCTGCCATCGTCACCGATAACTGGAGCGATCCAACGGAGCCTTTGGGCTGGCGCTCAGAGGAAGACGACGAGGATTCACGCGTAGTTATGGTTGCCGATACTCTGGAGATCGATTTAAGAGAGGGAATCCGAGATCTCGTGAAGTTCATCTACTTCCCCTCGCTTGTTCACCTCACGCTGTACACGGGGCGCCTTCGCTCTGGAGAATGGCAGACGGTCGAGCGCCTCCTCTCGGACTCTGCCTCTCAATTGCGGACTCTCCGCCTGTATAAGGGGAGTTACACAGGTGAGACCGCATGCTCTCGTGCGTCTGCTGCTGACCCTCATCTGCTAGAGAGCGACACGAACTTCACCAACTTCTACTGTCATTTGACTGGACTTTCTACGGTCATTGTACATTGGGCGCTCGTCTCACACCTTGAAGGGATCCACGGGCTTATTTTTCCCGGTCAAGTCGAGCTTATTGTAGAGAAGTACGACGCAAACACGGCCGAGGAAGAGGAGTACGAGCGCGCAGCACCTGTGCTACATTTGCCTCATTGGCGCCGCGTGGCTTTCAAGTACATGCTACCCGACGGCTCTGGTAGGTACTCCCTCACTCTCGCTGCGTGATTTCAGCTCACATGTGTGTAGGCTCTCAGGCACTGCAAACACAGCGTCTGACGCAGCTTCGGAACAAAGCTGGCGTTCCGTGGATTGTCTTTGTATAGAAATGCTCCGTATGCCTTGCATTGTCTGACCTGTCCTGTATGTACAGACTGTATTCGAACCGCGCTTCTGCCCTGATTTCCGCCTTGATGTCATCATGTCGCTTCTGGGTCACGCGGTCGTGGGAGGGTCTACCGCTTATGGCCCGGCATATGTCAGCCCATTCTGACCCTGCTATTGACACCATGCTCAGCACGAAGCTCGCTCGCACACTCCGCTCGAGTGACTACTCCATCAGCGAAGAGGACATCAGAAACCGCTCTTATCCTAGGGACAACATCGCTGCCTTTCGGCGCCGGGAGGTCTTGGCGAACGAACTAGAACAATCACTTGCTGAGTGCATTGCCGAGCTCGCCAAACTCGCTGAACTCAAAAATGCTCTTACGATGCGCCTTCGCGACCTGAGAGCTCTGCTTTCCCCTATTCGTCGGCTCGGTGACGACGACTTATCGTGCATTTTCAATCATCTGGCGCTCGCACTCGACAACCCCTCCGATCGTGCCGCTTCCTTCGCTAGAACGATATGCAAAGTGTGCTTCAGGTGGAACTCTGTCGCACGTAGGATGGTGAATGTCTGGACGTATCTGAGCCTACAGCACAATCGCCTACCGCCTACTACCCGACGCTCCTCACGCACCAGTCGATGGGCCCACTTTTCCTATCAGGCATCTCTCTTCAGCAATGCGTCTATCCATGTCAAATGGGACCATCTTAGCGGCTTCGACGAGCTCTCGCACTTTGCAAGCAAATGCAAGGGTCGTCTGGCCTCGCTTGTGGTTTACATGCCTTGGACCGACGTCGACGTTCTTGCCAAGGACGGGTTCTGCTCTCTTCGCCGCCTTGACCTCGTTCTATTCCACTCTCAGTGTCTGGGGCTTGCCGCGTTGGGGTCGATGCTGCGTCTAGAGCATCTCGTCCTCAGCGGCGATGGCCCAAGCAGCGGCGCCGACCTCGAGAACACATTCTTCTGCCTCCCTTCCCTCCGCCACTTGAGCATCGACATCGATCCTCCTTTGCCTTCCTCATTCATCGCGCTCTCCCTCGCTGGCTCATCTCTTTACCTGGCGACTCTGCACATTAGGACGGGCCTTTCTATTGATTGCCCTCCGACGGCGGCGCATCCCATTCAACTCCCATCCCTCGTCGACCTCCTCCTCGAGCGCAGCGCATGCGCATTGATTTGGAGCTTACGGACCTCTGGTCTCAAGGCTCTGGACCTCCGCAACGTCGATGTGTCCGAGGACTTCGATGGTTCCTTATTCAAGGGGCTGCATGCTATGCTCGCCACGGCAGAAGATACGTCACAGTTGAACGCGTTGTCGCTTTCCAACGTTTCGACTTCTCTCGACCGGGAGAAGGCAGCTATCCGGCCGTGTCTACTGCAGTTGGCCAACGTCACTACGATCTTCGTCGCACCCGGACGGTCTTCCAACGGACTTTGGGACATCGCAGATATATTCGCGCATATGCTCACCGTTACCGCAAGCGCTGCCTACATGCCCAATCTCCAGATCGCCACGCTGGACTGTCGCCAAACGCCTGCATCATTATCGCTACTACGTGCCTTCTATCATTCCAGAGCGAGGTCACAGCTTGTTGACTCCATACCCGTCCAAAAGCTACGTATATTGTACACGGATGCGGCATTCTTGGCGTGAAGCGGGATTCTGTGATTGTCGTACTATCGTTGTTCGTCGGCTACCTCCTACTTTTGCGGTGAGCCTTCCTCATAGGTAGGCCCGAAGAACCTGAAGGCGTTAGAGCTTACAGCCATTGAGTTGATAGAGGTGCGTCGGTCATGATGGGCAACTTGTTCAACAATGGGTGGGATCCAGTTCATGCGCCACTCGACGCCACAAAATGGACATTAACCGTCAGTGATAGTTTCTGATTACCTTCACGCGCTCATCTCTCTTTCGTACATGACCCGCCGTCCAGAAGAAGCATGGCCCTGAAGTATGCCTTACACCAAACGATCGGATACACTGCAACCCACTGCACCTTCTGATAGCGTGCGTCTCCCCGCCTCACGCCCGATTCTTGCTGATCTTTAGACATGTTCCTTTCTTCCTCCGCTAACCCTGAATGTGCGGTGGTACAACCCATCGAGGCATCTCCCCCCTGGCCGAGGCCGACGAGCAGACGCGCAGCCTGTGATCAAGGTCTCATGTCTTAGACCTCGTTTCCAACGCCGCGCGTGCTCTGGACTCTGCTACTTCTTTCGCCCGTGCTTCCGCTCGCGTACGTCCAGTTCAATGTCCGGGACAGCCCCAAATTGATCTCGGTGGCTGCCGTATACGGAAGAGCTCGACGAGAGCGGTCCCGACAAACAGCGATGTGAGCCCTACGCAACTGCCGGATGCATCCGCGCACTCAGACGGTGTTTTCTACATGGGCGTCGATGGTCTTTGGCGACGGGCTGCGCGTCAACACTCATCGACTTTCTCTGCCGTGCGCCACGGAGCGGGCCTTCTGCCATTCGCTGTATAGATGGGCGTAGTCTACGCCTGCACGAGCGTACGACCCACTCCTTTTGCTTGCGCCCTTGAACGCTTCCGCAATGTCTTACTTCGGATGGGCTTGGGGTCCTACCTAGACTCTTCAGGACCGCGTCTCATTCGACGGCACGCCCTTCTCATTACGACTTATATAACCATTGCTGAACATCCGGCGGCCATACGGAAGTTGGAAAAAGGCCATCAGTGCGTCCCTTATTCCTCGCTGGGCCTTGCGCTAATTGTTCTGACAGTGAACTCCGCGGAAACCCAGCTGGCCCCTCGACCGACAATCTTTGTGGAGCTCTTCCCCCTCATAATCTCTTTTTGTGACCGCAACACCATCCTTGCATTCCTATGCGCGTCCTCTCACTTCGACTACGCCCTGCCACTCTTCTACAGAACGGTTCACGTTCGGAGCGCCTCCGATTACCGCTGTATGGCAATGAAAGCCTCAGTAATCGCCCCCTTCGTGCGTGAGCTCGTCATCCATCACCACGAACTCTTGGCGGTGGGCCCTGCCTTCACAAAAGTCCATACCATCGACTGGTGCACCAAAAGCGCTCCCTCCCGCTCCGTGGACATTCAACAACGCCTTCCACGCTTTCTGTCGCAATTCCCAAGTGTTGTGCACCTTCACATGAGCGCCAGGCCGTATGGCCTTCGCGACGTCGACATTGGGCTTCAACGCGCGAGTCCGGGACTTCGCAGCCTAACTATATCGCTCAAGACCATCTCTTCACCTTTCTTCTTGGCCGAGAGTGTCGCGGCCTACCCCGACTTGCGGCAGTTAACCATTTCTCATCACTTCTTCGCGCAGTTCTCCACATTCTCCGCCGAGTACTTTCGACGGAATGCGCCCGGGATCACAACTCTGAACTTTATGCAGGGTCTATCCTGGGCATCGTTGAACGACCTCTTGTCCGTCACGCCTCCAATGGTGACGGAGCTCGGACTAGGCCTGTTCCCCGCGAACGCGTACATGAAACCTCTAGGTGTGCTTTCTCTGCCTACTGCCACCTCCGCTCTGACCGCTTTCAAGCTAACACGGCGGCGGACACACTTCGGCGCTTGCGCGTTCTCAAAGTGGACATGAGACGTGGGAATGACAACAAGCGACGCGAATGGCACAGTCTCGCCGATTTCTTGCATACGGAGCGAGAGAAGGGCAACCTCGCTGCGCTGCAGAAGCTGCGGATCAGGGTGATGACGAAGCGGATGTCCGCTGTTGCGCTGGCTGGGAACTGGTGCTTCGCGCTTTTCGATTCGGGGGATGGCCTAAACATGATAGACTGGCACGTCTGGGTTCACCAGGCGCTGGGGAAGACGTGCTCGTTGGAGATAGTTGTCATCGTCGACTTTGCCCTCAACGGGAAAAGGGCGGACGACCTCCTGGACGCCGTGCGCAATTGCTTGCGCTTCTTACCCCCCTCTAGATTTCGCGTGTTCATTGAGAGCAGCGGCAGTCCTTAGATCGTGTATGCGGTGATTGTACAACGTATTGTGCTCTTTATTATTGATGTTTACTGTCCTCGCTCGTTTGCGCGGTCGTGCCACTCGATACCGAAGCGTAACCCTCGCAAAAACCAGCAAGGCGCTCTCGCCTCTCAACATCCTGAACATGTCTCTGAGTTGATACTTGCAATATTTAATCGTCGTGAATATGTACTTGCAAGCGCGAACCTAAGAAGGACAGCTGGTTCGAGACAGCCGATCTCAAACGACCTCGTTCTACCTCAGGCGAGTAAATAAATACGTTGAGATAAAGCGTGCGCCCTAACACGAGACAACACCACCTCGGCCAGTTGACCTCCGATGGTTCATTCCCTTCACGAAACAAAGCGCATGCCTCCTCGCTGCAGAGCATCATGGATGGACACGACTTCGCGTACACATGTAGGTCAACCGTAGTCAACGCCGGGAAGGAACGTTCCTGCGTGGCCCTCATGATCCACATGAAGTCTTGAACGAATGATAGCTCACGTCGGAAGTTGTCCCAAGGGCGACGAACCTCGAATCGAACAGATAGTAGACGCGCCATCGCGGGCACGGGGTAAAAGGCTGAAAAGGCTTCAGAGTGCGTCAGAAATAATCAAGGACACTCACTGTACATCTCTACTGAGGTTAGAACGTCGACGTCGAGAACGCGAAGGCTGGACGCGAAAAGGGGCAGAATGCGTCGCAGTGTCTCCCACGAACAAAAGGCCGGTACGCGAAGGACCTCTATAGGAGGAACCGCCCGGAACGTCCCAAGAAATGCGCCGAGGTCACAGGCAAACCCGTCGGCGAAGATAAGTTCGCGCAACGCAGGAAAGTGCGCCCAAAAAGTCGATGTACTGATCGCGAAGGGCGCGTGAAAAATCAACTCCAGCGTCTGCAGCATAGGCGCAACTGGGGACAGCACGACGTCGAGTTCGTGTGAGGTACGAGGGCCTCCGTAAAGCGCTAATGCGACGAGTGATGGGAAGGAGGACATGGCGTCGCGGAGCGTAGAAGGCGAAAAGGCGCCTGTACTGAACGGGGAGACACTCCACCGAAGACTTGTCACGTTGGAAAAGGGGGGAAGGTGTACAGGGGGATAAATCACATGAAGTCGACGGAGCCACGATGATTGGAATTGACCTTGGGCAAGCGCTCGCGAAAGCGACACCATAGACGCTGCGGACGCGACGGATATGCTCGCGAAGAACAACGGCTTCGCCTCACGGGATAGCGCCGTCGTCGTCCGCAGAAGAACTGCGAGGGTAGGCCTGTCGCTCTTGTGAACGACGAGATAGAGGATTTCAAGTGGGATGCGCGGGCAGACGGTCATGGTGCGCAACAGACAGTTGTGCCCCTATAAAGAATTCGTTGTGGATAGTTTCAAAAACTAAGCCATGTCTTACCTGATCGACGACATGAGACTGACGACTGGCTACTTGGTGAAAGGGTGACGGCGCATGTTGTGGAGGAAGCAATAGCAATAGCCACGGAGACGGGGTGCCGATTAATTCAATGCTCGATCTTTGAGAGGAAGGAATCTTCAATAGGGACAGACGTATCCAAAGGTGGATCACGTCGGATGAGACCAGTGGACGTCCACTACACATGTCTTGAGATCGCGTCGGGTGTCGGTGTAATTGGAGGGCCAAAGCTGCCGAGTGTTTCGGCATTTGCCGAAAGCACGCGACCATAGAGCGCGTGCGTGATTACATCGTCCTTGGCCGGCAGCAGCGACGTACGCAGAGGCTTGTGGTTCACAGGCATTGCAGACAGAGGCGATGGTATAGGTCCTGGTGTTCTATCTCTGCCCTTGGTGCCGAGCCCACAATATCGCTCATACTCACGTAGACGAGGGTCGGGTTGTTCCGGCCGAGCAGTTCGGCACGGGAAAATGTCGGATAAGTGACGCAGGAGCGGGACATTCCTAACTCACCGCATGCCGCGCGCAGCGTTGGCCCTCTAAAAACTAGTGGCAGGATGCTAGCCAGCGTAGAGCAGACCCAGATTCATATTTTGACCATAGCAAAATTCGAAGAAATGCGCGGACAGCGGAGCGAAAACAGCGATGACGAGGCGAAACTACCGTTTGGCCCGTGAACGGGCCCCCCTTTGACTCACGTGATAGCACATTGCTCGCTCCGCCTCTCCCCTCCCTCGCAAGCTCGGGGGGTCCCCTAAGGCGTTCGCGAGCAATCATGTCCTTCGCGCCGACCGACAACACGTTAACTTCTCCTGGGCCCTGTCCTTGCCTGTCCGCTATCATACCATCTTTCCGTCATGAGTCTGCACCACAGGGCCAGTCAGTTCCTCGCCCTCTTCACCGCCGCGGCGGCGGCCGTGACCGCCAGTAACACCACGGCCCACTTGCGCCAGCCGCCCTCCGACGCACCATCAAGCCTCGGCGGCCCCTTGGGCTTCGCGGGCAGCCCGTCCTTCATCATGCGGAGCATCGCGCGCAGCTTGGCGTCCTGAGAATGAGGGCAATTGGTCAGCAAGTCGGATGCGGACGAGTGAGGACGAAGGAAGGTAGGCGGGGAAGAGAAGGCAAGTAGTACGCACCGTGTACGGCGGGAACCGCCACCAGAGGATCTTGTCGATGCTGAGAGGAAAGCTGGTCAGCCTGCTGGACGAGACGGCGATAGAAGACGCCACTCACAATGCCGGACTGTCCATCTCGGTGCGTACGTGCGTGAACGCGTCGAAGCCGTACTTCCCCCTGTGGTACCCGTCTGCAGACACGTCTCGTCAGCGCACCATTCGCATAGTATGGACCATAGGCCAGCAAGACCTGCACTACTCACATCCACTGGCACCTGTCCCGCCGAAGGGGAGGCCGGGGGCTATGTAGAACGGGTCGCTCAGTGAAGGCTGACAGAGACCGCTGCCACAGTCCACTCACCTCCCAACTGAATCACGACCTCGTTAAACGCCATCGTGCCGCTGATCGTCTCGTTGCGGACTATGAGTGGGGATCGTTCGTCAATTCCCCCCTTTGCGAACAAGTTGGAGGAGATCGCCGACTCACCCTTGTCCTTCACCTTTTTGTCATTCGCGAAAACGTACAGCGCGAGCGGGCGGTCGCTGCGGAGTGAGATCAGTATATTGACTACGCAGTATGTCAGGGAGAAACTCGGCCACTCACCCTCCGTTGATAAACTTGATCGCCTCATCAACATGCTCGACCTCCAAGATAGGCAAAACGGGGCCGAAGATTTCTCTGCGAGGTAGGGTCAGTAAGACACCATGGCCTCACGCAAATTATCTCTCAACGGGGAGGCCAGGTCTCGGCGCCTACTGCGCCTCACAGAAGTACAGTATGACGAACAGAAGAAGTTCCAAAGAGCAAACAGACACTCACTCTCCCATCAATGCATCCTCCTTCTCGACGCCTTCCACCACCGTCAGGCCGACGAAATTCTCCTTCTCGTCCCTCTCACCCCCCGCGATGACCTTCCCACGCGTCTTCTCGAGCATGCCCGAGATGCGGGCATAGGCGCGCGAGTGGATGAGATGGGAAAAGGTGGTGGGGGCGAGGCCCGATTTGGACGAAGGATCACCACTGGCGGCGGTGAAGGCGGCGTAGCTGGGCGAGGTGGTCAGCTCAAGTCCAGCTTCAGGGAGTGAACTGTGCTAGAGAGCATAGCCAGCGTGCTATCAACGGGACGAGCACCCTCTCCCAGTCGAACCCAACTTCGTCAACAAACTCACCTCTTCCGCACCTCCTGCAGGAACCTATCCTTGATCCCCTTCACCACGAGCACGTAGTCCGGCGACACGCACGTCTGTCCCGCGTTCACGAAGCGGCCGAGCAGCACGCGGCGCGCGGCGAGCGCGGGGTCCGCGGACGCGTCGACAATGACAGGCGATTTGCCGCCAAGCTGGGAGGAGGGGTCAGTCGTGATGTCCTGCGGTAATGTTTGGTGGGCTTTGAGGGACAGGGTGATGGGTCGAGAATTTCTTCATGAAGAGACATATTCAGAGGCGTTGGTGAGAGAAGACACACCTCAAGCGTAACCGGCGTGAGGTGCTTCGCAGCCGCGGACGCGACGATCCGGCCAACAGCGCCGCTGCCAGTGTAGGAGACTATAAGAGGTAAGAGCATACACGGACTTTCACTCGCTACCCACCCCTCTACTCACTATGATCCCACTGGAGCTCCAGCAACCGCGTCGTCTCCGGCACCGCGCCGTTCACGACGCGCACCAGGTCCGGGTCGAGATATCTGGGGAGGCGTGAGCTTTGCATCCCTTGGAATCGGAGGCCATGCCATCCGTCCCCGTGAGGACGGAGAAGCATGGACTGGACGAAAGTCATGATCGAAAAATCGTACTTCGGCAACAGCTCCGTCCACAGCGCGCTCGTCGCCGCCGCGCTCTCGGACGGCTTGAGGCAGACCGCGCAGCCCGCGGCGAGGGCGCCGATCTGGGAGGGGAGGTATTAGCCAAGCTAGTCGGGAATGTGGAAAGAAGGAGTGCAGAAAGAAAAGGGCAGAATGGGACGGAAGGGACGGGTGAAGAGAAGAAACGGGTGAAGAGAAGGGACGGGGCAGACGAAGGACCGAGTAGGAAGCTCTCCCACTCACCAAAGGCTCTACCACGAGCCACACCGGATAGTTGAACGGCGTGATGACGAGGACGACGCCCTTGGGGACCTTGTGCGCGCGGGGCCGCATGGCGAACCTGGATTCTCGCCAGTCAGCCCTTCCCACAAGCGTGGCGGAATCTATCGCTTCTATCATATGTGACGCGAAGGAAGCAGCGGGGGAGCGAGTAGCGTGCGTGAAGGGTCAAGGGGTTGGAAGGGTCAAGGATTTGGACGCGAACGTCACGAACCAGTTGAAGTTGAACGGCGACGTTTCCGGCTTCGCCCAGGACGAGAGGCTCTTGACCGCGGCCGTGATATCGGTGAGCGCGCCGGTGATCTCGTAGCTGAAGGGGACGGGGGGGGGGGGTAGGGGACAAGGCAGAGTAGGAGGGAGCGAGGCAGAGTAGGAGGGGACAAGGAAGAGTAGGAGGAAAGGCCCGTTAGCATCCATCACAACCCTGCTGAACCTCGCGCCACCCACAACTCGGTCTCGAAGACAGGGCGGCCCATATCCGCGTGAATGGCCTCCACGAACCGCGCGCGGTTCTCCTTCAGCAGATGCCCGAGCTGAAGGAGTTGGTACTTGCGGTAGGCAAGGGATTTGCTCTTGCCGGTCTGGAAGCCTGCATGGAGGGAGGTGCGGATCTGGGGGAGGCCGCATTGACAACGTCAGCGTATACATAGTTATGGTGCGACAGACTAGCGCACGCACCTTGTCGATCTCATCCAGGGGAGTGTATTTCAGCTCAACCATGATTAGCGTTGTCCGCCTGCGCTGGTATCGGTCGCGTATGTATTCGGGCCAACAGGTAGCGAGTGGAGAGGGAATGAGGGCTTCCCAGTTCGAGTTCAGTCACACCAGGTGAGAGTAGAAGACAAGCTTGGGACCGGGCGCGTGAGAGGGGCCGATGGGTAAGAAGTAGTTACGAGACAAGCATACTTCTGCAGGGTTCCCCACAACGCGCCGCCCCGGAATCTCAGACGCGTGGCACGTGAATAATCAAATCGGCCATACTCAGTTCCTCAACCTATCTAGCGTACTACATAATCCATGGTCATACGCCAATGGTCTATCATTACTTGCCTACGTAACATGACCACCTCAAGATCTCTAAGCAGGCCTAAATCTCCGTTCGAGCACCCTCGGGGATCCGTGCAATAGATTTCTCTACAGAATCAACAAGCACCGTGTGCGTCTGTCTCGTCCTATGTAGGATCTTCCCCTCACGACCATCTTCGCCTCACCAAAGAACAGATTTTCTGCATCGCATGGGCGAAAGTTCTGTGATCCGGTCCCCGCCTCAAGCGGTCTTTCCCTCCGCAGTCTTCCCTTTCTGCGCGGCAAGCAGTCGTCTGGAGCACTCGTTAGCAATGCGACAACGACAATCGAGTGGAAAGGACGAAGGGCCGACACGACGACCAACACTCACTGCCTCGCGGCCAGAATCATCTGCGCCTTCCTCTCCCTTAGGCTCGCCTCGCGCTTCTCCGCCGACTCCTCCCATGGCGCCTTCCCGCCGGGGTCTGCAGTGGTCGGGGCGGGGTCTGCAATTCGGTGGTCAGTGTTTCGATCGACCTTGTGCAAGGGACATCGCTATGAAAGGGGAGGTCGAGCACGCGAAGGAGCAGCGGGAAGGAGGGGAACGGGCGTGAAGGAGGGGAACGGGCGTGAAGGAGGGGAACAAGCGTGAAGAAGGGGAACAGGCATGCAGGAGGGGATCAGGAGGCCGTGAAGACAATTATCGCCACTCGTCTACCACAGACTCACCACTCGCCGCATCCCTCTTCAACCGTTCCTCCAGATGATAGCGCGCGATCAGGTTCTTCGGCGCCGCGCGCGCGGTCGTGGTGGATGCTGCAGTCGTCGAGGAAGGTGCGGCGGGTTGATCCTGCCGCGGGTAGAGGGTGTAGTAGGCTTGTGGGGGCTGGGAGGGGAAGGCTCAGTTTATGTGTGTGGCCGAGAGAGAGGCATGAAAAACGGAAGGGAAGGGAAGAGCGGTGGATGGATGCTAGCACGCACCGGATCGAGGAAACCGCGCTCGAGGATCTTGTTCGTGGTGAGCTGGACGGAGCCCGTGCGGAGGAGGTCGAAGCGGACGTTGTCTCTGGGGTGGAGTCAGATTGCGGAAGCTTGGATGGGAGGAGAAGAGAATGGGCGACGAGGGAAGTATGTGTGAAGAGGGAAGGACGGGCGAAGCGGGGAGGATGGGCGAAGCAGGTTGGTTTCAGGGCCCAACGAAGGGCTGGTGCCGCGGCTCCGGGGCGAGGAACGACGGCAAATGGAGGGAAGGACAGTTGCGGTGGAGAAGAGAGATGGAGTACGCACGGTGGCATGTCAGGGAACATGGCGAGGACCTGGTCGACCATCCCCTGCGTCACGTTCTTTGGCCTGAAGCCGAGGACTGCTTGCGGGGAGGGGGCGCCGCCAGAGGCTGTAGGCGCGTCGCCTCCTATGAGATGTGATTGGTATTATGGGTGTCCGGCGTCGTAGGAGGCATGCGTCCAAATGCATGGGGTGATGAGTACGATGCATGTCAAGCTAGGTCAATGACTATCACACGCGCTATGCAGCCCAGCACGCACCCGGACTCGTCGCCCATCTAAAGATAACGACAATGACCGCAAATGCGACCAAAACGTTCACGACTTCGCCCATGCTTCTCGTGTGTTTTGAAGACGCGCTCCGGGGTAGCTTCTGCGTGCCAATGCCGTGTCGATAGCGAGGGCTATCCGATACGGTTTTGCGTACTATTCAACGCGATTCGCCCCTCGTGAGGGCCTAAGCTTTCTCTGATGCCCAGCGAGCAAGAGACGATGAAAGCACGAGAAGAGAACAATGGCCACGCCTTGATCACCGACCACGCCACCTTCTGCCGCCTTCGGGGACCTCCACGCGCCCGGCAAACCGGCCCGGAGAGCCGGGGTAAGTCCTGCATGATTGGCTCTACCCAGGCTCTAAGGCCGCTGAGTACTGAGCAAGCACCCAGAGCTCTAGCATGCATATGTAAAGAACACTGATCATATTGCTGCTGAATTTATTGCAAGGCGCACAGAATTTGGCGTGATTGAAGGACTTTGTGGGTCCATCCCCGGGAAATGCCGAGCCTGCGGCACTTGCCGAGAAACACTTTTGCACAAAGCATGTTCCCAGGTTAGCGCTCCGGGGATGGGTGCCACATATTGTTCTCGTCTTACGTTGATTTCTTTGCTCGCTATACCACCGTACTGATTCTGCTGCTATTCAACATCCACGCGTTCTACCCCTTCCGTCTACCTTTCCGCCTGCCATTGACTCCATCAGGCCCCCATTCTCGACAATCTCAGGCTCCCCATTCCTTCTCGACGACTTCAAGCGTCCTTTGCCCGACCTACTCTTTCAGCGGATATTCCACCACCCCCGCCCGCGCCGCGATCTTTGCGTAGTACACCTTCTGCTCGGCGAGGATAACGAGCCGTCCGTCGCCCGCGAAGGCCATGTTGGCGGACGTCGTGCCAAGGAAGAATTTGCCTAGGAGCCTGGGTGGCAAGGTAATTAGAATCATAAGAAGTGAGGGAACATGAGCGAGAAGCGAGGCAATATAAATGAAAAGTATTGAGCGCCAATATGACCACATAAGCGAAACAGTCGAGCAAATCGCACTCACGTCCCATCCTGATCCCACACCTGCGTCCCATCGCCGCACCCGGCGTACACGTTCCCGTCCGCGTCGACCTGGATGCCGTCCGCGATGCCCGCGTCGGTGTACGCGAAGACACGCCTGTTGGTGAGCGCGTGCGTCCGGGGATGGACGTCATAGGCGTAGCTTTTTAAGTCGGCTCAGATTCGAGAACACCAGAGGGAACTGAGATGGACGGAAGCCCAAAGCAACTCACATCGTAGCCGGCAGCGTCGAGTTGGTGCCCCATATCCCGCCGCCCGCGCCGGTGTCGGTGCTTCGTCCCTGCGTTGGTTCAGTGTCCTTGGTGTACGCACAGCACTCACACATAGGCAGTCTCCCCGTCCGGCGTCAGCGCGATCCCGTTGCAGCGCACGAAGCCGTCGGCGATGACGCGCACGCTGCCCGTCGCGGGGTCGAGCACGTACACCTGGTTTGGCATCTGCGGCTCGGGGCGGAAGCCGGTGAGGAAGCTGAATAGTCGCGAACGTGCCCTTCAGCGAAGATCGGGTATGAGCGACCAATCATGCGTACCCATATCTGGTTTAAAAATTCGATGTGAGTTACAAGGACGAACTCCAAGCAAGAAACGGGGCCGCACTCACGTAACATCCGTAAACAAGATCTTCCCCGTCTTCGGGTGCACCTTCACATCGTTCAACGAGTTGAATTGCCGACCGAAGAAGTTGTCCAGGATAACGGTCGTATTGTACGGCGATGCGGGGTTCACCCTGACGAGCGACGGCGGGAGCTCGCCTCGGCCCGACGTGGCGAGGAGGATGTCACCGAAGTAGAGGCCGGTGCCGCCATTGGTGTTCTGAAGGGTTTCGGGGATGGGGAGCTTCGAGGAGGGAGGTCAGCTCAGGTAAGTAGGAGAAAAGGCATGCGAGCTAGGGCGCCAAACAAGGTCTCCGGCACGGTCACGTCCAATCACGTGGGGGTTCGACTTCGCCAGCAGTCTGTGGAGAGGCGCTCACACGGGCTATAGCACCCGCCGGCCCAGAGGACACCTCAACGCCGGTCTCATTCGAGTTTTCTGCGCTCGATTCCTGCGACGCCGCCCAAGCCTGTAACTCACATCAACGATCTCCGCATCCGCGATCCCGGCGCCCGCTGCACGCTCGACGTCCTGCATGCTGATCTTGCTAACGCGGTTGTTCCGCGGCCAGCCGTCCTCGTCCTCGCCCTCCTCACCCGCCGCGCTCGCGAAGAACACCTCGTCCGTCGCGGCAATCCACACCGGCGCCTCGTGCGCGAGGGCCTTGGGCACTCCTGCCTCCGTCGTCAGATTGGATTCGGCGACCAGGGCAAGGAGAGGAGAGTCCCCGAGGATATCGTAGAACGCGTCGTCGAAGACCTGGATGCACGGCGGCGTCGCGTTGGTGGGGTTGAAGAAGGGGGTGGAGAAGGCATCGGGGCGGAAGGTCGCGTTGGGGCCGAGGACGGCGTAGGTGAGGGGATCGATGACTTGGAGGGACATGGTGGGGGAGAAAGACGTCGGTCCTGGGTAGGCGGGCGGCCCGGAGAAAGAAGATGTATCGTGGATGGCACTGCCGAGCGATGATCATGCGGTCGACTCGAGCGGTGCCAAGTTTTTCAATGGGGAACGCCACTGGGCGGAAGAATTGGCGGACACCGAAGGAAGAAAGGTATACGAAGGAATGCTATACCCATCATCCTGCTGAAAGTCATGTAGAAGAGATTTACGAGTAGAACCCCGACCACGCGCTAGAGACGTGACGGTTACAGTTGAAGTTGGGGCGTGGGAATTAGTCCCTTTCCCACTCCCATCACATTCTCGCACGCCGGCGATCAAAAGACGAGCTCATTGTATCTTCCTACTGTCACATTCATCCGGCCCATACGCAGCCACATCTGCTCTTGCTTCCCACTCTCACTCGGTCGTCGACGCGATGGCGCCTGGGAGTTTCATTAAGTACTCCGCCACGATCGTCTACGAGCATGAGCGGGCGAAGGAACTGTTCGCATTGGACAAGTCCGAGTTGCGGAACGAAATCTGCAAGAGTTTCGACAAACTGAGGCTACCACACCCGTCATGGCATAATCTATGCGATCCAGAACCAGAAAAGGACAGAATCAAGATGTACTTCTACACCGAAAGCGAGAACACGGTTGGTACCCTTTGTTCTCACAAAGGGCCCGCTCAGCGTTTCCACAGACCCTTTCCATGATGGTGACGCGAGCATTTGAGACGGAATACGATACACCGCAATTCATTACTTTACGAGAGATCTTCAAAATGTGAGTGGGGCGCGATCTCAGAGGTATTGCCCTTCTTAACTGGTCGGATCGCAGACGCGAGATGCGCGTGCGCCAAAGGTGAATTCCATCATATTCACAGGTGGATCCTCGGCCATGACCGACCAGTGTCTCGAAGGACTATCTCAGAATCTGAGCTGCCTCAAAAGGACCGGTCCAGAATGACGGCAAAGACGGCGAGCACGGCTCCACCACCGAAGTTCAAGAAGCCGACTGCGCCCAAAGACCATGTGCGTGGGATGCCAGGAGACTTTTGCGTTTCTGCTCCATTCGTGCGATCCGCACAAACTAATTCACGACACGGCTCCAGAATGACCGTCCACCCGAGAACAGGCCGCTCAAGGTAGAACCCGGTCCTCATTCTCTCCCGCGTGACGGAGGGCGCAGCTTCGTCAAGTACGTTGTCACGGTCGTCTTCGATCGAGAAAAAGCCGCGCAGCTGCCCAACAAGCGCGCCTCCGACCTGCATGGCGAGCTCTGCAAGGCGTTCGAGCTCTTAAGGCTCCCATATCCATCCGGGCAGAATATGGAGCAACCCAACGTTCGCCGGGGCAGCATCACGGTATGGTGGTACACGCAAAGCAAGTACACGGTGCGTCTTTCTGGCCGTCGACTCTGGCGCGCGTTGCTGAGAGCGAGGGCAAGATACTTGGAAGACAGGTTCATAACGCGCTCATCAAGTTCTACAAATTACCGGAAAACAGAGAGATACGGAAGTCGTGGGGGATGTAAGTGTTTGTCGATCGTACGCTGACCAAACTGTGCCACGTCTTCCACGTCCCATCGCTCTGACTATGTCGCCGCGTTCTCTGACATTTCTTGCAGAGAAGACATGCTCGTGGACGAAGAGTAAGCGGGTTCCTCCCCCACGCTAGCCTTCGTTGATCACCTTGCGTAGAGAAGTGTCGGAATACGAGCTGCCCAGGAGTGATTTTAACAGGCTGGTCAACAAATCCAAGGCATCTGCACCACAGCGGACGGATTACCATGGTGAACCTTCTGGCTCGGGATCCGGACTGAGGTCTTCCTACGGCAATGACGACTTGCGAAATCCAGCCACTCCACGCCGTCAATCCCAGGGAAGCTTATATGCAGAGGTGGGTTCCTTCGTCTCTGTCTACCTTCGTAATGCCTTGCTCCATCTTGCCGCGGTACTCACGATAACCGTAGCACATGCCCACCGCATCCGACGTCGACCCCTTCCTCGACAATATCTACTACAAACTCAATCTTCTCCGCAAAGACCCGCGCATGGTCCGCGTCGAAGGGTACTCCACACTCACCATCCGCGGCACGCGCGTTTTCGAGGACACCTACGCCTTCTTCGAGCGCTACTCCGACGACGACCTCAAGAAATACCTCCGCATCACCTTCGATGGCAAGAGCGGCAGCTGGGCATTCGGGTGAGCGTCCGACCCTTTGCTTCATTCCCCACAATATCCGTCTTCGATTCAACCCGTTCCCCTCTTTGCCTTGATCTCAATTGACCCAGCTGACACTCACCCAGCCAATGGCTCACATCGATTTCCCGCGACCTCGTGCGCGCAGACTGTGGGCCCTTTGCGCCAGCCTCGCCGGGAAATGCCATCCTCGAGATGAACCCCCACCTCTCGAGCTCGCTGCGCCCTTCCCTCGACATCGCCCGCTTCGCCGGGCGGTGCGTGGGGATCCTCATCATGTACAAGCGCGTCTTGGACGCCGCGCTCGCGCCGGCGTTCTTCAAGACGCTGATGGGGAGAAGGCCGGGCCTGGAGGATCTGGAGGCGGTGGATGCGGAGCTGTATCGCGCGTTGCGGTGGATGTTGTGAGTTTCTTGTTGTATTTAGATGACCCGCGTGGACGCAGAAAGAGAGCAGGGCGCAGAGTGAGGAGGGCGCGGAGAGAGTAGGCGCGGAGAGGTTATGTTGCTGACTGCATGCTCACAGAGAGAACGACATCACGGGCGTCTTGTTCGAGACCTTCGCGGTCCGGGAAGAGACGCGGGGCACGATGCGCACAGTCGAGTTGTGCTCGGGCGGGGAGCGCATCGCGGTGACGGAGGCAAACAAGGAAGCGTATGTCGACGCGCGCGTGCAGCATCGGCTCTTCGGGCGCGTCATGGGGGAAGTGATGGCATTTCGGGACGGACTGACTGGGGTGGGTGCCTTCTCTCCGGACCGAACCTCATCCTGGCGTGCTGGAGAGAATGTCGTTCGGGTGTATCGAACGAAATGTTGCTGAATCGATCCCTACAGTTCGTTCCTACGGATCTCCTCCAACGCTTCTCCGACGACGAACTGAGCGTGGTCTTCTGCGGGAAGTCGACTGTGAACATGTGCGTGTATCTTCCTCTCGTTGTCCCCTTCCCCTACCTTACAGATCATCTTCCGCCACTGACGTGCCCTTTCACAGAACCACCTGGGAGCAAAAGACCGAGTACATCGGCTACTCCCCAACCGACCACGTCATCGGCTGGTTTTGGGACGTCGTCCGCGGGCTCAGCGAGGCGCAGCAAGCGAAGCTGTTGTTCTTCGTGACTGGCAGCCCACGCGTGCAGGTAGGAGGCTTCGAGCGCAGTCGGTATAGCACGGGCCCGGAGATGTTCATCGTTGAGCGGGCGGAGGTGCCGGGCGGGATCGCGGACGGGTTGCAAGGCGGTCATGCTTGGCCCTTGCCGAGCAGTCATGCATGTGCGAGCACCCTGCATCTGCCCCCATATCCGGATCGCGCGACGCTGGAGAGGAAGTTGGTGTATGCTATCGAGTGAGTGTGCGCGTTGGTTGTGGGTACGCTCCGGCACTGACCATATCGCTCTCCAGGGAGTCACAAGAGGCGCTAAAGCCAGGTGCTGCACCGCCACTGCCGGGGCCTCAGAGTCTATCGGCATGGGAGGCGCATGGGCATTCGGCGGTGGTAAGCGACTGGATGCTTCCTGACACATGTTTATTTACGCCTCTGCAGTCGCAAGCGGATATCCGGCGCGAGCTGATGGACAGGCTATTGAGCGACGCTGCTCAGAAGGCTATCCAGGGCGTCTTGGTCGGTGTGAATAGCGCTGCTCCGTCCGCTCCCAGCAAAGCCGGCACTCAGGTTCAAGCGCCGACCGTCGACGATCGAAGAATCCGGGCGCTCGATGTGGGGTCGTCGTCCTCGGATGCTATGCTCGTGGACGAACACGTCCCCGCGACGGTCATCGGCAAACGTCCGCGCTATGATTCGATGGGGAACGTGGTCGAGCCGACTCTCAAGCGGATGCGCGTAGGTGATAACTTGACGCTCGATGCGAAGGCCACTATGGACGTGCTGGAAGAGGAGCTATCGGAGACGAAGGCCCACCTCGAGGACCTCCGTGCGCGCGAGACCTCGCTTTTCATGCAGCTTACTGCCGCTACCTTGCCGTCATCTCCACCCACACGAAGTCCTTCGCCACGGGCGTCGGATACATTATGGAAGGGAGAAAGCATACAAAGTCCGCGGCAGAAAGTCATGGAGGCGCTGCATGAGCAGGAACAGCAACTATGCTTGGAACGTGCAGCGCGTCTTGCGGCGGAACAGAGTTTGGCGGATGTGCGACGTGAGATACAGTCACCACACGTAGTTTATATGCTCATGGGGGCTTTGGAATGCATGACATAATCAAAAGCAACAGTGGTCCTGGGAATCTCCAGATTGCTCTGTTATAGCGGCGACGGGGTCGTGCGCAAGTCAAGCGCGTGTGCAGATGAAGTGGAACCGTGAGAGCTGGAACCCCTGTCTTGATTGTCGCACATTCCCACGCCGGCAATCAAAGCCGAGCGCTCTCATTCATTCGCTCAATCATTCAACTTCTTCCTGAGAACCGGTCCACAACTCTGATGCACAATGGCCGCCGAAAATGGCGACGCTTACATCAAGTATACAGCTACGCTCGTCTACGAGCATGCAAGAGCGCAGGAACTGTTCAACCTGGACCCCGCCGATATGAGGTACCAGATTTGCAAGAGCTTCGACAAGCTGCGACTCCCGCATCCCTCGGTGCACAATTTGGGTACTCCCGATACTTCCAAAGACAGTATTGAGTTGTGCTGGTACACGGAAGGCAGCAACACGGTATGCCGGCACCTTCTTCACCCTCATTGCGGGTTGACGCTAGCGGTGACTGGTAGATGACCTCGAGCATGGTCGAGAACGCCTTCAACATGCTTTACGAAACCGCTGAATATGTCAAGCTGCGGCGCAATCTTGGAATGTATGTACTTATGAGATCTACTCAGCTGTACTCCAACCTCATTGCTGCCATAGACGCGAAATGCGGGTGCATCATGGGTGAGATAGGAGGCCCCTGTTGACCGACACGCCTAATCATCACTCGAGGGAGGTTTCCGAGTCGCAGCTCCCTAAGAAGGACCGCTCGAGGCTGAAGACCAAAGTGGCAGGGGGCGCTCAGCTGGCGTCACCCCAGGTCAAGGTCAAGCCTTCCAAGATCGGGAGCTCCAGCCGCGATATCAAGCAAGAACAGGTTAGTGCACAACAACGGTGTAATGCCGCATCAGTCAATTCAAAAACACTCTTCACTAACCAAACCCCCAGACACCTTCACAACTGCCGCCAACACGCCTTCCAGTGCGGCCCCTCGCCGGCCCAACGCGGTCTCTCGCCCTCCCGGCGCGGCCGCCCATCTTGCCCATCGAGAAAAGAGGGTGCCTGAGATACACGGCGACGATCTTCTACGAGCGCGATAGGGCCACACGCCTCGCGCAGAAAAGCGCCTTCGACAACTACGCCGACCTCTGCCGCGACCTCGATGCCCTGCAGCTCCCACACCCTATATTGAGAGATGTGCAGATGACCGATATTGACGGGGGCAGCGTCACTTTTTGCTGGTATACCCAGGACGCTTACTCGGTAAGAACCAGTTTTTCGCTTCAACGACAGTCCGCCCGCTTGGACGGAAGACCTCCCGCTTAGACTGAAGTCCACTGGCGTGTCGGTTCACTCATAGTCTTGACAGGAGCTCGCCCTAGCGATCAACACTGCATTTCATACAGTATACCACAGCGCAAAGTCGGTTGATCTCAGGAAATTGCTAGGCATGTGAGTATCCTCGCATTTGGCATCTAATATATATCCGGTTCATGTTTTCATTGTTGCGCAAATACCCGATCCTCCTTTTGCGCTTACCCCGACCCTGTCTTGAGCTTACCCGTTCGCATAGATACGAGATGCGCGTCTGCCCCCAGTGAGTCAATTGACACCCTATTCATGGTATGCTTCTTGACTGAACTTCCTGCTTAGTTTTGCCAATGATAACGAGGTACCACTCTATCAGAATTTGGCTGGCGCCCACAAAGAATCACCGCCAGCCGCCTCGCTGCCTGCTCGCCCAGCGGTCGACATCGCCTATGGGCCAGCGTCAGTGTCGAAGACCCGTACAGAAGTCCGTAGTCTTGGCATGAAGGAGCATGTGCAGAGCCTTAATTGTGTTGCACGCCAGGCGTCCGTGCCCGACCGTGCTGCAGCCTCGATCGCATCCGGTCGTAACGACCAACCTCTGCCTGAGCGCAATACAACGCCAGCCGCACCCGACCGCAACGAAGCCCTGTCCGTCACACAGCGCAAAATCGCGGCCATGCGCGCCGACTCGCGCATGCACACCTCGCGCGGCGACTGCTACATCTCCCTGCGCCTGTCGCACATCCTGCACGATACATACGGGATCTTCCAGCGGTTCTCTAACGAAGAGCTCAGGAGATACATCCATGTCGAGCTCGACGGGAGTGGGGGGCATGCGAAGTTCGGGTGAGTCTGCTGTTTCAAATTGTAGACTGTTTGCTGGTCATTGCACGACCCTTGACCATTGCAGGCTACCACATACTGATGAAATCGGCAGGTACTGGCTGCACGAGCTCCAGCGCGGCATTGTGCGCCCAGAGCTCGGTGTCTTTGCGCGCGCTTCGCCCGGGAATGCGACACTGGAACTCGCGCCGGTGGGCGACTCGCCTGACGCGAACAGCCTGTCCGGAGCGGCGGGAGGTTCGTCAGACGCGGAGTCCTCGTCTCAGCCTGGAGCGCATCTGCATCTGGACTACATACGATTCGCAGGGCGTTGCGCCGGCCTTATCGTCTTCTACAAACGGCTGCTCGACGCGCCCCTCCCGCCCGTCTTCTTCAAGCTGCTGGTCAAGCGGCCGCCGGAGTTACTGGATTTGAAGGCAGTGGATGTCGAGCTGTATCGGTCTTTGTGCTGGGTGCTGTGAGTTGACTGCCGTCGCCCGAATAGTTGCACGCGACACTGACTCATTGATGACCTTGCCTGCATAGCGAGAACAACATCACGGACGTACTTTTCGAGACGTTCAGTATCGAGGAGGAGACTTCTACTGGGCTGCGCGTGGTCGAGCTCATTCCTGGCGGCGCGCAGATCCCAGTCACGGAAGCCAACAAGAAAGAGTATGTCGACGCGCGCGTAGGACATCGATTGATCGGTCGCGTCCGACAGGAGCTGGACGCCTTTAGAGACGGATTCACGGGAGTACGCACACCCTGCTCGTGGGTTAAACATGCAAGTCTGACGTACCATCTCTCAAAGTTCGTCCCTATCGATCTCCTTCGGCGGTTTACCGAAGGCGAACTCGCCGTGCTGAGCTGCGGGCTGCCGGAAATCACGATGTGTGTCGCGCACCTTGCCTCCCCGTCGCGGGTCTGACGCTGACCAAACAGCTCCGGGTGGCAGCGGAGGACGCAGATTCGCGGCTACGCGCCCGACGATTCCGTTGTTGCCTGGTTCTGGGACTGCGTCCGGGGCTGGGACGTCACGCGCCTGGAGAAGCTGCTGTTTTTTGTAACTGGGAAAACTCGTGTGCCCTTGGGAAGCCCGCACGAGAGGTCTCGTTTGCCTCGGGCTCCCGATGTGTTCATCATAGAGCGCGGTGGTGATCCGGGATCGCTGCCGACAAGTCACGCGTGCTCCAGTACGTTATACTTGCCGCCGTATCCGAGCCGTAGGGTGCTAGAGAAGAAGCTATTGTACGCTATCGAGTGCGTGCTTCATCATTTACGGTCAATGCGCATGTGCATGCTGATTAGCTCCTAGGGAGTCGCAAGAGGTCTTCGAGGAGTCGGCGGCGGTCGCGACCCATGATGGGGCTTCAGCAAACCCAATCCAGAGACCCAAGGTGTGAAGATGTATCTCCAACATGAGCGACTTCATGTCTGACAGCTTATGTAGCTCACAGGCGATATCAAGCAGGAGCTAATGAACAGGCTGCTGAGTGATGCGGCCCACAAAACAGGCGTCGCTGGGCAGCATGAGGAACAGCTTCATCGAGACCCCAAGGAATCGACTAACAAATACCCCGGCCGGAAGCGTGCGCGCACGAAGTCCTCGGATGGCCGTCCTCGCAAGCGCCTGCGTCCGGATGAGAGCGCTGAACCCGATGCTCACGCTCTGAGGGAAATACTCGAGGAGGAGCTGGCAGAGATCAAGAATCATCTAGACGAGCTTCGAGCGCACGAAACGTCGTTGTTCATGCAGCTCACCACCGGCACCTTGCCCGCATCAGCGCAGACGCAACAAGCGGCGCCTTCGTCCTCACCGCCTTTGCCATGCTCGCAGGAGAGGAGCACGATACCGCGCTCTCCCAACGAAAAAGCGACCTTGGATCTCGCCGCTCGAGAGCGCGAGCTGTGCCTCGAACGCGCCGTGCGACTGGCAACAAAACAGACCTTGGAGGACGTGCAGCGAGAGATCAAGTCTCCACACGTACTTTACATGCTCATGGGAGCATTAGAGTGTCTCTGATACTTCAACACCTACTTACTCACATTGGCTCCTCGACTGTACACTGTAAGCTTTTTTCTCGTATTTTCGCAGTTGCCAGAAGTTCAACTCTCAGCCACGTGACAAGTCTCGCACCGGAAGTTGCCGAAAGGTCACGGAACCGAATTAGTTCCTTTTTTTCGTTCATTCTTTGCCCTTAACCATGATCATCTCTTTCTCTCTCTCTCTCTCATGTAGTCATTCTTCGCATTGACCGTCCTCAAACCCGGATTTTGGCTTCATTCGAGTACTCTATGTCTGGATCCTCGTGAGCGATAAGGCCTCCCAGAAGATTTTGAGCTCTTTTTCATGGTTGAGAAACCCCTTGCCGAGCCTCGATGGATGGGCTGCTCCCGAGTGACACCTGGACCGATCCCTGGCGCGCCGCGTACCGGTCAGGTCGGATAGCAGCCCGCCGCTGATAGCGGCATTCGGTTTCCCGCGCTGGGCCTCGTGTGATAGCGGCGGCTTCAAGTGTATATAAAGCGGGCGGCGGTTTGTTCAGGTTGTTGGCGACTTTGTCGACGACGGTCGCCTTCGACACCCGACTTCCTGACGAACGGTATCGTCTGATATAGCCAGCATGTTCGCATCCCAGTTGCTTCTCGCGTCTGTCGTGGCGGCGGCCTCGTTCTTTGACGCTCGTGATGTTGTTGAGGCGGTGGTGCCAGTGGTTGGCGCGGAGACCAACGGGACGGAGGCGAAGTTTGGGGATGAGTACTACAGTGCGGCAATGGCTTCCATCGTCCATCGACCCCGTGCCGATTGACCTCTACTGTCAGACTACTGGCTCTACGACGCCGACACGACCTCCTTCGACCTCACGCGCGGTAATTCAACTAATGCGAAGACGCTCAAGGCCGGGAAGAAGACGATCACCGTGAACCCGGAGAAGAGCGCGCTTATCGTTGTGGACATGCAGAGTACGCATCTGAAGTTGGGGGCGCTACGCATCTGAAGTTGGCGCGCCCCCATTTCGATTCCTAACTCGGATCTTGCCAGACTTCTTCCTCAACCCCGCCTACACCGACTTCCCCGCCGGCCTGGCTGCCGTCCAGCCGACGATTGACTCCGTCAAGGCCTTTCGCGCTGCGGGTGCGAAGGTCATTTGGTGTCAGGTGCGTCCTGTCTCTTCGCGGTCGTCTGTCTCTTCGCGGTCGTCTACCTCTTCACGGCTGTCTCTTCGCGTGCTACAGACCGCTTCTGCGCGTGTCGCAAACCACTTCTTTGCGCATTGCAAACTGCTTCTGCGCGTGTTTTACCTTGCAGTTGGTCAATGCTTAATCTCAACCGTATAGTGGGGCCTAACGGAGTACGATTTGAAATTCATCCCGCCGTCGTACAAGTTCAGCTTCGCTACGGACAAGGACCCCGAGCAGAGCTTCGGGTCCGAGATGGGCGAGTACAATGGCACGGACTGGGGCCGGAAGTTGGTCCCGAAGGAGTATAACGCGCTGGTGAGTGGTTCTTCGCTTTCTTGCAGGTGACTGCGAGGTGATCAGCCACGGCGCTCGACCGCGACGCTTTCGTGCGCTTGATCGTAGCTCCTGACTCATCAACACTAGCCCTACGATCCACTTTGGGAGTTGGCACAGGAGGGAATCGAAGCTGGGACGGATCTGTACTTCAATAAGAGTAAGTCCCAAGTCCACGTGCTTCCTCGCTTCACCTCTCACCGAATTGGACGACTGACGTCTACCTCATCTCAGACCGCCAAAGCTGCCTCTGGGGCGCGCAGACGCCTACCGGGCAGTACCTCGAGGAGAACATGATCTCAACCCTGTTCATCTCGGGCGTGAACATCGACCAATGTGTATATGGGACGTTCAACGATGCGTACTACAAGGTGAGTGTGGTTCCTTTTCTTGAACAACTCATCGCTGCGGTCATGCCCTTGCTCACCTGGATAATCACTCGCATAGGGATGGGATCCCATCATCGTCCAGGACGCCTCGGCGACTTCCAGCCCGCAGTACGCCTACGACATGGTGATGTACAATGTTGACAGTACGTCAAGCTGCAAATTCGCGTGTTTTATTGACTGACTCCATTCATCAGAGCACGGCTTCGCCGTAAACTCGACGGACATCGTCAAGGGGATGGCTTAATGAGAACCTCACGATGTAGAGTAGATGAATGGCATGCCTCTCACGCAATCGACCGTCGTGCGAACGTCCTTCTCTGACCGCTTCAGTCTCCGCTTTTCCAGCTTCCGCATAGTACTGTGCCCTCCTTTGGGTACTTTCTCCTCCTTTGGGTACTTTCCCCTCCTTTGGGCACTTTCCCCTCCCTTGCAATTCTGAACGCCCTGGCTATGTCTCGGCGAGCGTAACGCTCCGCCGCGTGACATGACATGACATGTGGCCCGGGAGGCTGCTGCGGGCCGGCCCCTCTGTTAAGCTCCCCTCCGCACCGTTACCCACCGTCCACGGCGTGCTCTCTCCCTCCATTCGGCACCTGCCCGCGTATGGTCAAGCACTCCCAGCACTCATCCGCGTCCGCTCTCAGTCACCTGCACCGTTCCACCTGTTTCGAAGCCCACCTTTCAGGCCCGGACCTCGCCGACGTGCGTTTCTCGGTCAGGTGGTAACAGGGCGCTCCTTACGTTCGCAGAAGCCCGCCTATCTTGCCGTCTATAAAAGCGGATGCGCCCTTCGGCGCGGGCGGCGTTTTGCCGTCCAATAGCCCCTTTGATCTTAGTGGTCTCTCCAGCCTTAGTGGTCTCTCCAACCTTGGTGACCTCACTGAGCGTATAGGCCTTACACGACGTCTAGGCGAGTTCGTCGCAATGTGGACTCGACGCGCGCTGTTGTACATCGCGCAGACTCTGGCGGCGACGCAGAGTATTCGTGCCGCCCCGAATGGCTTTCCGGAATCTGGAAATGGGCTGTGGTATGATGCGCCTGGCGTGTTCTGGGGCAGGGATTTCCTCCCGGTTGGGAATGGATATTTGGCAGGTTCGTTTCATCAGTGCCTTTTGCTTCTTGATTAGGCCATCCTTGAGCACTGATTGACGCCTTTATATAGCTATGACGCCGGGTGGCACGACCGTGGAGACGACGCAGCTCAACTTGGAGTCACTGTGGTCTGGCGGCCCCTTTCAGAACTCGGTAAGCTGCCCTCGTTCGTATTCCGATAAAAGGTACCGACACGTACGAAGTCATACAATGGCGGCAACAAGCTACCTTCAGACCGGGAGGCGACGAAGGCGGCTATGGAGAATGTACGAAGCGAGATATTCGCGAGTACATCTGGGACTGTCGCGTCCGATGGTACGTACAGCGGAATTTCTCGTGACTTGTCATCGCTTACATGAATCGCAGGTCTAAATGCCTTCATGGTGGACCAACAAGCCAATTATGGTAACGCGCTCACTTTCCTCCCGATCCCTAGGGATATTGATGCCTTTATAGGTGCCTATGCTGGCGCTGGCTACCTTTTTACGACCTTGAACAACACAGGCGAAGTCAGTGGCTATGCGCGTTGGCTCGACCTCGACCAAGCCGTCGCACAAGCTACATGGACTCAAGGCGACGTACAGCTCAATAGGTCAGTACTGTAGTTCGTGCGACCTTTACGTTCCTCTGAAATAGAGTCGCGACCCTCACAGGACGACATTCTGCTCGCACCCCGCCCAAGCATGCGTGCAACAAACCTCATCCTCCGTGCCGCAAAATCTCACCTACGCGTACTCCGTCGCTCCCGAGACCGACCTGCCTCCGCCGAACGTGACCTGCCTTGACGACACCACGCTTCAAGTTCGTGGCTATGCGGGCACCCCCGGCATGCTCTACGAGATCCTCTTCCGCGTCCTGCCTTCCGCGCAGTCCACCGTCTCCTGCTCGCCCGCGGATCCCTACGACATGAGTGTCGCGACTGTCAATGCGACGCTCTCGGCGTCTGGGCCGGAGCTCGCTGTCATCTGGGTCGGCGATACTGAGTACTCGATGGATGCTGGTGATGAGGCGCACGATTTCTCCTTCCGCGGCGACGATCCGCACGACGTGCTCCTCTCGCGTATATCCTCGCTGCAAGACACGAGCGTCAGCGATCTACTCGCAGCCCATCTAGACGACGTCGCATCCACCCTCAATTCATTCTCGCTTAACCTTGGGCAGACTGCTCAACCGGACCAGACCACTGGCGCGCTGTTAGACGCCTATCAGACGGATGCGGGTAATCCGTACTTGGAGTGGTTGTTGTTCAACTTCGGGAGATACCTGTTGTGGAGTAGCGCGAGGGGCACCTTGCCGGCGAACCTCCAGGGAAAGTGGGCACAGAGCTACGCGAGCGCGTGGAGTGCAGGTTAGTCCTCCGTCGATGTGCGTCAACTGCAATGAGAGACTTACCTCCCTTACAGATTATCGTGCGTGCCATTCACCTTCGCTTGGCTGCTAGCGCTCATGAAATCACCAGATGCCAATATAAACATCCAGATGAACCTATGGTGCGCGGAGCTGTCGGGGCTGGACGTCTCCCAGTCGATGTTCGACTACATGGAGGTTCGCTTCCTCCGTCCAGAAGTACATTGGAGTGATGATTGACGCATTGCGTAGAAAACCTGGGTCCCCCGTGGTACGCAGACGGCGCAGAACTTGTACAACATAAACGAGGGATGGACGACGCACAACGAGATGAACGTAGGTTATCTCGCTGCGCATCGAGGCGTTCACGATGATGGAGCTCGTCGCAGATATTCGGCCATACGGGCATGAAGCTCGGCGACCCGCAGTGGGCGAATTACCCAGGTACGATGTTGCAGTCTGATACGTTTTCTGCGGCTCGCTGACACCCCCTTCGTGCAGAGGCCAACGCTTGGATGGTCTGGTCAATTATCGATCCGACTGTCGTCCATCCATACTGACCCTCGAACGCCCAGATGCTTCACGTCTGGGACCACTTCGACTACACGAACGACGTTGACTGGTGGAAGGCGCAGGGATACCCCTTGCTCAAGGTACGCACTTACTCCGAACAAGTCCCTGTGATCTAAATATCGATGTATCCCATCCAGGGCGTTGCCCAATTCCATCTTCACAAGCTCATCGAAGATCAACGCTTCAATGACACCTCGTTGGTCGTTGCGCCCTGCAACTCACCAGAGCAGAAGCCGGTTACGCTAGGTAGGTGCATGTTCAGCAACAGGGATTAAGAATATACTCACAACGGCCGTTAGGCTGCGCGCACGCACAACAGCTCATATGGCAGCTGTTCAATGCGGTTGACAAGGGCTTCGAGGCGTCAGGAGATAGTGACACTGACTTCCTGACCAGTACGTGGGGTCCACTTCGCGCGCAGACTATGTTAATGATCCTGATTCCCTTTCAGCAATTCGGACTGCTCGCGACAAGATGGACAAGGGGATCCATATAGGATCCTGGGGTCAGCTTCAAGGTGCGAAGAGAGAATTCTCTTACTCTGCTCTGACGAAACTCACAACGCCGCTATAGAGTGGAAAGTCGACATGGACGATCCGGACGACACCCATCGCCATCTCTCGCACCTCATTGGGCTGTATCCGGGCTATGCTCTGAGCTCGTACAACGAGAGCCTGCAGACGAACCCATCCTCTAACGCGTCGTACACGAAGGAGCAGGTACTGAACGCTACCACCATCAGCCTCACCCACCGCGGCAACGGCACCGGCCCCGACGGCGACGCCGGTTGGGAGAAGATGTGGCGCGCGGCGGCGTGGGCACAGCTAGGGGATGCGAGCCAGTTCTATCACGAGTTGACGGTGAGCAAAATTATGGAGCAAGTGATGCCCGTGCTGACTATGCATGCGCAGTACGCCATCGCTACCAACTTCGCCGAGAACCTCTTCAGCGTCTACAACCCCGGCGAGGACGACCCCATCTTCCAGATCGACGCCAATCTGGGACATCCCGCCGCAGTCCTGAACGCACTCATTCAAGCTCCCGATACAGCGTCGTATGAGGAGGCGCTGGTCGTAACGCTGCTGCCTGCTCTACCCCAGCAATGGGCGGCCAGTGGGTCCATCAAGGGCGCGCGCTTGCGTAGCGGTTTATCAGTAGACTTCTTGTGGACCAATGGGAAACTCGACGGCGCGACTTTCAGGGCATCAGATCATGCAAGGCCCAGGGATGTTCGTGTGGTGGCCGACGGGCAGGTAGTCAAGGAGTTCACGACAGAACCGGGATTGGTAGTGCATATCTGAACATTTACGGCCTGTTTAGGAGCGAAATTTACAGAGGATGTAAGACTGTAAACAAAAGAGAAATGTAGAGTTACGCATGCATCGTCGTCTGGGGACCGTTCTTTGTCAGACTCAGCAAGTTCAAAATCATCACCATCCTGGGACTCTTTGCCGCTGTTCCTATGGCCATGGAATAACTGGCCCCGGTGGTTGATTGGACCGTCGTGCGAGCTTTCTCGCTAAGTCTTGGGCAAAGCCGCACATTGTCAAAGTCGCTGAAGAACGAATCGTCAATGAATTGAACCCAGCATAAGCCAAAATGCTCACGGTTCCATGACCCCGATGTAGGGAAGAGGGCACCACCCGTGACATAGACATTATCGCAGTTGCGCGGACGGTACAAGCTGTCGACGGAGGCATGCGGGTCGCCGTCGAGGTTGTCGCTCATGTAGAGCGTCGAAGTCTCGTGCACGAGTCCCGGAACGCGCACTGATTTTGCGGGGGGACGCTCCTTCCTCCATCCTGCGCCGCTTTGACCAGGCGTGGAGGACTGCCCGTTCTCGATGGGGCCTTTGTCCTCGTACGCATCGTGCCAATATTCGACATCGCCTTCATGACCCCCTGCCATGACTGCGATTGCCTCATACCTAGTGGGAAATTGAGTGCGCGAAGTATGAGGAGAGATGGATGACACCCACGTCGCCTCCTCCATAACCCTTGTACAAGACTCGGTCCTCGTGTTGGGGAGGACCTGCAGGCGGACATTTGTCGTCACGTCTGAGATCGACGGGTTATGCTGCATCCACGAAGACGCATTCGTTTCGTCTAGTTCGCCGAGCGTCGCGCACACTGAAGACATATAGGGTCAGTGGTTATTACACAAATGGACAAGGGACTATACCAAGAAGGATATGTTTCTCCGAATCAGCAAGTTGCTCAGCCGTAGCTGCCGCCGCATAGTCGGGGCACAGCCGCGCCGCATCCTCCGCATCCCTACCATCGGGGTAGGGAGAGTGGATCGCGGTGATCTGGACATGGTACTGCAGCCCCGTCGTAGCATCCTCCCCGGCTAGGTAGTGTGCCGCAATCTCCAGATGCTCCAGGTGATCGATGTTGCCCAGCAGGGACATAGGGAATCGCGCTGTGATGTGCGATATATAGTGCCCCGACACACGCGAGCCCGCGCGGTCCTTGAGACGGTCGCCGATGGAGTTCATAAGGATCGTCGTGTTGGGGAAGGCGCCAGCGGCAAGGATGATGTTCGTGGCGCGCTCCGGGAAGCACAGAGCGCCGCGCGAGGTTTGCAGCACGATCGGCCGGTTGAACTTGTCCTGCGGGTCGAGCTCGAAGCGCTCTACGACAACGTCCGTCGCGATCATGAGCGGGCTGCCCTCGCCCTTCTCGGCGAGCTTGCGCTGGCGCTCGTAGATGGCGAGCAGCGGCCCGGGGGTGGAGAACTTATCGAAGGTGATACTGTTGGCCATAGCGCGCTTGCGTCCGACGGCGAGTCGTGCATGCTCCGTCATGATCGCAGTTGGAATGTCGCGGAGTCCATCGTCGAGGCGGCTCTGTATCTCGCGCTGAAGTGCCTGGCCAAAGCACGGGTCGTTGATGCGGTTGGCGGACTCGACATGGAGGAGGTCTTCGCAGCGCTTCCAAAAGCCAGGAGCGTCCACTGTGTCCTTCATGGACTGAGGGAAATCGCGCATGAGGTCGATCCCCTTGTCCTTGTGGACGGGACGAGGGCACCAAGCAGACCAAAAGGTGCTGCGACCCCCGAAGAAGGGACACGAACCATGCACGAACTATTGTGATAGATGAATAGGCAGGTTGGCACAGATCTCGACGTCGATTCACCTTCGCTGGGCTCTTTACAGTCTCCGTGGTGAGCTGCCAAGGGTACGTCTCAGAAGGTCCTCCAAGCACGAGCTTGAACGGTAAGGGCAAGTTCTGGGAGGATATCAATCAACAATACCGAGTTCTCGGCTGGGCGACACATACCTGGAAGTGCTCCGGGAGCCAGAAGCCTACGAAGGGTCTGCATCAACGTACAGTAACTAGGCCAAAAGAGAAAAATCGCACCTCCGCGCTCGAGAATGAGGATCTTGCGATTAGGGTCCCTTTTGAGCGCCTCGTCGACGTACGCAAGAGCGCACATGCCGCTGCCGACGACGATATCGTGGAATTGGCCATGGTCGAGGATGTTGGCCCACGTCGGGTCCTCGACGAAGTAGTGCGCGGCAGTGGCCTGAGCAGCTGTTGGCGACTGCGGCCCCGGGCGCGGGTAGCCAAACTGATTGTTAGGGCCATTGCGAGCGTCGGGTTCGGGGGCTTCGCCTGGGCGACAGTAGAAGGAATCATGGGTGGGCCCTGGTATCTTGAGGTAGTCGTCGAGCTGCCATCGAGGGTTCGACATGGTGCAGAAGGAGCGGGGCACGGAAAGCAAGTACGCGGGTGAGGGCAGAGCCACTGACGGAGTCTGCTGAGAACGAACGGGCGAGGGAAGAAGGGTTATTATGCTCTCCCGCCGTATAGCTTAGACCGCCGCCTGGGTGCTGCGAGGTTGACGATACATGGTTTGAGAAGCGCTATTTAGGACGTGAGGTTCAACCCAGCAGACCTGCGGCGCTCAACGAGGCTGCGGCTCCGTATGTCGAAGCAAGCGCGGGATGGGTGAATGTCAAAAAACGTTAATAGATGAGCACTGATAAGTTTGGGACGCGCACTGATCAGTTCGCGACGTGCAAACCTTGTACACAGGAAACAGGAACCTGTCCTTATCCCAAGCTATCAGACGACTTGCTAAGTTCTTTCATCGATGAGGAGCCGTTCTGACATGCCTTTGCTCGAGATACGAAGCGCCCCGTGGGAGGGACTTAGCGTCAGCTGGTAAGCGCCGAACCAAACGTCACGACAAGGAGAAAAAAGTCGACAATACTGGAAGCGTCGCGGGCAAGAGCTTCCAGGGCGAAGGAGAATCACTTGCGTGAAGTCAGTTCAGCGGGCCAGCCGTCATTGTGACGCCCCCATTCGAAAAGCCTGGCTACAATCAGGGTTAGTTTAGCTAGAAGCCACATCCACGATGCGGTACATACCGAATATACTGACGATAATCCAAAGGATGAGCGACGATTGATCGAAGACTAGACGCAGCGCCTCTCATCGATGGATGCTTTCGTACTTTGCTGGGAGTTGTAGCTTGCAAGGACGGGCACGTTGCAGTTATTTCGACCTTCGAACCTTGTAAGGTAATAACGCGAACCCTTGGCGAGTTCTTCCAAGCATGAGCGAGCAATCGGACAACTTGACTTGGCCTCTCATCGATCGTGGAGCTTCCGGGCTTCCTGGTGTTTGGATTGCAAACCGTCCCAGGAAAGGCGTCAGCGTCAGGCAGAAGGGAGAAGAATCTGCGTCAAACAGAAGGGCGCGCTACAATTGGTCGCGACGCTGAGGAAGTCTCGGAAGGTCGAAGAACGCAAGCAGAACGTGCGATATCTTCTCGAATGCCAGTCACGGTCTAATACATTGGTGAGGCTCTGGCAGGCATCCTCGAATGCCGGTCGTGCTTGGAAGTCGTCTATGAGTCGTGTTCACTCTAAGGGCTCCCGGGACTCAACCCGTCGGTCAGGGCGTTCACCCTAATCATTGCCATACCTTCGGGCTCTCCCACTCTTGCCGCAGAGTTCAAGGCTCTGGTTGGCGATCTCCTTTGTGCCGCCGTTTGCTTGGATTGGAAAAAGTCCCGAACGCCCGAGCAGAGCTACGCGCACTATGCGAAGTCGTCAGGCTCGCCAGACGAATCAATTGCAAGCACTCACCTAGGCTCTCCACGAGTGAATACCTATGGATAGTTAGTAGATAGACAGAACACGTACCTCCTGATGAATTGGTCCGCGCACTTGTGTCCAGCGCAGGCGCAGTGAGCGTCACCCACATCGAGTCGACGTCCTAAGCATCCGTTATCCATGAATCCAGAATCGTAGCTCGCGAGATGATATGCTACATAAATTACAGCCATAAACCTATATCCGGACCAAATGATATGCGCCGAGGGGGAAGATATATGTGTTCGAAGGGAGACGGATGAATCCCCGCGGGCCACCGTCGCAAACCCTGGTCTGCTCCCGGAGGGCAAGCAAGAGAACAAGCTCGCGCGGAAAGAGCCCAGGAAACCCCCAGTGAGAGCCCGAAAGACTCGAAAGGCGGGAGAATGGCGGTCCGATAGGTATATGCGGTCCTTCGTCAGTGGGTAAGTAGCAGAATGTCATGTCGTGTCGTGTCATGTCTTGAAGATGATGATGAGGATGAGCAGTATCAAGATGAGGGCGGCAATAATGACGGTAGATCCTAATGGACGAAATGCAAGTCGCCGTCAGCAAACATCTACATGAACAAGCGCATACACCCCACGCACCATTATTCTTCGCGCCCTTCGCAAAACGGTCTAACCTCCTCCTCGCACCGCTCATACGGTCATGCGTGCGGTCAATGTCCGTGTCGAGCTCCGACAGAAGCCCGTGGTGCACGTCGAGCTCGTCGTTGATCTGGATTGAGAGGTCCCGCTGCCGGTTGATCGAGTGCGAGAGGCGGTCGAGGTGCTCGTCCTGGGTGTTCATCATCCGTTGCTGCGTTTGTAGAAGGATACTAGGGTCCTCATTCGCGTCGGGGTCGTCCGTGTAGGGCGTCATGGGCTCTGGGGAGCGACTTGGCACTTGGGGGATGAGGGAGGCGGTGGGGGACGGCGTTCGTTGTGCTTCTGGGGGGTCCAAGCTGGTGGACAGACGCCGTGTTAGCTCTCCCTCATGCTACGTCGTATAACGTATTCCACGCACCTCTCCACCTGGCTATCCTCCCCGAGCATCCCGCGCATGCGCTCGTACTGATTCCGGAGCAGCGAGACCGCCTCCGTGCGCCCGTCCTTCGCCTCGAGCGCGCGGATGCCATCGCGCAGCTGCGCCAGGTTCCGGTTAATCTGCTCCGCATTGCGCGTGTACTGCTCGCTGTTCGGCGCGCCGGAGACGAAGGACGGCAGCGTCTGTTGCCGCTGTCGCTCGAGCAGGAGGGACAGCGTTTGGGTTGACACCGAGGTCAGTTTCGCGAGAGACATGTCCCCAGTGAGTCGTGAGTCGCAATGAGGGAAGAAGGTTGGTTCGGTATGAGATTGATAGCAGGTCCGCTTCAGCTCACGGTCGCCGTCGCCGACGACGTGCCCAAGTTACACCGCGACGCCACATAATCATACACTATTTGGTCGTTTATCAGCTTTGTTTGTTCAGTTTCTCACCAAAGTGAAAAGTTGTTTTTCCCCGTCCTCGGATGAGAGAAGATATCGATACATTATTTCTATCTTAACAACAGGGTTTACCCCCTGTACGCTACCCTAGCAGCAGCTAACCAGAATTCTTTACCTCCCACCTCGTTCCACCCAAGGGGACCCAGATCGCACTCAGCGCAAGTGAGCAACTTCATTGAGGCGCCTGTGCGATAGTCAGCATACAATACTTAACAGGGAAACCAGGAAAGAGTAGCGGCAGTGCAGACGAGGGGTGCATGCGGAAAGAAAGCACCCAAGACCGGGCACGGTAAGGACCCACTCAACACAAACGCACTCTTCGTATCCAAAGATGAAGAAGCCCGCTCACCTCCCTTCTCCGCACTCGGAATCGTATTCGAGAACCCAATGTTCTCAAACGTCATCATCGACCCGGTCACCAGCCACCACTGCGTCGTCTCCGGCGGCGGAGGCAGGGCGGCGAGGTGGGGATTGGGGGCACTACCCGCCGGCTCCATATGTACCGACGCCCTCTCCGTCCACGTCGCGGCCCCGGCCTTCAAGATGATGCTTCCGCAGCCTTCGCGCGGGCAGAGCAGGTCGTGTTTGTTGACCATTGCACCTGGCTAGGGTAAAGTCAGCTACGGTGGCCGACATCAGAGAGGGATGACAAGCGCGTACCTTGTCCGCACTCGCCTCCACCACATCCGCCATCCCGCCTGGCAGCTCACTGAGCAGCTTTCCGGACGGCCTTGTACGCGTCGAGGAGCGCTGGAGAGCCTCGAACAGCCCGGGCGGGAGGGACTGCGGTTGTTGAGGATCGCTCTGCGCAGGTGGTGCTTGAGGTGCTGGTGGCACAGCTTGTGCAGGCGGGAGCTCCTTCGCCGCCTCGCGCGACAGCACACCCTCCCTCAACTCCCTCTTCATCTCAAACCACGGCCGTGCCCCATGCTGCACCTTGCTCGGTCCGACCAGCGTGAACCCGGCCTTCTCGTACAGCGGGACGAGGTCGTCGTGCGCGATGAGGAGGATGCGGGTGTAGGGTGTGCTCATCTGTGACTCCAGCCTCGCGACGTACTCCTTGAGCAGCCGAAGCGCAATCCCTCGCCGCCTGTACTCCGGCGCGACGCACACGGAGTGAATGCACACGGAGGACGCGCCGGGGACGTGATTGGACATGGACTCGTGCGTGAGTGTCGACGCAGGAGAGGTGGTGGCGCAGATATAGCCGATGAGGGTGCGAGATGGCGTGCCATCCGGGCGTGCAGGCAGATAGGCGCCTAAGAAGAGATCGGGCGCCTGGGATTGGCGATATCTGTAGAGAGGCTTTGTCGGCGTTCCATACTACCGAGGTGTACAGCCATACATGACGCACCTGAATCCTTCCAGGGTCGCCGCCTCATCCTCTGGGTAGCCTGAAAGGACAATACGATCCGTCCATCATCGCGCGTGTTGACGGGAGTGGATGTCACTGACTGGCTTTCTCGATGGCGATGGCGGTCTCGAGATCGGAGGCGGGGACGGGGGCGAAGAGGAGGTCGAGGTCGGCCATGGTGCTCAGGTTCTGATTCGAGAGCCGAAGGTGGAGGAACAGGAAAAGCAGAGGGTGTCGGACGCGCGCGCCGACGCGTCGATGATGCGGGTCTCGTGATGTGGGTGAAGTGGACCCACAAGTTCAAGTCCGACTCGTCCGATGTTGAGCTGATCGAATAAGCAGAGCTACCAAGCAACCAACAATCCACAGGTAGAATACAGTAGTTCGAGAAGTAATTCCTGACTATATATTCACCACCATGCCCGGCTCCGTCCTAAACTCCTTCACCACGTCCCCTCCTACAGCGATCCTTACATCCCTATCCCTCGCATTCTCCGCCACCACGATCGTCGCGCTCTCCAGCTTCCCTCCACTCCACGACGTATCGATCGACATCCCACCTCGCAGCCTCGCGCCAGTGATCGCGCCAGAAGACCACTGTTCAGGCAGCGCAGGCAACAGCGTCACCACCAGCGCCTCGTCCCAAGTCGCCGTATCCGGCACCTGGATCAGCGCGTTAAGCACCGCACCGGGATGTCCCAGATTCGCGTCGATCTGGAAGGTCGAGTTGGCGACGCCGGGGGTGTAGACGCCGAGGAGGTTGGGGCCGAAATTCGAGGCGATGGCGTACTGAGGTAGTTGGAATCAGGAGTGGAGGTGGCAGTGGGGATGACAGTGAGCCTCAGCTAATTTCCCGCACGACCACTCACCGTCAACTGATGATAGAATTTCTCTGCGTCCCCCAACTGCGCCCACGCCGCCGCGCGCCACATCTTCTCCCAGCCCGCGTTCGCGTCCGGGCCCGATCCGTCGCCGCGGTGCGTGAGGCTGGTGCGCGCGGCGTCGAGGACTTGCTCCCGTGTGTATGATGCGTTCGAGGATGGGCTGTTCTGCAGGCTCGCATTGAACGAGGCGATCGCGTACCCGGAATACAGGCCAATGAGATGGGAAAGGTGCCTATGAGTATCGTCGGGGTCGTCCATGTCGACCTTCCATTCTGCAGAAGTATATGAGCGTCGAAGAAGAGGAAATCAGAGAGCGGACTAGTACTGGACGCGTTCTTACCTTGTAGCTGTTCCCAAGAACCGATATGAACCCCCTTGTCCATCTTGTCGCGAGTGTTCCGAATGGCTTCGCACGGTTGAGTGCGTCGTATGAGATTCGTCAACCAAACGCACCATCCAAGAAATCACCATCATTATCGCCAGCAGCCTCGTAGCCCTTCTCCGCCGCAATGAAGAGCTGCCACAGAAGCTGCTGGGAATGCGCGCAACCTATCACGACCTTCAGTTATTGAAAAGGCTTCCGTTACCGTTGCTCACCAAAGGTGACAGGCTGTTGTTCGGGCGAGTTGCAAGGCGCGACTATGAGGGAAGAGTCGTTGAAGTACTGATCCTCGATGAGCTTCTGGAGATGAAATTGTGCGGCGCCCTACTATCATATGAGCTCGTTGCTTTTCCATCGAGGCATGCTTTAGAAGACGCCCAGCGCACCTTCAGCAGCGGATAGCCCTGCGCCTTCCACCAATCAACATCGTTCGTATATTCAAAGTGGTCCCAGACGTGCATCATCTACGGGATGATGGGCTAGGATGAGCGTAGTTGAATGTCTCGTACGCACCATCCATGCATTCGCCTCTACACCGTGAATCAGTGACAATGAATATGAGGCTTGAGATCAAGGACTGCATACCAGGATAGTTCGCCGCCTGAGGATTCCCCCACTTCATCCCGGTGTGGCCAAAGATCTGCAGGTCAATCAGAAACTCCATCACTAGCTTCATTGACGATTACTCACGTTCAGCTCGTCATGCACCACCCACCCTTCATCGAAGTTGTACAAGTTTTGCGCCGTCTGCGTGCCTCGAGGGACCCACGTTTTCTGCCCGAGGGTTAGTGATGGCGGGCGAGGAACGGAATTGCAGAGAGAACGGACCTCGATGTAATCGAACATGGACTGCGTCACGTCCAGACCAGTCATCTCCGCGGACCAGAGGTTCATCTGGATGTTGATGTTCGCGTCTATCAGGTCGTCAGGCATGGTCCCGTCTTCGCACGAACCAATCGAGGACGTACGGTAATCTGCGATCTCCTGTCAGCCATCCCATCCGCCGCACTTTTCAAGTAAAAGGAGATCCAAGTCTCAAGTCAACATACCTGACCCCCACTGCGGTAAATACAGATGCGCCCATTTCCCCTGCAAGTTCGCCGGCAGCTTCCCCCTCGCGCTGCTCCACAATAGATACCTCCCATAACTGAACAGCAGCCACTCCAGATACGGATTCCCCTCGTCCGTCTCATACGCATCAATGAGCGCCGCGGTCGTCATATCCAGCTGCGGTGTCTGCCCGAGGTCGAGGGCGAACGTGTTCAACGTGGAGTCAGCAACGTCTTGTAGGTGCTCTTCGAGCAGGTCGGCGAAGGTGCTGTTTTGCAAGGATGACAAGCGCGAAAGCAAAGCATCGTGCGGGTCCTCGCCGCGGAAGGAGAAGTCGTGCGCCTCGTCGCCCGCGTCCATCGAGTATTCCGTGTCGCCGACCCAAACGATGGTGAGATCAGTACCGGAGGCGGAGAGCGTAGCGTTGAGGGTGTCGACGGAGGTGTCGTAGGGGTCCGCGGATGCGCAGGATACGGAGGAGTTTCCCGCTGACAGAGCGTGGAACAGGATCTCGTAGAGCATACCCGGCGCGCCGGCGAGGCCGCGGACTTGAAGGGTGGCGTCGTCGAGGCAGGTCACGTTTGGCGAGGGCAAGCCGATCTCAGGCGCGACGGAGAAGGCGTAGGTGATGTTCTGCGCGGCGGATGCCGAGGTTTGCTGCACGCAGGCTTGCGCTGGGTGCGAGCAGAATGTCGTCCTGAAGGCGACTGTAACTTAGCTGCAGGGGACGGGCGACTGAACACCCTACGCACCTGTCAATGTTGGCGTTCCCTTGAGTCCAGGTCGTACGCGCTATGGCTTGGTCAAGGTCGAGCCAGCGCCCATATCCAGCGATATCACCCGAGGTGCCCAACGTTGTGAAGAGGTAGCCCGCGCCGGCATATGAGCCTGTGGAGAAATCAGTGAATGAGGTCGCTCAAAAAACAGAGTCTATGACCATAGTGCGCCGTATTCGATTGCAATCCGCCCATCTGGTCTGGGAGAACTTGAGCCAATGACACCGAAAGCATCGACTGTTGGGCTTACCGTCAGCAATGGTCCCGTTCTCACTCGTGAATATAGCGCTTCGTATGCTAGCCATTGCAGCCCTCGTCGAGTCACGGTTCTCCGGTATCTTGTTGCCTCCGTTGTACGACTACGAACAACATCAGCTCAGATGCACAGGGGTAAGCAGTCACGGTCATAGAAGAAATCTTACCGGATCTTCAAACGGTCCACCAGACCAAAGAGACTCCAGGTTCAGCTGGGTGGTCTCGAGAGTTGTGCCACCAGGAGTCATAGCTACGGGCAATCGTTAGCACTTGCATTGAACAGGGAATGCTATCACGAACCTGCAATGTATCCGTTGCCAATGGGTAGATATTCCCGGCCCCAGTTGGTCCCGGGAGTGTCGTACCATAGCCCGTTTCCGGATGCTGGAAACCCATTCGGCGCAGCAAACACAATTCGTGTTGCTGCCAGCGTTTGAGCAGCTAAGACAGTCCCACGAGTCCACATCATCGGCGTCGGGCGAGGCGACAAGCCCTGGAGGGTCAGAAGGGAAATGCAGGAACTCGGCGACAGCGATCGTCAGCCCCACAACGGCTTTTCTAGTTTCGAGGATGTCCGGACTGCCGGCTTCTGAATATAATCGTGAGTAGCGCCCTGGCGCCACCTGACCGACGAAAGCACGTCGGCTACTTGTCGGTCACCCTTCCCCCAGATAACAAGACTTCGACACAGATGGAACAGCGGAAATGAGCCATTTATTGGAGAGTCGTGTTGCAGTGTGCGCATAGCGCATGTCAGCGTGCGTGCGATGGTTAGCACGGAAGGAGAAATTTAGCTTGATCTGCTAAAGAAGCCATGGTCGTTGCCAGAAAGATATGCAGCAAGGCTTCTCCGGAGGAAATGAGGAATTCTTAACTGGGAAAATCAAGGAGTGATAAACTAGTCGGCGACGCGTATGAGACCTACGCTGAGTTCATGATTTCGAGGGGGAGTGACAAGACGAGTCAGACAACTCGAGGGAGCAGTTGAGCAGTTCATTTGCATATAATATGTGGATAGTGACCGTGCGACGATGGCTGTGAAAGGCGGTAGGACATGATGAAGGCAGGAAGCAAGAGATGTTACTGTTTGTTTGGGCAAAACAGCTCATCTCACGTGATCTCTCTCTCTCGGCGTTCGGCGATTCCCGATAAACGCCACTTGTCCTGAACCTTTGTCTCCAAGTTCAGCGCGTCGTGCACGCCTGAACATGGCCGCGTCTCGCACCCATGAAATCTTGCGTATTCTGGACTTGCTCGAAGGAATTCAGCCCCGGACTCAGTCCAGACTGATTGCACTTCTGGCACTCGAGGATACCTTCTCAGAGCTGCAGATCGATCCTCTGGGGATACACGAGCATCAGCGTCAGCCCAAAGATCCACGAGTCGTCGGGGCGATTACTGCCACTCGGGCCATCACGCGTGCTCTCACCTTTACGATGGATAAGCCAGATCTGCAATCTATCCGTGATTCCGCTGTGCACTGCACCCGCCGCTGGTGGTTCTCACTCCTTCGCTGGCTCGACTTTATCCATCCCAAACAGCAGTGTATTCGCTTCGATGGTAGAATCGCAGAGGTGCTCGTGAGTGCGTACAGCGCACTGGTCACCTCCAAAGACGCGCTCCTCGATCTTATGGAAGAGACGCCAGAGTTCTTCAGTCTCTTATTCGATCTATGGCTGCATTACCCAGATTACACGAAGACTTCCGGCCGGTTCGAGCCTCTGGCTATGCACCTTTTCAGCTCCATCTCTTCGGCCGTCATGGTGCTCACTCTCTATGCTGATGCGGACGACAATACCATCGTCAGAGCACACTCCACGGCCGTCAGAGAAGCTATGCTCGTTACGAGGATGCGACCCAAGCATATGTACAAGCGTGCTGTGCAGTACATGCAATACTGCAGGAACGCGGGGGGGACACTAGTGTATGGCGTATGCTCGATTCAATTGCGTACCCTCACCTACCTGGTCAAGGGTGCTCTACCCATACCGCGTCACTCCAGAAAGACCATCGACCTCCTCGTCGATTTGATTCGCGAGACGAACAGGGGGACTGATGAAGACGCGGCGGAAGCCACGGGCGCAGACGCGTGCGCGTTGTTGCACGACGTCTGGACAACCGATGAAGGCCATCGCTCGCTGATCCGAGCGCTGCAGAAGGGCCTGTTGCGGCTATTGATGGAGCTGAATTTCCAGACAAGCGGCAGGATCACTCACATCTTGTCCTACGTCTGTAAACGGTCCATATTCTTGCCCGTCGCACGCACTCTAGGAGAAGTCTGCCCTCAGTCCTCCTTCCGCTATGCCAAAATGCACAGCGAAGTCAACGGCACAGAAGTGGATATCCAACATCGCGAACGGCTTAAGGTCATGCACAGCCTTTTGCCTGAGAAACTATGCGGCAACGAGGAGGTCCGTCCAGCATGGAATAAATACCGGGAAAAGTACTGATGACTTCCAGTGTGGCTACGTTCTCGTTGACGAGCAACGCCGGATGAAGGCTTGCCGCTGCTTTCGCGTCAGGTACTGCTCGCGCGACTGTCAGGAAGCGCACTGGCCGGTACATCGACTGACCTGCCAGTACAAGACCCGGACTCGCTTTACCATGAGAATGGGTGCGCATGGATCAAGCTCCACATATACCTGCTTCTGACACATACCTTCTGAAGGCGAACTCCGTCCCATCGAGATACAATACGCGGCGAGCCTTGCCTTACTATACCTCGAACGAGCCGGCCGCACCATCGTCTCCGAGATCGACGCGCACCTCGCGAGACTCGCCGACCCATCTGAGAAGCGGATCTTCGTCGTGAAGATCGACTTCCTCAACGAAATCTTGCCCCGGCACGAGATTGACGCATTCTCGCAGGAGGACCTTTTGAACCCGGTCATTCATCCTCACATCCCTCCGTCCACCAAAATCCTGAGGTCTCTGGTGCAGGTCGCGGCCGTCCTGGGGCGTGTCGGGGGGACGATGACGGCTATTGTGGCCAAGCCCAATGTCACGGTAGAGACCTTTCGGCGGCGGTATGGGTCGGTGACAAGCAGTTCGCGTTGACTTCAGGATGTAGTGATTTCCTGATGTATACAATTCAAGGCAGACGTATCGGATGATCTACAGGTGATTTACGACCGGGTGACGACCTAGACTTGTACCGCCAAGAAATCCCCATTTCGCAGAGGATTCTCTATCGTACTGATACTGATAGAATATGAGCCTATCGACGAGTGACGAGAACAAAACGCGGATTCGTACGAGAGCATCTGATAAGATTCACTTCAGGGCTCACCAGCTAGACCGAAAATCAGCCAGTGTCTCTAATCGCGCAGTCGGCAGAGGAACTCACGGAGACCATCTATAGCGACGGATAGTCGACTGGACCTCTTCGTCCGAGGCAGCAGCTCGTGCACACGGTTCATCGCAGCGGCGCAGTTGTACATGGTGCAGCCCGTCTCTGTCACTGCCGGGTCAATTTCCACCTTCACTTCGATGTGCACGGCATCGAAGCGCCCTTGCACGCCTAAAGTCTCATCCAGGAGTGAATATTCTTGCGACTGGGCGTCGACAGACTCGTACATGTCGACGGTGTCATTCACCACCGCGTCGTCCTCTTCGAGGAAGGCTAGCTCCAGCAGAACTTGTGATGTGCCGACGGTAGCGAGTGTATCACGCAGCCATTCGAACGCACGCGAGAACAGATACATCCGATGAATGCCAAGCCGGCGCAAAGAGCTAAGCATTGATAGGTCCTGGCGGTCGTCGCTGGTCGCTGTGATACACATATTAGTTTCAGGACAGAGCAAAAGCCACGGGAACGCACGAGAATCCGGGCAGATCATATCCAGATGGGAAAGAGTTTCCTTGCATATCTGCAGTATGCGACTTATCTCGTGGGGACTGCTATACATACGACTGACGTCCAGCCGCACAAGATGGTGAAAGTAAAAGGGAGTGTGTATGAGGAAGAACGGGTACAGAAGCCTCGTGTTGCGGCTCGAGGCCAACTCGAGGTGTTCCACCCTCGGCAGTCCTACCCTTGGCAGTAGATGTGCAGGGGGAACTGCGAGGAGATCTGTTTCGTAGTTGCTGAGGGCATCATAGCAGGAGAGGTGCCGAAGGCGAGGCATCTTTTCAATGGTCGCCAGAGGGAACTCTATTGAAGACAGACGCAGGGACGTCAATGAGGGAAGATCCAGAGCCTTCAAAATGCTATCAGGCGGCCTGCGCAAGGCTGCGCCATCCGATCTGATCTCCAGGCTTTCCAGGTTTCGCAACAATGGCAGAATATGCAGGATGGAATCGTCCGTGTTCGTGACATAGTGCGGGCCTCGCTCCCGCGTGAACTCCAGAACGAGCTCGCGGATATAGTCCGCGAGACAAGGGGTCGCGCGCAAGACCTCCAGCAGCCGCTGCGGAGCAGTCAAGGCCGTTGGATCCTCCCGTACCGCCGCGTATTCTTCCGGCAGACGAAGCCTAATGCGGGAGAAGAGACATTGCTGTATCTGCGTGCGCATGCTTCGAAGCGCGAGAGCACATTGCTCGAGAGAGTCGTAATCCTCGGAGGCGCTAAGGTCTTCTACGATGAGGCTGATGAGCTCTGGCGGCAGAGCTGGCCCGTCACTCGAATCGATGCCCTGCATCTGTGTCTCGGGCTGATGATCACAATTGTCAGGAAATACAAGTAGTTTCAGCAGTCTCGCAGCTTACTTACTTGTACAAGATGTCCTGTATAAGCTCACCGATGACCGGGGCCTTTGAATGCCTGTACGAAAACACGAGCGAAGAACGCGACTGCAGTACTTGCCAACACGTTTCTCGGCAAATCCCGGTCATCACGTGAAGCAAAATTCAACTTTTACTTTCTCTCTCTCTGCCCTGCCAGAATTACCGGTCGTGCTACACCAGGCCACACCGCGCCAGCAAGCAGCGCTTCGTGACCTCGGGCCCAATACAGCTTACCTTTACGAACATGAAGCCTCTGGAAACCTTGCTCGCACGCCAAATTTGACCAGAAAACATCTGGTTCTGACTATACACAGGTAACATTGTCCGAGAGCTATGATACACGCAAGCAACCGTCCGAGCTACTGTCGTACAGAAGTGAATTGCCCGAGCTCGGGCGATGACAAGACATGTACCGATGGAAGAGGTCGTGGGCGACGTATATACACGAAAGCGAGGATGGAGAGATTGTCTCTTAGGCGTCGATCAGGATGAAGAGTCGATCCCTGATCTGTGGCAAAACCCAAGCCTAGAGCAATCAGTTCAGCTTCGTGTCACCGAGGGACCGCGCACAAACGACTCACCTGTCAATGGGAGATGCCATCGATGCCTCAAAAGACGTAGAGGCAGGTAGGCAATACAATAGTCGTACAAGCAAGGGACATCAGAATATATGTGGTTTTGTGTTTATCGTAATCGGCAGCTGAAGCAAACACGACGTAGGCGCGCTCGCACTGCGATAGGCGTGACAAGGAAGACCAAGAAAAAGTGACCAAAGCCAACCCCGGCACGAGATGCGCGTCGAGGAGAGCGTGAAGAAGAGACCAGCGCGTCGAGAATGGCGCGAAGGAGAAGGAAAAAGTCGTAACAATCATAAATATACTCGTGGCGCACAACGAGTTTTACTGATCGCAACCCCAAGGATTACGGCCAGTGGAGGGGACCGCGGTACGACCGACGCTTGTGGACGCCGGTCAACCAACGCCAGGTGCCAGTAAAGCCAACGCCGAAGCGCCAGCCCGACCAGCGCCGAGGCGCCGATACCGCCAACGTCAATGTGCCGGTGTCACCGACGCAGAGACGCTAGCAAACCGCGGAGAAGCATGACGGGCATGCTGAGGTAAGGAGTGTTGAGAGTCGAGAAATCCTGCTTGGACAGGCTGAAGATGATCCTGTGTGGACAGGTGAGAGATTACAACATGAGCCGAGAACACAACTGGCGAAGACACGCGCGCGAAGACCGAAAATTGTGCGCGCGCTCCTCCCGTGCATGAGACCAAGGCAAAGAGCGAGCGAGTGAGTGATATCCGATATTCCAATGAAGCCGATGTGTGCAACGACGAGCAGGAGCCGCCGATGCCGATGCATAATCCAGAAACCATTGAACGTTGAAGTGGTCACAATATGACCGCGCAGGGGACCAGGAATCATCCATTGCGACGTTTGCCCGCCGCGACCGACGGATGTACGAGCAGCCATCACAGCAAAGAGGCCTCCAGCACTGCCAAACTGCAACCTCAGAGGCAGCCAAACGGCCGCTCACTGCACGAGAACGCCGAACTCGGAGCCAGGACCGCCCGCGGGAAGCACTCCAGGAAGCATGCCGCCGCTGTAGTTGCTACCGCCGGCGCCTGCCTGCTGTATCAAAGGCATGAGCGTCGGCACGACGGTGGGATGGTTGATCTCCTTCAGGACTGCTTCAACGAGGAACTCCGACTCCTGGCGCTTCTGCCGCTCGACGTTGAGCTCAATCTCCTTCATCATGAGGTGGGCGGAGACGCTGCCCTCTGTGGGACGTGCAGCCCACGAAGACGGGTCAACACGGGCGAGGTCATCCATGAGGGTCTTCTCCTGGATCTTGAGGTACTGAAGGTTGCGCTCCAGGTCGGAGAGCTCGTGCGAGAGGTCGTGGAGCGACGGCGGGGGCGTGCTGGCCTTGACAAAGCGGTCCTTGCCCGTCGCCCCGTAGCGGAAGTCAACCTTGGTGCCCTGGAAAGGTTGGTCAGCACACGAGAAGTGGGTTGAGTCAACCCACACGCACGACTAAGGGACGCGTCGGCCCTCGGTTCTTGTCATGAGGGCGGCTGCGGTCCTTGTGGTCGGGCCTGCCAGCGTAACGGCGTGGCGGCGGGGACGGAGAGCGCTGGTAACGGTTGGACGCAAAGCGGTCGTCACGGCGCGTGTCGGACTCTTCTTCATAACGGCCCATGGGCTTCATCGGACTATTCATCTGGGGATCGAAAGGACTGTACCCAGGGGTCGAGTAGGGGGAACGCAAGTTGCGGGGGCTGCGCGAGCGCATGCGGGCGTCGTAGTTGCGCTTCCTGGGGACTGGGGAGCGCGAGCGACGGCGCCTGTCGGAAGACATGCTGCGACGGACGGACATGCGAGCAATACCGCGCCGAATGTCGCGATCGTCGGGCGGGGGAGAGCGCGGGCGACCGGCCTTCTCAAAAGCCCTCAACTGGACCTCGAGCTTCCTGCGCTGCTTCTCCGGGACTTGCTCCCAAGGTACGAGCCTGTGGCACGCGTGATCAGTACAGACGTATTCCCGATCAGTACGGACACACGCACTGGCGCCTCATTCTGACATCGTTTCTGGAGGGAGCTGAGGATGTCGTGTACTTTGGGGGAAGCGTAGGATGTACTCACAGGCCCATGTTCTCGAAGATCCCGCGCATCGTGTCAGGGTCTTGACCAAAAAATTGACAGACACGGTCTGGTAAGGTCTGGTCGCGAGGCGCCGCGATTAGCGCTGTGGGGGAACCGCAGAACGTGTGCACGCACCGAGCCCGGGATGAAGTACCAAGAGAACCTAAAGCCGTCCTTGCTGCTGCTTGGCCTGGTAATGGTGTCGATGGGGGGATGGGGCAGCTTGTGTGGATCCAAATCCTTTCCAATCGCGACGGCGACGCTCTCAATGGACATGCCGCACAACGGCGCCGCCTTGTACGGTTTATAGACGAACTCGCACGCGATCTCGAGTATCGACATTGCCTTGATGATGGGCGCAAGAGACAAGGGGCGCGAGAGCGGTGGGATGGATGGCTCGTACCCACGCAAACGCGTGACCTTATAAGCAGCGCCCTCGGCATTTACCGACCCCGGTCCGCTGCCGCCGGAGGAACTTTGTCGCCCGTTGTGGAAGGCCGCCAGATCCTCCGGATCCAATTCACCCGTCCCAGATGGGCATCGATGGTCTATCATCACCGTCTCCTCAAGCCTCGTGCTGATATGAACAATAGACAGGCGAAAGCTCTGGCTTCGCTCACGCTTCTTTTTGTGTTTTTCTGGCGGTCCAATCGCCCTCGGCGCGCCTTGACCCGTCCTTCACACCTTTTCTCAGTGCTCGGACGCACTGCAGCAGTCAATCGACTAACAGCGAGTCAGTGCCGAGCGCCTCCATCGGGCCTTAGGGGCTGCTCATTGTCGCCCTGGGAGTCTTACATGAACCATTCATAGAAGCACATCGCCTCGCGGACGCAGCGCGATGTCACTCAAGGTGACACGAACATTGTACATATCCCCGCATGGCAATCACACCTCTTCCTGGACGCCGGTGAGCCGCCTGGCCTGATGCCCTGACATCCTCCACAGTCAGTTCACATCGGCGCTTCATTGCGCGCGAATCAAGCCACCGCTTGCGAAGGGTGCCCTGCACCGCTTGCAAAGTATCAATTCCCCGGACGACCGTGTAATCACCAGCCTGACCCACGACGGACTGACGTGTAAGAAGGCGAAGCGAGTGTTGGCCGCGCGCTGCCGTGGCTAGCCGCGTCTATCCGTCCCCTGGGCCTCTCAGGTCGTAGATGCGGTGACCTCTTCCGCCGTCTGCTGACTACTCCATCTTCTCGCATGCAACATTGTCCCCTTCCTCTGCCTCCCACTAGCGAGCGATACATGTGGCAAGGCCGCTAACGCGCGGGCGCCTGATACACGCACAGCTTCCCGGCAGAAAACCCTCAATCTGGACGCTGCCTTAGTTCGGTTCGTCTCTGTGCTGACTCTCCGTTCACAATTGGCAAGGTCTTGCATTATCTGATAGTCCGCGCAGGCATCCCTTTCCATCCTTACGGTCCACGCACAAATCCGTCGCTACATCTTTCCCTTCTATCGTCCGTTTCTTGCTGACCACGCACAGGTTCTTCGCTGCTTCCATTGTTACAAAGTCAGCCGCTCTCTTCGCTCGACTTCGCCGCTTTCGTGGCTCCTTCCATTGTTTCCCAGCAGATGCCTGAAGCTATCGGACCTCCCCTCGTCACACCGCTAGAGTCGTCCGTATAGGCCACCAATGAACCTGTCCTGTCTCTTCAAGGCTCCAACGCATGTCGTCTTCGCCCGGTACGTCAACCCGACTTTGGTTTTCCCCTTCGGCCGGTCTACGCGCCCTCACCATCGCCCGTAAGCCTATGCCACAGCATCCTTTCCCGTCATCCCTCGAGACACTCAGTGAGCCATTCACTAGACTTCCCGCAATCCACGGCGTCTCCCGCGGCATGATTTGAGGCGTCAACGTTCCGGCGGTCCATGGTTTGAGGCGCAGTGACTTACGACGCTCCTGCAAGGTCCTCAACAAACTGTCTACCTCAACAGCTACGTTCAACGGCACCGAGTACGCTCATCCGAGCCCGTCCACCGTGATACTTCGTGCTATAGTCGACTCATCGGCTTCAGTCTTGCAGCGTTTTCGCCCTCGTCCCCCGCGTCGGCCGACGCATTAACACAGCCCGGTATTCCGTGACGATGTACATACTAAATCAGCTTATTGTCAAGTGCGTGGGTGTTCAGCCCCTCTCGTCGGGTTCAGGACGCCAGCAAGTCAACTGTGGTCTATTGAGCGTTTGCGACTAGTACGTCTCTTGGTGCCACAATTCTCAGATTGTCACAAAATTATGCGTGTCCGCCACGTTGAAGCCTCATGTTCTTCATACCTTCCCGAAACCCTGCTTCCCCTGCGCCGCGCTTCGCGGATTTAGCTCCTGTGAGGGTTGCCGATTGACGAGCGCCTCGTTTCCGATGTCTATCTCGCAACGTGACCAGAAGCAGCTGATCTCGTCGCTCCCCCAGCGGATGGGCTTCACTGCGCAAGCCAGAACGTCCGACTGCCTTCGTAGAAGAGCTGTCGAGTTGCCACTCCGCCTCAAGCAAGCCGGCTCGATCGCACGGGCCGGCACCTTACCTGCACCGCACTCCCCGATCCCGAAAGACAATAGAGGCGCCAAGCAATTGAGTCGACAGCCGCTATCCCCATCCTGTTGAACATTGTCTCTCACGATGACGCGCTTCGCTGGCGTGCGGAGGGTCTGCCTATTGATACCGTGGGCCGCCACAATTGACTGTGCAGGACTGGCGGAGACTGGCGGTTGATCCCGCGGGACTGGCCACTGATATCGCGGGACTGGTCATCGACACCGTGGGTCGGTATGATCAAATCTGCGGCTCAGGCAATTCAGTCTGCGGGCCAGGCGCCACCGTTCCCAGGTGCATTTGAATCCAGGTAGGCTTCGTTGAACTGCGCCACGCTTCCCTTGGACATTGTACGCGCTTCGATTGAACATTGTACGCCGCTTCGCAAGGGCTACCCGACCACCTGACGCTTCTCCGCCACATTGTACGCATCTTTCTCTCTCACCACCTCATACCGTGTACCTCATTGCCGCACACCGTGCTCTCCGTCATCACACACCGTTTTCCCAGTCGCAGCGCGATCTTACTCACCCGCGACCCACGTCCCTCGCGACGCAGCCTTGTTCCCATTCAGAGGTGTTCTGCTCAGCCACCCCACGCCTGCGCCACGCGTCCCAACAGAAGCATCCTGGCCGCATGGCAAGCTCAGTTACGGTAAGTTAAGTTACTGACAGTTACGCACAAGCGCTCGGAGTCAGAACAGATCTCTGCCAATCTCTGCCACTCCCTGCCATCGATACAACCCTTGTGGCCGGATCTGGGCGATCTCAAGCGCTCTCACAGTGTGACTGCTTGCCTGTGACAGGACAGAAGTTCAACCGTGGGAGCGCATTTCGGCAACCGCCGGTGCCTTCCCTGCCCGGTGACTGCGGCCCACCTTCGACAGCGACGCACATACCCTGCTTGGCAGCGCGTTGATACCTCCCCCTCGAACTTCGACGACACACGGACTTCGACTGGTCGAAACTGCCTGCTTTATCTCGCAAAGCTTGCGCATGCAAGACGGTCGCTGTACAAAAATGCATTCTAGCTCGTCATGACCGGGTGGACGACGGTCAAACTTGGCTTCGAAATATCGACTTCAGCCTTCGAGCGTGTACGTGTTTTTCTCGAGCTGAAAGTATCCGTCGGCTCAAGGGCCTCGGGTTTGCAAGAAATGAGACGGTGGCGCACCTCTGCCTCAAGCTCGCGGCGAACACGCCCTTCTTCGTCTGCTTTTATGACGATATGCCAGTCATCGAGGTCCTCGATAATAAAGCCGCCACCTACGCAAACACAATCCTCAGCAGCCAAGCCCGAAGCGCGCTCCTAGACAGGACAACTCACCTCCCCCAGACGAGTTATACTTCTCGTTGAGGATGAGCAAAATTTGCTTGACGGCCGGGTCGCTGAGAGGCAGTGAGCGAGACAGTTTACAGTCGAAACAATGAGATAGACACAACGAGCAATGAAGCTTACCAGGTGAGCAGCACACCGCGAATCGCCTTCATCCGCCGGCGAGTGGGCGCAGGACGCAAGCCTTTGTTGACTACTGTTTGCTTGAATGAATCCATGTGGGGTTAATGTCACAGCCGCGGTCACGGGCCTTTCCGGCGCGGTATTGCAGTTATCGGCTTGAAAAAATCGAAGGCCTTACTGTGCCACTTACCTCCCCCGAGCGCGATGAGGAGTATCCTTATATGGATGTCGGAAGGCTTCGATGTCTTTAACGAGGCTGCTCTTTGACAGAAGCCGACGAAGACAATGACCAGATCCTGCTCGAGGCCTTCGCAAAGACAGACACCTTCAGACCACTAAGAAGTGCGCGTTCATATTGTGAGTTGTCAATGGTCATTCGGGGTGGTTCTCTCTACACGACCTCCCAAAGGTCCCAAAGGTGGTCCGTAAGGGTTTCGCATGGATAGTGAACCCTACATTATGTTCTCTGCGCATACGCAAAGGCCTCTATGGCGCGTTAGGCGTTTACCAAGTCTCTTTTCACTTCAGCACGTCGGTAGCTGTCGAGAGAACCTTTTTCTCGTATCTAAGTTATCAGGCTGCGGTCAATTGCGCCTGGCATGAGGCAGAGTGCAGATGAAAGGACCGGCGCCCGGCAAATGCCGGTGACGCCACGCGATCGCCAACATGTGCGATCGCGCAGTGGCGCGTTGCTTTGAGGACACGCTCATCTCGTCTTTTCCATTGCTCGCTCCTGGTCTTCAGCTGACTCAGTATACAACATCTGGGGATGTCTCTGGCAACACAGGCGCAGCATTTGGCACGCATACATCCAGGTCCAACATCGGCAACACTTGCGCCCAGCGTTCATTGGGGCAGCAGCAACAAGACGAGTACAACGTATTACATCAATCGCATTCTACAAGCACTAAGGACGGCAGGACTAGCTCGCTTACGAAGGGCGTAACGGTTCGACTACCCATCTATATCGAGTTCGACTTTGGGGCTCTGACGACGGAATCTCCTCCAGTCTCTTCGCGTAACCGTGCGGCGATCTTTCAACTCTGTCGAGCTGAAGTCACTGCCTCAATGCTTCTCAAACTGATCTTGTCGCCGTAGACCAGCGCCACCGACGACAGGACCTTCTCGATATCTCCATCGCTTGCCAAGTTCATGATCGGAGGACTCTTTCGCCGTCAACACCCCCCTTCTCTTCACTTGCTCGTAGACCAGACAGATAAGAATCCTCGCTCGCACCCTAGCACGCTACCAAGACTGCGACTCCGATCGCCAGCCGACTTCGAGAGAGGCACTGCGCCAACCGTGCGAGTACGACATATGCCTGGCCGAGTTCGACGAAGCATCGGTAACTCGTCTCCGCGCCTGCATTACTGCAAACCCCCTGGAGGGAGCCTTCGACAACGAGATGATCATGATCCACCACTCAATGCACAAATTCAACACTTTCGCAGGTTCTTCCAACGCGCAATCCCTATGCCCCTTCCCACCAACTTGCCTCCGATATCAGGCAGCCCGTCTACCTCGCCTTCACCTACAGAACCATGACGCCGCCATCCACCTGGCAGGCTGCGCCGCAATAACGACTACAGCCATAGTTACGATAATACCGACGTCCTTAGCCAGCCCATCATAATTTCACGTACCGATAATGATTCCAACCCACTTCTTGCGCGTCAGTCGCCCGCGACGCGCCCTTTCAGCACCTCCTCAAGACCGTCCGTCCTCGTCAAGAGATCACGGGCGGATGCACCACACGAACACTTACACGTCGTCCCCTCTCATCTGGCCCTGCCATTGAAGCGGGGCCTCCTCCTCCCTGTTTCTGCGTAAGTTCTCCAAGACAGGACAAGTCTGCAGATCTTCGATCTGCAGCTTTTCCTCGACACACCAAGTGGATACCTGATATGACCTAGCTTGCACGTCATTCCCCGTGAGTTCATCACAAGTCTGGACGCGGCTTATCATTCCTTTCTTGTTCCCTATCTTCATGTTCGCCGCCTGCTCCTAGTCATGTCGAGCTCGCCGACATTTTGCTGCCTATCGTCTTCGCCGTCCGTCGCAGTGCGCACCGACGTCGGCAATATCGGCATTACTCGGCAACCAAGTCACAACGTGGGCTGACGGAAATTATCGCCTCAGGGTTCTTTGCTCAGGACGACGTCGACGTCGCGGGATATTCGCCTCGACGCTACAGCAGCTCAGCAGCGCGCTCTTGCCCCGACGCCGCCTTATAAGAGACGTCTGTCCTCGGTAGCTGTTCCCCACAAGCCCGCCCTCGATTACCCCATTTCGGTCACGAGTCTCCCCCGCACGCGTCGGCGATATGATCACACGGCCCTCCGTTCGGCAAAGCCTCTTGACCTCTGCCTGCTCGCGCCAGGCTCTCCTTACACGCCCATCTCCCCGCCCACATCTCACCATGCGCCCCCTCTCGACCTCAGACCTCAACCCCGCGATCCTCAAGGTCGAGTACGCGGTCCGCGGCGAGCTTGCGATCAAGGCGGAGGAGTACCGCAAGCGCCTCGCCCTCGGCGGCGAGCACGGGCTGCCCTTCGACAAGGTCATCTCCTCGAACATTGGGAACCCGCAGCAGAAGGGCCTTGACCAGCCCCCGATCACGTTCATCCGCCAGGTGAGTCAGCGCGGGGCATCGATGCGCGCGGGGGTGCTGACCGCGGCACTGCGCAGGTTGCGGCGTTATGCGAGTGGCCCGCGCTCGAGGAGCTGGCGCCGAATGCGTTCCCGAAGGACGTGATCGCGCGCGCGAGGGAATTGCGGGAGGAGATTGGCTCGGTCGGCGCGTACTCGCATAGCCAGGGCGTGCCGCTCATTCGGCAGAGCGTAGCGAACTTCATCGAGGGTGCGTGGTATTCGCCTAATCTGCGTGCGATCTCAATGACTGACACACCGTCCAGAGCGCGATGGGTACCCCGCGAACCCGGACCACATCTTCCTGACCGGCGGCGCAAGTGCTGGTGTTTCCCTCCTCATCTCCATGCTCATCACCCCGCCGAATACCGGCATCTTGATCCCCATCCCGCAATACCCGCTGTACACGGCCACGCTCGCGCAACACCATGGTGTACCGCTCCCCTACCACCTTGACGAGGCATCCGGCTGGTCAACGTCGCTGCACGAGATCGAGGCGACCCTCGAGCATCCCCAGCATGCTGAGATCACGCCAAAAGCGCTCGTCATCATCAACCCGGGCAATCCGACGGGCGCACTGCTCGACGAGGCGACGCAGGAGAAGCTCGTCCACCTCTGCGAGAAGCACAACCTGGTACTGCTCGCGGACGAGGTCTACCAGACGAACCTGCATCGACCGGACGAGCACCCCTTCGTCTCCTTCAAGCAGATCGTCTCCCGCATGAAGTCCAAGGTCCCCCTCGTCTCCTTCCACTCCATCTCGAAGGGCGTCACCGGCGAGTGCGGCCGGCGCGGCGGCTACTTCGAATGCGTCAACTTCCCCGACGACATCCTCGCGCTCATCTACAAGATGGTCTCCGTCGGCCTCTGCCCGCCGCTCTCCGGCCAGATCGGCGTCGACTGCCAGGTACGCCCGCCCAAGCCCGGAGACGAGAGCTACCCGCTGTGGAAGAAGGAGACGGACACGATCCACGCCGCGCTCGCGAGCCGCACGCGCACAATGTCCGAGCGACTGAACTCGCTGCCGGGGATCTCGTGCGTGAACAGTCCCGGGGCGCTGTACCTCTACCCGAAGGTGCACCTCTCGGATCGCGCGATCGAGGCGGCGCGCAAGGTGGGGAAGGAGCCGGATGCTTTTTACGCGATGAAGCTGCTCGATGAGACGGGCATCTGCGTCGTTCCCGGGAGTGGGTTCGGCCAGAAGGTCGGACACTGGCACTATCGTCTCACGTGCCTTTGCCCCGGTGTCGATGACTACGTTGACGCGCTTGCGAATTTCCACAAGCGCTTCATTGCTGAGTATGGCGCGGCGGAGGAGTAGGTGTTTTGGGGTCTGTGTGCACGGTACAACAAAATGTATATCTTGGTAGGGGTTGCTATCTGGACGTTGTCTGCTCCGGTTTGTGTGCAAGATGAGAGGCGAGAAATCCGCACGTCGCTTTTACCACTGCAACTTACATTTTCACCGTGACAGTATAGATGGATTCATGAGATCAGACATGCAAATCTGGGTAGCACCCCGTGACGACGTGAGATAGTGGACCATTGAAAAAAAGTAGCAAATGAAGCAACAAGCAAAGCAGCAAAGCAATACAACTACAGCAATGTGAGTTAGCGACGGGACAGCAAAACGACAACAGAGCAGCAGAAAATAACGAAAAAGTACAACTCCCCTACCTAATCTACAATCTCATCGTCCGAATCATCAAGCGGTATGAACCTCCTTCCTTGCCTATAGAACATGTTGTTGCCCGGTGCGACCGACTGCGCCCTCGCATTGCTGAGTGCAACGGAGTGGGCACGATCATCTTTGGGAACCACGGACTGGGCGCGAGTACCTCCCTGAGGAGCGGCGGAAGCTCCGACGGCGCCAGGGAAGAATGAAGCCGAAGTCGCAGCCAGAGTGCTCGCCGACGACGGCATAGCTGTCTTCGTGGACGGTCTTGTCGCTGGCGTTGCTCCCGCCTCCCCCAACTGCGGCACCATCGGCGGCGCAGGCATCGCAAGCCTCTGTCCAGAAGCAGCGACCCGCGAAGGCATGACGAACCTCTGGGACATGGTCGACCTCTGCGCCGGCGTCGCAACTGTTGTCGCCACAGCCGGCGTCACATACGACGTCGCTGCAGCGGGAGTCACGAACCGCCTCTGCACCACGGGCAGGTCCCCCACCAACCGCTCCGGCAAACCCGACACCATCTGCTCCGGCGTCGCACGGGCACTAGCCCGCGTGAGTCGAGTCGCGGTGAAGGGCGTATGCATCCCGAGCTTGCCCTTGCCCCTGGGTGTTGGCGTCGCCATTCCGCGTGTTGATGTTGCCGTTCCGCGCGTCGGTGTCACCGCCACCGCGGGCGACATGCTCCGCAAGACGCGCGTCGACGGGGGCAGAGCGCGCAGCGGCGTGCGCCCTCGTCCTCGTCCGGTCGCCCCCCGGCCGCGGGTACCACTGGAGCCGGTACCCAACACCGACGACGAATCCTGCGTGTAGATGTCATCAACATCGCGCGTGTTCGTCCCTGCGGGCGTGCTCAGCGTATCTTCGATCATCGTCGCCACCGTGCGGGTGTTTCTGTCGCTGTCGAGAGTATGGGTGTCCCGATCGCGCTCGACTAGCGTCGCAAGGCTCGTATCTGGCTGGTTTCGCCCTGCATGGCTGCGCATGGAGGGCACAGACGAAAGCGGCGACGGCGGCGAAGCAAAGTTAGGGGACGGCGACGAAGCACCGACCTGCGGGGAAGAGGACGAGGCGAAGTCTCGCGACGGCGACGAGGGTGGGCTAGACGATGGGAACTGGAGGTCTTCGCCGGGTGTAAGCTGGTAGCCCTCGGTCGAGAGTAAGCGATCGTCTGATGTGGGTACCTCTCGGTCGTCCGACGAAAGGGCATCGCAATCCTCCTTCATGGGAAGGGTACGGTCGTCTGACGCAGGGTCCTCCATGAGCGTAGACAGATATGCTTCCGTCGACGCGAAGAAGTTCCATTCCTCAGGCGAAACCACTGAACCCTCTGCATCGACCGAGCCTTCCGCGTCAACGTCACCCTCCGCGCCCATGTCGTCCCCGCGAGCAGCATCCACTCGAGCGACGTCCATGCCGTCTTTCTGGCAAGCACCGTCTGTGCCGACATTGGTATCCTCCGAGGGCCGCGCCGTCGAGCCTTGTGACGATCTAGCTTGCACATTTTGCAATTGGCAATGCTGCGAATGTTGCGAGTGCTGAGACTGAGAACGCGGCGGACTCCTGGTTCGTCGCTGAGTGATCGTCCTGTCGGCAAACGAGCTCGAGCTTTCCGGTGGACTCGACCTCGATACGTCAGGCGGACTTGACCTCAGAATCGACGGCTCGTTCGGGAAAATCTCCGCGAGCGGGCGGCGGGGGACCGAGGACTGGCTGTATGCGGACGAGCGACGTTCGGGTAGCCCAGACGAGCGACGTTCAGAGAACCTCTTGAAAGTTTGCCCGCGAAAAGTGCTTGTAGCTGACCGCTCCGGTTGAGATGCAGATGACAGTCGTAGTCGGGTAGCACTTGCTTCGGATCGTTCGCGTACTATCGTCGGGGATCGTTCGTGTATCGTCGTCGCAAATCGCTCTCGCGCACTCGCCGTAGCGGACGGTCGTCGGAAGGATAGTCGCCTGGTCCCTCCGGATGAGGGCCGCGGAAGTCCTCCAGAAGGCAGCCGCGCAGGTCCTCTCGAGGTCGTTGGGCGAGGCTGTTCCGCAAAATCTGTCCGTCCGCTGGGTAGCGTCAAAGCAGTCCGCTCGCCCGCAAGTCCAAAGCTGGTCCTCCCGCGCGCTGGTCCCGACAAAGTCATCCTCGGTCGCTTCCTCGGAGGGTCGTTCTCAGCATCGATTCGTCGCTTCCGAGGACTGAGCGCGGTAGCGTAGCGATTTCGCTTCGATGGATTCGAAGACGTCGCTAGAGACGACGCGTTGATTGAGCTCGTTAGCGCAGCGAGCAGTTGCTCGTTCAGCACGTTGCGGATCGTATCGGGTATGTCTCGAAGGACGTCGGTTACAATCGAGCGAAAAATGCTTGCAGTGGTCGACTGCAGGGTAGCGGACAACGAGTGGCGTAGAGCCTCGTCCAGTATCTGTTGATTCGTGTCCCTCTCTGCGCTTGTACCCTCCCGAGCTTTCTCGGTGACTCCGCGAACGACATCGGTAACGATAGTGCGCACGAGGTCGGGTACGGTCGCGCGGATGACATCGGGGATAGTGATGCGAATGAGCTTCGAGACGTCCTTCGAGTTCGCGGCGAGAGCAGTTCGGAGTGTGTCGGCGATGGAGGAGCGAAGAGTCGTGCTCAGGTCCTTGGACGATTTCGCAGACGCGCCAGAGACAGCAGAGGAGGCCGCTTGTGGCAACACCGAGGCGACAGCGCCCGAAATCGACGAGCGTACGGCTTCCGGGATCGTTGATCGTATAGCTTCCGGGATAGTTGACTGCACAGAGCTCAAGACTGACGAGCGCACTGTATCCGAGACCGACGTGAGGACAGCAGAGGAGACACCTTGCGCGATGGAGTCGGGTATAGTGTGACGGAGACTTTCGGTGATTTTCGCGCCGCTGGCGTCGATGGTAGCCGAGAGCCGCTCGATAGTGGTCGTGATGCCGCCGACGGTAGTCTTGAGCCCTTCCAGCGTGGGGAAGACGGGTAAGATGGTAGTAGCAAGTGAGCTATATTGGTCTTGGAGATGGGAGATGGATTGCGCTTGAGTGTGGAGAAGTTTGTTGTGCGTTTTGTGGGACTGAGAAGTATTTAGGATTAGCGAGGGGAGACAGTTGAGGATAGGACATACCTCATCGATACTCTCCAGTCGGCTACAGACAAGCTCCATCTTCGCGAGCATGTCGCTGCGAAGTGTTTGCATTTGGGCCGCTTGCGCAGGTTCCTTAATAGACTTTTGAACTTCGCGCTGACAGCGATTGACTAGAACAACTCGGTCAGCCTTGCATATCGAGGCGCATATATGCGCTCAGAAAGCTCGTTCCAGCCCCAACAGACCATCCACGTACCCAGATCGATCATCTCACTCGCCGCGTTCTCGCGCTCCGCCTGCATCATTGCCTTCATGTACTCGATTTCGCTCTTCGCGTTCTCCACGCAGTCGATGAGCTTGCCGACGCGGCCAGAGAAGTTCTCAAAGTTCGTCTGCGTGTCAAGCAGCAGCATGCGCATGGAGGTGCCCGTCTTGTCAAGCGGTGCGCCAGGCGTCGACTGCATCGCGCTGGACACCGCGGAGGGCGACGGTCGCAGCGGGCTGTCATTGCGGATGAGGTGGGCCCATAGCGTCGAGGACGACGGCGTCCGACGCGAGGGGAACGACGACGAGAGCGATGACGGCGGCGTCGGGTCCATGGCATGAGCGTCGGGGACAGGCACTGAAGGCGGACGGGGAACAATGGGACCTGATGCGTGCTCTATTTGCGCGCGTGCTTAATTTAGCAGGGCAAGCCGCCGGACCGGAATCCCCGTGCCGATCGTTTTCGTGGTTCCGTCATCAAAGTCGCCCGCGCGCTTAAGCTGATTCTAGAGCTCGACATGCATGCTTCACGGCGCGTCTTCTCGTCTCTGTCGGCGGCGGCGAGGCCAAGGGGGCCTTTGAGTACCTCTTTGAGGGCGCCGCGTCTTGCGAGTGCTTCACGAAGTGTCCCGAGGTCGGGAGCACCAGTTTCACGGTGGCTGCATACTTCCCCAGGTGCGTTACTGGGTTCTCGTGGAGTGGAGGGGGATGCTGACGGTGTGCTCTAGTTGCACGACATGGGAGCATAACGCGACCAGAGCCGGGGACAGGGTGCGTAGCGCAAATCCACCCTGTAGTTCGCTGCTAACGTCGCTCCCCAGGATCAAGGTCCACTTCAAGGACTCGAAGGGGAACTTGATCAAAACAGTAGAGGCGATGGAAGGCGACGACATTCTCTCCATTGCACACGAATACGACATCGACCTCGAGGGTGTGTCTCTTCCATACCTCCACATCCCTCGAAGTGTCTAACATCCACTTCTTCCACAGGTGCCTGCGAGGGCTCAATCGCCTGCTCGACTTGCCATGTCATCCTCCCCGAAGAATACTTCGACAAGCTCCCCGAACCCTCCGACGACGAGAACGACATGCTCGACATGGCGTTCGGCCTCACCGACACGAGTCGCCTCGGCTGCCAGGTCCAGCTTACGAAGGACCTTGACGGCATGACGATCACTCTCCCCGCTGCGACGCGGAATATGTTCGTGGACGGTGCGTCGCCGACCTGGCACTGTTTCTGACTGTGCAGCTGACGCGCGCCCTAGGTCATAAGCCGTCGCACTAGCTGACTCAAGCGTGCATGTATTCGACGACCTTATTTATCAGTCTCGTACCCCACCTCCTACTAATTCATCATGCTGGAATTGTCTGGTCCCCGCTCCCAAACGGAAAAACTCAGTCATGCCGTCCACCTCGAGCTCAGTCAGGCCGACATTTTAATGGACTGACTACGGATTGAATATCTCACCTCTCATATTTCGCAAATCTGCGACGCGCGACGGAGTGCACAAGCAAGATATGCACTCATGATCTTGATTTTTCAGCCGACCGAGGAAGTGTGGATTCAACAACGGCGTGCGAGGCGTGCGTCCGCGCGCATACGAGCGCGCGCAACACCTAGCATACTGTCTTTTGTGCTTCAGGGCTCCCGAGCTGGCCCGAAGATTAGCAGCAGCTCACTTCCGCATGCGACGGAACAACTTGTCAAGGCCCCCATTGGTGACGGACAGGGCACTATCCGCGACAGCAAGCCATGCCCAAGCACCGTCGCAGCGTCACGATTATAGGCGGCGTAACCAGTCTCCGTTACATTTGGATCGAGGTCTACCTCGACACTGATGTGCACACTGTCGAAGCGCCCTTCAGGCTGCCTAAGGCTTGTTTGAGCCGTTGAGATTTGTATAACTGTGCTGCGACGCATGCCCACAGGGTCGGTCAGTGCCCCCTCTTTTTCGAGTAAAGCGAGCTGCGTGTAAGCCGACGTGCGGTAAGCTGACGGTAGCGAGTACAAAGCACTGGCAGGAGCGCGCAGTAAAGCGGAGAATCTCGTTGCATTCCGGGCTTCGGAGCGCAGATTGGACGTCCCTAGGGATTCGATGGTGGAAAGGTGAAAGAATATGCAAAAGGATGGACATCCCGATACCATTTCCCAATTGGGCCCTTGCTATTGTGCCCCTATACGGTAATCCGTATCCTGTCCTTAACCATCACTCGCGAAAAGCACACTGCAGTCCGCCACTCACATGGCTGAGGAACCACCTGAATTTCTTTCATCTGGGAGTCCTCTTACTGTACAGCTCGACGACGGCCAGCGGCTCGATTTTAAAATCGAGCGCTTGTTCACACCAGTGACGAAAAGCGTCGTCCTCCTGACTCGTTGCGCAAAGCTCAGCCCTGATCCCGTCGTCGTTAAGCTCTACGATCCTTGCTTCATCAACGAGCGCAATGGCGTACCCGGGTTCGGCGATTTGGAGGACGAGCCGGCCCGTCCGTGGTCACTAGCTGCTGAGCGCGGCGCGCCTTCTACATTCGACCCTTTCGACGTCTTTGAAGTCGAACCACCGAAGGACGATCCTGAAGCCCAATTCCAGCACGCTGCCCTTTGGGAAGCACATTTTCGCGCGCTCATGGAGGAATCCTTCCGGAGCGAACGCGCGGCCTATCAGGCGCTGAAGCAGTACCAGGGCAACATGCTTCCCCGACTGCTCGCGGAGGGCCACTGGGTACCACCCGACGAGCGTGCGTATATGCCGCATGCCCTCGTATTTGAGTACGTTGAGGGCAAAACGCTGCGGGATGCGCCTTTGGACGCGCTCACGCCCGACATCTGCCTCGGCCTCGTCCGCACGGTGGAGAGCTTCGCTGCGTTCGGCGTCTTTCACGGCGACCTAAACCACAATAACATTATTCTTGCGCCGAATGGACGCGCGGTCATCCTCGACTTTGGCTGCGCCGGCTTTCGCAACGTGCCGGAGGAGGAAACGGACGAGGAGTGGGCGGCTTGCATCAATTCGAAATACGAGGCAGTCTGGATACGGAAGTTGCTGCAGTCGAAGGGGGTCGAGTGTGTGGGCTACCTCGAACTGAGGAAGCGCAGATTTAATGTGGCGAAGGGATTGTGGTTGGAACCGGAGGATGAGAAGATGCGCGGGCTTGTCCACATCACCGAAGCCCGCCGGCGGCCAGATGCAGACGCTGTTAACAGCCGAAAAGACGGGTAGCAAAGGAATAGCAGTTGTGGCATCAAGTTGAAGGGATTACGCATTACAAGTTTCTTTAGAAAGGGCGCGTGAAGCATAGTTGCCGGAAGACATCCTCCAAGGAGAAGACGACGAAAGCGAAGCGACGTTCATCGATACTGTCATTGCGGTATTTTGAGCAGGAATTCGAGGCAAGTCCATGGGATGCATGGCGTATCACAGCGTGCGAGAACTTGCGGGAGGTGTCCACTTGCTTGCCTCGAGGACGCTGGGGGCATGATGGCGGGAGCCAAGTGCCTGGGACATCCTCGGATTCGGGACCGGCCAGAATTCACATGAATCACGTGGCCAGAAGTTCAACTTGAAGTTCGATTTTCATTCCCCGGCGCACTATGAATGCGCTCTCACTAGGGAGGAGAAAGGTAGCGAGTCCTCACGTTAGCTACGGCCAGCGCAAGAGGGAACAGTTTGTCCACGTCTCGCTTACAATACGATGGTGCGCAGTTGTTCATGAGGTCCGCACACTAGGGTTTCGCAGACTCAGCGAGGGCTTGCAAGCCCGGCGTTGCCTAGCATGGTAAGCACACCGCCTGATTGACGCTTGCTGTTTAGCTTGCTGCGGTGTGCGACCGTACGTTCCGAGCGCGGCAGCAGTGAGGTAAGTGAATTTGTTCTGGGGAAATAAAGCCCATATTGGGAAAATCAAGAACGCCTTGGTCGTCCGTGATATATCCGTGTACTCGTCCGTGGGGTACGTCCGCTGGCGCCGGCGCTTCTTCGATCGAGTCCGGGGGCCGGGATAAATTCAAGTGGCGATTGTGTCGTACACGGAGAGCACGGGCACACGCGGCACGCCTGCTGCGGCAAGATCAGCGATGCTGGCCAGTTGGTCTTGCACCATGCCTAGGAAGGTGCGAGAGATGTCGTTATCTTTCAGGGAAAATCAGCACGCCTCAAACTCGAAGGCGACCACAACCTCTTGAACGTATATCCCGCCCATTCAGTCTGAAGCCCAATTGCCGTGCCGTGCGCGCCGAGCGCATCGGGTTCGGGGCATGCGCATCGCAGTCATTTGTCAAGTTGTGGTGAGAGCTGGGTGAGAGTCAGGTGGGAAGAGAAGAGACCTCGCGCCCGACGTTAACGACTGCCGAGGGAGACTGGCGCCCAAAACCATCATCATTCGTCCACGGTCCAGAGTCATCATCCGTTAAACGTCCAGGCCATCACTGATATCTCACAAAACGTACTGGCGTAAGCATCATCATCAGCCGCGGCGAGTCTCTATCCGACTCGAGGAGCAAGTCTCCTTCCTCCTGAGACCGGGTCGCAGTCATCAGCGGCGCGCCGCTACTGCCTAGTAGCGGTGAGTCGCCTCTCTCCCCTCCTCTCTCCTCTCTCCTCCCCCTCTCAAACCGCCGCGACTCTAATACCGGCCCGACGACCGACTTGACGGCCGACTGCTTCCCCCATCTCCCTCCCGCACGACGGCGACGGGCCGGTTCGTCGCCTCCTCGTTGACTGTCCAAAATTCCCGTTTATCGCCCGCCCACGAGACCTTCTCGAAGACGGGGTTCATGGAGAGGTGATGGAGGACGGAGGTCTGGGGATGAGAATTAGTACTACGGTGGGAAAAACATTGGTAGGCAGATGCGTCGTCCGATATAAGCAAATCCGGAGCGATAGAGAAGGAATAGGAATGAAGATACTCACCTTCCACTCTGGCGGTGCGGTCTGGAAGTACGAATACTGAGACGGCCTGGAGTCAGCACAACTCTCAATTAACTCCGCAAAAGATACACGCACTCGGGTTTCGATGGCCCTATATATCTCCTCGAGTGTTAACCTTTGGCTGTTCGAGCCCTTGATAGCGTGGCTAGTAAGAGAATGGTACGAGTGGGGAAGGAGGGAAGGGTAACGAAGGCGGGAAGGAAGGAGGAAGGGCAACGCAAACATGAAGGAAGGGAAAGAGGGAACGGCGAAGAATCACGTGGAAAAGACGGGTAATGACGAGTGAGGAAAAAATACGGCGTGAAGGAGAACGGCGGGGAAAGTGAGAAAAAAAAATACGCTATGAGAACATTGCCATCGACACGAGAAAACTGCGCACTCACTAGATAAGCGTCGAGTACTGGTAGAGCGGTTTTTGGCCTGGCGGGGAGTCTCTCAAAGACTCGAGGCCGATTTTGGGCTGCCCAGAGTGCATGGAGTACCCTGATAGAGGGCGTCCATATGGTTGGTGGTTGGCGTCTAATGCGGGGCTGCCGCGCCGGTTGGTGCTGGGGCTCGCGCGTCCGGTCATGCTAGGGCTTGCGCGCCCGGTCATGCCGGGGCTGCCGTGCCGGGTGGTGCTGGGGCTGGACGTCCGCGAGGGCGATTGATTGAAGCCGGCCATGTCGATGTCGATTTGCTGATGGGATTTGATAGTACAACAGTGGATAGCAGAGCAGCAGAGATAGCGTGACACGTTGCAGAGCGTAGCAGATGAGAGGCAAAAGTAGTAAGTGTGCAGGCGGGCGCGTGTATGAGCGGGCAAGCGGGCGGGTGAGTAGGCGGATGAGCGGACGGGCAGCGGATGCGGAGGTGGTCGTTCAGAAGCAAACCGAAGAGCCGCTCGCTCGCGTTATAAAGCTGTATCAGAGGCCGTGGTCGGGCGTGCGATTTTACTTCTGTGGGCGCGCGTTCTCAGCTGCTACTCGCGCGTGCGTTCCCACTGCCTGCGCGGGCGATCTCATTTGGGTGCGCGGGCGATTCCATTGGGTTGCGTGTGCGCTCCAGGTGCAATCCCTGCAATCCGAGGCTGATCCCAGCTGGGCGGCGTGCGGTTTCTGTGAGAAAGGGTCGCAGCATCAGCTTCTTGCGAGGCGGCCAGGCCGCGGACGTGATTCGAAGAATCGGGGGGAGCACATGAGCGCAGCGGGTGCGAGACGGGGCTCCGGGGTGCGTCGATCGGACTCCGGTACGTAGCAAGGTACGGGAGATTGACGAGGGGGGCGTGGGTGTCGACCGGGACGGAGGTTGGGGAAAGGTTGGATAATCTGACACGTGCAGCGTCGGCCCCTTCGGCAACAGCCGATGTTCGACTTCCGCGCGTGAGGAACTCAATAAAGGGAAGACCTGAGCAGGACTCAAGTCTCAAGCTCAACATCTTCGTCGGGCACCTCGGCATGCAGAGATACATGAACCCGAGAAGGTCCCCTCCAATCTTCGCGTTGTCTTTCCTTGTGCCTGTGATCATCCCTCTCCCCTCGAGATGCTCACCGTTTACGTGTGTCCCCCGGTTGCTCGCCGCTTAGCGCAATCGACAACGGTCTCAGCTCTTCCAATGATAGGAAGCCCAGCCACCGCAGCATTCCCCTCAAGATAGACATCAACCACAGACCAGAACCATGAGAGATGGAGCGGAGTGATGACCATTAGCAAGGTGCGTAAATCTAGTTCCATATCCCGTTGTTCTGCAGCAGCACCTTCTCCCGCTTCCGGCGCTCGAGCTGGCGCTTGTACTGCTTGCGACCCTGAATGACGAGCCCCTCGTCCTCCAGCAGCGCCAGCGCGCGGTCCTCGGGGCGACGCGCCATCTGGCTCTTCGACCGAATCCGCGACCGACGCTTGGCGTACCACTCCCAGGTGAAGCGCATCACGTCGCCGTCCGCTGCGTACGGAGTGGGGATCTCCGAGTACCCGGGCCGCGCGGTGGGGTGGCGGACGTAGATGAACGAGCACGCCGCGAACGACGTCTCGAGGTATGCGGGGACGAACAGCCACGGTGCGGCATAAGGCGGGAGGTAAAAGGGCGTGAGCGCCTTCGGCGAGCCCTTGTCCATGAGCTGCTTCGTGATGTCCGCCCAGCCCGCGCGCAATGGCGGCTTGCGAAGGAACTTGATGTGCGCGGGGTCGACGGTGACCATGTCGCCCGGCGCGAGGCGCGTGTTGGCATTTTGGTGCTGAGGGGATGATTTAAGAAAAGGTTGGTGAAATACGAGCGCGTCACGACGCACCTGTTTCCCATTCAGCTTGACCTTCCCGTGCACGACGAGGCGGCGAGCCTCATACACGCTCGGCGCGAGACAAGAGCGGAAGATGAGGACGTCAATTCGGCGCTCGACGTCCGCGAACATCAAGCTCGTGACGGGCGGCAGGCCTTTCGCCTCCTCCTCCGCCTCGTACTCCTTCTCCTTCTTCCGGCGCTGAGCAAACTCTTCCAAGTTTGCCTTATCGTCGAGGACGAGACGGCGCGGGCGAGGGTCGGGGATGGTGGCGGGGAGATACCAGCGCTTGAAGATAGTCTCCTTAATGTGGTCGCCGTGGTACGCGCGCGCGCATCGTTTGGATACCCAGCGCTGCTGGAAGAGTGTTCTCGAGGACTGGTTGAAGGAGATTTCGATGCGCTTCGGGCCGTCGGGGTGTGTCCTTTGCCAGAGGTTGTATAGGTTCTCCGGCGCCCAGCTCTGTCCTGAAGTTCAGCATGCCTCCGTAGTTCGACTGGCATTGAGACACACCATACGCGGGAGTGCCCGCTTGACATTGTACACGCCGACGTCGCGCATCGTGGCCGGGGTCCGTACGACGAGAAGGTCAGACCCGGAGAGAGGACGGAGCGGAAAATCCAAGGACAATTCAAATTTCCCTATTCCGCGTTCAGTGACCGTGACGTGACGTCCATTGTTCTCCTCGACCGCCATCGCGCATCGGGAACTTCGGATATAGACACACCATACCACTATCTGTTGTGATTGCAGGACGCGACATATCTATCTACGAATATGGAGCGACCTTTTACGCCGTCAGCGCGTCCGCGGAGGAATAACCTGACCTTATCCACGAAGGAATACAACAAGGTGCGTAGCGGGTGCGCGTGCTCGTTTCCAGCTCATAAACCTACCAGGTCTCGGGAACGATAGCCTCAGTAAGAAGACACCGCCAACAGTACGAAGATATACCGGAGACATCGAACGGCCACGCGTACGCATCGCGAGACAGCGGCCGGCACCATACCCGAAGTACGCTGCGAACTGCAGACACGCGTCGCACCAAACTGACGCGTCGATAGATCATCATGAACCCTCTTTCATTGAAGAGACTTCCTTTGTGAGGGCACCCCTCAACTCACGCGTCACGTCGGGCGTCGCGTCTGCGATCGGGAAGGGGAAGGCGCGCCAGGAAGCGCTGGACCACGTACCGATCGAGATCCAGGAGGCGATGATCCTGGAGGACCTGCTCTACGTACTCATGGTGCGCCACCTCTTCTACGATAATGACGCGTCTGATCCCACTCTCAGGGCATCGAAGGCACGCACATCACCCACCACCCAGATTACAGCCCCGAAGACGACGACCCGCTGCAGGGCATTCGCTTCGTGCCCTCGCCCTCCCTCGACGCATCCCTGCGCGATCTCGTCGAGCGCATTCTCCCCCTCGGCACATACTATACCGCGATCACCGCGTTCATCGAGCAGCGGAGCGTGCTCGACTATGGGCTCGTCAACCATGCCTTGTGCGCGTCGATCCGTGGTATGCTCAAGGACTACCAGACGCTCCTCTCGCAGCTAGAACACGCGTTCAATACCTCGCCGCAGTTTTCGCTACAGAAACTTTGGTTCTACGTGCACCCGACCGTGCACACGCTCTCGCTCATCTACCACCTCATCCTCGAGCTCGGCGCGGCGGATAACGCGCCACCGGACTACTCTTCTTCGGGCTCGTCGGAGGACTCTGCCGACGCTGAGCTCGCTGCACGCGATGAGGCGCTCGGGATGGGTGGCGCGAAGCTGAAGGCCGTGTTGTCGGAAGCGGTTGCAGGGACTGGCGACGAGGATATATTGGTCAAGGGTGGGGAAGTGTTGAGCATATTGCACGACCGAATGCAAGCGATGAGCGGCGACCCGACTGCGACCGTTGTGTATGGAACACTCCTGAGGGATGCTGGGCGACCATACGTGACGATGCTTCGCGTATGGATCCGAACTGGACGCCTCGACGATCCGTATGAAGAGTTCCTGGTCAAGGAGAGCAGATTCATCAACCGCGGAATACTCGAGATGGACTACACTGACGAATACTGGGAGCGACGGTATACGGTGAGTACCATCAGTTCGCGTTGGGCGTCAAAAGATCCTAACTTCGCTTCAGCTTCGTGATGGGTCAACAGTATCTGGAGCGAAGCGTCAACATGCTGGTATACCTCCACCGCGACCAATGACAGGCCGGATGCCTGGCGGCGCGTGCATACCACCCGCACTCGACCGCTGGAAGCACAAGATTCTGCTCGCTGGAAAATACCTGAACGTCATCCGCGAGTGCGGCATCGAGATCACCCAGGATCCTGCGCAGACCAACGAAGACGACCTCGCCATGGACGATGACCAGTGCGTCCGCTCATTCTTCTTGCCCACCGTGCACTGACCTTACCGTCGTAGACTATACGCCTTCCTCGATGCCGCCTACACCCACGCCAACCGCACCCTCCTCCAACTCCTCATCCGAGACCAGGCCCTCATCCCCCGCCTCCGCTCCCTCAAGCGCTTCTTCTTCCTCGCGCAGTCCACCTTCCTCACTCACCTCCTCGACCTCGCGCACACCGAGCTGCGCAAGTCAGCGAAGTCAGCGAGCATCGTCAAGTTGCAAAGCCTGCTCGATCTAGCGCTGAACACGGACATGCAGGGCGAGGACGCTGCGTATCGGGAGGACGTGCGGGTGACAATGGCGGGTAGCGGGCTCTACGAGTGGCTGATTAAGGTCGTGAGTGTTAGCGGGGTGGGCGGCTTGGCCGGTGGAGGTGACGAGTATGAGGCGAATGGACATCATATGGTTGATGACCATGGGGGCGGTAGTGCGCGGAAGGATAAGAAAGATGAGAAGCCAATGTTGGGTGAGTACCTTTGCACACCGAGCCTTCGACTGATCTGCTGACGCGTTACTCTCCAGCCATCGACGCCCTCACCCTCGATTACACCGTCAAGTTCCCGCTCTCCCTCGTCATCTCTCGCAAGACCATCCTCCGCTATCAGCTCCTCTTCCGCTTCCTCCTCCACCTCAAGCACGTCGAGCAGTCGCTCTCCGCCATGTGGATCGAGCAGAAGGCCGCGCCCTGGCGCCGCGCCGTGCCCTCGCACCCGGAGTTCGAGCGCTGGCGCTCGCGCGTGTTCCTCCTCCGCGCACGCATGCTATCGTTTGTGCAGCAGATCCTCGCGTTCGCGACGTTCGAAGTGCTCGAGCCGAACTGGCGGGAGCTGGAGCGCAAGTTGGAGAAGGTGCAGACGGTGGACCAGCTGTTGAGGGACCATGTCGATTTCTTGGATACGTGCTTGAAGGAGTGCATGTTGACGAGCTCGAAGTTGTTGAAGGTGAGTGGTTTGGGGAAGTAGGGGGAAGGCGAAATGCTGACGAAGCTGTTCCCAGGCCTACTCGAGACTGTTGACAACGTGCTCGACGTTCGCGTTGTACTCCGCATCGTTCTCCAAGTCCGTCAACCAGGCGATCGCCGCCGCTGATGCGAACGAGGATGACCCCGGGATGGCGAAGCGGTTGGATTTCTTGAACAAGTTTGAGACAAACTTCAATCACTGGTACGCGCTTCGTTGCCTGAGAATCGAACGTTCGCTGACAATCCGCATAGGTTCAAGGTTCGTCTGCAGTAGCTGCTCAATATCGGGATGGTACTGATGCATGTATCTACAGATTCATCTCGACTGCGTGCAGTTCTACGCGTCCAGCGAAAACGTCTCCCTCCTCCCTCTTGTCGTGCGGCTCAGCAGCATCAAGGCGTCAATGTAGGCTCTTCCGACTTGCAAGTTATCTCCATCCGGGAAGCACGGTCTACTCCTCGGACGCTTGCTGTGTCCTTTCGCTAAATCTACTGGCACCGAACTCTTGTCCCTCCCTGTATGTTTATCTGCTATGTCGCTGTCTTCGCTTTCCAACGAAAAGGTCGCGTCGCTGTATACTAATCAGTATCTATAATGATACCCCTGCTTTCTCAGTATGCGCGATCAGCCCTGCTCGAATGCATTACCTCTTCCCGTCGCAGCGGCAACTGCCTCCAACTCCAGACTCCAATGACGAAGAGTCGAACCAAGCCACCTTTTCCGGGGCAACCTCACGAAGAACTCAACGCGTTCAGGTCGGGCGCTGCTACGAATCACATATGGCATTCAGAGGGTTCCTTCAACGAGCTACAATTACAAGCAATACAATCGAGAGATCTGCGTATTTTCTGGATTTTTTCTGAGACGCAAGAGGAAAAAAAAAAAGAATACGTGCTTGGGAAACGCCCGAAAGCATGCAGAGCTCGTCCAGAAGCGACACATGCTGCAGCGTTAGGCCACGGAAGTACAGTTGTCCGGCTAACCTGTCGTTCACCTCAACGTCAGAGACGCGTAGTTCGTCGAAAGTCGATCTATTTTACACCAAAGACTTGCGAGACGCACAGCGGTAGATGAAGGGTCAGGTCTCAAGTCAAGTTCGAGTTGGGAAACTCGGCAAATCGCGGCAGTAACCACGGAATGGTCACTCTGTCAACCTCTTCACCAGGGAGAGTCGCTGCTATTGAACCTCAACACTGTTCAGCCCGCATTGAATTGGTCAAAGCTCCACAATAAATTATACACTGTATGGCTGTAGCATTATACCGACGCAAACCGGTCGAATGCTGGCGAGTCTGGGGATCGACAGAGCGTGCGCGGCGTGCGCGACCGGACCCGTACGGCGTCGCGGATGATGCGGAATGGCGAGCGCGACCTCTCGGTAGTAGAATTTTGCGACTCATCCTCCAGAGTCTTCCGTGACGGAAGCAGGTTCGCGTCGTGTCGACCACTATGCTGGCATGACTCGAAGCCATAGTCGACCAGGCTTGCGAGCAGTTGTCTGCGAAGGTCTGGTTCCGTCGCCTCGCTCAGGCCGCGGACAGTAATGATGCTCGCCTTCGCCAGTGCCTGAAAAGACTTGTCAGAGACCCGACCATATACGAGGATCATCGTACTTACATCCAACGCGTCCACTGCCCAAACTCTCGGGCCATAGTCCTCACAATCTCGGCGGTTATACGCACTGGCGACGCAGAGGTCCTTCACGAGGACATTGTACAGCGCAGCGTGCTTCTCCGGCGGCACCTGTGCCACGAAGTGCAGGCTGAGTACGTCGCCAGCATCGCCAGTCTTCTCGAAGTGCTTATGCCAGACAGTCGGGATGTACGAGTCGCGGTTGATCTGCCAGCGGTACGCCGTACAGCCGGAAGAGGGCTTGGGTGGTACGAGCAGCAGTGCGACGCGGAGGTCATCCACTAGATAGTATGCGAGATAGAGGTTCCACGAAGTGGGCGCGGACTTCGGCGACATTGCGGGTGTCTATCGAGTTGGTTTCTTGGCGTCTTCGTCGGCGTCTGTTGAGTCTGCAGTCGCTCGTAGCTGAGGATGTGGTGGTTCTGAATAGACCTCCCATGCTTTCCATCTCGTTTTATACCTGCGAGTCAGGACCAATAGATAGATAGTCTTTTACAAGAGATGCCCGTTATGGACGTGGCCTCTGTCGTTGTCATGGTTAATCAATCGCGGATGTCCTTTGTAACTTGTCGTAGCTGCGAGAGCAAAGGTTGTCAAGTGTAGCCGAGCAAGTATGAAGACCTGGTCGCCGCCTCGCTGAAAACATGCGGACAGCGAGTGCCGGTGTGGGGCGCCTGAAAGAGATGAAAGAGCCGAGCGTCGGCAGTCGCCGAAGCTGCCGATCCGAGTGCCCACGTGCTATTTCTGCTTTTATGGCCGTTCTTGTCGACAAACAAGTTCTCCCTCGCGCTCTATTATAGACCGCAAGTCGCTGCTTGGGTACAAGAATCTATCCGCAAAATCAACCTCAGTGAGGACAGATTCGGTCCACTGCCCTTCTGTGTCAGTGTACAGTACGCTCCCCAGCTCACCGCGACGCTACGATTGCCGAGGGAACTCGCACCATCCAGCCCACCTCGTAAACGCCGTCAATTCCGCGCAGTGGATGCGGCTTATCCGGTCAGACATTGCTTCAAATAAGTTACTATTGCTAGCATGTAGGGATTAGTAGACAGTGTACTTCCGTATGGTACATTTGGAACAGTGCTTCGTCTTGGGTCTACTGGGGGAGACGGCGCTTGGGAAAGCGACGACGCCTAGGTCATTTGTTTCGCTGGCGATCATGAGCCTGAGCCTAAGGTGGCCTCATGGCCGACGGTCAAGATTGCGCGAACGACGAGGACGGCTCAAGGAGTCCTGTCGGCGTCAATCTTCTGCACACGCCCATCGTTCCACTTGACGGTGACCGTGCCGTCCTGTACCGGACAGTCAGTGAGTCAACGAGCCCATTTGCACGTTCGACATGGTACGCACCTCATTGCCGAAGTAACACGCTCGCGCCATCTTGCAGAAGAGGCCGACCTCGACGACGCCGGTGATGAGCTTGATTTCATGCAGGAGCTGGGAGCGATTGTCAGTCCTGATACCACATGTACGAGCCTTTTCTTCATGCGCAGTCTGCGTCGCAGACCGCAGAATCACGAAACCCTCACCTTCGCTGGATCCTCAAGCTTTTCGGGCGGGAAGGGCGCGTCGATGATGAACATGCCATTGTCGGAGACCACCGGGCCGGCTGGAAAGCGTGCCAGTCAGCCTTCACCCCTACCACCTAACGCCGCCTACGACGCACCCTTCGCCACTGCCATCCGGAGCTTCGCGTCCGGCGAGCCCATGTGATGTAGTCGGCTCAACACCTGCAGGTAGGCGAACGGCACCACCTCGATCGGTACGCCTGGCTTGAACTGCGGGTGTGTTAGCGCGAGGTCGACGAACGTTGGTTGGAGTAGCGATAGTATTAGTAGCAACAACAACTAGGATAGGCGTCGGCAGCCCACACATACGTTCGTGCCGAGGACGTCTGAGTTCTTGCGGTAGTCGGCGACGACGACCCATGTCTTGGCGGCCTCCGCGAGCACCTTCTCGCGCAGCTGGCATGCACCACCGCCCTTGATGCAGTTCAACCCGCGCTCGATGCTGTCAACCTAGAGCCAGTCATCCGTCAGTCACTTGTCCGCATACAATACGGCAGTACGCTCCGCTGGCCAGCGCACAAGCATTCCCGCTAACCACTCATAGGCCAGCTATTCCCGACTCACCTCATCCGCGCCGTCAATCGTCACATCAATATCCCCGAACTGCTCCACGTCGCCCAGGTTCAGCTTCGAGTTCAAAATGAGCGCCTTGCTCTGGAAGCCTGTCGGCACGAAGATGCGGTCCCGGTTCGCCTCCGCGCCTTGCGCTACGATACGCTCGACGACGTAGGGGACAGTGGACCCGGAGCCAATGCCGATTATCTGAGAAGGGCTAGCGTGAGCTTGGTGGGTCGGGAGGGGATGCGCGAGGGAGGCGGGGAGATTGACAGACGGGCATGGGACGGGCAAGTGGGGAAGGGGCGCAAGCTATGACGACATCGCTTGCTGGCGAATGAGATGATCGCGGGGAAGGCGCGGAGAGGGCTGGAATGATCGACACGCACCTTCATGTTCGGGGTGACGAACTCGTCGACGGCACTGTGCGCGGCGAGCTGCTTGGAGCGCTCGATCGCGGAGAGGATGGGGGGTTGAGCAGGGAGGACAAGGACGGGGTCGGGTTCATGATGGCCTGCGAAAACGGTATCAGCGGGGGGATGATCGAGGATGGTAGGGGGGTACGCACCGGCATGAGGGGCTGGCCTGGGTAGCGCAGTAACGGTGATCGTAGACGTTGTAGACATGGTTCAAGGCGGTATACGAGTGATGATCGCGAAGAATATGCGCCCACAGCAAGTCGGGCGAGGTTCGTGCAATTTGTGTGTCGACGCCAGGACGTGCGTCAGTGGTAGCAATGTCGGGGAATAGGAGGTAGAGGTGAGTGAGATGAGATGGCAGATGAGGGAACGATGAGAAGGCGGCGGAATAATATTTGTACGGTCGGCGGTATGCATCGGCGTTACGCGGCGCGTGGGGCCGAAGGACAGACGGGGTGACGGAAAGGTGTTCGGGGAGCAATACAAGGATGGCAGCAAGCCCGTCAGCGGTCGCACGTCGCGAGCGGATGGCAACAAACGTACGAGGGCATCGGGACCGGGCTGCGCGGGAGCTTCTGGATGAAGCCTTGGGACGCGTAGAGCGACATGCTGGTGTGTATGTGCTGGCGGTGCGTGGGGGATGTTGTGGTGGGGATTAGGGAGCGCGCGAGGGGGTGGGGACGGCCCGGAGGAATGCGGTGGCTGATTCTTGTTGGCGTGAGATGTCTGATCGGGAGAGAGACAGCGCGTCGGGCGCAGGTGACGGGCCTCTGAGCGGTAGCCACTGTCGACTGATGATGAGGGGAGATGAGGGGGAGGTACCAGGACCTATATGTTCCCGCTATTGCTGATACTCGTCAAGGGGTGAATGGGAGTCCTGCTATCGACGGATTGAGCCGTGCTATTGAGACGGGGGACGAAAGAGAGCGTACAGTAATCGACACACAGGTGACGGGCGAGTGCTCACGTCAAGAGCCTTCCGTAGTTGCCTCTGAAGATCTTCTGGTGATTGGTTTGGCGTAAAGCAAGTGCATGATGCTCTGTAAGCGCCCGGGCCGCTGCTAGCGCACGTGGGTGTTAGCATGACTCACCAACTTCTGACCGACCGGCAACCATCCACATAGCCAGTCAGCTTCATTTACTCACCGTAGGAATAGACCTCTCAGGATCTGTACTTCTCATCAGCACAGTATCGCCCTTCTCTATGGGACGCTCGACCTTGCCCGATTCCGAGGGCCGATAAGATGATGTCGTCGGATGAAGGGCACATATGTGTGCCTGCTTCTATGAAGGAGACTATGTATACAAAGCCTACTCCAAGGGCTAGAGGAGAAGTTGCCGACCTCGAATAAGGCCCAATTACTACCGGGAGGAAGCAGAAAATGAACCGTGACGCAGGTGTGACACTACCAGTCACGTGCACGTTGGCACGTTCGGAATCGGACCGCGTCTCGCGGCCGCTGCAGACGACGGCGACGACAGCTTCGGCGAAGTCAGTGGTCATTCTCTCGCTACTCCCTCACTCCCTTCAAAGCCCTCTTCCCCTCGATACGCTTTTGCTTGCTGCCCCTCCGCACACTATGTCCACCACCCAGTACACCCCGCGGGAATACCCCAATGCGAAGCCCAACAGGACCTGTCAGCCGCCGCAGACGCGGTCGAGGATCTCTATGATGCTCTGGAGGTGGAAAATATGGGTGGAGGGGACGCTCATCTTTTCTATGCTGGAGCCTTGGGAGAAGATTCTCATTAGTGCGTATCTTACTTCTCCGCTCAGCTCCCCCCATATCTCCCTCCCTCTACGCCTTCTTCTCGCCTCTTGCTGCAGTACCACCCATACATCTCTCACCTCCTCGAACTCCTCTCGCCTTGCGTCCACTCTTTCAACACATCCCCACCCGCTCAGTCGATCATACTCACGCGCCCTCCCCACAGCCTCGATCTTCCTCGTCCTCTTCAGCCTCATCTTCACCGCCATCTTCAAGTACCTCCCGCAACACGTCCTCGTCATGCACCGGCGCGCTGTGTACTACATCTGGGGCGAGGGCAACGCGGAGGGCAATGCCTTCAAGGAGTGGTCGGGCGCGGCGAGCACTGCCGCGTTCGGGTCGCATATCGCGACGGAGCTATGAGATGGCGCGGACGCGCGAGTGGAGTGAGATGGTGCCAACGGAGTGAGAAGGTGCCGGCGGAGGGACAGAGGATCTAGAGAGGTGTGGGGAATGGAGGCTGCTTTGGCGTGTCATAGATTGGTGAGTTGTGTTCGCGCTGTGGATGGAGCGGTGTGTACTCACTCGGCGCTTGACAGGATTTCATCATGTGCTCTAGTGTATAGTTCGCGGTCTTAATCTCATCTATGTGACCGACTCCTTCTCCGCCAGGGTTGCCTACCGGGCAAGGCGTCCGACCGATATCGCCAAGCGCCCTTGTCGCGCGGCCGCCTCGACCTGGAGTCTTTGACGTCTTCAAGTCTTCCGGCCTTGGACTTAGGACACGGGGATCTTGCAGCGGCCTTGTCTAGATGACCTCGAGGGGAAGACGTGCTTCGTGCTATCCGCACCTGCGATTTCTGCGACAAGGCGCCCTTACTCAACGCAGCTGCTCGTCAGTCCGCGCTTCTCATTCCTACGACGGTCGTTCTTAGATGACCGGTGAGTGAATAGCTTCTGCTATCGGATGATACCCATGACGCCCGGATACCTAATGAGGCAGACAGCAGCACGGTCTATTGCAGCCTTACGGCTCTCCGGTCTCCTGCACTGCCCTCCCTCGTCAACACCACGTTTTGTTCGCAGGAATGTTCGCTTTTTCCACGCAACGCGTCATGGCACTCGAAAGTACACCTGCTGTGCAAAAGGTGTCTGAAATCCGCGTCACTATTTGGCGTATTTGTTCGACTGGAGTTGCGGGACTGCGCAGCCTCGAGAATCGGCGTCGGGAACGGGGCAGGATCTCCATTTGAGAGCCTCGCGGGATGCGCTGGCATTGCAACGGTGCAGCATGTGTTTAGAGCATCTTCAATACCCGACTATCGCCACGCTTGCTATACTGGGCTCGAAGACGATACGAAGAGGACGCCGTGGCTTCGATGGGTCCATGGAGGCACGATGGTGGATGCAAGGACGGTCGTTGGTGGAAAGTGCCGTGCATATAGACATCAGCTGCTGCATATGTTGTCGATGGCCCATCCAGCGCTGCTCTCGAACGTTCGCATGAAGCTCGGGTGGAGCGAGGCAAGAGAGCGCAGATGAAGGCGGCCTTCCGGATGGAGCTGTATCCCTGTTTGGCTCTGTTGACTGATGGCCGGGATTCGCCATGGTCTGTGCGTCAAATAAATGGATCGCACCCCGGCGACATATAACCACGTTCCCCTTCCTTCCCCCCTCATGTTCGTTCAAAGAAGTATATCAGTGCTAGTGCTCTGTGTTCCCTAGCACGTCTTGCGCTCGTCGCTGGCGGGGCGCGCTTAGCGCAGCGCCTGGCGTCGTTGGTTACTCTACAAATATGGTGGGCCTTCCGAAAGTTCCCTGCGCATATGACTGATCGCCGCGATCGCGCTCCCAGGTCCTCGTTAACAACATAAAATATGCCTGGTGAGTATCGCGTCCCCCATCCCCGCTGGACGATGACTGACCGATCGTCGCAGTGGAACCTGCATCAAGGGTCACCGATCCTCAACCTGCAAGCACTCTGATCGCCCGCTGTTCGAAATCAAGAGAAAGGGAAGGCCCGTTACGCAGTGCGAGCACTGCCGGGAGCTGCGGAAGACGAAGCAAGTGCACGTGAAGTGCGTATGCGAGAAGGAAGGCGAAGTCGGCTGCGCGAAGTCTGGTGAGCCTCGCTACTTAACGGGGGTCATACGGTGGGCTCATCTGCAAGACGACGCCTCGATCGCAGGTTTGTCCAAGGCCCTGGAGCAACCCGCGTTCCCCAATGGCTTGCCGGAAGCGTTGGGTGCGTCGGCTACTCTCGGGGTCGCGGCGGACAGGACTTCGGCGGAGCCAGAACATAGAGGTGCATCCACCGATCGCCGTTTCCTCTGCCCCCTTGCTGATCCCGGCACAGAAGAAGTCAAAAGCAGCTGCAAATCCGGCTCACAATGCGACTGTTGCGTCCCGCGCGCGCCGAAGGCGAAGGTCAAGGTACCGAAGCCCCTGCGCTCGTCGCCCGCTCTTTCCGTCAAACCTGCGCTGGCCATCAAAGCATCACCTAGCCCCCAACACCCCGAATTCCCCCTATTCCTATCCGATTCCCTCGCGCTAGAGCAGGAGATGCTCGTCACCGATCCCTCCGTTCTGCACTCTGCGCATGACCCGTCGATCCCCCACGCGGCGCGTGTCCGTACCCACCCCAACGAGTACAGCCCGTATGGCAGGGCGTACGATCAGCACGCTCATTACCACGGACACTCGTCGCCGATCGACAGGCCGTCGTCGTCTGAGCATCGCGAGCGGCACCCATCCTCACAGCCTACCAACACAATGCCCAGTCCTACGCTTCCGGACGACTTCGCGACCTGGTTCTCCGAGCCTTCGCCGTTCTGCCAGGTTTCGGACGGATACAATAGCAATCGCCTACTGGATATGTCCGCCAACAACGGCAGCGCAGAGAGCATGAGCTCGGCGTACGATTCGGCGCCCGACATGGGCAGCCACATCGACATCGACATGAACCCTCGCATCGTCGCTAGCGAGTGGATCGGTCACGCGCCGACGGAGCCCCCAAATAGCACATATCCCCCTACGCTTCCTCGCATCGAAGTTCCTACGTTCACCTCGGAGGACCGCGTCTTCTGGGACAGCGTGAACGTAGCGGGTATGCGCTCGGCGCCCAATCTGTCCCTCTGTATGGACTTCGACGGGCTCGGCTGCGCCTGCCCGCCGGGCGCCTGCCGCTGCGGCGCGGCGGAGTGTTGGACGGACTCCATGTCGTCGTTGTCGGACCCCATGTCATCCATGCCGTCTCTGCCCGACTCGATGTCGGAGGTGGCCTACTCGGACGGCATGCCTCCCATGCCGGATTCGATGCTTTCTATGCCGCCGGATGCGATGTACCATCCGCATCTATCCGCCATGCCCGACCTTATGCGTAGCCGGTCGTCGTCCAGCTCCTCGTCGTCCGGCGCGAGCTCGGTGCAGAGCTTTCGGGACGCGTTCGGCACCGGGGGTGGCCATATCGCTCTCGATGCCGGCAACCATAACGGCGTCGACGCAGGCAGCCAGAACACCCTCGACGCAGGGGGCTCCCGTGGCGTCTTCGATGGCGGGTGGTTCTCACAGCTTGCCGGCTGCGCGGAGGACTTCGCCGCAGGACGCCCGATAGACGAGTTCTGGTGAGGGGGAGGGTGCGAGCCCATATCTTCTCGAGGGGCGGCGAAGGCGGTTTCAGCTGTGGTGGCGAAGGTCCAGCGTCGGTGGTGCAGTCGTCGGTGAGGCCTCCGGTGGTCCTCGTCTGGCGGCGCATCATCCGACGACAAGGCGGAGAGACGCAGAGAAGCATAATAAACGACGAACGGTCTCCGGCACGACTATGTATTCACATACGTGTATCTTTCCCTATATTTTCTGTACCCTAAGCGGTGCGGTCTTATACCTGCTTGCAATGCAATCTATTCGCTTTTAGATCCATATTCTTCATTCGCCATGACTGACCACTATATTGCTGAACATGGTAGAAGGAAATTCCTCGTCAAATTTATGGATGTAGTAGCAATGTTATGCAGTATTTGTCTTTATGGGCGCGCAGGGCCCTCCTTCCCGTTTTGGATAATATCGTTTCTCGAAGCGAACGTTGATGGTCTATGGCCCTATGACACCCCGCAGTTGCGCACAGCGAGCGCGTAGGAGCCTCTATCCTCAGATAAGAATGTGTAGCCGTCTCCTCAGCGCTCTGCTCTCATCCGACGTGTGCGCTACGGCGCCCAGAACCTCATTGCTCTCAACGGCGCTAGATCCATTGTATCTTAGTTTCGAGTCTTCAAGCAAGCGGCAGGATGATTCAAACAGTGCAGGAACAATGGCGGAAACTTGTCGATCGGAAGGTGAGCCATTTCGTACCAGGAGCGCGGTGTGCTGACCAGCGCTCCAGACGTGACACGACGCGTCCGGACGCGACGACAAAACGTCGGTCTTGGCACACCATTCAATATTTGCGGCGGACCTCTTTTGTTCTTTGTTGTCTCTCGAAATCTCCGACTGGTCTCTCCTAAATCGCCAACTGCCCTTTGCCCGATCGCACTGGTCCCAGATCGTCGGGTCGCCTGTTGACCCCGCGCAATGGGACATCACAAGAATGCTCGCCGCGTGCCTAACGAAGGGCTTCCGTATTCAGAGTCCGACAACGGCTTCCAAATATGGCTCAATAGGCGGGCGGGGACTATGCCAGAGTGGACTATCGGCGAAGTAGAATATCGACGCTGAGGCTGGAGGTGAAAGGGGCGGAACCTAAACCGCACGAACGCGACATTCCAACAGGCATCTGACTTATATCCGGGTCATAAACGCGTTGCTTTTTGCAAGTGGGCATGTCAACCCTCGGCGCTATCATGCAGGAACATAGACCATCATTGCTTGGTCGGAGGGTATATCTATAGGCCCGAAGCCACCTCCTTTTCTTATCCACTGACTCGTCGCCCGCCACTGAATCGACCTCATTTACTTCGTCGACTACATTTCCTCTCGCCGTTTGCGCTTCAGAACATCGCCTGCACTATGCTCGCCCTATACAACCAACGCCCCATTATCTCTCATCCCTTCTCAAACGCGGTGCGTAAACACTCCATTTCCGAAGAGCTTCCACTGACGCCTTGTCTCTTCAGACCTGGAATAGAATGAGACTCGGCATGCTGCCTCTCTCGTCGACGCCACCACCCACGGAACCAAAATTCGGCCACGGCGTCGACTGCCCCGTCCTCGACAGCACCGCGGACCTGTGCATCCCCAGCTTCGCTCGCATCGACTCGCTATGCGCGATCGACAGCGAATCCTTTCCGTGGCTGGCCGTTCTGGGGAGTGGCGCTTGGGACGATCCTCACGGCGTCGCCAGTGCCGTGGCTCCGAGCGACCAGGACAAGGCCTCGCAAGACGGTGGTGGCGACCTCGATGACGACGCCGACGCTGAAGGCGAAATTGACGATGGCACCGAGGAATACGAGACCTTCCGGCTGAGCTTCACTGCTCCGGCCAAAGGCAAGCAAGGCCCCGACGACAGCGCTAGTGACTACTATGAACGCAGCGCATCGCGGGCACGAAGCAGCCCCTTCGACCCACCTAGCTCCTCCAGCGATGACTCCTCCAGCCTGTCTGGCTTGGACTCTGGCTCCGCCTGCTCCCAGGGCTCCCACTCGGACGCTGGGGTTCACGTTCCTGACGAGGTCGACATCCCTGCATACAAGGTCGTTGATCACATCTCTGGCGCGCCCGACGAATATGTTCCACGAGAAGTCCATACACGCATACCCGAGGAGGTTGACGATTACACCCCCGAGCTGGACGAAGCCGGCTCGGGCGACGAGTACCGGCCGCGAACGACGAGGCAGCGTCGTGGGTGCACCAAGCCCCGCGGCCGAAAGCGCAGGCGGCACAACACCACTTCTTCATACGGTCTCAAGCGTGCGCGCTCCCTCTCTCCTGCTACCACCTCCGCGTCCACCAGCGCCAATAGCAACAGCGGCACCACAAGCAATAAGCGTCGGCGCACCGGCCAAATTACCCCCGCCGAAGCCGCCGCGCGCCTCCGTGTCCTCTACCGCCTGGCGCAGGAGGGCTACGCGCGCTGGAAGCTTGTCCCCAACTACCCCATTATTGAGGAGAGTTCCGTGAAGGATTCCGAGAGCGAACCCAAGAAACCCGCGCTCCATATCTGTCTCCTCGAGCTCCCCGAGGACCATCCTACGATCATCAAGCGCAGGGAGGCAGACAAAAACAACACCGATCTCCGGTGTCTCGCGAACATCCGCGACAGCACCTCCGGCTGGACCAAGCACGCCCTCACGCACGTCGGCGAGTACAACGAGTCTTTTTGTATGGCGTGTGGCAAGGAATTTACACGAGTCTCGTCGGTGCAGCGGCATATGCACAGCTGCTTGAACAGCAAGGTGCACAAACGGCGCTTGAAGGCAGCGGGCTTGGAAGAGAAGCCGGATGGGGGATTTAACTTGGCGTCGCAGACGCTCACGCAGGAAGCGGTCAATAGGGCGGCGCAGGTGCTGGAGGCGATGGAGGATTGAGGGTGGCCGTGGCCAATTCGGTGCGCTGAGGGCTAGGCGATATAGAGGGAGTGTTGAAAGGAGGGGTCAACGGTATCGTCGAATTTCTCTCGAATTGATGTGCTACATGTTCTACAAACTGCTACCTTACCATACTCTACTAACGCGGCATAATTAATTCATTCCCCTTGCAATGACTGTCTGTTCCTCTGTGAGAAGGCTATGCTGTGAACGAAGTCCTCCCTCGTGCGAAGGAAGAAGATAGAGAAGCATAGTCCCTCGCCCTCAAGGTCTGAAAATCACGATACAATGCACGCGATAGCGCTTGAGATTGGGCTTCCGTTGCGCTGGAGCTCGATGCGCCTGATGACCGTTGCACTGGACTTCAATCCGACGAAGGTGGCTTGCTGGAAAGCAGATGGATTCTCCGTGGTGCCGGGCGTGTGATGAACGCGTTCGCATTAGACTCGCAGGCGCTGCGTTAGGGAAGTCACTCTCGTAGCCGTTGTTGACCTGAACTAATCATATACAATATTGGATCTGAAATGTAGACCGCACATCCCCGAGAGGCGTCCTTTGTTGTCGGCCGGGTGGGGAAAGTGCAGTATACGTATGAAGTCGTGGGCTGATGAGAATCGACCTGGGGTAAGTATCCAGGGTAGTGGAAGGATCTGCGAGACGCGATGGAGCCCGACGATGCGGTCGTGGAGGGCGCCGATCCTTCCTCTTCGTCGGGTCGCCACCCGACGCTGCGGAACGGATTCGAATGTCGAGAGCGGCAGATACCGAATGGGGATGTGGGAAGGGACGGAACTCGCCGCCTGAAGATGGACGTGCGGACCGACCTCGGGAGGGATGCTTCACGACGGCCCGCAAGGGACGAGATGATGATGAGAGGAACGAGACGATGACGAGAGCAACAAGACAGACCGGCCAATGACAGCGCCAGGAACACCTCACGACCGTGGCTATAATTGTAGAACACGCCTGGAACATACCGGCGGACGAGCGAACCACGCGCGCCATAATTGTAGTACGCGCTGGAGACCGTCATCGACGGGCTGCGAAGGATGGCAACGAACATTCGGGGGCGTACCATCATGTAGCTGCATGAATCGCAGCAATCGATGGCAGAGGTTAGCAATGATATGGGACAATGAACTTCGATAAGTCGGATGACGTTGCGGTCTTCGAGGATGGACTGCGAAGGTTCACGGATTTCATTGCTATCATCAGGAAGTTCGACTTTGGGACGACCGTCAGCGAGGGTAGAGACACGGTGAGAGATGCGGTATCGAGGCTGGAGACGCTATCTCGAGAACATCTTCGGGCATGTGCCCCCCGAGCGAAGGACCGCGGGAGGCTAAGAGCACTGGATGGCCTTTGTAGGCGTAATGAAATTGCAGTCATCGGCGCGACTCGATAGAGGCCAAGTAGGCAAGAGGTTCCAGGTCGCTCTCCTTGCTCGTGGTGAAGATTCGGAGGTCGAAGTACCATCTGCTAAGGAGCACAGTCCGGAGGACTATCGCCGCATATGTCAACGCGGTCCGACTTGTTCACCGACTGACATCGCGGAGAGATCGACGCCGGACAGGAACGTCAAAGAGGACCGCGGTAAAGGATCGACGAGGCAAATGTTGACATTGACGGTGACATCACGGACAATTCATGTCAGTGTAGCAGGCCGCAACGCTTCGAGATTCCGACGTCGGTCAGCCGCCTAGGAAGGCAGTATGGACATGATGTGGACGTCCGCGAAGGCAAACAGACGACCGGAAGCAGAGGCTGGGGAAGTTGTAAAGATGCGTCGGCGGAGAGCAAAAGATACAATAAATTGTTTTCTAACGTTGCGATACTTATTGAAAAGCGTCGACGCGAGTTAGGACAAGAAGAGAAGCCCATGTTGCAGGACAAGACTATTGCGCCGACCAAGAGAACCGATAGCGGGACAAAGCCACAAGTCAGAGTGAGCAGTAAGGTCCTATTCGCCCGAGTTCAGTAGATAGGGGACACCCAGCATTGCAACGGAACTCAGCAAATCCCAAATCGCTGGAGTTCCGTGTAAAACCGTGGAGTTCCAACTTCCGATCACTTTAGAGCTTGCCTGCCGATTCAAGACGATTACCGCGGAATTGAATACGCTTATCCGTCATTTAGGCTCAAGCGCCCAAGTGCGAGCCTGGAGAGCGCTACGCTGGCCCACGGCGCGTCAGTGAATTTGCGGCTAGTTGCGCCACAACAGAGATAACCACGTAGACCTTAGAAAACGACAAAAAGCCATCTCCTGCGCCACCGAAAGAGCGACCGCGTCGACAAGAGCAGACCAGACAAGAGAATCCAATGGATGAATGGACGAAACGTTCGTGTCGTCTTCGGCCAAACACGACGTCTTCGCCGCATCCACCTTCCCACATTCGTGTGCGGTCTTCCTCTTTGCCGCGCGTACAGCATGCTTTCCTCCGTCGCCTGTGTCGGCGTAGCAATCACTGACGCTAGCGTAGGTGTGCGAAGGAGAGCATCAATGTGCAAGAGAGAGCGTCAGCGTCAGGACGCTGTTGATGGCGCTTCTGTAGTCTCCGTTGATTGGGTATGACCGCCGCACCCTGCGCCCGTCCGCGTCCCATTTCTCGAGGAAGTGTGGTTTGTGTTCGAGAGGGGTTGATGTGCCGTTTGAGGACGCGCCACCGTCGAGCGCAAAACTGAGCGCGAGAATGAAGTCAAAGAGACCGAGCGGGTTTAGAGAGGTCCAGCGGACGAACAATGGGACAAAGCTCCGTGGCAGGTGGCTACCTGCCCGTCTTCATAGTCCCTGTCGAGGTCATATCCGTGCGTAGAGTGGTCCTAGCTGAAGGGGGGATGCACTGTCGCCGAGGTACGCCGTTGAGACGAGATGAAGAGGCAGATGCTGCCGCGAAGCTTCTCGCAGGCGCTCGCGGCGTGTTGGACTTGCTGTGTGTATTTATGAATACGGCCGCGCGGAGAGATTTGTCTGTGGATGGCCGTCTCCAGGCCGTCGCGATGCGGTCGCGGCAGGCACATTGTGGTGGCAGGAGGAAAGGGCCGGTTCAATTTTGCACGTGCGAGATCTGGAGATCTATCGGGGTGCTGCTGCGCGGCGTGGAACTCAAAAGGAACGGTCATCACGACGAGCACGAACCCCTCTTTCTTCTCTCCTTCATCTCCCCCTTCGTCTTTGTGGTGCGCCGCCTTGGTCGCGGTCTGCTTTTGCGTTCTCGGACGCCCGTTTCGCCCGGGTTCATTCGTTGTCTCCTAAGCTGTACACTCCTTCACGCCCTTTACCCACCAAGTTCGACGTCGACGTCAACGCCATGTCTGCTACACAACCTGCGTCCAACGGGACCGCAAGCGCAGCGGCGGCCAAGGGTGCCGCCGCTCAGGCTGAGGGGCCCGAGGTGAACGTCGCGCTGCTCCTCTGGCATGCGAACATCGTTCTCCTCGCCCTCCTCGGCGTGCTGGTGCTGCTGCGCCTGCCACGCCTCTTCGCACGCCTCTCTGTCCCCTCCGAGTGGCTCCAGGGCCACGTCTTCGCCCGCAAGGCCCTCCCCGCCACCCGCCGCCCCGCCGATCACTCCATCGCGCGCCGCCCGACGTACTCTTCCGAGAAGACTGCGTACGGCGGGTCCGACGACTCGCACACCCTCCACACGCATGCGCAGTACATCCAGCGCCTCGATAAGCACGCCGCTGGCGGCCCCCCGGCCAACTGCCCGCCACATCTCGCGGCGTGCCCGCGCTTCTTCCGCCCCCTCACCGCGCCCTTCCACTGGCGCTTCACGGCAGGCTACTCCTTCTATCAGGTCGCGACGTGCATGATCTGGTTCGCCGTCATGGCGTACACGGCGTTCTACATGTCGAACCCCTTCAGCGATCCCGGTGCGTAGCCCTCCGATATCTCCGTAGCAACGCACTGACCATCCTCCGCCAGCTCGCACGGGTGCGGTAGCTGTCGCCCAGATGGTCTGGGTGTTCGCGTTCGGCACCAAGGCGAACCCGATCGGTCTCCTCCTCGGGATTGGCTACGAGAAGGTGAGCTTCAACACGAACATCACGTGCAGTGGCTAACACGCTGGCTAGCTCAACTTCATCCATCGCTTCGTTGGACGCCTGGTCGTTCTCGCTGTCAACATCCACACACTAGGCTACTGTGAGTTCCCTCTCCTATCATCCCGCAAATCCCACTCATTTTCCCTAGTCTACAAATGGTCTATCGCGGGCACTTTCGCCGCGAGCCTCCAGAAGCCCTTCATTGTCTGGGGCCTCGTCGCGACGATCTGCATGGACGTCCTGTTCTTCTTCTCTACCGACTACTGGCGCAAGAACTGGTACACCATCTTCCTTTGGTCGCACATCGCCGCCTTCATTGTCCTCATCCCCGCGACGTACATGCACAAGCCGACCTTCCTTCCCTACATCATCGCCGTCTGCGCAATCTACGGCTTCGACCACCTCTACCGCATCATCAAGACGCGCTTCCACACCGTCACGCTCCGCGCGCTCCCCGAGCTCGGCATCGTGCGCGTGGAGGTCCCGCAGATCAACACCGGCTGGCGCGCGGGGCAGCACATGCGCGTGCGCGTGCTCTCCGGCGGCATGGGCCTCTACGGCTGGAGCGAGGTGCACCCGTTCACGATCGCCAGCGCGCCCAACTCGCACGAGGGCCTCGTCCTCCTCATCAAGAAGACGGGCACGTGGACGACGCGCCTGTTCGAGATGGCGAAGAGCGGCGGATACTACGACGCGGGCACGGATCGCCAGGTGAAGGTCATGCTCGAGGGCCCCTACGGCGGACCCGGCGACGCGATCTTCCACAGCTACTCGGCCGGCGTGTTCGTGTGCGGCGGCTCGGGAATCACCTTCGGGCTCGCGAGCATGCAGGACATCCTGCAGCGCGATCTCGAGCGCCGGTCGCGCGTCAAGGTCCTCGAACTCATCTGGATCATCCAGGACGCGGCGAGCCTCGCGCCGCTCCTCCCGCAGCTCACCGCGCTCTTGCAGACATCGAGCACGACGCAGGTCAACATTAGCGTGCATTACACGCGTGTCTCCGCGTCGGGCAAGCTGCCGTTCGACCGCAACGCCCTCCCGCCCGGCCTCACGCTGTCGGGCGGTCGCCCGCGCACGCTCAAGGTGCTAGACGCGACGATCAGCCGGACGGCGAGCCTCGGGCGCGGATACAAGGACGAGGACGCGCTGTGCGGGATGCTCGTCGGCGTGTGCGGTCCCGTCGCGCTCGCGGACGACGTCAACAAGGCCGTGAGCTGGATCGACCCGGTCAGGAGGGACCAGATTGGTGGAATCGAGATCCACGAGGAGGTGTTCGGGTGGTAAATTTTGCGCCATACGAACGAGAGGAGAGGAGGATGGATGCACGACGACGCGCGATGAATGGACCCGAACGAGGATGGTAGCCCGCGACTATTGAACAAACTCACCACACCACACCACACCACACCCGCTTTTTCGACAACATCGACTCGACTATCTCGAACATTTCTCGTACCGGCGCGGCGTTTTGTCGTGCCTTCCGGCGCTCGCAGGTCTTTTCCCGCTGTGCGCACACGCCTGCCTCGCCGGTCGACTGCGCGCACACTCGCCGCGCCGGTCCCCCACCCCCTATACCCCCTCCCCTTCCTCTCGCTATTTATCATGCGCACCGCGGCGCGGGCGTTTCGTTTTGTGTACTGTACATATTTAAATAGCGTCGGCGCGCGCAGGTGGCAGCTGGCCACCACCTGCGCAATGCGTAGTACGTCTGTCTATACATGTCTTGTGTAGCTTTTACTGTTACTTTTCCTTTGTAGCTAGTATGGGTACGCAGGGCCGTGGCAGACGCGTTCATACACTACGCTCTCAAACGCGCCCGCGGATCGGGATGGGGTGTATTTATTGACGGCTCGTTACTACCAGCTGCTCTTTTCCATGCCGTGTAGATAGATACAGTATTCGATGCTAGACGTACCGAATTCCCTGTCCTTCGCGCGTGCGTTGAGTGAGAGTGAACGAGAGGGCAGCAAGTGCTGCCCCCCGAGCATCGCATTTCACACTAAGGACCCTCAGCCCCACGCAACGTCGACAGCGCTGGCTTCCTGACCTTATCGACGTGCCGCTTACTACCAGCCACACTTCCGCACCACTTCGCCACCCTCCTTCTCGTCTCACAGGCACCCCTTCGTCGAAAAAAGCCTGAGAAGGGGGGAGTAAGCACGAGAAACCTCTTTCTCACCTCTCCCCGTCGTTGCGAAAGCCCCTTCGACCGCTGCTAATCCTCCTCTACCCCTCCCACCCCGTCCCCCACCTTTCTCGTCGCCCTACGCATCTCGCGCTCATCGTCGAAAAAGTCGAACATGCGCGTGTCGTCAGTTCCGAGCGCCTCGTGCTCGCGGGGACTCCCGAGTTCGAAATCGGAGGGGGAGGGAGGAGGAACCTGAAAGCAGAGTTAGCAGCGTCCGAGCTCGTCGAATAGGATGATCAACTAACCTGTTTGAACGCTTGCTACCAGCCGCACTTCGCTCGAAATTCCCAGCCGCTCGAAAACCTGCGAAGCGTGAGTGAGAGCGACACCCCCCTCCCCCACCTCCGCCCAGCGTCGCTGAAGCGCGGGCTACCACTCATAACCCATCCCATTCCATCCCCGCTCGCCCATCCAGCCCTATTTCAGTCGTGCTTTACCAAAACTGCGTGCCTGTCACTAACCCTCCCTTCGTCTGAGCATCACCTTCTTGGTCACCCTGCTCAAGAAGAACTGGCAAAACGTCAGGTCGCTGCACATCAAGACGACCACGGGCAAGCCCGTCCGCTTGTTCTAAGCGTCGTGCATCGCTTCACCTAGAAGACATAGTCAGAAACCTTTGAACCCGTGGGTTACGCTCCACCCAACGCTTGCAAAGGCGTCGCGTCGTCGAACGCGAGGCGAAGCGACTCAACACCCCACCCCTATGAGCCAGAAAGTGGATGTGTAGCACTCACCCCGGCTTCATCTCATCACGAGTCCCCTCCTGCAATCCCTTCCCCTCTATCACGAAGAGCCGCGAACTCGTCGGGCACCCATCCTTTCGCTCTCCCCCTCCTCCCCCCTCGCGCAGAACGAGAGCGGATAGCGCGTCAACGCGATTGTTTCCATCGCGCCCAGAACTGAAAAAGCGTCAGTGAGTGAATGAGAAAGCACGCCCCAGGCGCACCAACCCCAATTCGATGCCCCTCCCTCGCAGTCGCACTCCACCTCACGGTTTCCCAGGCTTGAGAATCGCGTTGAAGGTGGCGCGTGTCGTGAAGGGGAGGGTGTCGATGAGAGAAAGAGGGAAGAGGTGGAGAAGAGGAAGGAGGGGGGAGGGAAAGGAGGGGGGAAGGGGAAAGACGGGGGAAGGAGGGGAGAAGGAGAAGAAAAGGGGAAGGAGGAGGGTAAGGAAGGGGAAGGGGAAGGAGGAAAGGAGGAGAAGGAAAGGAGAAGGAGGAGGGAGGAGGAGGCGAACGGAGGGAAGGAGTTTGGCAAGAGACAGCTCACCGCCGACATGGTAATCCACCCACCTTCGCGGGGAGGAGGGAGGGGAGGAAGTCCCCTCCTCCATCCCCTTCTTCACACCGAACGCACGAAATTACCGCCGGCCGCCCAGCGGTCACGAGCGCACTGCAAACAGAGGTCAGTCTTCGATAGTAAGAGGGGGGTAGGGAGGGTATCCTATCCTCTCCGCAGAACTCACCTAGGGAGCGCGCGCATACGCACAGCGGTTTGGGGCACCAGAATCCCGGCGGGAACAGGGACAGTATGCGTTCAGATAGGAAGGGGGAGAGGAAGGGCACACCACCCCCCCCCCCACCTTCCACCCCCCTCGCATTGCGCACCCGAGGTGCCCGCGCGCGCCTCCGGCAGCTCGATCCCATCGAAACGTCCCCTTTTCACGCGTTGGCGCGCTCCTGACAATTCCTAGGAGATGGAGGAGGGGGAGGGCATCCCCACCCCGTCGCAAATCTCACCTAGGAACCTTGCTCTCGCCTCCGGCGGTTTGGCCTCGCCGAAAAGTCGTTCGAAATCCTGCGAAATGGGGGGCAAGTCCGCTTCTTGCGAGTAGAGGGGAGAGGGGAGGGTAGCCGACCCTCGTCCCATATCTCATCGCCCAACCCTACGCGCACCTTCGACTGCTCCCCCCGCTACAAAGGCGTCCAAAAGATCCTGGTCAAGACGGTCAGTATCCTCATGACAAGGTACGGGGGTGTAAGGGTGACCAATCCTCGTCGCATCCTTCACCGAGGGGCCCGCGCGCGGCTCCGGCGGCTGGAACCCCTCGAAAGGATTGTTAGTCTTTGGAGATGGGGGTTAGGGGAGGGTTCACCTCCCACCCCGCCGCTGACCGCCCGATCCCCCACGCCCCTACGTGCGCTTTCGGCCTTGCTCTTACAGTCGCCTAGATGTCGGTTTGAAAGGATTTATTACATCTTGACGGAAAAGGTCAAGGGAGGGTGACGCACCTTCTTTATCGTACCCCTCACCTATGGACCCCCAACTGCTCTGCCTTGTTGCGAAGGGAAGGAACTCAGTACGCTGCAACAGAAACAAAGGGGTCGAAATGACTTACCAATGACTACATCCCCCCTTTCGCGAGGGGAGGCGCCCCTCACCCATTTCTTCACGCTTCCAAAGGTGGGGGATCCTCTCCCTCGTCGCGTAGCTCGCGCGGATCAGCGTCTGCGTGCCGGCGGCTCAACCTAGCGAAGATGGGGGCCAGTAAGTTTGACTGAAAACAAGAAGGAGGGGCATAACTCACCAACAACTCTAGCCCCCCTCCGCCATTCAAGCGCGCCCGCAGCCATCCCGTCTTCACAAAGGGGTGGGAGAGGACCCTCCCCCTTCGCGTCATTCGCCCGAGAGGCACGCGCACGCCTCGGCAGCTGCCACCCCTCGAAGATCGTCTCGATGGGAAATCAGTACGCTTAAGACATAAGAAGGGGGAGGGACGGAGACCCACCCTTGTCGCACGCCTTGACGAGGGGGCCCGCGCTCGCCTCCAGTTCATCGAACTCGCCTAAAGTCG